CGGCGCAATCGCTTTAGTTTCTGAATTTGTGAAAATTGGATAGAATTTGACCACAGCCGTCAAGGGGTATGTACAAGCTACATTTCGTAGAGAGGCTCAATCTGCTTTGGCAAGATATTTTTCTATGAAATGCTGCGAGCCCAGGAACAAATGCTGTACTGCGCTATGCTGTGGTCACCCCCATAAGCAGGGGTACGTATCTAAGTAATATTTTCTAATCTCAATAAGTATAATTTATAGTTATTCTTTTACCTGGTTCTATCTAGCGCCATAACTAACTATTTTTTAGCTTCTCTTTTCTTACACTTCTCTCCTCTTTCTTGCTACTATTTTCCTTCTCTTCTGTGATGGGCTATGCCTGTATCGGCGCAGGCAAGACTACTCAGATCAGTATCGGCAGTAGTGTCACTCAGAGGCATATGGGAGTGCGTGGGACATCAAACGAGCCTTGATTTGAATAGACACCTATAGGCCTTGTACGAAAGGATATCAAAAGTCTATAGAGCTAGCTACAGGGAGTGTCTCCTTATATACTTATCTTAGTCGGATCCGAATCGGATCCGACCTCACAACGAGTGGTTGATGAAGAGGGCGGCGAATACTACCTCCGATCCGGCTCTGGGATTAGTCCGATACTTGGCGAAGTTGTAACACTGTTACAAGGTGATTCTTAACACCTTAGCACTAAATTCGGCTAATAAGAGCTAAGATTCTTAGAGTTAATCAAATCGCGATCTTAGCTAGACAAAGCCTCTCATAGAAAAAAAGCGAATAAATTGCAAAAAGAAAGTGTTCGATGAGCTCTCCAGCGGGGAATTGAACCTAGGACGAATGTTAGTGGAGAACATCTTGAGAGATGATTGGGTAGTACTTACCCCGGTCTCCCGCGATTTGTCAATTGCTTGACAAGCGGAAATACTGACCACTCTGTCACTGTGATGTTTGCCATCATTTCTATGAAATTCTCCGTTTTAGGATACCGACGTCCGTTAATTTACCTACTTCGGCTACTGTAGCCTGAGAACTGTTCCCTGTTCTAAGGCATATTAATCTTGAAGCAGCTCGTGTTTCACCCCCTTCCATATTAGGTATCTTAGTATATTGGTGGCACTTGTCGCCTTACAACAGCATCGCAGCGTTTAACAGTCAACACTGACTGGCTTCTTACCATAGAAGATCCACTTTTGAGATCCACTTTTGAGGTTGTACAGGTTGCCTGGTGAGGCGGATTCGCGAGGCGAATTTGCGAGGCAAACTACTAGAGCTAAGCCTTGCGCAGCCATAAGCACGGTCTTAACGACGCTTCCTCCTAGCTTATCAGAAGGTACATAAAACTGTCTTGCCGCCATTTCTCAAGCCATTTAAACAGTAAATTCAAAAACATCCATTGTACCAGTCAATTTCTAAATTTATTTTGCAACTCTGACGCCATGGATGAATTTTTTGTCAGCAATGAAAACCCCTTCGACAACTACGATTGGATATCGACGACAAAACAGCAGCCCCTAGTCTACCAATTAAGATCCACTCTGGCAACAAATGCGAAAAAGCTCAATGACGCGAAAGGGAGTTCAGTTGTACTGATGGCATACGACTACGAGAAAGGCATAATCGACGCAGAGAAAGATGACGTTGTCCAGCTTGTGCAAGATTGGAAGTTTCCAAAGGCTGTGGTGCAAAGTCTCCTCACGAGAGGGGTGCCAAGGGGCTTCCATCGACGAACAGACGCTACAAATATCTATTTTTGGTATTACATTACTACCTCACGTCCAAAAAAGGATATGTCAATGTACGATTTCATGCGGGTTTGCACCGTATACGACACGACTACTTCCTTTTCACGTACCTTGGTATTTTGTCCCCAGAGCATAATCGGCAAAGCGAGAGAAGCATTACAGATAGCTTGTAATGCTGAACCCAATACCAATACAGAGATTGAGGACTGGGCGATCCCACATCTTTTTATCGCGCATTTGTGCATAAAAGAATGGGAAAATGAGGAAGGGCGAGTTAGACGCTCAGCAAACAACACGGTAATCCCATGTCTTCTATATCCTGATACGTGAATACTGAATTCAGTAGGCCGTCTACTTGAACTATAACGCAGATAAGATTGTGGGCACTGAGCCAATAGAGATCATTGACAGACAGCTTCATCGTGTTTACTGGAGTATGTTTTACTCTAGTACTCTGGACATTGTTATATCCCATTTGAGACAAGAGTTTGAAATGTTTCAAGTCTACCGGACATGTCCAACAACAAAGATCTTTGAAATTCTTGATTCGTTTTCAGCACAAATGGACAGCACACGCTTGAATTTCGAATTCTTTAAGAATTACTTCAATACTGAGCGTCAAAAAGTAAGTCCATTCTGGCTTCCTAAACTATAACTTATATAATTAGTTCCTCGATATGATCACCCTTAAAAACGCCGGATATACTCAAAGGAATACCATTGCACTCCGGAGAATAGCAGAAAGTAGCAGTGAAGATGCTCAAGAAATGAAACGTCAGTCTCAGCAAGCTCTCGAATCGTCTAAGCTCATGATGAAGATATCATATTTGTCAATGTTCTACCTTCCTGGTACATTTCTCGCTGTAAGTTCCCTGATAGGGCTATAGATACTAATAAGATACTAATATCTCGGCCCCTTATAGACCCTCTTTAGCACACCCTTTTTCCAAATAAATCAAGAGCTGCAATTTCCAGCTCTCACGAAGTTGTGGATTTATTTTATTTTCGCTGCTATCCTTACGACATTCACTTTTCTAGCATCGACTGTATGGGATATCATTCGAGATTGGTCAAATAATCCAACGGACAAACAGGCAAACCTGGTGTTGTCGACGAAGGAAGAAGGGGACAATTACATGAATCCTGACAGATCATTGTTAGAACCTGGACCTTCAGCGTTGGACGTTGAAGCATTCAAGAGCTATTTAGGCGATTGCTATCCTGATGTAATCGATGATGATATCGACGATGATATCGACGATGATATCGACGATGATATCGACGATGAGATCAATAATGATATCGACGATGAGATCCGAGGCGAGATCGAAGATGAGATCGTAGGTGGCTCTCCGCACCTACATGGGACAGTAGCAACAGAAACCGAAAATAATTGAGCTTTAATGTCGTTGGTTCCAATGGGTATGCCTAGGTTCTCATGGATCATCTCGTCCGTAAAGTACGTTACACAACAGTGATGTTTCGAGAATGTTCTGCTGTATAGAAGGAAATGGTTAATATTCGCTATTCAACCTCGGTAAACTGACAAACTCCTCCTCCGAACGCTAGCAGAGAGGGTGGCCGATCCGCACCTGCTAGACTGTTGTGCGGTGGCGAATATACAAGACGTGTGATTGTTGATGGAGGGGCAAGAGTAGACTGGGAGATGGGTGCGGGTTGGGCCATGGTTGGGTTGCCAAGAGTTCGGGTAGGGGTTAGCTTAGGTTTTATATAATTAACACCCTAACTTAACCTCTAACCAAACTCCTAGTAACTTAAATTTAATTAAGCCTAACTCTTAGTATGATACTAAGGTTAAAGTAGAGGTATGAAGGGCACTGGCAAGGATAGGCCTGGCTATAAGATCCGATTCTGTGCAGAACAGACAAATCTGGATGACTTGGAGTACTTTTGGATTGACATCTGTTGCATTGAAAAATCAAGCAGCGCAGAGCTATCGGAAGCAATTAACTCAATGTATCGTTGGTACCAAGATGCCAGAGTATGCTACGCGTATCTTGCCGATGTGCCATCCAAAACTAAATTTCCAGGTATGTAGCAGGTGGTTCTCCAGAGGATGGACTCTTCAGTTATTACTCGCACCATCAGAAGTGATATCTTTCGATGAGGAATGGAAGAGTTTAGGGACTAGAAAAAATCTTCGACCAAGCTTGTCCAGCTGTACTGGTATTCCCGAAGGTATTCTCGCTAGGAACGATGACCTTAGAAGGGTAAGCATTGCGCAAAGGATTTCATGGGCTGTAAAGAGGGTAAGAAAAAGGCTCGAAGATCGTGCCTATTGCTTAATAGATATATTTGGTATTAATATGCCATTGCTCTATAGAGAAGAAGAGAGAGCTTTTCTTAGACTTTAAGAGGAAATAATAGAGATTTTAGTTGACCACAGTCTCTTTGTATAGAGATCCTTTAATAATCGCGGGGGACTTCTGGCTACCTCTACAGCCTCATTTATGGACTCCTATAATATTTTTTAATCTACTTCTTTCGACAGCTTGCACAGTCTTTTTACTATAAGCAGTAGAGGGATCTATTTAGAAGTCTATTTTATAGGGAGAGGCCCCCAGGGTCTTGGGTTTATAATTCTTTATTGCAAAGAAAGAGGTAGAGGAGATAAGTTAATTACCATCTACATAAGAGATTAATTTTTAACAATAGAAAGGTTTCAAGAGTTTAGAGTAGAAATCTTAAGATGTTTAATTAAAGAAGATTTAGATTGTTGCAGTATTCTATAAGAAGGATATATATCTAAACAGGGCGGCTGATATTGAAAATCCCTTAGAATTGCGATGTCGTTACTCTAGACATCTATCCTAAGTACGTACTTAAGGATTTAATGAGCTTTAGCGATGCAAAATTACTACTTCGTGCGGAGAAAAAAGGACTGGTAGAAATTAGGTAATTACTATTAACACGGAACGATATAAAAGTTAACCTTGAAGATGGACTTAAACTGACTACGTTAACGTATGCGGTACTAAGAGGGTATACGACAGTCATTAAGATACTACTAGCTTGGAGTAATATTAAGGCTGACTTGAAGGATAAATGGACTAAAACCTCTATGGTGGGCAGCCTGGACGAAGAATAAGGCCCTCGTTAAGGTGCTGCTCAAATTAGGCAAAATCAATGTTAACTCGCGCAACAAGTACGGTAGGACACTGCTATTATGGGCAATTAGGGAGGGACATAAAGCTATCATCAATATCCTACTTGATGAGGGCGCCGACCTAGAGTTCCAAGACCAGAATGGCCGGATGCCACTGTCGTGGGAAACTGGGAAAGGGTATGAGGCTGTTGTCAATATGCTACTTGAAAAAGGTGCCAACCTAGAGTCTCAAGACAGGAATGGCTGGACACCGCTCTTGTAGGCAGCTCAACAAAAGCACCAGCCTAGAGTCGAAAAGTAAAGACTATGATCAAGAGCAACTGTTAGTAGCAGCAAAGTACGGAGACGAAGAAATAGTCAAACTACTACTGAGAAAGGATGAAGCCGACGTCAACTTCAAGGATATGAATGGCCGGACGCCGCTGTTATGGGCAGCATTTGGAGGTCATCTCACTATATTCGAGTGTCTGCTTCAAAAGAAGGCTGACGTGAATGCAACAGCAGCAGGAGACCGTCTTAGTATCTTCGAGGAAGTGTTTCAAGCGAAGGCTGATGTTAACATAGCAGCAGTAAGATATAGTGGTGGGAGAACAGCACTGCAGGCAGCCGCAGAACGAGGACATCTCGCTGTATTCGAGGGGCTGCTTAAGAGAAGGCTGGTGTTAATGCAGCAGCAACAGCAGAACGTGGTAGAGCAGCACTGTAGGTAGCCATAGAAGGAGGTCATCTCGCAATAGTAGACTGCCTTCGAAGGAAGGGAACTGTAAAGTAGAGGTTCAATGCCTTTTCATCTGTTATTAATACATTCGATATATTAAAATCGCTAATTTTTAGCTTGAAAACATCGCATCGATACCTTGCTAATGATAGTAGGTGGGGCGACTGACTTGCACTGGTTCTGACTAACCTACATACATTACATTGACTACTTGTTACAAGGGCTGAGCTGTAGTTATCCAATCTCAATCCGAATCAGGTGTTACGAACCTCAAAGGAAGACGCACGGTGGCTAGGTAAGCAATCATGACGGCCAACCAATGAACCCATGCGCAACCTGAAAGCGTAATTACCTGATCTCCTCGGCATAGTATGCGGTCTTAGCAAACTTCTCATACATAGGTTACTGAGGTTTCTTCCTGAATCTTCTGGCTAAGGTTGCGAGCACTATTAGCTTACAGCTGAAGGCAATAAAATCTTCTAGCTCATCATATTTAATCATGCACTGACTCTATTCATGCTGTAGTAAGTTCAATTCCAAGGCTATACTAATATGGCTTGTAAATTCACCTTAATATTCCAGAATACGTTATGTGTTTCTTTGAGATAACTAGTCTGTATAGTTGTATCTTTACTACTAGACTCTTGTTATAAGTAACAGGATCTCTCTATTAATAAATGCTCGAAGGATGCATGGTGTCCTATAGTCAAAGGGACTGGACCCACTGGGGCGATGTCAGTAGGAGATGATCAGCCAGGGGCGCTCGGATCACGTGATTGCCATTACGTCAAGATAGGGCCATTAGTGATGACAAGGCGGGTATGTGATGCAAGCCATTTGGAGCAAGACAACTACTAGTAATAGCAGGTCGAAAGTCTAATGGCAGGACTGGAAGCAATAAGTATAAGAACAGGTTGGATTTCATCATTACACTCGTTGTGGTTAAATCTTATAAATTCTTCTCTTACCCAGATCAATACTTAGTTATTCTATTTTATAGAATTGTTTGTCTTTACTATCGGTTAAACATCCATAACTCATTTCCATAAGAGTTACTCGGCAATTCCGCAGACGACTGCTGACAGTCGTCTCTCGCCCTAATCCGGATCGAGGCTTGAGAAGTATAGCATAATCCCCTGTAACATAAGCACCGCTAGCTATCATAGAACAGCACGATTATTGCGATAAGATCGGTGTGTCTTATCAGGAAGCGTTGGAGTCGCCTTTGTACAATAAAATAGGCTAAACTGAAATGACAGCGGCAAGGCGCCTGCAATGGTTGGCCACAATCTCGCAGCCGCATCCCAGCTGAAATTGCAGTGGCTCAGTCCCCAGATACCTCCTGCAATCCTCCTACAATCGTCCATCTTGTAGCAACTTTTGGCCCTGTGTTCTGAGTACAGAACACAATTTTCGTTATCATAGATCTGCTCAGCACCACGGCTTCCGTTGCAGGCATTACTACGGCTGCTCTTTAGAGTGTTCAGTTCCTTACCAAGATAATCGACAATATTATTCAAGCTCACACCACCGTCACAAGATTAGCACTCACTTTCTGGCAATTTAGGCTACTTTGTGAAGTCTTGCTCGCGTATCGCAAGAAACTTTCTTCAACCCAGCACGACAAAAAAATTCAGACCAAAACCGTAACTAAAAAGAAACTCTCCAGCGGGGAATTGAACCCCGGTCTCCCGCGATCTGTCAATTGCTTGACAAGCGGAAATACTGACCACTATACTACTGAAGAAGAGGATCTGGAAACATTGTTGAATGTTTCGATTGATGATGGTACTATTTACTATTTGCAATATATTCTTTATTAAAATTCGCAGACAATGCGAAATCGAGGCGTAGCATGCCACTTTGTGCTCGTTCCAGTACTTAGGGCAGATAAGCGAGGTCGCGCTAATTGGGCGCCAAGCATAATTTGTAGTTCAACATCACGAACAATCACAGCGATCTTTCATTCAGTGGACGGAATTATGAAAAGGAACCGGCAGGATTTTGATTCGCTCTCTATACTACTGCGATTAGTTATGAAGTATTATTCTTATAAGCGGTATATCGCTACCCAAGTCCTAAATCGATCCTTATATTATTCATGTTTGGCGCTCAAGCAGCAGTCAGCGTGCCCTGCCTGGAACCAACTTGTTGGCAAGACATCGGAATAGGACCGTTGCAGCCGACATCGGTCATACCGGTCAAAATAATGCTAATTGCGGTTAGTATGACGATGCTAGAAGAAGAGACTGACGTACTTGTCTGAGACTTTGTGGGTGACAGTGACGGCATAGATGTTGTAACCCGGGCGACTGGTGATTTGGAAAGAATATGTGGGGTCGGCACAAGTGTAAACGTTGGATGGGACTGATGGGTCTGGGAAGCTGTCTGCGTCGCAGCGGACAGAACCGGATGGAGTAGTCAGGCTGAGGCCAACGTGAGTGATGGCATCCCAGTTGTCGTTGTTATTGCTATCTTTACGGACGAACACAGCACCGTCGATGGTGATTTGCTCGTCAGATGCTCTGCTTTCCACTGGGGCTCCTGCAACTACGGCGGCAATGCAAAGGGCAAGACTAGCGAAGACTTGGGAACGCATTTTGGTTTTAATAAAAGATGGGTCGGACTATGTAGAAAGATTGAAGATGGTGAAACAAGTGAAACGAGTGTTGGAACAATACTGACAAAGCAAGTTGCGAACGTGAAGTGTGACCATGTACCCAACAGCAATGCTTAGATTCTTATATCTCTCTCCCAGTACCTTTAAATTGATAATGGCCTGAGACCTATTCTGGCCAGTCTCGGAGCGAGGGTGCGAAATACGAAGGACCTCGTTTTAAATGAGGAATTTCTGGCCCGTGCATCCACTCTACAAAGCTCGCTGGTCGCACATGCGGATAGCAAAACAATCACAGAATATATTGATAGGATCCGCTAGAGGGGGTTGAGCTGTTTAAGTTATCACACTTGAGCCTGCTCTGAAATTTTCTAGCTGAGAGTGATGATCTTGAGATAGAAATGTAGTGTCTCGGTCAAAATTTTGACGCACGGGCTGGGATATTTCTTCATTAAAACTAAAACAAGATCCTTCGTACAGGATCGAGAAATCGCGGTTAAACTGTGATGACAACGGATGACAGACATGGGTACCGTGGCAATCAAGAGGCCGCTTCGTTTTCAGAGTTTATAACGCGTACCTTAGAAGTCAGCCACCTAAGTTAGGACGTGCTGCGGAGACGGGTTGAACGGCTGTTGCTTGACAAAGGGGTATTGAGGCTGTAGGAAAACGTGGCAGTGTAATGTGAAAGAGCGCAGGTGGCCCCAAGTTCTCCTGAGCTAGCAGACTACTGGTTATTACCAGCGTTTCATACCCCCGCTTCCGATCTGAGTTGCATGCGGAAAAGGCTCGGCCAGGACCAGCGCTGTCAATATGCAAGCCAAGCAAACTGAAATGCTTGATCATTACATGTAGGCTTGGTGGGTTAAAACCGATGAGCTGGATTGGCTTAATTGTTAGGCGTGATTGTTACAGCGTTTGAGGGTGACTTCCTCGTTGGGTACAGCCTCTCACGTGATCTGATGCAAAAAAACTCCACGTGATTTGCTGCGATTAATTAGTGACGTGAAATGTCACATGACGTTTTCTACCCCCCTCGTACTCAGGCCACCAATCCCAACAGGCTATCAAGCCAAGCTAGCACTAACACTAAGCAACGGTGATGGAGAAACTTGATGGTGTGAACTTGATTATGAGGGACTGGTTTGCTCGACCTGAATCTATGAAGTGGAAACATTTCGCTATCAATATAGCGTCTCACGATCCAGTTACGAACAACCTCATGTACCCTTGTCAAAGCAGTGACTTGACTAATCCAGCTGATATTATGCTATAATTCAATTAAAATCCAAGTCGGAAGACATGCTGGCGAGATAGATCAGACGTCTTGAAGGTCCGTTGCAGCCCTTCATCACCTAATTTATATTCAGAGCGCTAACCATATCTCTAGACTGGCCGCTTCGAGATGCAGATTCACTGAGGCTTTGTATCGGTCTTTGAGCACAACTACAAGACTTTTGAGAAGTTACAGACACGATTTTATTAAATGACAAAGTTATGCTTGATCACATCTTCATTGCCTAGAGGTAATGCCGGCGATCTTGGATTTGCAGCCATCTCAATTACGGCTGCAGCTGTTAAATAAGTCACTAGGCGTGGTATTTGAATGGCACAACTGAACTGAAGAGCGAAAATAACGCCAAACAGGGTTTCATTATCGAAATCTATATTTCAAAGGTGAGAGCCAATCTTCAGATTGTTGGTTCGTAACAAATCCTTATATTAGGATCTTTCCGGCTTATCCTTTCTCAAATCTTCAAGGCTTTTTAAAACACTCCTGGGCTTACCATTGTAACTCACCTTTTCCATCCACTCTTTAAGGCTGCGGATCCGTGTAGGATGAATTCGATCCAAAAGTTCCATGTCCCTAGTCGCCCCTATGCCCTCACTCCAATACTGCCACCAAGCTGCAAAATTCTGCCTCCACGTCATCGATGATTCGTCGCGGACTACGTCTGGTCCCGCAGCCCAGTTGGCCCAGGCATTCGGATATGGCTCAGCAGCAGGGAGGTAGTCTTCGAGTGGGACGTAAACATGTGCGGCTTTCTTTCCCGTGACTTGTGTAAATGTATCAACAATCTGGGAAAAGCTGACTTGCTCGGTCGCGACTTCCAAATCTAACCCCGCAGACTCTGAAGGGTTGTCAAATATCCACAGACTGTAGATACCCACGTCAACAAGGGCTATCAGTGGAATTTTGCCATCCCCTGTAGAGAAAAATCAGCGATTACTCTAAGCAAGAGTAATGAGAAGCGATGAGGCAAGACCCACGAGCTGGATTCGACCAAATAAACGAGCCATCTGGTTGTTCCTTTGGAACGAACATCCCATCAAACAACATATCCATGTAGGGGCCTGTAGTCAACAAAGACGTTTTCATAGTCTCTTGTCCATGACTGAGAATCAGGTCGCCAACCCGACCTTTTGCATCATTGTGGCCCCAATGATATTTCTCGTCCCAGCCCGCTTTCTTAACCGCATAGTCTGTGTTTGCCCAGACAAAATGCTTCACGCCGTGATGCCTCGCGATCTCGTATGCTCTGATGCCATGAAAGAGCTCGCTTTTTTCGCCGAGGGTGAACCCATCCATGTTCACCCAAGCGCCATATACGCCATTGAAGGCTCGATGGAGGTCTTTCTGCTGGTCCTGACTACCTTCCATAAGAGTAACATTCGGCAAAGCGGAGAGTTCCCTAGCTCGCGTGGAATTGGCACTTCGAGTCAGAACTCTGACACTATATCGATTGCTACTCGAAAGAGCTGATTGTAACGTCAGTAAACGTACCAACACTTGTGAACAAAGACTGGCCCTTGACGACAGGCACCCCTTGTGCGCCTGTCCCACCGATTACCAGAATAAGCTTAGGGTTTGCCATTAGACTGCACGTTGCTTTTTTTAATATGTAGCGCTTTCGAGTCACTCAAATCATTCTCGTTTCTACTCAGGTAGTCCTTGGTTCAAAGATATTTGAGGTAAACCTGATATTAAATACAGAACCTCAACCATTTCGCAAACTCATCCGAACCAACTTCTACGCTAAAGGAAACCAGCGAAAGAAGCTTTCGCTGTGATTTCAAATGCTTCACATTACGGATGTCCGAACTCGGTGCCGAGAGAATTAATGATCTGTCTATCGATTATGGGTGTCCTGGTTGCAAATAAAGAGGGGAAGTGCCAAGCATTCGAGGGAAGAAGATCAATGACCTATCAGAAAAGCAAGGAGAAAAAGGCCGAGTTCCGCGGCTCCGCGGGCTAGTAGTCGGGGCAAAGATCAGTAATCCTAATCGATCAAACCGAGCTGACAAACCCACACTGCTTTCGCATCACCAATCAAATTATTTTCGTTGCTGGCTGGTCCAATTTACTGATTGCGAAACGGACGAAATGATCCTTCATATAGCCATTCGGGAGAGAAACTTGCTATCACGCGTCTTTACTTGCTTACCAAGGTGTTTTGATGAGATGATCTGTCCTCATAGCTATCTTGTACGTTGAGACTTCCTATGATTATACATAAGAGTCCATGAATGGAGCCCTAAGGAGAGACAGTATATCGGATAAAACAATTTTTACCCATAACTTCTATCCATCCTCACAATGTCGAATTCTCTCGTGTTTATCACTGGTGGAACTGGATTCATTGGCGCACATACTGTTGGAGCATTACTTGAAGCTAGGTACCGTGTGCGTCTGAGTATACGAAGGCCAGAACAAGATGCAATTGTCAAGAAGCGGTATCCGAAATTCGCATCAGCTATCGAAACTATATTGATAAAGGATTTCTCCGATCAAGAGTCGTTCGAACATGCTCTAGCTGGAGCTGAACATGTCATCCATCTCGCAACACCTATGCCTGATCGTTCTGGCACAGACGTTCGCAAGGACTTTGCCGAGCCAGCGGTCAATGCAACTCTTGCAATCCTCGAAGCTGCGTTGGATTTTCCGCAGATCAAGAAGGTGATTATCATGTCCTCAGTTGTCGCACTGCTTCCTATATCCGTCTTAACGAGACCTGACTTAGAGTATGAGGTGAAGGGTGAGTTATTCGCTTAACTTACTGGGACACTCGCTGATACGAATAGACAATACTGGCAAGGTCATCTCTGTCGACCTTGATGCTGAGTTCCCTCCAGGCCCTGCGGGGCAGATGGTCAAATACTGTGCGTCTAAGATTGTCGCCCATCAAGCAACGCGTAATTTCGTCAAGGAAAGGAAGCCTGATTATACACTGATCACACTTCATCCAACCTACGTTATGGGTCATGATATCACCCGGGAAACAGCACAAGGCGTGGGCGGGATTAATGCTCTCCTGTGTAAGTCACTTGCCTCAGAGAAGCCGCTGCTCGGCACATCTTGGGTTCATGTCCAGGACGTTGCGGATGCGCACGTCAAGGCCTTACATGTGAATGTCGAACATGGGAAGGAGTTCCTCCTTTCAAGCCCATCATTTCCATGGGAAGACGCGATAGAGTACATCCGGGAGAATTTTCCTGGCTTGGAGGTCAAACTAGTGCCTCCATTTAGAGGCAAATGGAAAGTCGACGTGACTGGTGCCGAAACTGTATGTTATTCCTGGAATGAAATGGGGAATGTAACTAACTGCTTTATGTTTAGGTCCTCGGTCTTATATGGAGGCCCAAAGAATTGATTCTTCACGATGTCATTGGGCAGCAACTTGCCCTTGGAAATAAGTTCCATAGAATGTAATGGTCATTTTCATCTCAATGAAGAGTCATGAAGGGGATTAAAGTTAACTCAAGTTCTTTTTTGAATAAATTCATTATTAGAATTTGTTTCATAACTTCATTTTGAATCCCTTGTCTCTGAACTATACCAAAAAGAACTGATTACGGTTTTCAGGGGTGATATCGGGATCTGCTAATTGGGAAAAATGGTCTGTATTCATGATGTGACTTTTAAGCTTTAATCTTTCTCCCAAACAGCATAAATCCCCCTATTGCAGTAAAGTATTCCATTCCCGAGCCGACGATTTCTTCTTGGCATGAATTCTTTTATCGTCAATGTATGATGTCTGAATAACACAACGTAATAGCAATTCAAGACGAGGATAGAATTGACCTTGTCCTTCAGTCATAAAAAGCCAATCAATTCTAGAACCTACGACATGCTGCTATAGTGTCTACTGTTAAACACTATCGGCTCTCTAATCAGCTAAAACAAAACTGTCTCTTGATCTCAAATTTATTAAACTTCTATAAGCTTACTGCAACCGAAGAGCAAATAATTATCAGGTACATGTTAAGCTTTGATTCGCGAGAATGGTAGCAGATATGACTGTTCAATTGCTGAGCGTTCGTGGTGGCCAGTTGAATAGCAGACACTGGGCTGGGAAATTCGTAACGCACTCAGATAAGCTTAAAGTAGCCTTAGTTGAAACGGAACCGCAGTACCGAAAATTGGCGTTCCATGTATAGGATATCATCCTATAACCAGTCACAGCCATACGAAACAACAAAGTTAGTAGTAAGAAATGAGTTGGTAGCTCGCGATGTACCGAGTCGTTGCTGCTTTGGTAGCCGAGCCAGGGAGTAAGCAATTCATGGATTCACTTCGGGCCTCTAGCATCATACAATCAACTATGGCTGTTACATTTTCTAGCGCTTGGTAGTGATGATAGCATATAACTGAGTTGAGTCTTAGCCGCTGGACCGTTATTATTAGCTACCAGTAAGCGAAGCAGATAGTTTAGCGAGTAGCTATTATTGTATTTAGGAAATATTAGACAAAATGACATCTCCATGTCCATCCTGACTCTGTTATTACGGTAATACATCTATCTCAAATAACAAAGTGACCCGGTCGGTGTTCTGCTGGAAGCCACAGCCATTCTTCATCATGACGGGTTATCCAAGTGTGATCCGCAGCAATATTGATGCTGCAATGGGTGGTTTTTTGTGTTAATGTTCCTTCAGGGTATAGCAAATCAAGAATTCTGGGAAGAAAGAAAAGACTGCAGGTCTTGAGAATCTGTAGACGCGTGCCGCTTTTGGTGTCCCAGATGCTAGTGGTGCTGTCTACTAACGTTGACACCAGCAGCGTCGAGTTGTTGAATAAGAACACCTCACTGATATCCGAATCATCGTGTTCAAGTGTTTGTAGACACGTGCCGCTACTAATGTCCCAGATTTTAACAGTATTATCTTTTGACGTTGACGCCAGCCGCGTTGAGTCGTGTGAAAGAACTAGTTCTTGAATAGAGTCGCGATGCCCTTTAAGTGTTTTTAGGCAGGCATTACTTTTTTTATCCTGAATCTCGATAGTGTTGTTACTAAGTCCACGAGCCGTCCACGTCAAGCTATGAAGAGTGACTAGTGGGTGACTGGCGTATCGTTTTGTGCGACTATCGACGAAGTCAAATCTCACGCATCTACAATGCGTAGTATCTAGTATATGTTGCATCGGGTCCTGCAAGAACGTCATAGAACTCACGTTGTCCTTATGGTCCTCATGTTTCCACAGGCACGCGCTACCACTAGTATCCCAAATCTTTATAGTCTTGTCCCGTGAGGCTGATGCTATTTGCATAGAGTTGTACGAGAAAGCTACTGATTTAATGGCTCTGCTATGGCCTTTATATGTCTGTAGGCATGCACCATTACTAGTATCCCAGATCTTGATAACCCTATCGTCTGATGCTGACGCTGACGCTAGCCGCATTGAGTTATGCGAGAAGGCTACTGATATAGCGTCAGCATTAGGACCGTTAAGCGTATGCAGACACGCACCGCTACTGATATCCCAGATCTTGACAGTGTTACTGCGTAACGCTGATGCTAACCACGCGAAGTTTTGCGAGAAGGCTATCGAGAAAACGTATTTACAGTCGCTATTAAGCGTCTGCAGACATGTACCACTACTAGCGTCCCAGACCTTGATAACACTAGTAGAATTTGACACCAACGCTAGGTGCATCAAGTCGTGTGAGAAGGCTTTGACGATAAAGTCGTTGTTATAGATTTCAGACCTATGCAGGCACACGCAACTGCTAGCGTCCCAGATCTCAATAGTCCCGTCGCGTGACGCTGATGCTAGCTGCATAGAGTCGTGGGAAAAGGCTATCGAACTAACGTTGCCATGGCCTCCAAGCGTATGAAGGCACGCACCGCTACTGGTATCCCAGATCATTATGGTGTTATCCTGTAACACTGATGCCAGCCGCGTCAAGTCATGCGAGAAAGCTACTAAGTCGTTGTAGACCCTGAATGTCTGTAGACACTTACCGCTTCTGACGTCCCAGATCTTAGCTTTCTTATAATTCGACACTGACGCGAGCCGTGTTGAATCGCGCGAGAAGACCAGTGAAAAGATGCTGTTGTCATGACCCTCAAGCGTTTGCAGATATGCACTCCACTCATTATCTACCTAAGGCGGACTCTTTATCCATTGTGTCAGCTGATCCGCAAAGTGCTTCTTCACTATACTGTTCATCGGTGTAAATACAAGAGCGCTGCTATAAACTTGCAACGGAGCTAGCTCAATCGGTAACCGGCTATATAGCGCAAACCGCTTCATGTCGTGGATAAATGCGTAAAGATCAGGGCAGTCGCCATCCTATATGTTTTTAGTAATAGAGTCAGTATGTGATAGAAGATACTTACTAGGGCAATTGACTCAAGGGAACTAATGGCGAAGATGCCTTTAGAGACCTTGCCCATCCAGCTCAGCGCCTCAAGCCAGTGGAGGTAGTGCTATTTAAGAAAGTTATGCACTTTGTCATTGTCACGAAGTTGGATATCGCTTTTAGTAAGGTGATTGGTCTAGTAGAGACATGCATACTGCATCTCAGGAAGAATGCAGTGCTCTAATTGCTTCCGTTCCATCTTAGCCGCACGCGCACCAAAATTGCCTATCCCACAAATGTCTTGCTTGAGCAAGCTCGACAAAAGCTGGATGCATTTGTCTGCTAGTGCTGTATGCGCCTGTCTTTCGTCTACCCAGAGATTGGTATCCCTACATCGGTCTTTGTTGAGAAGGAAATCGCGGAAAGACGGGTGGTGTAGACGGATGTGGTAAGTCGAATGTTGCGGAACATCGAGGATAGAATGCAGTTCATGTAGCGTTCGATAAACTTCCTCTATAGACCTAAGGAGTAGCCGGGATAGCGAAGTTGCAGAAAGCGGCGAGTATAGAAGCACGATTGCTCCTAAAATCTCTTTCATCAACGTATACCACTTCTTTCTTTCGTACTTTGTATATTGACGAACGGGTCGCTTAAGGACTGTAAGATATATACTGTCTAATTGCTTTTCAGGGAGAATCTCACGCTGATTATATGTGCCGGAATCCTCACTGGATGTGCTGTCCTCTGATGAATTGTCTGTAACAGCGCTGTCTTTGAGAACAATGCGTAGTCGGTTTTTAGCAAACTGTCCGCCTTCTTGAATAAAGCGAAAGGCAGTTGCAGCCCAGATAAATAGACCGCATACACTCTGCACTAATTGTTTGATGGTCTCTGCACCTGGCCAACCGTCCTCGTAGTAACAGTCTTTTGCGATAATCCTTAGCCAGTGCTCAAGAAAAATGCCTATGTCATGGTCAACGACCAACGGCGAGAGCCTGTGCAGCACGACGTCCTTGTGCTTCGAGTCTGCCATTTGCCCGAACCCGTGCCGGATTGGTACTTCTGGCCTGCTAGTCAGCAACACGCATAGCCGGACGCCTGTCAATGACGGCTAGCAGCTGCACGATGATTTGGATATTGCTGTCGTTTGTCGCACTCGTCAAGGGCATCAACGACTAGGATGTATGATGTAGCCTCACGTAGCTTGGACAGCGGATAAAGGATAAGGTGGTGCCACTGGTCGCGGAAGGATTGTCTGGCGATACCGCTGCGCTCTGCAATAGCGTCGCGTATATGACATCGAGACGCTGGAACATTGTCCGCCAACTGCACTGCGATACTCGTAACAAACATGCCAGCGTGACTGACGTCACCGCCGCCTCGCGAAAAGAAGAAGCTGGCTGCGAGACGCTGGTTCGTGTAGTAGCTATGCGCGACCGTTCGCGCAACTGTCGACTTGCCTGTGCCTGCTAGGCCGCTGAGCCAGAAGATGCATCGCTCGTCTTGCCCGTCCGCCCAGCTGTGTATCTCTTGTAGCAAGTCGACGCGCGTGTCAGAAAGGCATCCATGTTCGTGCTGCCTGGCGTACGAGTTGAACGGCGCATCTTCGGCGCATGGGAGACGATCGAGTGTGTTCTCATGTCCTGTTTGACGTGTCTGCTTAGCGTTTGACAGCCCTCAGGCAACCCCCGCGGCATTACTTAGTACGTACTACCAATGTGGACATCGCCGTTGATGTTATTAGCTTGGACGCTAGAGACCGCGTCCCCGAACTGGATATTCGACGTTGTGGAGGTCATGGCATCGCCATGGAAAAGCACGCATCATGGGTGGTGTGTGATAAAGTCTGTGGTGAAGGTCTGCGGCGCAGTACCTCCTCGACTTCAGCCTGGCGGCCATGTGGCCTGCAGCCTGCAGCGCCTAGTTGTTTATCCATTTGCTCCACCAGCTTCACCACGGCTCTTCCAACATCAGTTGCATCGCAACTCTCACCTAACAGTACATAGAAGTCCCTACAATATTCATCATTTCTATCGCCAAGTCGCTACTAAAATACAACACCTCGACATCACCCAATATGTATACTGCCGTACATGTCTCTACCCTGTACACCACGTTCATTATTGCCAAACGTCATGTTCGTTATGCTTGCTGGCTTCTGAGGTATAGACGACTCTGCAGAAGGCGCACTGCTGGCAGTTTCTACCGCAGGGATCTTAGACAACAGCCTTTTAGCACACGCTGCCGCTGTAGCTGCCGCATAGTTCTGCCAACCCTTATTCTTATGCGAGTCTGCATAGTCGCAAATACCACGAACAACGACACACGGATACTCTTCCATGACTCCAGCTGCTTCCATCTCAAAGCAAATGACATCGTGCTCTCGTTGAACTCTGTTGCGCTCCACAGCCGATATTTGCAGCTGGTTGCTTGACGCGACATTGCCAAAGTGAACCAACGGCCTATCGACTAGTCGAGTAGCTCCATCGCCTCGATCAGATCGCGATTCAATGCAATCCATATCGCAGCACTCTCTACAGTCGTCGAGTCCCGTGCCCTTGTGCTCGTAAGTGTCTTCGAAGAGCCTATCGCGACCGGGACCTGGGTCGTCGTACTGGCGCTTTTGTTCCTCGGGTAGCTTTAGACGCATTTGCTTCAGAACTTCTGCGATGTTTGTTTTAGACGATCCATCTGCGCGGAAGTTATTGACCGCGGCCATCAGATCACCTGGAACGCCGTTTGTGTGCCCTCGAAATTTCAGCTGCCCTTGACCCTCCCACACGCCCTTGTCGTACTGCAATACCCCACCGAGCTTCCCTCGAGGAGAGCTAACCACCACGTCGCCAAGTACAATCTCTGACGCTGCCCCAGGTGGCCCATAGCGGGGCACCCCGCCAGCAATTCCAACAAGTAGAAAGTACTTGATATTGGGGAACCCAGCACGCATCTTCTCAGCAAGAATTGCCGCACCACTGAGCCCTGTTCTTCGCTGCCCCCCAATAACAACCTTATGTTTGCCAATCTGACCGCCTAAGTAGTATGCATTCTGGTACTGAACCTCCTCTTGTGGATACTCTTCGTCCAGCACTAGCCTTGCAGCCTCTTTTTCTAACGGTAGAGGGCAGATCCATCCTATGGTGAACTGGTAATTCTTGGCCATTGCTATGGGCAGGTTTTTATCGACGACCACTTGGGGTGAAAAGCGATGTACAATGGTGAGCAACAGAAGTAGCGCACGAACTAGAGCAGTAGCAGTCGAAAGCAGTCGAACCGGAATCCAGGCAGCACGCTCGGTTAGGCTTCAGCCTTGTCATCACCGCTCACCGGCTTCTGACGTCAAATCAGAACTTGTACAAGCTGACGGATACTTTGAACAAACAAGGTCAGATTGAGACTGATCATTCGAAACCTATTGCCTTTCTAATCAGTAAAAGAGTGAGAATAAATACTTATACTCCTACAAGACTGGCCAAACCTTACTCCGATATCCTAGCCCTCGTGTACCCTAGACCTTGCAATATCCTCAGCGTTCCCGTATTGATTCGATCACACCACTCCGTGATCTCCATTATTCCTTTCTTACACACCATTCTCAAGCCCAGCAGGTTGATGACGTTCCGAACAAAACAATGGCGCTGCATTCACTCCGATGCGTCCAAGCAGCGCTCTTAGCTGACCTTGTAATCTCAATGGTTATTCGTGCGGAGCAAGACTCCAAACATCTCGCTCTCAACTACACACCAAGTGCTTCTTGTGATCTCCCAGCTCCGCCTCCCATGCGCAAAGATTCAACTCTGAAGCAGTACGGCAAAGGCACGTTCACGCAACCTCTACATCACAAAGCACCTGAGCTAGGCACTTTCAAAGTCAACTACTATTGGAATAGTAGCTTCTGGGCTGGTCCGGGCTTGCCCATAGTTGTCTTCTTACCAGGTGAAGTCAAAGCCGACCGACACTTAGTATTTTCAAGACCAAACTTCTCTTTCGTCAGAGTAATCGCCGAAAACCTGGGGGCCGCTGTAATCGTGCCGGAACATCGCTATTACGGCAGCAGCTCACCATTCTCTGAACCCATGACTAGCAACCTAAGCTACCTAACAGTCGAAAATGCACTACTGGAAATTGTCAATCTCGTGAATCATTTTGACCCACCCTGGACTGACACTCTGAGCACTGCACAAGACGTACCTTGGATTCTTACTGGTGGCAGCTATTCTGGTGCACAAACAGCTTGAATCGCTAATGCTTTCAAAGGAGTCTTTTGGGCTTATGTCGCCTGCTCCCTAATATTACAGAGTATTACCTCGTATTGGCAATATTACCTACCGCAAGTAGAACACGGCCGGCCGATCTGTACATCTCTGATAGACAGAATTATAAGTTACATCGACTCGGTCTTTCAAGCCAATGGTACCCAAGTCCAGACAATCAAGAATCTCTTTGGTCTTCCAACTATGGACGATGAGAGCTTCCTGTACGAGATTACTACGCCTGTCACCTTTTGGTCTCAACAGGACGTAGGAGGTCCTGCTACGCAGTACAACTGGCTCTGTGATCTGATAGAAGGCATCGAAAGTGACAATCATCTTCTGCCGCCAGAACTCATGGCACTTCTAACATCGGGAGGTGCAGAGAAGCGCGGCGAATGGGACTCTCCGCATATACAGATGTTGAGGGCTCTTTACAATTATGCTGAGGGGTACCGTCGAGAAATTGCACCTGCCCTCTGTTTCAACGGCGCCTTCTGTTCTAGTGAACTAGACCCCGAGAACTCCGTGCATTCGGACCTTCGCGTCGACAACGGCGGCAACCGACAATACGCCTGGTTACAGTGCAACGACCTAATCAGCGGTTACATTGTTGGCGCACCCCAAAATGAAACCTCTTTAGTAAGTCGTCTTACAACAGCAGAGTTCTTTCTTGAACAGTGTGCTTTGTTCTTCCGTGATGGTCCGAATGGAGAAACTTTTGGTGCGAAGAAATGCCGGACAGCACATACGCTCAATGAGTACACAGGTGGCTGGTGGCCTACAAATGCAACACGCATTATTTATAGCAGCGACGGCCGTGATGTGTGGCGCGAGATGGGTGTTGCAGCTCAGCGGCGACCCGGCGGACCAATGCAAAGTATACCAGAGCAGGATATAGTCGTCTATGTTATTGAGACTGAATTATACAAAAGCGAGCTAATGACGCACACTGCGGAGATGTACCCAGAAGTGCGTAAAGTTCGAGATCTCGAGGGTGAACAGATATGCAGTTGGGTACAACAATGGCCAGGCTACCCTTGAATGCAAAGGGTCCGAGAGTCATGTCGATGGCAGAAGTAGAATATAGATCACGATTAGAAATTCGTTGGGCTTGGCTCTAAGATGGCAGTAATATCCTGTGACCTATGACCTCTGACCTCCTGACTTATACCAGCTATACGGGACTATCGCTTTGTCGTCTATAAATTACAATAATCACTGAAAGGCGCTATATACTATTCTAGCAAAGTCATTGCCCAAAGTAGATGATCATTCCATCTACCCTAAGGTCAATGTTATCTGCATTAGCTATGAACGCCGCAATAAAAGAGTCTTACTAGCTGCAAAATCATACATACTAAGGTAAGCATTTGCTCTGTGACTTAACGTCCGTCACTTTGCTCACCTACTAGTTTCATGTTGTTCAGAATCAACACATAGGATATTCAATAGTTAGTCTTGTTACCCTATACATGGGCATCACCAGCTAGGGTTCGAAGTGTACTTTTGTTGTAGCCATTTCTCGAAAGGGTTCTCATCCTATATTTTGTAGACATGACAATGATTCTAGCTGCAGTAAGTTAAGAGATGTATTGATTAGATCTACTATCTATAGAAGTGGGATAGTTAAATCTACACGTACCTCATTTATTATGGGATGGCGGGTAGCGGGTAAACCTTAGGTGCTTGCGAGCAATATACTCAAGTTACGTCTTTATTTCGAAATAAAAGCTTTGGCCATCCATGCGTCAAGGAGTTGATCCACCACCGCTTCATGTCTATTATGTGCCGCCCACCATAGCGGCGTCAATCCGTCCTTGTCTTTGGCATTAATGTTGACCTTGTCTGTATCTAGTAGCTGCTTGACGACTGCTTTGTTTCCATTGCATGCTGCCCACGTCAGCGGCGTCAATCCGTCCTTGTCTTTAGCACCGGGATCGACCTTGCCTGTATCTAGCAACTGCTTAACCACCGCTTCATGTGCATCACTATATGCCGCCCACCATAGCGGCGTCAATCCGTCCTTGTCTTTAGCATCAGGGTCGACCCTGCCTGTATCTAGCAACTGTTTGACTACCTCTTTATGTCCATTTCGTGCTGCCCAAGACAACGGTGTTCTTCCACTTTCGTCTTGTAAGTCGGGATCTACAAGCTTACGTTGTAGGATAATTCCAATGGCAATACTCGCTCCATTGCGTGCAAAGTCTACGAAGTAGTTTTCTAAGAGCGGTTTGGAAGCTGAAAGTCTTTCTTCTTGGAGCAAAAGCTCTATGATCCCAGGCATGCCATTCTGAGCTGCTATGCTCAAAGCTGTATCACCTTTCATGTTTTTCGTCTCCACTGATGATGGTGCGCTTGAGAGCAAGATTTTGACAACTTCTTCGTGGCCGTTTTCTGTTGCGATCAAAATAGGGCATTGCCCAAGATCATTCTGTAAGGCCGCCGGTGCACCGTGTTGTAAAAGCATCTCGACCATATCAGTAAGACCTCTCCTAGAAGCTAATGCAAGTGCATCAGTATCATAGTTGCCATTGTTCTCAAATTCTAGATCATCATCATCGGGGTATCTCCGTTCGGGAAAATCAGTTAATTCTAACGACCTAGCAGTGTTAGCCCCAGCGCTGAGTAGCTGAAAGATGATGCCTTCCAGAACAGGGTCACGCTGAAGCAGCATATCTTTTAGTGCGAAGAACACGGCACCATCAAGCTTCAATTTCTTTTCAATCAGTGTTGAGAGAAGTTCCGTGTTTCTGCTGCTGATAGCATGAGCCACTAATGCGGCCTCTCGCCCTAAGTAATTGAGATTGGCGCCTACTCCGATGATTTTCTCAATGACTCCACTCATGTTGTACCCCAGAGCAAAATCAAGTGCTGTTTCATCGTCGCTGTTCTGCGCATTGATGACAGTAGCGCATGCCACTGAAAGGGGAGTGACTCCGCACTCTACGTCGGGATCATGCTGTCCATGTTGGCCTTCGCAGTCGACTATTCGATCTAGCAACGCTGAAGCAATATCTTGGTGGCCCTCTCTGGTGGCGAGCATCAGTGGTGTATTTCCGTCAGCGTCCCTGCTTTCGAACTCCTTGAAACCTGACTCTAGCAGTATATTGACCGCACTCATAGATCCAAAGGCCACCGATACATGCAAAGCCGTCGCCCGAACAAACGGCCACCCGAGAGGCATGTGTACGCTATTCGGGTCAAGGGTTCTCCACAGAGTGGCAAGCTTGCGCGTAATCTCTGAGTCTGGCGTCCATTGCATTACAGAAAGCAAGTCGGATTGAGGTATTCCTTCTTGTTCAACTTTCTTGATGTGCATAAACAAGAACCGTACAGCGTATGGTGCTAATGGGTACTTCGATGATATTGCACCTCTTGGAAGAGTAGCGTCCTCTAGTATATCTTCGAAAATCATGTATCGAAGACAAGACCTCGATATCTGTAGTTGACTTGATCCCATCAAAGACTGGTCTGCAGGTAAATGGTTGCCAAAGATACTGGCAAACTCTTCTATCAGGAAATCGGCCACCGATTGGTGGATAAGTTGAGCCTCACGGTCTGAGTCTGGTCCATTGAGTTCATATTGCTCCCATATTTCGCGGCTTTGGAAGCAGATTAGACCTCTGGATATGTGCTTGACGTATCTTTCGAAGTCAGCCAAAGTATCAGACCAACTTTCGTGGGTTCGAAGCTCGCGAGCAGTTCTATAACTCATGTCCTTATCGGCAGCAAGCGCATCCTGGAGCTCTTGGGCAGATAAAGGTCTTTCGGCGAAGAGTACCCACTGGAAAATCTTTGCCATTTGATGCTGATTCGCTGCTGGAACCCCATTGAGAATTGTTTCGTACATTTTGCTCAGTGTTTTCGGGCAGGTGGCAATTTCTTCGAGGAGCTTCTCTGACTTGGTGCCAGTTAAGTTCTTGTCAACTATTCCTCTGGTCACAAGAAACACCCACTGAAATCCACCATTTGATTTGGATAGGATCTCAGCCTGGATCTGCTCACGCTTTGGTTCTGGCGTGATGTCTTTCAATCGCTCCCGGACATACCATCGTATATCCTGACCGTTCATCTTCTCCACTTTTACCGAGGATATGGTATCAAGCGCGAGGATCGGGTAGTGTCTTGAGGACAGACATACTCTGAATCGCGCATGCTTACTTTTTGCCTGGTAAGTAAGGTCTCTGAAATATACTAATAAGCTCTTTGCGGAGTCTTCCCCGCATTCGTCAAGTGCATCGATAAAGATTGCAACACACTGACGGTGAGTAGCCTCTAATAGTATATTGGAGAAGGCTTCCTTAAGTTCGTTCTCGGTCCATTCCCATGCGTCTCTGCCGTAACGTTTCTCTTTCTCTGTACACTTAGCAGCTAGGTGAGCAAGATTCTCTGGAAAGTGTTCGAGCATTGAGCTTAACAGCGCGCGGAATAATCCTGATAATGTCTTCTGCAAGGGCTTCCCTTGGCCATGGAAGAAGAAAGAAACAACAAGGCTGTCCGGACTGCGCTCACGCATTCGCTTAACGCAATGTTTCATAAGCACGGACTTGCCCGCGCCAGGGTCTCCCTTGATCCAAAAGAGTCCCGAATGTCCTTTCATCCAGGCTTGGTACCCTTCATGTTCAAAAAGCCATTCGCAGGTATCCACGGCGGTATGGATGTCGTGGAACCGATGTTCTTGCTCAGGAAAAGAGAGTGATCTAAGGCAATCTGAACCAAGTCAGTAGTCCATTAAATGTCTGATCAAGGTTTGCCTACTCTGTTGCTGAGATGAGAGTTGCTCCGACGCTGTGATATCGTGAGTTTGTTCATGCGTCCCACTCATCATCTGCTTCATTTGTGAAATACTTGCTAGAATGGATTTCTGTCGGCTTTGGTTGTTAGCAGAGTAGTACAATTAGAAGTAAAAAGATAGCAAGGTTTACTCACTCTACGGTGTCAGTCTCCAAGTCTTCTGCCCCCTCGACCTTCCTACCTTTGGCAATAGGACTAGGAGAGCGTTCAGAGTTGTGTTCTTTAAGCGCATAGATATTAGCACTAGTCAGCTACGTATCAAATAGATCAAGAACAAAATGCTACTGACTGTGTATGAATTGTGTAGCCTCTCCCGCTGTGTGTAACTCAGCCACCTCTGCCGGCGGTATTACCAACAGCACTTCCTTAGCGTATGCCGCTGCCGTCGCCGCTGCATACGGCTGCCACCGCTTATTCTTGTGCGAGTCCGCGTAGTCGCAGATACCGCGGACGACTAGACACGGGAAGCTATTCATCAGCCCTGCCGCCTCCATCTCAAAGCATAGCACCCCACCAAGCTCCTTGCTAACCTTGTCTCTCTCTATAGCGCTCCGCATCACCTGGTTGCCAGACGCGATAGTCCCATAGTGTACCACGATTTCGTTCGTACTCTCGCGAGTATGTCGAGTGATTTGTCTACTAAGGTCGCACCCGTCGCACGTCTGCCCTGCTCTATAGTCGTCTGCTTCATGATCGTACGCTGCTTCGAATAGCACGTCGGGCCCGGCCTTGCTGCGCTGAAACCGAGCGATTCTCTCTAGTTTAGCAACATACTCAGACAGCTTACTTTTGCCCCGCAGCTCGTTCGACTGTACTTGCGCAATAGCCGCTAACAGTATCTTTGGCGGCGCGTTTAGCGACCCTGTACGCTCAAAGCCGCTTGGTGTCTTTTTGCCCATGCCGTATTGCACCACTCCAGCAAACGTCCGATGAGGCTGGCTAGCCACTACATCCCCTAGCCGGACATCTTCTGCACTCGGGACGCCGCCGCCAATGCCCACCATCAGCCCAAACCGGATCTTCTTGAACGTCGCTCGCATCTGCATTGCCACCGCAGCCGCTAGGTTAGTGCCAATCTGACCGGCGGGCAGACATGCAATGACAACATTGTGGCCACCAATCGAGCCCAACGCATACAGGTTCTCGTCATTATCAGACACATCAGGCTTAAGGTCGGGGTGCTCTTCGTCGAGCATCTCCTGCGCAGCCGCCAGTTCAATGGGCAGGGCGCACACCCATCCTACTGTATAGTCTTCGCGACACAGCTGGCGCGGCATATGCAGGTATCAGAGGGAAGAAAAAAAAGAGGATTTGTAAACGAGGAATAGGAGAGGAGGTGTCAAGGTGTAACATGGCGTTAGGCAACCTAACAGTCACGCTTGTTGCCGCTCAGCCTAGTTCTACTCAGCCTCGTTGCTTGCCCTATAGCCGCCTGCCTGTTGCCAGCTGCCACGCCATGCACGCCATGCACGCCATGCGAGGGGTTAATTCTCCAGCTCGGCGCACGGTCACAAGCGCCGGTTCAAGGTCCCAGCTGTCAGTCAGATCCCCTGATAGCCTGACTGATACAGCGGGCGCCAGCGGGCACCAGCGGGCCGTCAATTGGTCTCACGCACTACTACTATGCAGGCTAACGGGCTAGGTCAGCACGTCTGGAAAATTAATCAGCACCTGCAAATTGGGAATAAGACATGCTCTAGATAAACAGACACTGCGTTTTTACAGAAAAGATTCTTAGTTTCTAAGCTATCTGAATACAAAGGATTACGGTGTTATAATGGATAAACTACATAATTGAACGTTGTTATAGCATTAATTCTCCATCACGCCCTGAAGATCTGAGCACCTTCCTTCGCGACCAAGCTGTTCTTTATTCAAGAACTTTTAATTTAATAATTCAATATTGCTTGATGAGTAAGCGTTGGTTGATGAAGGTTATACATTTTAAGAAATACATGAACATATTTCTTTGGCCAATGCGACCTCGGAAACAAACGCGAATTTGAATTCTCGTCAGGGTCTCACGGAATTTGGGATGACAGGTAGGGGGTCATCTGCTATCGGCAAAGTGCTATCAGCCAATCACATCTTTTGCGCTAGAGTCAAGGCCGTTATGCACTGCGAACGCGCTTCTATGTTGTCTATTATTATGCACTGAATCGCTTGCTATGCTACAATGCCATGCCATGCCTAGGGACAACTATGCAGTACCTGCCCTTTATCTTCATAATGATCATGAATGAAGCAAGGCAATCACTAGCACCAGGAGTCACTTCTAAGTACCTTCAATGATTGTGCTTACAGCCAACTTTGATACACAAGAGACGGGGTCTAGGCATACGATTAGTTTTCAATATCATTGAGATAAACAATTGACAGGAGAGTAAGAGGGCGCATGCAGTTGCGCGATTAGAATTTCGAACGTCCTTTCTGTTGCTGATCAATTTATCGCATAGAATGGCGGAGTGTGATACATGGTTATATGCAATACCTGCTAAAGCATCTTTCCACAGCGACTTACTCAACCGTGCCAGTTCAGCTCCTTAAACAGTTCGGACAGATTACGGTGTACTCGAAAGTCATTGGTGTGCAACATATGACCTGGAACGTAGACCTTGGCATGAGGTATCGGCAATTTATCTGATATCTTCCAATTGACATCGATACTCAAGCTGATCGAATCGAGGTATACAGGACGAGCGTAGTTAGCGTTATTTTCCAATGCGGGGCCATCGAGAAGAAGGTACCACACCCCCCTGTAAGTGGCGCAGGCCCTCTACCGTCACTTCTTCCATCAGTCGACTACCCAGGGTGACGGCGGCACGAACAGACGCGAAAGAGGTTTTTGTGGTTCGAGGGTAAAACTTCACCCGGTCTAAGCACTAATTGATTGTGGTTGGCAAGATAATTCCAACCGGCTCCATGACTAAAAGCTTGAGGATAGGACAAAGAAAGCATTTCAGCAATCTATCCGATACGATAAAGCTGATGCCTGTAAACATAGTAGGAAGCCAGATTTCCAGACGACTCTGGCTTTTGGCTGTGTTAATCTCATCTTGATCTTTGAGACGAACGACCTAGTTGGGGTACTGATACCAGCATATGTCCGCCGAAGATACTTGAGCGGCCAAACAAGAGAAGCTGCGGGGTTTCCATTACTCAGGAAAGGGATCCTGTTCCGTGTCCGTTCCGGAGTCAAAAAACTCGATGTAGAAGCGAGCTGTTAACGATTCGCTTTCCGAGAGATTGAAGGGGAGTTCAATGTAGTAACCGTTAGGAGCCATCACCGACTTGACGTACGGGTGAAGGTACACAGGACCCAGCGCTGTTATAGTCTCGGAGAGACGCGACACATGATTCCTTCGTTATTCGACCGTGTACGAGCCAGTTCCTACTGTATATCCATCAAATCGCGGCACTAAATCTCTTGCCCAATACTTGACATGTTTAGGGTTAGTGTCTGGGTATGTATTAAAATCGCCATGTGTATTGCTTAAAATCAAAATACAGCTAGCAGTGGCGTCTAGCTCTCTAGAAGTGACAAAGATCCGGTATCCAAATAACACGGGTAGCCTGGCTGCCGATTATAGAGGAGGTATGGGTAGACGAAGTTAGTGTAGGCAAGGCGGAGGCTGGCGGAATAGACAATGTACGGCATGTCGGTGACATAAATCTCCAGTAGTTGCTGCTTTCGTTGTTACCAGCAATAATTATGCAGATCTGCACAGATGGTATTCGTCTCCTCATCAAAAACTTGAACATTTGAAGCCTACCATCGAGGACATAGAAATATTTTTGTACCATCTGCACAAAATGTTTTTACAACACCAAGCTGAGAGCGATTGGGGTCTTTTTTGAACGAAATCTTTTAGCTACTTCGTTACAAACTGCGCCATCAGCATTGTTGTTAACAGCTCTTGAGAATTCTGGTTTAGATTTCTTCCGTTCACCATCAACCACACCAGTACTTGATGAATTGTCTACCGTAAGTACCTACAACAGGATTAGCTGGTTATTGCTTACATATCAATATCAATAGCCCGGGCGTCAACTTGACAATCGCGATGATACTTGGTGCTGGCGATTTAATCAACAGCTACTGATACGCATTGTGATTGTCTGCGGAGAATGACCATGACTATTTCGCTGTTACTGTTCTTTCTGAAATTATCACTGCAGGAGAAGGCACCAATTCCTGTTTATCTCTTCTGGATATCGATACAGGAGAATACTACAAGAGAACTGATTTTACTTTGGGGACACTCTCAAATACGACATATGACATCAGCAACAAGGTCGCGCACCAATGTTCTACTAAACCAGACCTGATTTCTATGCAGCGAGCAGAGACCTTCCATCCCCGTATGACAATGAATCTCACCTTCGAGCCGCGGGGTTCAGGAATTCACTGGTTTGGGGGTGGAATTACCCATCAAATGAGATATCCTCAACCATGGGTTAAAAGCAGCATTAAGGTAAATGGCACTGATGTTACGGTGATTCCTAAGAAATCAGTGGGTTGGTTCGATCGACAATGGGGGCTTGGTGCTCCCATAAAAGGATGGGACTTCTATACCCTCTACTTGTCGAATGGATGGTCGATGAGTGTTTGGCATGCATCCTAAAACAGCCTTCCGTTGAAACTATCACGTTTTGGAACCGTGCTATTCCCTGATAGACGTACCGAGGTTCATACACTAGAGAACGACATTCATCCCACCGGGCCATGAATATTACGGATCACCAATCTCACATACCATTCTGGATGTATCTTGAACTCACCAACTTTGATTCTATGCTTGGAGGTCATAGCCAAATATTCAGGTACAGGGGAACTGACTAATTTGGACACTCCTGGTCTTGGAACAACGATCCTCGAAGCCTACGTTGAAGTTTCAGGAACTCGTAATGGCGAACCAGTTACAGGATTTAAAGTGTCAGAACAATAGAATAGTCTTTAAAGCTATTCTGTAGTGTAGGTTGAGATGTGGGCACAGCTTAACTGGAACCTTTTGGTACAGAGGACAGAAGGGTGTAGAAGAAATGCTACATGATGTAGTAACGTATGGGATTATCGAGACATGGACTTTGCTAATCATCTACCGCTTTTGTTCTTCTATCAATCCATTAGTTGATGTTGAATAGCTGTAATAGCATTGCGAAGTCAAACTTAGAGCGCATAGCACTTAGGAGTGTGTATCTATCTAGCCAGAGGACGAGTCCGGCTGCTCTGCAGTAGAAAGTTGCCACCTAGTAGAACATGTCATATTAATTAGGGGAGCTAGAAGGCCCACATTCTGCCATGTGCTGATGAAAGCAGTTATTGTAATCCTAGATACTCAACCGAGCTTGTGAATAACGAGTTTTTGTTACCTCTATAGTCAACGTTTCTATTGGCATTTTTTATTCTGTTGCACTAGCGTACTACTACACTATTTTTGGCATCTTCTAGTCCGCGTCGGTAGATCCAACGGTCCGTTCCGTAAAACGGATTCTTATCCGATTATCTGGTGAGCGCACTACGCGGCTGATGTCGTATACTTCTTCTTCTTCTTCTTCTTGACAATGTCAAATCGGCGTGTCGTCAGACTAGCATGAGGCGCATCTCCAACATGGCGACGTCTTGCGCGGTGCAATTCCGTGGCCCACTCCCTAAAGAGAGGATAAATTATATTCCGCATCATACGTAAATCTCTTCTGGCAAGATGACCACTAGCTTCGTTCATGACCTCGGTGTCTTCAAGGAACCGGATAAGACGGAAGCTTTCCGCACTGGGATCCCAATGCTACACGCTATGATTGTTAGCTTGGAGCATTAAGAAAGAAAAGAATGGAAAGCCTGATGAAGGAAGTGGTGCCGGATAGGGAAGCGCTGCTTGTCGAGTGCGTTTCGACCGAATTCTTTCGTTCTAGACTAGTCCGGGGTGAGCCTAGCTCCTAGGCTTACCATGTATATCCATACGCGGCTCTGTTCTAGATAGAGCTGTGATCCAATACAAAGATCACCTGACCTGCTATGAATAGAAGCTATTTTCCTCCACAAGTGGCTTCGAAGATAGCACGAGAACCCTACCTATATGGCCAAGAAATCCGACTTGTGTGACTCAATATGTTGTTTCTTGTGCTTTGTAATAGCCTATATCCGCACGCTTGCTAGTGGCGGATAACTAAAAGTAAGTATGTGCGTATAATGGTGACTAGCTGACGAGATGGACAACGTACTACATTCCAGTCGTAGTCACTTTAGTTTCGGGCTCGCGACATTGTAATGCCCGAAGGGCGCTATAGGTCACAGGAGCCAATACCCGTGGAGCGGTGTGCTCACCGACTCGGCCGAGGCATTGTAGTGGTTGCAAGGTTGTGTACTTACTAGGCGATAGTATACGACCACCTTATCTTTGATTTCACACATGATGCGAATAACACGGCTTTCATTCAACAATTACAAATTTACAGAGAGGTGGCGTCCTAGTTATACTGTCACACAGAGGATAGAAATGGAGCTTGGCTTTGAGCCGTGGGAGTAGTTATGCGATCATGGGTGAAAATGCGGCTGAGTTACGTGTGGGGGAAAAGAGGGGTTATTTCGGTTAAACAATACGGGATATGTCATCTTCCACCAAATATCTACGAAATAATACTCTACGGGATTTGCGAGTCGCGAGTTTAAGCAGATGCAAGAGACTTTATCTGGTGCGACGTGCTCCAATAGTACGTGAACGCGCCCTACGAATATGCAATGCAAGTGTATAGTACTTGCTTGGGGCCTCCATAAAAAACACGCCTTACGCCCTGAAGCACCCATGTTCGGAGTTAAGCACCCAATCTCTCCGTGACAAGCCACCGACGGTGCGGGCATAGAGGTGGTTGCACACCCTGGCCCGTACTTGGCTGCTAGTAATCTAGCCGTATTCCGTCTTGTGCCTCTTAAGCAATCATGCTGCTGTTTGTACACCTACGTTTGTGTTCCAGCTATTTGATTTGCATATTCCTGGGCGCGGATACAAACAGTTGAGAGGAATGCACATCTCAGTGCCATCGGTTTAACTACTAGTTACCTCTGGGTGTTCTTTATCAGCCTCTTTACTTTTCGAAACGACAAGCGGCGCAACACCGTCTGAGCATCGAATGATAGCAACTTGACTCAAACGCAAGACCTCTTTTATTCTCCACACATCGACACCATGTCCGAACGAAGGCCATCAGAACTCTATCGACACCCCACAAGAAGCGAGATCATTGACCAAGCAGTAGCCGAAGGCCACGATGCAGATATCCCAACCAAACTTGGCTCAATACACCAAGTACCAAGTCACGCTTCCGGAAAGGCACCCTGGAAACACCAGAATAAAGATGAACACGAAATGGGAGAGAAAGATGTCGAAAAGGGCAACACCAATTCAATATCCAGTGGCGACGACAACGACACAGAGGCAGGCGATGACCACGACCCCAACATCATTGACTTCGACGGACCGGACGACCCTGAGAACCCGATGAACTGGACAGCCTTCAAGAAATGGGGCACAGTATCTCTCGTCTCTGTAATCACCTTCCTCACACCACTCGCGAGCTCGCAGTTTGCACCCGGCGTACCTGACGTCATGCGCGACTTTCACTCGACGAGCAGCCTACTCGCAAGCTTCATGGTGTCGGTGTACGTGCTTGGCTACGCATGTGGGCCGATGGTCATCGCGCCACTATCTGAAATGTATGGGCGATTGCCGCTATATCACAGTTGCAATTTCTTGTTTATTATATTTACGGTTGCGGCGGCTGTAGCGACGAATATGACGCAGTTTATTGTGTTTCGGTTTTTCATGGGGTGTTTCGGGGGGGCACCCATGGTGCTTGGGGGTGGCACGATTGCGGATTTGATGTCGAGAGAGCAGAGGGGGACAGCGATGTCGGTGTGGATTATGGGGCCTAGTAAGTTGATATAATCATTTCCAAATGGAAGTGTGGCTAATGCGTTTGATGTAGCCATTGGACCTTGCGTCGGTCCTGTGATCGGTGGCTTCCTTACAGTTGCAAAAGGGTGGAGATGGAACTTCTGGTTTGTGGCTATACTGGTAAGCTTCGCATCACAATATGTAGGAGGCTGGCTAACTTGACCTTCAGGGTGGTGCATTCTTCATTATGTCACTTATCCTCATGTCAGAAACGTCCGCCGTCATCATCCTCCAACGCAAAGTCAACCGCCTCAAAGCCTCGACCGGCAACTCCAAACTGCGCTCCAAACTCGACACAGGGCTTACTACCCGCCAACTCTTCAAATTCTCGATTGTTCGTCCCACTAAAATGCTGTTTCTTTCGACGATTTGCTTTTCCATCTCCCTTTACATCGCCATCACATACTCCTACCTCTACATCCTCTTCACCACCTTCTCAGTTGTCTTCAAGGAGCAATATGGATGGAAGGGTGGGATAAGCGGTCTCTCGTTCCTAGGTCTCGGTATCGGCTCACTCATTGGACAATTAGTTTATGTCCGTTATGGCAACAAGATCGTCGACAAGCACATCAAACGCGGCGACTTTTGCCCTGAGCACCGTCTGTACATGATGTGTATTGGCGGCATATTTATTCCCTGTGGCCTCTTCATCTACGGCTGGAGCGTCCAGTATAAGACCCACTTTATGGTCCCCGAAGTTGCAACGGGCTTTATTGGATTTGGCCTGTTGATGTCGTTCATGCCCGCGACCACGTACCTGGTTGATGTGTTCACGGTACATGCTGCGAGTGCCATGGCAGCAAGTACCGTGCTGAGGAGTGTGGCTGCAGCGTTCATTCCGCTGAGCAGTCAGACCATGTACAAGAAGATGGGGTATGGATGGGGAAATAGCATGTTGGGGTTTATATCGCTGCTAATGGTGCCGATGCCGTTTTTGTTCATCAAGTTTGGGGAGAGGATCCGGGCGAGAAGTACAGTCAAATTGTGAGGTGAGGAGGGTAGAATTACATTTCTTCGCGTTTGAAAGACCGCTGGGACCGGTCGTAATATGCACCTATAGCTGTAATGATGATGATTGGTACACATGTATAGACAGCATAGAAGGCTATAGTTAGTAACGTCTACATACTTTAGTATACTATATACGAAGCTATTACTCGCATCATAATCGTAGAGCAGGTGCGCCATCTCAAGCGAAGCAAAAAAGAAAGTAAGCACCCAGCCAAAGCGGCATGAACCGGACTGCATTAACGCGCAAAAGGCAGTGCTCTACGCAGGTGGTTCATCTCATAAAAGATAAGACAAAAATGCAAAAAGAAAAAAGAACGATGCGGAGGAGATTCGAACTCCTGCGGCCGAAGCCATATGATATCTAGTGAATTCGAGTCATACCCATTAACCACTCTGGCACCGCACCTGAATGCTGTGGTGATTGATGGAAATTTTGGTTTTTACATAAAATATATTGTGCCATAGATTTTTGCGGTTAAGCGAGATGTGGGTGACGTGGGGTAAGACAACTCCGTTTCCTTCTTCACTATAGGTTGTGGAATATTATGTACTAACATGGAATCGCGATTTTGCATGCGAACATAGTGCAATATCTTAATCGGCCATGAGTATTCTGAAATCAATGCTGTGGTTGGTGAAACACGGAACATTTATGATTGTTTTCATGTGGAGTGTACATATGTTCCTTGAATAATGAACATTCTAGAATCTATTCTACAAAAACATACCCCAACCGCAATCAAGTCCCTTTCTTACTCTGAAACTCCCGTTCATAACAAAAAAAATTCACTGCCAAAATTTTGCAACATCCTCGATCCTCAGACACTCCGCTCCTTCATGCACTCTCCTCGCAGGAATAGCATCCTGCCTCGCCGGCTCGGAAGCTTGTATGCCCCAGCGCGCAAGCTCTTCTGAACTCTCTGCCCATTCCTCTTCGCTGCAGGATTGAGTTTGCGAAACAGCTGGTTCTTGGACTTGTTGCTGTTGTTGCAATTCTTGTGTTTCGCAATGCTCGGTGTACGCATAGAGCGTGTGCCGTTGAGCGCGGCAGTGGCCGATGATGTGGTCGTGTTGGTTTGTTACAGCTGCGGTGATTGTTGTAGCTGACATTTTTGTCTTTGTAGTTGCTGGTATCTCTAGTTGTGGTTGAGATGCAAGCCTCGATGTGTGTATATGTAATGTAGATATGATTACTGATGCTTTGTTGTGATGGTAGGAACGAAAGTGGCAGGTACTCAAATCTTTTTATATGAATGATTAGCGGACGAAGTCATGCGATCACGGAGCGTGGACAGGGACTTGTACGAGGACAAGGTGACGGTGCAGAGGACGCGACAACGTGTGGCGTTATTGCATTGCATTGGGTAAGCTAGTTTGGTGATGGTGGTGAGATTGGAAAGTGGCGCCACCTTTGCCGCGTGAGCGAGGAATAACGCTGCCAACGCAGCCAAAGACGGAATGCTACGGAACTATGGAAGTTAAAAAATATTGGAATCATGATATACAACGCAAGACAATGGGTATCCTAAGCTCAAGCAAACTCAACTGAAATGCGGAAAAAAAAGTTCAAGGAAATCGGTAAAAGAAATAACGGTTTCAGCAGTCACCGGCACGCGAAGATTCTGATACTGGCGGCGAGGGAGGGTGCGAGGTATCCAGATATGACCTCTTCGCATGCGGCAGTTCATCCATTTCCACTTCTGTGCGTGCGCGCTTGTGTAACGCATTGGCTGATTCGATGTTTATGTGCGGTAGTGTGGATTGGTTGACCTGGCGCTGTGACTGTCTTGCTTCCTTTTTCTTAACCACAGCCTTCTTCCACTGTGCTACGACGCGCACAACGGAAGCAACACGCTCGAAATGCGACATGGGAGGTGCAGACTCCATGTCCACCCACTCAATCTTCCTTAAACCCATTAATGCCTTGTTGGCAAAGGACTTGGAGAGAGCTTTGGTCATAAACTCAATTTGCTGCTGGTTTAGAACTGGATCTCGGAGACCAAAACGCAAGGTCAAGTAACCTCTTGGCCTGGTCCGCCAACTAGGCAAGTGCAAGGCATGAGCTTTCGCGAGTTTCAGAGGCGCCAGAAAAATATGTTGTTCGCTGTAGTGAACGCTCTTACCACGAGACCATATCTGGGACGGAGTATCCTTGCGGCGGGGGTCCATGTTGATACGCTGATACAGACGAAATGTAGATATCGGACCCTCGCCGTCCTTGTCCAGGAGTTCTTTGAGAGCATCAATGAGCGCGCGGGTGTACGAGTTCTTGCCAGGAGCTTCAGTCGTCTGATCGATTGCACATGCGCTGAGGAGCTCGAATCGCTTGTGGCCATCCTTGGAAGACTTGACAAAATTGCTCGAGTAGCAGGTATCCAGAATGGTCAGGACATCTCCCTCGACATCCTCATGCCTGAGAAGGTCTTCTGCCTTGTTCCAAGTTGCGCGGGCGGCCGTGCGGAATCCTCTATCCTGGAGCAGAGCATTATTCCGGAGACTGCCCGTGAGTTCGAGGCAGTGTTTCTGGTCGTTGAAGACGCCATGACCGGTGTAGTATACAATCAAGAGGTTGTCTGGCCCGTCGTTATTGCAGATGAAATCGCTAACGTAGCTGTCTAGCTGGTGCTGTGGCTTCTTGACGACATTGAGTTCGACGATGCTGGTGGCGTAGTTGAATCGCTCACGGAAGAGAGAGCCGAGTTCCCTTGCCTAGTAAAGTCAGAGGGTGACGTACGCCAACACGTGTTTCACACCAACTCACCTCTTCACCTGTCTTGAGCTCGTCGAGGTCATCCGCCCACTTGATGATCAACACTGCGACATGCGAGTACCCCTCCGGCAAGTCCATATTCCGCGCGATAGCCTCAGCCCACCAGTTCTGCATCTCTGCGGCTCTTTCTTGGTATTCGGCATCTGCCACGCTTGAGATGCTTTCGGGCATGCGCCCATCGCCCTGCTGAACCAGTCCATCTTGGGATGGCTCTTCGTCAATCGATTGTATCCGTATGTCGGCATGGATGACTTTGTTTGGATATGGGTTCACGACTCGAGGAGCCGCCTCGGCTACGATTGTTTGCACGACGTGCGCGCCAGTGTCTGAGGAGAGAGCCATGAATCAAGAGGACAGCGGGGTTGCTGCAGAGAGTGAGGTTTGCAGCAACCAGCCATAATTAAGAAAGCGTTCGCAGTGGTTTTCAGCCCCCATATTGGCGGGATATGCACGACACGCGCGAGCGGGGAGATGTGGTGGATGCGAGGGCCAGCCTGCCAATCAACGCCCGGCCAATTTCCGCTTGGGGGCCGCACACGGAGCCTCGATTGTCTATTTTCGACCATCGTCTTACCGGAATCATCGGTGCCGTGTGCGAACGCTGCTCATGGCAAACCGCACATAGGAATGTTGGCTTACTCAATCGTGGTGCGCCTCCAGCGCGAGCTGATAAACGGTGTTGCTCGGACAAGGCACAAACGATGCCGAAGCGGCGGCTGTGCAAGCACACATTTGGGCCCCCATCTGTAATCATACCAGTCACAAACCTGTGCTGCCTGGGGCTGCATCAATCATCCCTCTGAGAGGCCAGCAATAAGGACTTGTATATTAACACCCGATTCTTCTTCTCCTCCTCAAGGGCATAACCCACAAGGCTATTCTGCCTCACTTCTCGCATCTCTCCAAGCCATGGCAACCACCACACTCGGCACGCAGCACATGCAGCCTGCTGAAGACATTCACGCAGCTGACAACCAGCCACACGAGCATGTTCTAGCCTCACAGCCGGAATATGAAATTCCAGACACCAAATCCGGGGTGCGCGTGGATCCCGACGCCGCAATGGTAAGCTCGGGGTTCTTCATTACACATGCGATGTCGTCTCACAATGCCTTAGGCAAGCGCGCGCTTCAAAAAGGGTGATGTCGTCCACAAGCCAGTCTTCGTCAATGGCCTGCGCAGCAAGGGCGTCTTCACAATCTACGACCGCAGGCCCAATCCCGCGGGCTATGTCGAGTACAAGCTCAAGAATGTCTACGACATGAGGGTCGAATCTGGGTGGACTCGCGAGAAGGAACTGAAGCCTGGTAACTAAGCGTTGTCACCTCACCTTGCCATGTGGCTCAGCTCACCGGTAGCTGCCAGGCAGCTGAAATCAAGGCGGGTGCAACCAATCGCGCATGAGGCGTTAGGGGCGTTGGGGGGCTGAGCTTTATTGAGGGGACAACAATCCCCGTCCAAAGTCATGTCTGATGGCTATGCAATTCCTATTCCGCCACATTTTCACGAGCCACATTTGTTCTTAATGTCTGTCTGACCATTTCTTGAACTTGCGCAAAGCTTTTCATCTTCTCTCCTATTACATCCTCGTTTACGTGAAGAGCTGCGCTCCCTTTCAGGCCCACAATGACCCCTCCTCGAACCATGACGGGAGACACCTACATCGAAAAGGCCCCTGAATCCCCAGCATCCCAAGCCAACACAGATGCAACTCTAGCTGAGGGCTTTGTTGAAACCGCCGACGACACCCACTCCACGATCCATCCGTCCGTGCGGACAGATTCGATTGATATCGAGAGTGCACAGCCTCGTAGGTGTTCCCACCCGCCCATTTGGCCCCCAAAGTCTGCCTGCCGGTCTTGGCTCAACGCCCCGTCTCGTCATGCAGCTATCGCATGTGAAAAACGCCCTGCCGTCAGCACCTATGTGCACAATGGCTCGGAGATTCTGGACCAACTACATCAAGACGCAACACGCGCTTCATAGAAACCAAACAAACTAATATTCGGATAGAAGGGAAGGAAAAGCGCCCCAAATTGCTCCAACGGATAACGGTACCTTTTCGTTCGGCACCTGAACCGGAATATGTGACTGAAAATAGAACGCGCAAGTGTATGCAATCTCCTCTCCTTAGATCGCTCGATTCTCACAATTGGCAGTGGAGGAAACACCCAATGGATTTCCTAGACTTGCTGCATTCCAAGCAAGCGAACCAAATTTCTCCCTATACCGTTCTTTCAGCTACTTACACTCACGCGTTCTGCTTGACCTGCAAGATCAAATCACTTGTCTAGAGAAAGAGCTAGACGAAATTGATTGGGAAGACCATGACGAGGATGCCGACCGTTTGAAGTCAAGAGACTATGATACTCAACAACCTGATGGAGAAGGGGAGCCACGTACCCGCCGAGTTATACTTCGTGAGATCCAGTCGAAGTTACTAGAATATGGTGAGTATCAAACGATGCAAATCTATAATTGGATTTCGACGCTAACAATCATCTTCAGACGAGGTCCTCATCAAGGCAAGGACACTAGAGTCGTTCCAAAGACCTTCAGACCGCAACTACCGCAGCGTCCGGCGCTATTGCCACAACCAAAAACCGCTAATGGACGCTGAAATGGACTCTATCCGCACCAAGGAAGACATCGTCTCTCTGCACAACGGCCGCGAATGGGCTACTTTCGACGGCGGCGTAGAGACAGTGATTGGCCAAATCGACCGCCTTCTGCAAAAGGTCTTCCGAACCGAGTCCTTGCCACTCCAGGTAATTATTTCGCCTTTTGCGGCAAAACCGTCATACGATGCTGACTGTTGCTTAGAAATACTTCCGCACACCAGAGGCCCAAGAAAAGACAACAAACCCCTACGTCTCCTTCTACAGCAGCTCCCGCATCGACAAACTCGTCAACGTTCTCATTACCGTGGTCATCTTCTGTCTCCTGGTCGTCCCCGTCGTCACTATGTACCAGCTCACAAGTACTGCCACACATGCAGAGCCAAGCCCTACTGACAAGAACGCTACTGCTGCTGTGGATATAAATAAGAGGGATACTTTCAATGCCGTTGGTGTTTTAATGGTTTTTACACTGCTGTTTAGTGCTGCGATGAGTTTGCTCACGAAAGCGGCGAGACACGAGCTGTTCGCGGCGTCTGCAGCTTATTGCGCCATCTTGGTTGTATTCATAGGGAATTTTACGGGACCGGGGAATTGATAGGCGTTTAATGTTAATGATTAATGATAATGAGTTATGATTGATGATGGGTATTGGTGTTCGGTGAATGCCAGCTTGGTAGTAGGGAAGTAAGCCAGCAAGACCATGCCTCTCGTTGCTTCCATTAAGTCCAGGGTCATTACTCCTACTTTGAAGTCAAAAGCTTGGTGGCCGGCACGTTCTTTCTCTGATGACTTTACGTTGCAAGCATATACCAGGGCTGCTGCTGGATCTGGATAGCCGGATGAAAACTTGCCCTACTACAGAAGTGTAACTACTCATTAACGCCAACACCACGCACTGTTCAGCTACTCAGAATAAGTACTTACATAAAACAGTAATTTGGTGATGCTCATGAACCTTTTACGGAATTCTTCACGCTGTTCGTGGTTATCTTAGCTGCGATTTGGGCTACTATTGAACCAAGTTTTCATCCAGCTATATCGGTTCACTAAGAAGCTCAGATACTTCACGTAAAGATCATTCTATTCCGATAATTTTCGGTAAGGCCAAACAATTTTTTTTCAAAGTCTTTCGATGCTACGATCGATTCTCAGCGGGGACTTGATACAAACCTTAGTGCAATCATTCATCATATATTGAGCAATCACCTCCTATATTTGAGCATTCGGGATCAGGGATTGGGATGCACACTGGGCTGAGATACGTGGAAATAAGCCGTTTCTTACTAGGATCATGCACGAGTACTACAACACAGGCAGCTGTTATGGCATTGGCACGTAACCCAATGATAAGGCATACCACCTTGGTGGATATCCTATACTTAGCTCAACTGCTCAGTAGCCCCGGCAGATCCATTATTGTAAGTTTGGATCATCCGTCTGTTTTTGCTGCTTTCATAGTTCCGACACTGCGCCGTAGCACAGGCCAAATTCCCCTCGATGCCGCACGGATGCTAGACTAAATAAGATAGATGAGCACCGGAAATACAAGAAAGGGGCAACCGGAAATACAAGAAAGGAGCAACCCGAAGTGAATACTCTTCTCTTCCACAATTAGGACTATAAGTGAGTTTTCATCTATTGACTCTCATAACTATTTCTACGGTGACTCAAAACACAGGTTTTGGAGACGACTACATGGGTCTCAGACGCCCCGGAAGCAACCGGAAAGTCTGACTACGAATCTATCTATGCCGCACGTATGCAGAGACACGATTCATGCATAAAGTTTGAACAATAAGATATTAAATGATCCCTTTGTGTGATACTCGTTCTCTCTTCTAGCTTCCCGCCCAGCTCCCTTTGTAAAAGAAGGTAGTCGGGACAAGAATTAGACAACAAAGTCTAACAACACATTACTTTGAATATATGAGATTTTTCGATTACATGTCATTATCATTATCCCATCTTCCCATCCTCGGAAGTTCTCAGAAGTCTTGCCATGTCATTCCTTCTCAACTACGCTTTTGGACAACAACCCGCTCCAAAGCGCATACCAACGGATACAGTCATACCGCTGAATAGCCGGGATGATAGAAGTGAGCACAGAAACATTGTGGTAGAGCTCACTATGTGCTTCGACGATGTTCTCGATGCCCAAAAACTCGCTGATGCACTTTGGAAATTGCTCGAGAAGCCTCGTTGGAAAAAGGTGGGAGCACGAATACGCTTGAACAACAAAACTGGGCGACTTGAGAATCATATTCCGGCACAGTATACAAAGGATCGGCCACCAATTGATTATACTCAAAAGACGTATGATATGAAACTACAGGAACATGCCGTCTGGAGCAGATTCCCCAGTGTCGAAGACAATGATCGTATACAATCATTTGAAACCTTACCTGTGACGACTGAGCTTACACCGTCGGAGAGCGGTCCAAAAGTGCTTGAATATTGGACTCATAGCGATAAGGCACAGTTGGGGTTGGACATAGCCAATTTCCAAAATGCGACATTGGTCACGGTGACGTGGCTGCATACACTAATGGATGCCTTGGGACTCCATACACTATTGCAGGCATGGATCGCGGTCCTGGAAGGAAGGGATGAAGACGTGCCAGAACTCTGGGACTACGATATTGACTATTTAGAGGAGCTTGGAACGCTTTCAAATGAAGAAGACGAAAAGAAACAGCATTCGGTCTGGACGGCAGCACTAAGTCTGAAGGACTGGATATCGAGGCTACCGAGGTTACCGAGCTTCAAGCTCATCCTTGCTGTCCTTCACTGGCGCATATTCCAGACCCCCAAGCCACAATGCGACCGCAAAATATACATACCAGCGTCCTCCATGGCCCGACTACGCAATGAAGCAATGAGTGACCTCGCCTCACTCGACCCTTTACAAATAACCTACAACACCTCTGCTCCTTCCAACACCACACCGTTCCTCTCCGATGGCGACATCATCACCGCATGGCTAATCCGGCACCTTGTAACCTCCGACCTCGAACTCCCCAAGCACCCTCCCACCCGCCCGATCTTGTTTCTCAACGTCCTCGAAATGCGCGACGTACTAGGCGAAGCCACGGAAAAATACAAAGTCCTGATCCCCAAAAGCACAGCATACGTTGGAAACGCCACCGCCGGCCTCTACACCCACTTTACGCTAAAACACTTTCTCGGGCTCCCCCTCGGCCACATAGCCGCCAAACTCCGCAAAAGCATCGTCGACCAGGGCAATCGCGAGGCGCTCGAAGCATCGCACCGCGACCAGCGCCTCGGTCACTACGACCACGTGCTCCCGCCTGGTACGACGATGATTCCCAAGATAATCATCATGAGCAACTGGAACAAAGCGAGATTTTTCGAAACAGACTTTTCGGCTGCCCTTGTTCCTGGAAAGAGCGAGACGAGCAATCGAGGAGGAAGGAGGGGGAGGCCGACGTATTATCATACCAATGGGATATTTAGGCGCCAGAGCGACTGGGTGTCTTTGGCGCACATGACGAATTTGGTGGGGAGGGATGCGAAGGGTGGGTATTGGGTTACTGCGTCGATGCCGAAGGAGTCGAAAGAGAGGTTTATGAAGAGTATTGTGGATGGTTGAAGGGAATGTGGGAATGAGTTTGGGTGTAGTGTGGGGTGGATGAGATGTCTTATATCAGGTCAGGTGATGCTGGGAAAACATAGAATACATTTCGTGATGCAATGGTTTTTTGTTGGTGTTTTGTATGAAGCAGAGGAAACCGAAATGTATCGATCTATTGTGCCGGGTCAAGCTCTCGCACAGTCGCCCCATCGATGCAGAATAAGACTTTTTCAACTCTCGGCGAAGCTTCTTTGTTCTCTTTCCATTCTTGAAGCCAGATTTGGACGTATTCCTGCACATCCTTCAAAAAATATTTTGCTCTCTCGACGTTGGCGGGGTAAAGTTGTTTGAAGTAGAGATGGGCGAGGCCATCGATTATTCTCACCGGCACTTCTGATTCACTTAGGAGTTTGTTCCCGTCTCTATAGGCACTCGTATCGATATGAAATGCTAGGGTCTTGGTTCTAGAGATGAAAGGGCTTCCTATTGGTTCGCCTAAAAAGGGCTGTTCCATGAAGTCGGAGAGCGTGTTGACGATGCAAGCGTCGATGTTTTCGTTACCACTACTAACCAGGTTGTTGAGTGGATTCAATGCCCGCCAGTTCAAGTACCTTGTAGCTGGCAAACAGTCCTTATCCGTGCTCTTGCAAGCACCTGCTATGGATTCCGCATTCCACTCGTTCTGTAGCGACCGTTCGTGTTCAGTGCAGCAAAGAATGAAATGGACGTCGATTCTGTCAAAGGCGCCTTCTTTCCGCACGGGCAGATTTCGCCACGTTGGCCAAATCCAATGGTCGTCGACGATTGCGACGTCGAGGTCGAGGGTCTGCGGCTTCTTTGAGAGATAGGTTTGAGTCTCCAAGTAGAGTTTCCGACTCGTAAGTAAGAGATTCAGTGCAGGGTGTCGTCCGTCGAGTTTCAGTTTAGGGACGCAATATATGTTTCTAGGAAATAGGCCTGTGTCACCTACTGGCCGGTAGCGTTTGCTCTCCTGCGGCCAGTGGATAGAAGTGATCACGAGGTCAATAATCTCAAAGAGAAGTTCACTTGGTAGATCTGATAGTCTCGCCATAGCTGTGTGGATAGCGTCATGATGTTATTTGATGAAGGGTGTTCGCCTGTTTTGGGCTGCGCCCTAGTAGTAGTATGATGTAATCACCCCACTAACCTTTTGCCCAGTCCCCATACACCAACGGTTGTTGTTTCTTCTCTCATGCGAGTACAATCGGCCCTGTTATGACTTCGCCTCTTGCGGGTGCAAGCATTTGAGACACGCTCGATCCATAATTGTGGCGCATGCTCCCGTTTCAGTTAGCGTAGATGACTCATTATATCTCACTGATGCACGAGCTCCAGGTACAGCTGCTGTCATACTTTTACCTTTTTTGAACGTTTGATTTATGCTCTTAGTGGATTTGCATGGGTGGAGATGTATTCTGGTACAACATAAGTATCATTCTATGCTCGTTGACATTCAACATCGCCGCCACTTTCTTTATTTACGTTCACACGATACCCCTTCGCGATTTCTTTCTATTTTACATTTCTTTTCGCAAACGTTACAGCATTCTAAACAATGGCTTCTACGGAAGAATTGCCAACGCCCGCACGTATTTCAACAACATCGTATGATACGGCCCTTTGCATTATACCACCTAGGTCGCAATGCGGTTACGTCGATCAGTTGCGAGAGCTCTACGACAAGGCTTTTGGGAGATGGCCAGCACACGTCAATGTCGTATACCCATTCGTAGCACCCGAGCAGCTTCCACGGGCGCAGAAACAAATCCAAGACTATCTTGCAACGCGCCTGGATCAAAACAAACCAATTAACGTGGAACTAACCCAAGCTGGGTATTTTACACAAAAGAACAAGTGCACAATATTCCTTAGCGAAGACAGTGCGAAGGACGATAGTAGCGATTCAAATGCGACCCTCGAATCACTACGGAAATTGGTGCTGGAAGCTATAGGACAACAACCTCTTCGATCTACCTTACATCTTACTCTTGGCCAATCTGAAGACAACACAGTCTTCGCACGGCAATATCTCTTGAACAAAGCAAAGCTGATCCCGCACCTACGGTTTAGCGTTGGATCACTTGCTATCTTAGTACGTGAACGAACGACTGGTTCCGATTCGACAGATTGCATGCGCCTCTTCTCTACCATCGACATCTGCTCCTCTGATATCGTACCAAGGCCTGACAGCCCTAATTACTGGGTGCGGAGCCTTCCCTCGAATACAACAGCACTCCAATCTGAGGACACTCAAGATGAAAAATTCCAACAGGAGCTCAGTCAAGGAGTGCAGCCAGGATCGACATACTACTTCGATGAAGACGAATACAAATGGTCAATTTACGATGCTGAGGAACAGGAAGAAATCGAAGCGGAGACACTCACAGTCGCAAGCTATAACGTTCTGATCGATAGCGAGTACCCCCCGACACATGATCGCGATTCTTTGCTCGTCGTTAACATCCTCTCGGACCCCGCAATGGCGGATATCCTAGTGCTGCAAGAGATGTCAGATGATTTCCTATCCTATATGTTGGGCGACAGTGAGATTCAGCGAAGATATCCCTTCGTTTCCCACGGACCCCCCGAACAACCCGACATTGGACCGCTACCCAGTTTGCGAAACATTGTTGTTCTGAGCCGTTATCCATTTTCGTGGAAGTCAGTACCATTTCATCGAAAGCACAAGGGCGCCATTGTTGCACAGTTCCGAGGGTTGGCGACATCTGGTTCGTCAAGCTCGGAAGGCCTGGTAATTGCTAGTGTCCACTTGACTGCTGGCCTCACTGATGGTTCGACTGCAACTAAACGAGCTCAGATGAAAACACTCATTAGCCATTTGGAGCAGAACTATGCGAACGAGCCATGGATCATTGCCGGCGACTTCAACATTGTCACCTCAACTTACACCATTGAAACTGCTTGCAAGAACAAGGCCATCACTGAAGAGACCGCGAACACACTCTCTTCTATAGAGACCTCAATTAGCGATGCTGGTTTTTTTGATGCCTGGGCTGTTGCCAGAATTGAAGGAACTGACCAGACAAGTACTACTGATCTGGGAGAGCTATATGAAGGCGAGGAATCTGCGACGTTTGATCCACAAAACAACAGGCTTGCTGCAGGAACCACCACCACTTCGCACGATCGCCCACAGCGCTACGACAGGATACTGGTCCACCCAAATAACACTCTTCATGTGATCTGGTTCAATCAATTTGGTCAGCCTGAGACCATCAATGGTGTGCAGGTAGTCGCTAGTGATCACTATGGAGTAAGAGCAAGACTAAAGATTGGGCATGGTGGAACGATCGACAGTGTAATGGATACCGATTCGAGCAACCAACCTTCAGTTCAACTGAAGCGCGCAATCGCGACCTTGATGGACTCCTCGGACATGTCTTCAGCGCTTGAGGTCCATGGTATGATTCCCAACGATGAGCAAACAACCCAGCGACAAGAAGCATTTGAGCTTCTCCAGCGAATTGTCTCGGACACAAGTGAAGATGCAGATACTGTGCAACCTGGTATTCCACTAGTCATAGTACCAGTTGGCTCGTATGCTCTAGGTGTTTGGACATCCAGTTCAGACATTGACTGTCTTTGCATTGGCTCCATCAGTTCGAAGACATTCTTCAAGCTTGCTCGACAACGTCTCGTCAAAGCCGGAAATCCTCAAGTGCGCATTTTGAGAAAGGTTGAAGCTACTACTGGTACTATGCTTGAACTTTCTGTCAATGGCATCTTGATGGACATGCAGTATTGTCCCGCAGCGCAAGTGGTAGAAAGGTGAGCCCTTGATTTTAATCGTTCCTAGTAACGGTACTGACGTGTTTTGTGTAGATGGTCTGAGTTTGCAGACATTCCAGCATCCGACCCCATCTTCAACCTCTCGATGCTCTCGCTTCGCAAGTTGAAACCCTACCGCGACCTACTATACCTCCAGCGCACAATTCCATCACGATCTCTCTTCCGCCAGGCTTACCGATTGATCAAGCTGTGGGGTGTCCAGCGCGGTCTCTACGCTGCAAAGTTTGGTTATCTGGGCGGAATGCACATCACGCTCATGCTCTCCTGGGTTTGCAAGAGCCTAGCACATGATGTCGGCTCAGTAAATGTCGCAGATATAGTCGTGAGCTTTTTCCAACACTACGCAAACTTTGATTGGTCGAATGATATGGTGTACGATGCGTTCTTTCACAAGAAGAAGCCACGATACAACCGCAGTACAAGAGAGCCCATGGTTATTCTCAGCTTTCATGCACCCAACTCTAATTTTGCACAAAAATCTACGGTTCCGGGTTTGCAGATGTTGATCAAGGAGTTCAAGGCTGCCGATATGAAGTTAAGCGAGCCTGGTATGACCTGGCAAAAGTTCTTCAGCACATCATCAGATCTGGCCTTAAAACCTTGTCTTCCTTCTGGAGTTGTTGAGTTTCTAAACGCTTATAGTGATTTCGTGAAGATCGACATCCAGTTCTGGGGTCGTATGCTTGCAAAAGGCAAGGGTTTGGTTGGCTGGGTTGAGTCGCGTTGCATATCCATCGTCGTTGGTAAGTACTCCGAGACCTGAAATAATACTTAGACACTTTGACTGACTATTCAGACATCCACAAAGCACTTCCAGGATCAGAAGTACGAGTCTGGCCAGCTCTATTCACAGACGATGCTCCCAATGATTCGACCGATAGCAACGACTTTCAGGGATGTTACTTGATTGGCTTGTCGAAAGCCGCAGAGGGTAGCTTGACTGGAAGTTCCGGAGACAAACAAGAAGCCAAGAGAGCATTAGAAAAAGTGCTTGATCGTTTCCTGACCCAGCTCCGAACCGATGAGAAGAACTACGACTCAAACACCTGCTGGATTGATGCGTCACTAGTGAAGAGGCGTGATGTCAAGGCTCTACACCTAGATGATCGGGAATGGGGACACTACATTATGGATATGGACTCCGATTCAGAAGACGAAGAAGAACTTGAAGAAGAACTCGAAGACGCCGACGAAGCCAAGCCGCAGCGTGCAATCCCACAACGCCCAAAGCCCACCTCGACACCCTTATCGAGTTCAAAACTCCGTCCAGCTTCGGATGTTCTCAACCGATTACGCTGGGACCCAAGTCTTGATCCCAGTGACTACATTATCGGATATGAAGACAGATTTCTCGGTGCGAAAGAGACAGGGCTTGAGAAGTGGAAGACGGAGCAGACGGATGAAGAGTTTATTCCTCAGCATAGGATTCTTTATTTCAAGAAAAAGAGCGAAGATGGAGGAGCAGAGATTGTGTGGGAGAGAGCGACGAGGATTGATAAGGTTTTTGGGAGTGGACTTGGGACTGGAAAGTGATCATGTACTAGAGTTGATAAACGTCAAATGAAGTTTTTACCAGAAGAGCCAGTGACTGGTCGCTGCCTATCTTGAATAGCTGCATTTTCCCATTTAGAGCTGAGAATGGATAGAGAACAACACAACCATTCAATCTTTTTAATTTCAAGTTACATACGAGACTATAGAGTCAGAATCTGAAGCCAGTCTTTTTGAGTGCACATGCATTCACGTGCGCTACATACCATTCGCGTGGCTGAATCTCAAAGGCAACAAAGTCAATCGGCAAACCTCACTAAGAAACATACCCCGAACGGCCAAGACTCTTAACACCACTCTCAACAAGCCTCAGGCACTTCACGCTTTATTACGTAACCTCCGGAAACCACGGATAACTTTTGAAATCTAGGGAAACTCATCCAACCTCACTACTTTAATTCAGCGAAAAACAAGCCACCAAACTCACACTCATAAATCGTCCCACCATCAAATCCTCCAAGCCATAAAAAGAAGAAAAGGCTTAGCAAACCCATTCCTCCCCAAAGCCCTCGCAATCCCCTCCCCAAAGGGCATCCTCAATACCCTCCACACTACCATCATCCCCAACCCCAACCTCACACCCTCTCGCATCTCGCCTCTCCACCCAAGCGCCCCTAAAGCAGTAAAGCGCGCCCATGGAGCGGTTGGTCACGGAGAATTAAGAACAAATAACCAACCCAACCAACCTAACCCTGCCCGTTCCCCACGCCCATGCTCCCGCTTCCTTCCTCTCTCCACCCATTCTTCCCATTCCGCATACCTACCTGACCCCCAGCAAAGTCTGTTCAGTATGGTTATAATATAGAACCCTTTGTAATCTCTAGCCCGTGCTGCACGCCAGATAGAGTACACGGCACGTCCTAATCATATGATATGTATGGGTGTGGGTGTGGGTGTGGAGGAACGGCAGATGAGATAACAATCGTTCGTTCAGGAGACGAGATCGACAAGGGTGACATGGGTGGGCTGGTAATACGTCTACAATTTCCATTTTCTGACTGGCTGGCTGGGGGGAGGGGAGTTGGTTGGAGGAGAAGGGAGGAAAGGGCAAAAGTGGGGTCGGACCGAAAGCGGGTTGGCGACGAGGGGTGTTTCGCAGGGGTTTCGGGGGCCGCGGTTAGGGATAAGGAGGGGGAGAGGTGGGATGTGAGAATTTGTGGAATAGGATTGGGATTGAGTAGTAGAGGTGTTTGGTGTTTATACAATTTGATTTGCTATATACGTATGTACAGGTGTAGTGGAAATGTGACAGTGGTGGCTGATCGCGCATAAAGCGAACCATCATGATTCAAGGCGAAAAGAGAGATAAGAGGAAACAAGTGTTCTATTACGAACACGTGTAAAACATCCGTCTACTTATAGCAACCATAACCATATGCCATACATGACAATGAAAAAAAAACGCCTCAATTTGCTCCCTCCGCCTCTAATACTTCAAAAAAGTCCCAACGGAAGGAGGAGGCGCGAGTAAAACCATAAATCTATACATTCCAGAGTACGTTCCTCTGATCCCGAGCATTGACCCAGACATACTCGGTACACCGAGGATTCGACTTGGTCTTGCCCAGCGTAACGGCAAAAAGATTGATTTCCATCCACACGGGGCGCATGCCCATGCGCTCCAGACGCTCCCACCAGCTGCGGAAGCGCCCGAAATCGATGCTGCCGCCGCCGACCTGGTTGTCGGTGGAAACACCGTCTCCCAAGTGCAACTCGATCATGACCTGGCCAATTGGCAGCACCGATTTTCCAGATGCGGATTTCACATTGTCGAAGGCATCCATCATGGTGTCTAGCGCATCGTACTCACTACCCTCGACATCGATTTTCAAAATGTCAATGTAGGTGTGGTTGTTCTGCTTCATGAGAGACGGGAGAGTCCAGAAGGGCGGACTAGCATCATGCGCGTCTTCCTTTCCGAGCCCGACCTTCTTGAAAAAAGTGCGGTGACGGTGTTTCGGTGCAATCTGCGGGCCCCAGGCGTCGACTGAGAAGTCGTAGCCCCAGATGCGGGCGCTGGGCACGCGCTCGAGCATTTCTGCTTCAAACGAAGATTCGCCGTTGATGCCGAAACTGTACATTACGAGGCCGTCTTGGGCGTTGGAGAGGGAGGACTCTTCAGATGCGGAGGCTTTGACCGCGGGAAGCCCTTCGTAGACGCTCATGCCGCAGACCCATTTTCCGCCGTCGCCCATGCGGCCTACGCGCTGGATGTCGTGGGGACAGGTCCAGGTTGGGGGGAAAAAATCCCAGATTGTGAATGGGTATTTCAAAAAGTCCATTGGGAAGAAGGGAATCTTTGGGTTATCCGGGTGGGATTTTGCCATTTGCTCTCGCTGGTCGAGACTCGCTTTCCACGATTTCTCGGAGAGAGCAGATCGGTCTTTTATCCATGCTCGGAGCAGTGAGGAGGATTGCGATGAGCCTGTTGATGGCAGGACAGGCAGGTAAGGAAGGAGAGCCGTGCCAGCGGATTCTTCGTTGTGGAAAATAACAATGAGGAAGACGACGACAAATATGCCCGCAAATATACGTGCTGGTGGCTCATGTCAGATTTGGGGGGCTTGGGAAGAAGCATCTTAAAGCAACATATGACATACCTCCGAAAGACCTAAACATTGTGGCGGTTGTACAAAAAAAAGAACGATGTCCAAATATCTAGATGAGAGAGAAAGAACAATCGTGACATGTACATAAACCTCCGAGTTGAATCGGTGGAGGTTCTATTCGCGTCAAGCGTACGTGGGTAGCGACGGGAAGGAGCGGAGAAGGGTGAGGAGAGTATGTGAATGTAGGTGAAAAGGAAAAGAGAAAAGAGTAAGAAAGAAAAAAGACAGATGATGAACGAGAAAAAAGGGAGGGTTAGAGCCAAATGGCCCGAGAGCCCGCCTCGCATGCAGATGTTATCATGGTCAAACAGGGCCTTTCAATCTGTCTGGATTCCCTGACATGGATCGCCGTGTATGGGACACGTGCCAAGCATTGCCGCCGAAACACCCAACAGCGGGACCCAAGCTGGCAACGAGTGTTACGCGTACATTGGACTCGCCAAGCACTGACCTTCGTATCAAAAGACACTTGCTCGACCTGTCCATTGCCCCCGGTTTTAGTCGGATCATGGACACTTGTGCTTATCGAGCAAGACGACACCATTAGGCGCCCCTCCTGACCATGGCATACGAGCTGACTGCGGAGTAACAGCTACATGCGGCTACACCTGCACCATTGGATCCTGGGGTACCGACGTTGGCTTCGCGCGCAAACTAATGTGATCGCGGCTCGACTAGCCGCGGGAGACGTTTTGCGATTGCGATGGTGGTAGGCAGGTCGTGTACCAAGGGTGGGTCTCTTGGCCATCAGCCGCCACCGGCGTCGTTTCACCCTTAGCTGGGGAGTCTGCCTCCCTGAACATGCTTTCACATTGGGGGCCACGAAGAGGCCCTATCGTGCAGACCTCAAGATTGCGCATACAAGTCTGGTTCCAAGTCGTGTAGGGTATGCCATGTGAGAGCTAACAATGATATCATATGATCTACCTGGTTATCTACATGTGCATACGTACTCAACTGATTGCGATGACCAAAGAAAAACAAAACAAGTGGGTATTGTGGATGGTGATGTGCATATACGGTGCTATTTACAGAAAGCAACCCATACTTAGTAATAACAACAAAATAGTGTTTACATAGCCTCGGCGCTATGCTGTAGAGCTGACATGTTACCAAAGTTCTAATGAACAAAGAGTTTGTGGGCCATCCCCTATGAGCGCAGCGTGCGCGTCTGATGTCTAGAGTTTCACGAGCATAACAAAAAAATCAGGCCAATGTCTTGTGAACGAAGATGGCAGCCACAATAAGCAGCACACTGCATGTGGTGAATACTGTGTCCCGATGCGCCTCACCTATATGCATGTATTAGCTTTTGTGCTTATTTTGGACGGCAATGGGGACAATGCATACCTTCCTTTGTGGTGCTGAGCGCTAGCACGACAAATACGTTGAGCGGAATGCGAAGAATACCGTAGATGCTGGCTCGTGAGCCATCTTCAATGAGCTTGCTCTTGAGCGAGCCCATGGCCGGGTAGTAGATTCCGCAGCAGAGCTCAAAGATGCAGAAGCACCATAGTGTAAGGCGTTCGTCGCGGAAGTGCCCGGGGATAAAGAAACAAACGGAAGAAACAGCGAGAATGCCAACGAGCATCTTCTGCGCGGGTACTGGGTTTGCCGATGTGGAGACGTGTTTGTGAAGGAGAGAGCCAAGCATCATGGAGCACATGAGGATAGCGAAAATGAGACCGAAAGGCAGTTCTGCTTCATGTCAGACGTAGAGTCAGAGATAGTGGCATTGGAGGCTTGCTTACCGTCTGTCGAGCCGGATAGTTGGTGGCTGAGCTTCAATGCAGGAAATTTGAAAAAGATGAATAAGAAAAGTGATCCTTCAAAGAAACCCGATACCAGCGCGAGAATCATAATGTTGCGGTCACGTAGAATTGTTCGCAGAGCAGAGGTTGAGGAAGGCGCCGGCACCGCCTCTTCTTGCTGAAGAAGACCTTCTGTTTCAGACGCCCTTCGACTGCTGGATCCATAGTTCTCGCCCCAGTACGACGAGATGGCTAGGAAGGACAGGGCCAAGCATGCAATGGAAGCCATGAAGGGGGTCTTGGCCGTGCCCGTTTTGGTGACAGCCCATTCAGCAAAGATGCCAGAGGCAATGGCAACCAAAGTGTTTGAAGTAGTCATGGTGCTGAAGATGGCACTCAAGTGAGGCTCACCATCTTGCAGCATAAGTTGGTTGAACTCGGCGACGAGCCAGCTCTCGAAGACGCTCCAGAGGATCGTTCCGCAAAGACCGCCGAGTATACGACCAAAGAATAGAATGTAGATGTTGTTGGTAAGGAGCGTAGCACACGAGAGGGAGTAAATGGCGCAGTATCCAAGACAGGCTGTCTTTCGGCCATAACGGTCTGCGAGTCCGCCTATAAAGGATGCGGAGATGCCGGCGGAGATGAAGCCTGTGAGGAAGAGGAAGGCGACTGTTTCTTCGGGGAGTCCCTTCTCATCTGCAAAGATGTGTGAGTACGTAGGGGGTAGGAGCTATTCATTCACGTGCATGTACCTTTGTAGATGGGATAGATGTAGGGTCCCTGAAGCCAATCCGCGGCGTTAACAAGCAGATAGATTGGGAAGAAGCGCTTCTTCAGCTTGCTCAAGCCGTCCATATCGGGCTCGTGGGACTCCACTCCATCTTTCTTATCCGAGACGGCTGCCTCGGTGTTTGCTTTGCGGGAGCGGTGGGTTTGGTAGAATGCAAAGAGATTCAGCAATACGGAGCCCGCAAAGGTAGCTCGGTAGAGGTCCATGTTGAATGTGGACTTGTAGTGTTGAAAAGAGCGGAAGTGAATGGGTAAGACGATAAACAAGGTATGTACAGTGAATGGCCAGCAAACACAGAAGGGAAGCAGGACAGAGGACGAGTGGATGAGGTCAGATGGCGCTAATTGCTAATTGGCAGCCTGTCGGCGGAAACGGTTAGCTTCGATGGCTCCGAGGTGCTGCTGGAGCAATACACTTGACACGGGATGCGAGTCTGATGTTAAGTGCCGCCTCACAAGCCGTTTGGTGCACCAGGATAAGCCCTGATTGAGATCAGCCAAGATGGACTGTGCCATAAATGGAGCTGGGCTAACTGGTGTGCTTCAAGTCGACATGCGGGCTGACGGTAGACTTGGCCGGATTGCGCGTCAAAAAGTGGGCGGGCGCGCCTGCACGTTTCCAAAGTGTGGGGCGCACGCTACGCCTCGGAAGGCGAGTGGCCCCGGGGCCGTGCGCGCCTTCTCTATACGCGGGGTGCGCCCCTTGTAGGGCCCCGCCGGCTTGGTGCTTGTTTCGAATCTGGAAGCCTCAGGAATTAATAGCTTTTGTCTCCATACAGTAGACCTGTGTGCGAATGCTGAGCCAGCTGACATGGTCTGCCTGAGCAGATTGTGAGGCAATGGGTACAAACCATCTCCATGCTCGGTGTAAACGCCGGTTCAGATCAAGGAGCGAGTCCGGCTACACCAATGACGGGCTGGTCGAGATGATGAAGCGGGAATCCAACAACATGCGAGTTACCAGTAGTGCCATGCGAGTGATCGACATTACAGCAATTAAGGCGACGTTGGTAATTCCAGAAACATGTGTAAAGATTCGATGCCGTTTGCTGTATTCCCAGGTATAGCCATGTCACGATACCCGTGTGTATGTGTAGTGTAGTTCACATGTCATCTGTATTCCGTTTCGCTGTCGTGGTTTCGCATCGCTGATTCAGAGTGCAGCATGAACGCATATCGGAGGTCGGGTCGCAGCGATTGCTGGCATGGCGAGATGGTATGTTTTTCTGGTCGTCTACTGCAGTCATGGTGTTGAGAAATCATTCTTTCCACGGTAAACAAATCCACACCAGGCACGCCAAGCCATGACGTAACAGCTGCACTAGCGGCATCTGTCATGCCATGTCTTCCTATACCACACAAATCAACGCCATTTACCTTTGAAAACATTGACTTCCAAAATCGGTGTCGTCTCTCCCATACTCGCGTCAGGAACTGCTACAGCCTCGTAATAGTAAGCACGCAAATGCCTTCATGAGTACCGAGAATACCATTCCTGTCTTGCTTACTATTTTGAACCATCATATCCTTTCCTTTTCTCCCAACTTATCGAGCTATCAGATTTCCCCCAAGCCCTAGTTCTTGTATCGGCACTGAGGTAATACAGAATTCGTTCAGAACTACAAGGCATCGGCTGCCGGTAGGCCAGGCAGTCAGTCGTCATCAAGATTAGTAGCTTCTACATCAGTATATACGAATCACATAAGCACTCAAACCTGACAGCAAACCTGACTCAACCTCCAGTTAATTCAACAGTTCTGATTGGGTAGTATATTTAGTAATGTTTGCTTGGGCACTGTCCATAACTATGTAATCATCGCATGTGCATATCCTAACCCGGGCAGCACCCAATACTATCTATCTGGGTACCTGGGAGCATGGCATCAAGGTGCCTAAATCTTTCGAATCACAAAACTACACACATGCTGCTCAGAAACTTCTTTCTCATGTCCATCGGAGATTCCGCATCATAGACAATCCCCGTTCTTGTGCAGGCGCGCCATTTCTCTATCCTCCCGATGCAGTGTAGGGAACCTTGTTGCTCAGAACGCATGAGTTCTGCTCTATCTCAGAGATCTTCTTCCGACACTTCTGACATGCCAAAGCCTCGCATCCAGGGCACCTGCTGCAGCCGACGCGGGCTTCCATGCAGAACACGCAGTGATCAGCACCGCCGGGCTGCACTCTCCAGGTCGCACTTCGATATTTGCAAGGACGAAGCACACACTCGTGCGATATTTTGACAAAAAGACCATGCTGTAGCCCGCCTTGACCAGGGCTTGGAGGCCTACTCTCATCGACACTGTAAGAGAATTTAGTAAAAGCGCTCAACAAAGTCACTTCATGTGCAATTGACTTACGGAGGATCGCACTCGGGATGTCTGGCATAGTACTCGACCAACAACTGTTGCCATTTCTGGTACGCGGCGCTATTCAGATATTTCCAGCCAGGATCACCGGGCTTTCTGAAGGGCTTCTTCGGCGGAGGACTGGCCCTACGAGCTCTCTCTCGCATCTCAGCTTCATACTGATAAGTGCGAGTGTTACCGAAAGGTTGTTCGTCAGCGCTCGGAGCGGGAGGGTCAATCTGGAGCTTCTTACGCCAGTAGGTCCTATCATACTCCTTGCGGAACTCATCATCCGTCAGCCTGTCGTAGGCTTCACGCTCAGCACGAAAGACGGCCGAGTCGCCAATTCCAGACCTGTCGGGATAATGCTCGATAGTCAAGGCACGAAATGCAGACCTGATCGCCCCGGGTGAGACACCGAGCTGCAGTCCTAGGATAGCATAGTAATCCTGGAATTTCTCTGGCTCCATGCTTGTAAGCTTCTTCTGTTTTTCGGTTGTGCAATTAAAGTGAGGGAAAAGATTTTCCAGATTGGAGAGACAGACAGAAAAGTAGAGTATCTGTTAGAAGATGACCATTTAGCTAAGACATTTGTCCGTCATGAGTGAATGCCTGCCTAGGCAGAAACAGTCATAACGCTACTCTTTTGACAGATGCGTCATTCTTTTCTTGAATGAAAACGTTGGAAAGGCAGGGCTAGATACGGTAGCAGCGGGTTTCATACAAATCTGCTCACGCACTGCGCGCAGATGATGTATTTCCAGTCAAACAATAGCAAAGTGAATCGGAGAAGGTGAAAAGGGCTAACGGAACTAGGATTAGGCATAGTATGTGCAAACAGTCGCGCGGAGTTAAGACTATCATGGTGCCATTGGTGAGTAATGCTGCCTAAAGAGAGTGATTGAACTTTCACTATAGCGTTCCAATAAGCTTGCGATTTCTACTCTCTAATAGACATACCTTAGAAATTGTAGTTAAGTGTTGAAGCAGCGATGATTATAAACTACACTTCATTCTTTCCTTAATTGTCTTATTTGATTCTTTTCCCTGTTTCGAAAAGTAGATTTAGGCTTTGTCGTTTAAGACGACCCACAGCGTTTGCTGGTTACATAGTTGTTTATCAAGACCAATACTTCCTCCAAACAATCCAATTTGTGTAAACAAGAAGCAATTCCGTTATAGTCGCGCCCTAGCCTTCTTGTGGCCTTGGCACAGTATGTGCACAAATGTATCTTTCTTACCTTCTATCAAAGCTGCACCCTGGATGCTTGGTAGATCCATGGTGAAACGATACGTGCCGCTAATCACAACTTCCACGTGGCTACCATTATCCACATTTTCCTTTAGGCACAAAAGAGAGGGTCATCGTGGCACATGTCTGAGGTATCGTACCAATTATAATGATACACAACTACTACTTATCAAGAAGATGATGGTTCTGGAAAGAAAGTCGCGCATCACGAGGCAGGTCTACTCCCGATATGGTTAGCCGGCGCGGGATTTAGCTTCAAACATTGCCTCACGATTCAAAGGGCTGCGGTGAGCCCGTACTTTCTTTTGCTACCTTATCAGCAACCCGCCTATTACCTTCAGTCGTCACCGAGACTACATAGGCATTGCCATTGACCAGGTTCTATATCTTTCCTAAGTGCACTGCACTGTTCTTAGGGCGTTACGAGTCTGACAAACCGCAATACTTGCCCCACCCCCTTCGTATGCTGAATCCTCTATTTCGAGACCAATCAGGATTAGCCACCTGCGTCACACGCAAGTCCAATCATTTTTGAACGCGACCCGCTCAATTACGTGCCGTCTACCGACGTCTCTGTTACTATTACCGGAGGCTGATTGCAGCCTCCCATGTCAGGCCCAACTTCCAGCCCCGATTGGAACAAAAACGGTAGTCCCGTATACGGCACTTTTCCACGAGCATCAATCCACCCCGACGCTCCAACCAGCAACGATGACAGCAACGAGAGTACTGTCGTTCTGTCCAGCAATGGAGACGAGGAGCTCTCACCAACATCTAGACCATCTCCAAAACGCCAACCGTCACGGCACATCGAATTCAGAAAGTACCTGAAGCGACCTTACCAGGAGACGCAGCGCACACTGAGCGATGCGCTAAGATTCGCAAAGAGCAGACAAGAGCAGGAGACTTTGTTGCCTGAAGAAGACTATGCTGGGAGTGATGGATGTTTCAATGGTCAAGGCCAACCAACAGCTGCACCAACGCCCGGTGCAAGTTCCGTCAAGAGCCATCAGACGTACTTTAATATTCATCGGTAAGTTGAAGCACTGTATAGGAAGCCGAAATCCACTGCTGATAGTGGAACAGAATACGAAGACTCATTCTGGCAGTAATTGAGGACCCTTACACGGTGGACCAACTCCGAGAACCACGTATGAATGTCCTCATTGTCAAACCACTTGTTGATCGACTTTACAACGAGGACGACATATCCATTGTCTACTGTTTGCTCGTGAATCGCATGCAATTCTTGCGAGAGCAACAATTTCAGCAGCATCACCAGACCGTCGATCTTACACGTGCCAACCTATGCGAATTGGTCGCGATGAAAATATTGCGGCGACACGACGAAGAGTCTACGGGAAAAGCCGGTCTATTGCTGCTGGCGCAGATCTTAGTGGCGCCATTCCAACCCTTTCAAGGAGCCCCCGAGGAGCGGTGCCCACCACGACATACCTCTGATTACCAAGGCCAGGGCGATAACGATGGCAAGCTCACTGCTTTGGAAGTCGCCATTGTTTCTGAAAGCAAAGTGCTACTCTCAGGTTCTGCGAGCCAGAAAGTCATTGACGCAATCTATCGAGGGCGCATCGTGTATACACCAACTACATTTATGGACATTATTCCAGACCACTACAAGTACAAGCCCATCTCACTTTACGACCCAAGAAAAGCACCTGTACTGAACCAGTATCGGCTCATGGTACCAAGGACGCGCAACATGATCGAAGTCGTTCAGTTCCTCATACTATTGGCCTTGTACTGCTGGTGCATGTCGGCAAGGAAAGATCATTTCCTTACCTGGCCTGAGTTGATCTTTATGGTCTATGCCGCTGGCTGGGTGCTGGATGAGCTGACATCATGTCTCGAACATGGATGGGAAGTTCATACCCAGGAACTGTGGGCTTTTCTAGATGTTACGTTCTCCGCCATATTCATTGTCTACATCGGGATGCGGTTCCACGGCTGGATGACAGGGCAAGACGAGATTGGGCGACAAGCCCTCGATGTCCTTGCCGTAGCCTCGCCTATCCTTTTCCCACGAATCGCGTTCAATCTGATGCCGGATAACATGCTTTTTATCGCCCTCCGAGCCATGGTCAAAGAATTTACGGCACTGAGTCTAATCGCAGTGTGGTGTTTTGGTGGTTTCCTTTTGGCGCTCAAATGGCTGAGCATCAGCAACCCCGAAGTCGGTTATGAAGAATCACCAAATTCAATTACCATTTCCAAGTGGATGTTATGGATCTGGTTTGGTCTCGACGGTACGGGAATCGACGAAGCGCCTGGCTTTCATGAGATCCTCGGCCCTACACTCATGGTCATCTACGCATTTCTTGGTAACACCCTATTCCTGACCGTCTTGGTGTCAATCTTGTCAAACACCTTCTCCAAGATCGCAGCCGATGCGACGGCAGAGATTCAGTTTCGCCGCGCTGTCTTGACCTTTGAAGGTGTCAAGTCGGACTCCCTTTTTGCTTATCGCCCGCCCTTTAACCTTCTCGCCTTTGTAATACTTCTTCCGTTGAAGTTCATCCTCTCACCACGCTGGTTCCATAAGATTAACATAACAGCAATCCGAACCTTGAACTTCCCTATTCTTCTTTTTATCACATACTATGAGCGCCGGTCGCTCTGGAAACCCATCCGCCAACTCAACGTCAATGGTCCCGGACCCTCGAAACGCACCACATTTGGATTCTGGCAGAGCTGGAAACAATTCAGCCCCCACGCTGATTTGCAGGCCGTGTTTGAAGAGGAGCCCCCACAAGACGTAGTGACGCAGATTGAAGAGGAGGATGATCTCGAAGATGCTATTCTCGAGAATAGTTTTGCACCGACAAATGCGGTCGGCACAAGGAGCGTCAGTCCCGGTAGTGCAATGGCGGGAAGAAGGAGAAGGTTGAGTAGTGTATGGCCTGGACCTAACGCATAGGGAAAAGTTTCGTGTTAAGAAGTATGAACATGTATGAGCTTATGAGAGTGGGGCAAGATTGTGATTCGAGTGCTATTCAGGAGTTTTGGCGTGTTTTAATCATGTACTCTAAAGTTACGAGGTCAGCGTTCTTTTATTGAGTCAACCTCGAGCTGGACTTGGTTTTCACAAAAGCGTTCCTCTTTCGCTCTTGCTTTCTCGTACCTGATAGCTTTCGTTGTTACCCGATCTAGTAGAGAGTGGACATCCCCGCACTAACGCAGACAAGAGGTCTCACCACCATCCAAGACTCATCAAATTATCACCATCACCCCGCGCATATCAGAACCGCAATTGCCTCGTCTCAACGTGACTAATTCGAATTATCCAATTCTTCGTTGATTCTTCTCTCTCCCAATTTCCTCGCCCAAGATCCGCGGCCTTGAAAATCCCTCACAGGTTCGCGCGGCCGTGACAACACCGACCGCACTTTGTTTGTCCGACGGGAGAGCTCCAACAATTAAGGCCCCCACGGTAAGAAATCCACAGCAGTAGAGCAAGAGGACAGAAGCGCAAGATTAGATATATATCGTAGAGTCATCTAATTTCGCGTTTTCTTCCCAGAAACTCAGCATTTAGCGTTTCAACTCGCATACCTTGAAGAACAAACCTGTTACTTTCATCCACCCATTTCACTCCATCTCGGTCAACATCCCAAGGCACAAAAGAAGGAAAAGAACGGAAAATTTCTTAGACAAGATTCCTCGTTACAACCCACCATGTTCGACCCATCCTCTCTCCAAAACTACTCCCTCCCCTCTTCCTCGTCGCTCGCCGCCCAGTTCGTCGGCAAAACGCTAAGTGAGTTGCCCACACCAGCCGTAGTGCTAGACCGAGCACTCATCAAGCGCAACTGCAATGCCATGCTCAATGTGTGTAAAGTGCTAGGTGTGGGGTTCCGCGCGCACGTCAAGAGTCATAAGACGGTGGAGTTGTCCAAACTGCAGGTTGGAAAGGAAGGTGCTGCGAACTTTATTGTTAGTACGATTATTGAGGCGGAGAATTTGGCAGAGTTGGTATTGGAGGAGCAGGGGAAGGGGAGGGAGGCTAGTGTAAGTTTGTTTCTTCTTTTGCTATATCCTATTCTTTCTTTTTCGTGGGGATGTTGTGGCCAACATAAACCTGTCTTGGGATATAGAATTTTGGGGTTTTCCTATTACCCAGCGTCTACTCTACACTCATCATTCTTGAATCAAAGAGAAAGGAATTATTTCACTGACGTCACATGTGTAGATCCTCTATGGCGTACCGGTTCCGCAATCGGGGATACCACGCCTGATAGCTCTGGCCGAGAAACTCAAACCGCGATCTGTTAGCCTCATCATCGATAACCAGGATGCATTCCTCAAGCTTGTCCAGCGTCTTGCTGCGTCAGGAATTCAAGTCGAGTTGGGCATCTTTATCAAAATCGACACAGGCTACGAACGCGCAGGCATCAAGACGTCATCTCCATCCTTCCCAACACTCGTCTCAACAATAGTTTCAAAGTCGCAAGAAACAGGATCCAAGTGCTTCTTACAAGGTTTCTACAGCCACTTCGGCCATAGTTACGCTGGATCCTCTGAAGACGATGCAGCCAACGGGTTGATCGAAGAGCTAATCGGGCTCGAGGCAGCGACTAAGGCCGTGCCGGCGAGTTTCGCTGGAGAACTGGTGCTGAGCGTTGGTGCGACGCCGACTGCCACAGCAGCACAGAACATGTTTTCCAGCACTTCCCCACGGGTTCGCGAGTTTCAGACGGTGCTTTCCCGGCTGCAGACACAGCACCTCGTCGAACTGCATGCAGGCGTGTATCCATTGCTTGACTGCCAGCAAGTCGCTACACACGCGCGGCCACCCACCTCTTCGTCTGCTGAACCAACGCCGGCATTCCAGCCGCTCTCCAAGTCCAATATCGGCATCCGCATGCTGCTAGAGGTAACAAGCGTGTACAACGAGCGCGCCAAACCCGAGGCACTCGTCTCAGCCGGTTCCCTCGCCATGGGCCGCGAGCCCTGCAAGTCGTACGCTGGCTGGGGCATCGTAACGCCTGACCTGGGCAACTCATCCGCCAAGCACATCTATGACGAGCAGGCAGGCCGGACGGGCTGGATAGTCGGGCGCATCAGCCAAGAGCATGGCATACTGACCTGGGAAGGCGACAGGGGCGCGTGTAATGAGCTAGTAATTGGGGACAAGGTCATGGTTTGGCCGAACCACGCTTGCGTCGCTGGTGCAGGGTTTGGATGGTATCTTGTGGTTGATTCGGAGGAGCGTGGTGAGACGGTGGTAGATGTTTGGGTCCGATGGCGGGGATGGTAAGTAAGGTAACGGTTTGTAACTACATACAGTGTAGAACTTGCGAAAAAAAGCAAAAGAAAAGTAGATAGAGTGAACTAGTTTTACTACATGTTATTCGGAATATTTTAATATATGCCGCATGTCGCTCATGCGCAACCGTTTTTTGTTTTGCGCTTAGGGCTTCCTTTCCCGTTTAATCCCTGCATCTGTGTGGTTAAGTCATGTCCTTTACTATAGAACCACGGGCACAGACAGCGGCCGACCGGATAGGGGATATCAAGGGTCAGTCCTTTCTTCATCTCACGTGCAGCATGTGACAAAGCCCGTCATCTTACAACGCCCCAAATCATTCCCAGGATTGACTTCATTCATAACGCCTCAGTCAGCAAAGTGCATATTGCTTTGTAAACGGGTGGGGTTGCGCTGACCCTCAGGGGAGAGACGAAGAGAGACCCATGCTGCAGCCAGCGGCAAAGCTGCCATCTTATTCTCTACTACTCGTACAAAACTACCGCAGTAACAGAGGAAATGTCCTAAGTACCTAGCAAGGCAGGTAGGCAGGCCCTTTACCTCATGCACACCGTGTATAATGGCTTCCAAACGTTATTTTCGTTTTCGTTTTCGTTTTCCCTTACCCTCGCATCCCGAAATCCAACTCTATCCTCTCCCTCGGGATGAATCTCATCTCGCGACTTCTAGCGCGGTAAATGACAGAAGAAAAAAAACACTCGCTTTCATGTTGTGTTGGCATGGGGAGTGTCCCGCAACCTAGGGTTCACCTCAAAAGAGAGTTCGTAACCCAAGACCAAGGTGTGCATGCATGCAAAATGTTGACTTTTCTATGTTGCCCTTTAAACGTTTTCAACGGCCTACTTAGAAACGCCTCGCCCGTTACACCAGCCTAGCTAACAACCTACCCTCAACGCTATCCCACTCGCACGCCCCTCCCTAAGCTAAACCCCCCTCAGTCATCGTCCCGCGGCCCGGAAGGTGGGTTGACAGGTGGCATATCCCCCCCCCCTCCCGATAGCCTTGAAACATATTTCACCTCTATTAAGCTTTTTTCTTCCGCTTCTGCTATGAAGGAAGGGTCTGGGGTAAACGAGCAAGTCCGGCGCACCTGCAATGTTAAAAGCGGCGGTAGCCTTGGGCGCCATGGTGCATGGGCATGGGGGGAGAACTAGGTGCAGGGAAGTTGATGCGAGACTGGCACGTGGCATGGTGGAAACGAGGTGATGAGGGGAAGGGGAGGTATGTAAGAGAGACAGAAACGATGTGTTGGCAAGGCAAAAGGGCAAAATAGGGCTCAGTGAGATTTTGCGGTGCGAAGGTTTGAGTGTGTGTTCGCTTGCGTGGATCACGGGTGGACGGGCTGTTTTTTTGTTCTTTGGTTGGCTGGTCACTGCACAAGTCACATTACAGGCAAGTCACGAATGTCTTTTTTGTTCGGTTTCTGGTGCGTTTGCGAAAAAAGGCTTCCAGGAGCCGACAGGCCTAGGGCGCGCCACAGGCCCGTCCCTCGTGCGGACCTGGGCCTGATGACGGTGGAGGAGGAGCGTGTGTATGTGTGTGTGGGCTGGGGTGTTTCAGCTCGTGAGGTTATCCGTGGTGGAGGGCTGCGATCAGCAAGCGACCGGCAGGTCCTCGGCGCCGCCTTTTCAAGAGAGAGAGAAGGCGATAGGAGGAGACATGTATGGGCTGCTCAGGGCGGACGGCAGTGTGGAGATCCAGGCCGTTGCTTATTCGTGTCCCTGGCGTGGTGCTGGCGGCTGCATTGCATCTTCTAGCGTACTTGTTGCAGGTGAGGGGTGAGACGAGGGCAAAAAACAAGCTGGTGTCGGGCGCAGAGAGAGTCTGGATGTTTGTATGGACATACATGGGTAGTTGTAGGACAGCTGAAGAGAGAGAGAGGGCACGTGGATGGGTGTTGTCTCGTGTACACGGCATGGCGCAGGCGTGAATGTGATACCCTACGAGTATGTACTCCACACACACTGTACTACACACTGCACAGCAGAGCACAGTACCGTCCGTATACATCTCGTATGGTGGCGAGACGGATTCCCCACCCTGCTTTTGGCTCGTCAGCCGTCACGGGCACTAAGGGATGCAACCAAACTCGTTGGGGACAAAGCGTGCGCTCCACCTGCAGAGGCTCCTGGTGCCCCCCCAAAGCGCTCCCTGCTCCCCTGTGGCCGGTGACCTGAGCGCTGGCGAACCAACGCCGCCCTGGACGTTTGGGACCATGTTCGCCGTCCAGTCAGTCTACTTTCCGCCATCTCCGATACACGTCTGAACATTTCCATCGCTTGCGCCGTCTAACTTCCCCTCCCTCTCCCCCACAATGTCTGTTCCAGCCATGTATCGTTGCTAGTAGTAGGATATTCCCTGTGGACATCGAGCCAAACCCTCCCGAGCCAATTCCCCTTCCGCGCTCGCGCGTCCGTGTGTACTCTACACGCTGCGACGACGCCTTGGGCCGTGAGACAAGGACGTGAATTGGCTTTGTTGCACCACGCCTCGAGCTGATAGCCACCGCTTGGCCCCTGGGGGCCCGCAAATCTGCCCTTTAGTCCTTACATCAACATGGTTCCCTTCCGGCGACCCTCCCAGAAAAGTCGCCCTAGCTTCGACGACGACGACTCCTACGCATGGCAAGACGAGCGCGACAAACGCATCATGACGGCCACCTTCCCCATCCACCCCATAGCCTCCATGCAGGCCCCCTTTGAAGAGTCTATGCTCGATGCCACGGGCGAGACCGGCCATGTGCCCTTTGTAGCCCCAAAGAGAGGCGTCAAGACTCGGCAGCAGTTGCTGTGCAGAGATGAGACGGCTCTCGAGCCCTCGTGGAATTTCACCTACAGCTGCTACTGGCGCCAGCACCCAAAGGCAAAGTTCCATGCATTGACAAAAACAATTGCCCAGATCGTGTTCGGTGTCCACCTCTTGCATCAGCATCTCGAAAAATCCGTGGCCGACGTAGCAGACATTCTGCTCAAGCATGTCAACGAGCTCGACAGCTTCCTCCAGAGAGCCAACGACGATCTCGAAAGCAGCATGAAGGACATGCTGTTCCGCCACAAGTGTCTCAAGGTGCCCATGGAGCACGTAAATGAATTCGACCGCCTTCTCGAAGACCGCTCTTATCGCGCCCAGTTGCTTGACGGCAACATCGTAATCGAACGCACCATCGGGCGCATGTCCCAATTACTCAACGACTATCTCGTCGATATCAACGTATTCCGCGAAGCAAATCGGGAACTGGACGTGTACCTGGCCGATGTTGGAGACGCTTGGACATATCGCAACGAAGACATCGGACGAATATACTCCGCCATGTGCGGAAATACCGGAGGTTGGTCGCAGTTCTTGCAAAGCTTGGTCGCAAAGGCAGAGAGATTGGGCGTTGTGCTGGTACAAGTCAGCAGCTACTGCAATGAGATTGAGAAGCGCTGTGGTGCTGCCAGTCGCCGAAGCTTGGTAAGATTGCCCTGCTGTCTTTCAGCATCCTTCTTGGCCTGTCCGACGTTCGGGTTGGTTTGGTTCTGTTGCAGAGTACTGACTAAGTTAGATTGCAACGCGTACCTCATCACGGAACTCATCCAACTCACGTGAGGGTCGCCCCTTCCGGAATTTTACCAACAACAAACCTCTCCCCACACCACCTTCTGAACGTGCTCCTTTTATGAGTGTTACATCCTCTGGCCGGGAGACACCTTCACGACATACTACCGTAAAGTCCAAACCTCAACACCAGGCTGAAATCATAGATACATCCGACTCTGCCACTGAGACCCCAAAGCGGAGCCAAGATTCGTCCTCACTGTCAGCCGTTTCCAGCGCTGACATACATGTCCAACGTCAGAAAGATCAGAACGAGTATTACCAGGGGACCTGGTTTGCCGAGGAGGACCGCGGAAGAGTGACACCACTGTCAGAGTCCGCCAGCACACCCCAACTCCGAGGAAGCCAGGAGAAACCATCGCAATCTAACATGCTCGACAACAAGAAATCCTTATCCACACGACATACGGACACGAAACCAGATACCGAAGATTCCAGTCCCCCCTTGACCGCCAAGGACTCCGCCTACTCCTCCGTCTCCTCCGCATCCGCCATGTCGCCAGCATATGGATCCCCCCGCTCAGCCTCATCCATGTCATCACGACAAACCGCCCAATTCGGCCTCTTCCCCACCAGGAACCTCAGCACCCCTAAAGGCTCCATCTCCAGCAACCTCGGCAGTACCAAATCCCCCGTCGACTCATCCGACTCCTTCCCCAAACCCGGGGATATCCCCAACCGCCCTCACACCTCCATGTCGACCTATCAAGAGGCCCCTGCCAAGCGCCTGTCCAAACGGAGTAGCTTTACCTCTCTCAAGCGACTTTTTAGCAAGAAGAAGTCTGGCGATATCGGCCCTATCGCTGAATAGTGATGATCATTCCGCCTTTTTTTCGTTTTTTCCATATTCATTCTTCGTTATATTTCTGTGCAATTGTTGAAACCTCGTATGGCGTTGCATGGCTATATACCCCACCATTTGAAACCGCGTAACTTGATTGTTTCGTTTGCATTTTCAGATGCTTATTCATCTTTCTCTTTTTTTGGTGTGTGTCGCGGTTGGTCAAGTCAGCGGTCCTTGGCGGTCGATTGGAAACTTGACAAGTGTATATATTTTGTATTCTCTCGTTTTGTTATCTTGTTCATATCATGAGCTATGTAGTGTGGGATTTGCCTTGTTGGCTGGGATTGTTGGCGTGGGAGATGCCGTTGCGCCAAAGACTCTCGTGGCGGTTGGGGACCAACCGTCTTGCCCTGCGAACAGCAATCATTGATGGTAATCGAGGTCGGCGCTGGTAATGCGCAGTGTAATAAATGGTTCGCAAGCGTTGTCTGATCAGACGATTCCGAGGAAAGAATGCTCGGGGTGCTTTTGGTAGTCGTGGACGTGTCTGAAAGCGTTATGTTGTAACAAACAACCCAAGAGCGCAGTACGCGCGGCGTGAGTGGAATCAATTTCATAAACATATACGTTACTGGCTTTCTTTCTGTCGTCTCCGTTGCTCTCCTTGCATCTGTTCCTCTCTACTAGGCTGTCGTGAGGAGAGTAGTTCTAGTCGTGGTAGGCGCAAAGGAGGCGCGAGTCTTGTTGTCCAAATACCGTCTTCACCTAGGTATCTCAGTCTCCTCACTTCGCCCATCACACGCTCACATTCTCAATACCAACCTCCTTACCATTGACATGACGGGCACAGTAGGAGGAGTCTTACGTGCTCTCTTCTCTCTTGGACACTCTCCTTTCTGTTTACCATCGCCATCCCTTTCTGGCAACACCGGTAGCTTGTCCGTCAATCAACACAACGCACGAGCAAACAAGAGAAAGCTCGTCACGAAAGCCTGGCTTGTACCTTGCCTCATCTCTTTGTCTGCTTTTCCATCAGCGCATCTTGCATCTGCTGCAGTAACATGCAGTCTGATCGAGACCAGAACGGCGGAGGCGGCAGCAGCGGCGGCAGCGGCACGTCGAGAGCGTCCAACGCACCAGCTGCAAGTCGCACATCAAGCACAACACCAAAACTAGTGCTCAAATCTGGTTTCTCAGCTCCTGTTAGCCATGGTGTTCCTTCCATGCTCAGCACTGCGACAGAAATAGGCAGTTTTGACGACGTCCTCATGGACGGCTCGTCTGGCTTTGACAACACCCACCGCCAGACACAGCGGCATCGCGAGTCTAGCAGGATTTTGACAGCCTCATCAACGTTCAACACCCCTGGCATACACAGCGGGCAGTCTCACGATACCCCTCGTCGTTTTCCGTACCGCGATACCCAACCGCGTCAATCCGTCCGCAGTATGGCATGAACGCTACCTTGCAAACAACGCCGATACACTCTGTGTCGTTGCCACCAGGCACACTCAGAGACCGATACCAAGACCAGCAACGTTCGCAGTCGATGGCATATGCCATGTAGCCTCACAGTGGCTTCTCAAGCAACCTACCTCTTACAAATCCGCCCCGCGCTTATATCCCACAATCCCAGAACCCATACGCACACGTAGGTTCTTACGGACTGGAACTCAGGCTGATGAACCTCAACCAGCGGTCGGTAATACCTGCCTGAACAATAGTATGACTCTGGGCGTACAAGCTTTGCGCAGCTTTGAGGGACAGGGGCCGCCAAATAGTGGCTACTATCAATTCAGCATCAGGCCTGCGCGCCCTCACAGTAATCATAATCGCCAGACTGCCCAACAAGGACAGCAACATGGTGGTTTTTTTAACCGGCACAACTTGGGACAAATGAGGAATAGGCGGCCATCTCAGTCAACTTCGTTGAGCTTCGAAGAAAATCAAAGCCGGAAGGAGTTTCGTTTTCCTACTCTTCAAGGACGTTCACACGAGGAGCAGTCAGAGGGCACGTATAGTGATGCTCCCCAGGTCCATGGTAGTCGCATAACAAGTAGAGACAATTCGAACGAGCCGTATACGACGGGGATATCAAATATCGAAGACCCATCAGCTTCATCTGTAGCTCCGTGGTTTACGAACGATCCGAGAATACAAGGGGTAAGACTTTCGACAAGAGGCGATACCAAGAGTTTGACTGAGCACCTGGATACATCAAGGAACGATGGGTCTAATCAGCCGGATGACCTCCTTACCAAAGAGCAATCTGTGCCCAATGACCATGTCGTGGAATCAGTACATCCAGCAGAGAGGGAGAATAACGACGGAAGTACTTCCTTGCCGACTGACTTGTGTCTTCATCTTCGAGAACCGTCGGGTGAACAATCTTCCAACTCTTCCAATATACCATCTCGATCATCACCACTCACGACGTCAACGTCTCTGAAAGACGGTAAAGATCTCAAGTCGCTGCTGTACCTAGTCCATCCGAAGCCACAACCACACTCTAAACAGAAGAGATTCTCGTGGGACGAAGAGTCAGATTTTTCATTCCCTAACTGATTGACTCGAACTCTGTACTTGGTGAAACCCTAGGGCCTACTATTGATTAGCACAACCCCGACAGCCCATCTTTTGGAACCCAATCGCAGCCACCTGTATATTCCCCTTCCCCTCGATACCGCATTGTCTGCTCCCCGACGACCCGTTGCCAAGAGGCTGGTACGAGTGACGACGAGGCAACTTTGCATGCAGCATGGTATGGCCAGGCCGCACCAGTTTCGACACCGCTGACGGGTGTTTAAGGCGATGCTGCGACTTGCCTTCCCTCGAGGTCTCGCCGCGAATCTCCATCGAATCGAAGCAGCAGCTCAAACGACAATATCGTTACTGCATTTACCCAGTCCCACAGCTTGCCTCCAGCGCAACCCAACCGACTCCGTCAGTCCAGCTCGGACGCGCCTTTGCACCACCCCCGCTCGAAGGACGACATCTCCCTCGAAGCGAACAATCAGGTTCCGTGTAAGAGTGGTAGTGGCCGTGCACCTATATCGGGAGGAAACTCGCAAGTTTCAACTTCTCCGCCAGCTCGGTGCGAAGAAGCTGAGAGACTGGACTTCGCGACGCGGTGGACCGGGTATACCTTGTCGATTACAAATTCCTTTAGGCAGTGGAGGTCTGTTGCTGCTGTTGCTGCTTCTACTGATCAGGAAGAGAATCTGTGCATGCGCCCAGTGAGGGGTTGTTTGTGGATCCTCGGCCTGTGGCGAGGCTTCCGAGGGCGGTGGTTGGTTGGATGGATGGGTAAGATAGACTTGCGAGGGGTGCGGGTAGGGTGGTATAGATGGGAAATAATGAGAATGGTTATTTAAGTTGTTTTGGTGATGGTGTTGATGCGAGTGATGCTAGTGCAGTCACGGAGGAGAAGTTGGGTTACGCCTGCATGATATTGCTCTCCACCTGCCGTCGCCTCCTTCTCCTAGGCTGATGCTTTCTAAAACGCTAGAGCTGGAGGGAACTGCTTTTTTTTGACACACTTTGTCTACAAACGAATGTTTTTTTGTGGTGTGCACGTGTGATAATTCATGAGTAGTTGGATTGGGGCGGTATATCCGGACCAATCGCGAAACAGCGGAACGATGCTTCAAATATCTACTTTCTGTACCTCTTCTCTTAGTTAATACCTGATCATGCACACCCCGCCGTCGTGAAGGTGAAACACACTGTATCGTTAGTAAGTCGTCACGTTTTCAGGTTAAGCTCAATAGAACTACTTTTGGATTTCCTGTTTGCGGATTTGAAGATATGTATGGAACTAAGGGCTAATGGAGCGAACTTTACTTCCCCCTTTCCAGCATGCAATGTTATCCTATGGTCATATGTCATTGGCATAAATTCATATTCTTTCTCTTCCCTGGGCCCTTGTTTGCTACTTGACCAGAGAAGAGGAAAGGTTTTGCCTTTCTTTTCAAAGTGTTGATAGGTAGCGGCGATTGCAGCAATGGTAACGGCAGCAGTAGTCACGGCAACGTGTATAACAGTAACGGTCACAGCAACAGCTACAGTAGTCCCAATGATCATGGGCTCCATGACAATATGCAACGTGTGAGGCCAGCAAAAACACTAGAAGAAACGGGCAACATCGTTGTGCAGAACAGTGTGGAGTATTTAATCATTTTATTTTCATATTCCCAGCTGCTATAGCTGTTCATTGCCACTTGTCTACTCAGACCCGTGACACTCCTCCGTATCCGTTGCCCAAAAGCAAGCGATTAAGCAGCAATGGTGACCTCAACCTCGACACCGGCCTCGATGTTGATGATGATCTGCTTGACGACCTCGGTGGGGGCGTGGAGGTCGATAAGACCTATAACAACTGTTAGCCTTGCGCCTGCACATGTCTCAGGTTGTAGTACTTACGCTTGTGGATTCGCATCTCGTAGGTGTCCCAGGTCTTGGAACCCTCACCGCAAGGGGTCTTGCGGGTGGTGATCTTGAGGTGCTTGGTGGGCAGGCGGACGGGACCCTTGACGCGGAGCTCCTTGTTCTTGGCACGGTCGATGAGCTCCTGGCAGACCTTCTCGAGGGACTTGACGTTGCGAGAGGTGAGGGTGATTCGGATCTTGTGGATCTTGGGACCTGCGCTATGTGTGAGAACGTCGTCGTCGCAAATGTCATATGCACGGTTCCTTACCCTCACCGAAGTCCTTCTCGGGCTTGTTGTAAGACATCTTGTTGGATTGGAGGTTGGAGTGCTTATTGTTGTAGGTGCTGAGTGTAGATTCCAGTCACGACCTGGATCCTTGATCTCGGTAATGTGATGACTGGGGTGGCGTTAAAATTGGCGACGGCGTTCGAAGTCGTTAAATTCTCGCGCTTCGACAAAAATCACTTTGTGGGCGGCGACTGCCAAGATTACGGACGCTAGTGCCCGATCGGGTATCGCTCCCCATCAATCGCGCATCAGGCAGACCCATGAGCCATCATGACTACATGACAAGGATAAACACCCAGATTTGAAATCCCATAAAGACTTGCTCCCAACTGTTACGCCGCACTTGTATTCTCCAGTACCCGTTTATCTCCTTCTTCATACGGCTACCCGGAGTAATGTCACTACCCCACTTTGCACCATTCCCCGACGCAAAAGTCAGAAAGAGCATACTACCCGAGGAATGGCAACTTTACCTCGACTCATGGTCTTCATTGGCTGAGCTATACCTGCACCTAGGGGATCAACAATTTATATCAACAATTCAAGAGAAAGATACGCTGACTCCATTTCTGACGTCTTTCTTCCATGAACTGGCCCATGTCGACACGTTACCATCAACTGTAGCATCTTTGCGAAAGAAAGCCTTCTTTCTATCACATCGGCTGCTTTCAAGAGACGACACCCCAAACGCTCTCCTCAGCTGGTCAGCACTCTCTGATATCTGTCATGTCTACCCGAAGAGCGAGCAACTTCGCACGCTTCTACAGGGTCTATGGAAGCGAAAGGGCGCAACTATTGAAAAATCACTCCAGACCGCCAAGACATCATTGATCAGAAATCTGGAGTCGAAGCGGCCAGAGGAGACTGAGAGCACTCTTGATAGGGTAGCACCCCTTCTCAAAACCTCGACTGATGCGAGTCTCTTCATGCTTACCGGATCTGACTTTCTAGATGCTCTTTTGGCAGCGTATCCTCGAGTACCCCAGCCCATGCAGAAAAAGCTTGTGACAGTAGCATATCTTGGTCTTACAGCAGCGTTGGAAGGCCCAAAACCAAACTACTCGCTCCTTTCCGATCACCTATACAGTCTAAAGTCCAGCGAAGAACAAGAACAGAAGAAAGAGCCAGGAAAGAAAACCCTAGTAGCAGATCTGGTCACAAACACACCCTTCTTGGAGAAGGTGAGAGACAAGGCCACTGCTTCAGAAGCTTCAAGAGTGAAGAATACGGCAGCGTCACTAAGTGCATTTCGTCAATCGGGTATCGCTCGGCCTAAGAAGTTAATACGACGGAAGGCGGACAAGGGAAAAGCCAAGGCAACGCAGGATGAGTATGGTCACGGGGCTTTTACCGGGGAGATTCATGTTCACCGAATGAGCATAATTACCCAGATACAAGACCTGTTTCCAGACCTCGGTGCTGGATTCATTGTGAAGTGTTTGGATGAGTACAACGACGATCTCGAACAAGTCACCGCGCACCTACTAGAGGAGTCATTACCACCACACCTTGCCGAGGCGGACCGTAGTGAGAAGTTGTAAGTTCTGCTTATGACAAACACTTTGGACTCGCCATACTTACAAATTATAGACCTACTCCCACGACACCATCACAGCCACTTCCGCCTCCACGATCGAGTCAATACATCCCTGAGCGTCGTAACGTATTCGATGACGATGACTTCGATAAGCTTGCTGTCGATACATCTCGCCTCCATATTGGTCGGCGAGGCCAAGACCTAAGTGCTGATAAGATCCTCTCCGACCGCAGCAAGGCGCCTGCCAAGTCCGCCATTATGGCCGCTCTGGCAGCCTTTGATTCAGACGACGATGAGCGAGACGATACCTACGACGTTGAAGATGTCGGTGCATCAGTCGATACCGCTGCACTAGGACCAGGAGAAGACGCCGATCTCGGCGATAAGAATGAAGAGGCTTTGTTCCGCGCATACACCATGACACCCGAGCTATTTGGTCGCGATTCAGATACTAGAAGAGGCAAAGCACGAACTGCCCTCAGGAGCGAAACAGGAATGACGGATGAAGCAATCGAGGGCTGGGGGATAATGATGGGACGCAATCCCAAACAATTACGGCGCCTCGAGGCGAAATTCTCTACGTTCCAGGGCCAGCAGCGAGAACTACAGTCGACGGCATGGAGGGAGAGCCCCGCAGAATCTGGAGATGAAGCTAGTGGCGATGGATCTGGTGGCCGCGGAGGAAGAGGCGGCGGGGGTAGAGCCAGAGGGAGAGGCCGTGGACGAGGTGGAGCGGGTGGCGGGAGAGGCGGCGGTAATGTCGCTGGCCCTAATGATGACAAAGCGACGCAAATATCGCGGCAGAGAAAGGAAGCGAACAAAGGATCGAGTGCAAACCATAACCGGAAAGCGCAGCGAGGGAAGAAGATGGCTAGAGCAGGGTTTCCAGCTAGCTAGTTCAGGATTGACATCGTTAGCTGCTCTGGACTTTGGTTATATGTCCAATCAACAATTCGAGTTGATCAAGTTACAATCAATCTTACTGTGTTCGATAGCCAGTCTTCACACGAACAAGTTTCATGATGCTCTGCAATCTTCTTCATGTGCTGGCTGCTGCAGTTCATCAAAGCTCAACATCCATGATTTTTCGAATTCACCCGCATATTCTTGCTTACGTAGGGAATTTCGCGTCTTTCAGTATTTGTCATGACGTATTGATAAGTATAACTATAGATTTTGGCATCTTCATGCATACTGTTCCAGTGATCATTTCCAAGGCCAGTCCTTCTAGACGGCGACTAAAAATATCCTATGGGAGGCATGAATAAGAGCACTTTGTGTCTTATCCCCATTCTTTCTGTTGCAGGCTGTGCGTGTAATGGTCATCTCACTAGCCAGACGCTGTGCCAAGCCACTTGATGGATCATCACGTGAAACCTCATACATAGTCACGTTCTGCGCAGCGCCTAACCAGTGAAATAAATTTGTTCTAGCACAACCAGTGTCCTAGCACACTGGAATGGGCTTGGATTTCTATTCGTCTGGTTCTACAGTGAGGGACGTCAGCTTGCGTCTGATAGAAAGATGTATTCTTCGGAGTCCGGCTACTAGCGCGTTAGCAGGTAGGTACAGGCTTTTCTTAATACAAATCTGTTGACATCAATCTCATTTCATTTCATCAAGCCAACAAGTTTCTAGTATTCTTAGCATTATAGTCATCTTCAACCGTACAGTGAATACCTGTCCAATCTACTGTTTAGTGTGTACTTGTCTTTGGGATGCATGGCATAGTGGACCTGTTCACGCTTCAGAGCCTCGCTCCCTAAACGTCTCACGTAAACAGCTCTTGCATATGCCCAGGCCTTTGGTATGGCCTATGGTCGAGGCCAGCTTTGTCTTGTCACTGAAGCTACTTTCTAGTATACCGTTGACCGATGGTAGGTTCAGTCTCAGCTGAGATATTCAAGTCTCGCTCAGCACATATAATGTTCGTCATTGTGCTATCGTCTTGTCAAGTTGTCGTGACATATCAATTGACCTTGAATTTCTTTCACAAGTCTTTCAAAATGGTCGATCGTCTTAGTAAATACAACTTGATCGATGCGTCTGTATCAACTCTTCCCCGAAGGATGTCAACTAATCTAAACGACCCTCACGTCAGACCCACCAACCGCCGAATGCATCATGGAAGGTTGTTTTGGACCGAAATCTGATGGCGTCTGATGGCTACTCTAGTATTCAGCATTGCTATGACGGCCGTTCCCCACAGCTTCTCCCTAAAGGGTGTCCTCAGTCGTTGGGAGAAACGCTGGTTCAGTGCATTGGCCATCTTGCTCTCTTCAATGTTGAGCCTGAGCACGGGTTCGCTTCTAGGCTTATTAGGCAGCATGGTTCGTTGGCCCTTGCTAGCACGTAAGCTGTACACACCAGTTGACGTAAGTTTGTCTTCAATTATAGATATCGTGCTGTGCTAACGATTTAGATTAGGCCGATTTGATTCTAGGCGTGTCTAACCCAACCGGAGCTGTTAAGCTCATCTGGATACATACGGTGCAAAAACGGAAGTGGTGTGTTACCACAGTAATCGTCATGGTCTATTTACTCGCTGATATCATTGGCCGGATTAGTGTCGCTGCGTTCGGATTGACCTTTGATTTAAACGAGGAGCCACGGATAGAGTATCCTACCAAGCTAACCAACTGGGGCACAAGCGACTGGTTTAATGACTATGTTCTTGAGCGAGTATGGTTTGTCTGATTTTGCTACTGCGTTTACCTTTATTCATCAAAATTTCCGCAAGTCTGAGACTCGTAGCAGATTATATTGGTGAAAATGCGTGATTAATAACGAGTATAGAACGTATGAACCAATACGCAACAATAGGCCTTTTGAACGTGCCAGATGGCGACTTTGATTCCAACAAATCCTCCACTTATAACATAAAAAACATAAGTGGACATGGCTTGAATCGTACAGTTGAGTGAGATAATGTGGCTTACTCGTACTATTTGAAACAGTACCGCGGTGAAGAAATTATGTCGTCCAATACTAGCGTGGTTCACAGCTCATCCAGGTGTTTTTGGGGAACTGTATCACTACGTGAAAATCAGGAGAGGGTGGTAGATTATGGTAAGCAAAACACTCCGCTTGGTGCTCTAAGACTATTAGCTACAACTCATTTATTTAGGTGATGTTATCTACGAGGCAACATTTGAGAATATTGTGAAGAAAATTATGAGTGTTTATACAGTAATGTTATATGGATAGCTCCAAGGAATTACTCACAACTATATGGAGACTCAGCTTGCGCGACAACATGTAAGGGCCACCACCTAGCCTATAATTCTCAAATTCTAACATTAGAGACTTAAGATCTTTACGTTGAGCCTGACGTGCTCTTTCAATATGAAGGCTATCATAACGCAATACTATTCGAGTGCCATACGTGTACACGCCATAATAACAACATACCGGGTCTTAGTCTACTCGAATCATCTTACAGTACCACTTACAATGTTTCAAATCTTCTCCATCGAGCTGGTCATGATGAGCGTATGTGGAAAGGTATTGAGGAAGACGACAGTACCTATGGTGTCAGAGTTTATTCTGGTATAGGCAGTGGCGAACACTTTGCAAAAAGCCTCACCAGTGCGTTAATGCAAGATGACTATATGCGATCCCACCCAGGAAATGGTATTCAATTCCAGGCCAAACTGTAAGCTGCACACCTTGCAGCACGTCTTCCCCTTCTCGCCGTTCTGGGTGCTGATATCCAGCTGCCAAAGGTGACCCAAATTTCAGGCGCATCTGAGCGGCTATTCATAGATGTCAGATTGAACGTCAAACTGAAGGAACCAATTACGGTTCTAATGTGTATCTTTGGAGGTCAGGTACTGGCTATTGCGGTTGCTATTTTCTATTGCAGGAAGGTTTTCATACGAGATTATGCCAGCAGTCTTTCTATTGCCAGATTGCTGAAAACGACTATGGAGGAAGTGGAAGGAATGAGTACATGTACGGGCGAGAAACTCATGGAATATCTAGATAGAAAAGGTGTGATGATGAGATATGGAACACGGCGGAAGGGCGACGAGGCGTTGGAGGTAGATCTGTGGAACGATGTCGAGGACGAATTCCCAGATGCCATATATTCATAGGAGATAGTATTACAGTCTGTGTTGTTGGCACTCATAATCCGAACCCACAATTCCATTAAGCGGCTATTGGCAGTCTTTACACTATTTCATGTTGCAGGGGAGTCACTCTGTTTTATTCCAACCTAATCTTGAAAATACATAGAATAGTTATAGCTTCTAGTAGAATACCAGCTAGGTTACTTTGTTATTTTAGATAGATGTGTTACCATAACTATATATTTAGAGAAAGCATGGAGATGCTAGTTTGTATACATGTTTCCCTAAATACTATGTATAATAGCTACTAGCTAGACTATGTATATACTTTGTTTACTGCTCTCTGACGACAACGCTCTAGCGACCAAGGTTTCAACCTGACTACATGATATTGTCGCTATTAAGCGCTCGAAAACAGCACAGCTATAATGGTTAATTGCATGATACTAAAGGGCCTGAAGCGAATCGATACTGGCTGATGAGGTACTTTACTCCCCCTGCTAGGCCCGCTATAGTAACAACGGTTCGGCATTTTGCTAGCCGCCAGCTGCCAGGTAAGGTCTCGTTCGCATGAGTCATCTGTGGTTATGCCCAGGTCGCTGCTGTACAACATGACTATTGGTTGCTGCTTAGCTGTGCGACTAGATCAAGTAACTGATCACTGCCCCGTGAGTATCCTGATTTTCCCTGTCACTTTCATTCCTTGAGGCCAATTATTCCTAGATTCAGAACGCTAAAGTGGAAGCATCTACTATCTTTCGTTATTGCTGTCCCTAAATTACTTTTAAGAAAGGTATTGGCTGCTTCATTAGTCTTATTCGCGATGATTTTTAGTGCATGCTATCTCATGGCTAGACGTCATGTTCACTCTGCAAGACCTAATACTTTCGGTCGCATACGTCTGTCTCTACTGGAGATATATGAAAGCCTCAGAAGCTTTTGCGAATGAGCGTTCGAAAAGACAGGACGCGACAAAATCCAAACAGCTGATAACAGCGAACAGCGTGGTTTTACAATTAGATGTCATCCAGAACGTCCTTCCGTGCCTGAAAATCTACATTTCCAGGTACATGTGCTTCCCACTGATCTGTGCGATCAAGCTAGAGGTTGATTTCGTCGTATTGAATCGAATCGTCAAGAGTGTAGAGGAAACCTCAAAGTCCTTGCGAGTTGCCGAGTTCATTAGTGAGAAGTTTGTTAGCATAGTCAAGGGCGCTGAGGCAGAGGTATAGTTTGGATCTGTGGTTGGCATGCAGCTTTTGGACAATAGTTCAGGAAGGTGGAGCGATGGTTTTGAATCAAAGAATTGGATCGGTGCAAAAATATTCAGATAGAACTAGGGCTAAATAATAACAAGGCGGACTACAAGTTGGCACCATTCTTAACAAGACCTGCCTACACGGCTTTCGGTGGTGGACAAGCTGGCGTAACCGTCAATATGTTTGAACTAGCAAAAACAATAAGGGAAACCCTTGAACCACCGCTACATGTTGGATATGCAAGCGGAGTAGGATTGCTCCAAGTAGGTAGATTAGGAATCGCTCCAGCGTTGTAGGTATATTGATCTTGGTTGCAGTTGGTGAGTGGGAGGCAGACGAGCTGAATGTGAACAGCTGCAAGCGCATATGGTGGGTTGAGGAGGTATGTCACTGTAACTCTTCCCTGAGCGTTCGCTGTGGCAACCCAGATGCCAATGTCAATGGCTTGAGTAATATCGTTACTACCATCACCGACATAAAGTGGACCTGATATGCCACCCTGCAATTCTGCAAGTGTAGGCGTCTCATACCAACCCCACCTATTGCAACCTGACCCTGACTGTGTGTTCAGAGTGAAGGACTTCTGGACACCAGCGACGGGATTTTGATAACCGATAGCCGTCCCGAATGCGCAAGTCTTCAGACTAGGTGGCGGAGATGTAGTCGATGTCACGGTGACAGTTAAAGTTGATATGGAAGTCTTTGTTTCGAGCAAGGTTGCGGTTGTTGTTCTTGACTCTGTCGCGTCAGGCAATGTTGCTGTCAGTATAAGTGTGCTGTAAATGGTGACTGTGCTTGATGTAGTGGCAGTTTCTAAGACAGTTACTGTCGGTGACGCTCCCAGAATGCAACTGCAAGCTCGAGATTTAACATCATTATTAGACGCAGAGCTGCAAGGTTTTTTGTTTCCGGGATGGTTTCTTATTGTATTCGGTTGACGGCGCATCTTCGCAGGCGGTGTGATGGTAGCGGTTGTACTACAGTAAGAAATTGTTAGGACAAGAAAATTGGGTGCTGCCTTTTAAACATACGTGGTAGTTACTGTTGTTGTGGATGTAGTGACTGTGGTGCTACTTGTAGTTGTAGTTGTGAAAGCAGTAACAATCGCAGCTGGAAGCTAAAACGGGTTAGTGTAGTATTTTTGTATTGCTATGCTAGGTCACCTCACTGTTGTCGAAGTAGTCGTGACAGGCATGATTGTTGTTAGAGATGTCTGGAACATGGTACCTACTTCTCGTTACTATATACTCTGATAGTCAGTTAATTGTCTCAACTTACTAGTTGTAGTTGGAACGTTGAGGAATGAATAACAATATGAGGGCTCTAGACGATCGCGACCAAGGATCGCATCTCGAACGTTAACCACAGCGGGATCAGAGCAGAACGGAAAGGGACCGGTCTGCCGTTCGGCCAACTCTGGGCGCTGCTCCGCTGGAACACATAGCGTTCTTTGTACGTATAAAAGTGCTGCGAGCGCATGCCAATTAGGATAGCGCATGCTGTCGAGGATACCAGAATAACTGAACAAGTTGAAACTTCTGAAACAAGACGGAATGACCTTATCATTTTCTCAGCAGTGGGGGGTTCTTTGTTCCTTATAAATGCATTATAGTTTATTGAAGGCGTTGTTGGTCTCGCCTTCCATTGCGCATGGGGCAGCGTTGAGACCATATTTTGCTTAGCTCATTTAGCTCGGCTGGTCTTTCCGTATACTAGTGACAACTAGAGGCAGGAGTGGTAATTATCTTGAAGAAGCTGAGCTGCCGCCGTACGCCACATTGCCGCCACTACTGCCGCTTCAGTACTATGCGATTCGACGGTCGACGGTGGTTGCGACCGTGTTTTGTCAGGTAATGTCCATCCTCGGCTAACGCTCGACCACTTCAACGCCAATAGTTAATAACAAATTCCAGGAATTTGTAGCGGATGCAGATTGAACCATGCGAAACGATTGCTGATGTCAGATTAGCCGTCTAAAGTGTTCTGGTAGAGCTATTTACCTTTCACAGCGAGTACCTGATGCAGTGGCTAGGTCGACTTCATCGACTTCATCAACTTCTATAGGGTCTTTTCAAGTCCGGCCTTTCAAATGCTTCGTCCGTAGCTTTCAAAAGACTAATTCGATGTTGATTTCTAGCTACCCATTGACCAATCGAACTTGTTTAATCTCCTTGCTTTGTTGGCGTTTTTTAGCCTGCTGTTTGGCTTTTACTGTTGTAGCAGACAGCCATTGCTGCCCCTTTTCTTCTGACTAGCGGGTGTTCTTAGGATCTGTTTAGTACACCAGTTTCAAGACGGCGATTTTGGCAAAACTTTGGCAGGAATAAGCGATCACGTGTGCTTACGTAACTAGCTTACCTAGGCTCACGTGGCCAATCTGAGGGCTCTAGCTCCGTGTCGAGATCTCAACCTATGTGTACGGAGTTGAGTGGCACGAGGCCTAAAAGGGAATGGTTTAGGCCTCTTTGTCTCAAAGATAGTTTCCATAAGTTTAGTGCAGACCGCTATGCCCTTGTAGATGTCCATCTCAAGGCGGCTGAGCATAATCACGATTAGTCTGCCAACGTCACTACGTTAACATCAATCTAGGGCCACGTACCCTCCTCTACTAGTACCATTAACAAGAGAAGAGATTCGCTATCAGCTCTGTACGCGCTGCTGCTAGAGGATGAGCAGTCTGGCTGTCCGCACCGTGGGCTAGAGCTAAGAGCTAATAGTAGAGGGGTGCCCGGTCGAAGTTGTTAAACTGGGCTAGGGCTGGCGCAAGCGGGATCTACCCATTGCACTGTCCAACGATAGAAAACCAGTACATGCAGGCTGAAGCAAATGTACACGAGCGCCAGACCCTCATCCATCACCCGAGTTTCCATTAACTGTCTATCCTATTCCTATTCGCTAGTGTCTTGAGCTACTATAAGCTTATCGACGTTCTGTTTGCCTACCGACGAACCCCACTCAAGATCAAAATTTTTTCTTCTGTCTTTTGCCGCGGCCATATTATATCCAAGCCTCGTTTTATTACCACATTTTTTGGACAACAATATATTGATAACACTGCTGCCTTTCTCCAAGAACACTCAGAACATCCTCTTCTTCAGTAGTATAGTGGTCAGTATTTCCGCTTGTCAAGCAATTGACAGATCGCGGGAGACCGGGGTTCAATTCCCCGCTGGAGAGTCATTATCTTTTTGCTCCTACCCTCATGACAGAAAAAAGTAGTCACTCCGAGCACGGGCCCCAACCACCAATGCTCGCTTCAGCTCTTTCTACCCTAGCTTTGCAGCACCACCACTCTACCAAAATATGATGTTTTTTAATCAATGACTCCTCAGACCCACAGCCGTCGTCCTACCAAGCTACATCTTGATACGCCAACGCGGGCGCGGTTTTCGAGACGATAGATCGTCGGGGCAAAGAAAGTAAGCGCAGCATCTTCAAGCAGTTTGGTATCACCTATAGAACGGGCTACCAACTCCCCCACGATCGCGATGTATTTGGCGATGTCGCTGACTCCCAATCTAAACTTCGAGCTCGTAAAAAAGATATTACTGGCGGACCTGGCTCTGGACGCCGACCGATAGTTTCAGACAGATACAGTCTATGCTCAACGCCCCGCCAGAAGTTCGCAGTGCTAAGCTCGTCGACCAGACGTCTCGGGCAGGAATATCAGCATCAACTCGAAATATCCAGCGTGCTCTTCGGAAGAGAAATGCTAGAGTCTATCGAGCTGCCTAGTCTAGAAGAATCACCCTAGATCAAGCTACCCAGCGTCTTGATTACTGCTAGAAATATTGACTCAAGCCTATCCAAAGCTTTTAGGATGGAGTAATATTCACCGACAAAGCCCATATGTCAATGAGCGAGTTACCACAGCAGATCATTTTACAGGTTAAAGGTGAGCGATATAAGCCAAAAAGTATTGCAAACACTCCATCAAAGACACCTACCGACGTCCATTTTGCTGCTTGGGTGGACTAATACGATATAGCTTCTGCTCTGGTGTTCTATAATGACGAGATGGATGATGTTGAAGTCACAAAACCACCACCAAAGCCGCGTCCTCGTCCGACGACTGAAACCGACGATCAATATCAAGCTCGGGGGGCTGGCTGGGAAGCCCAGAAGGCTCGTAATCCGATTATTTCTCGTCCGGGTAACTGCATGACGGCAGAATATTACACCAAAAATATCCTCCCAATATACCGTGACGCCTACCACTCACTCGTCTCTCGGAGTGATATACTGCGCGCCCACCTCCACCCAGATTGCCAGTATAACTGGTATCTTGTCGAAGATAATGACCCAAGTCATGGCACCAAAAATCCGATCTCAATGCCGTCGCGGTATCGAGGAAATCACGGCATCAAGACACTGCGTCACCCAGCTAACTCACCAGACTTCAACCCAAGTGAGAGCCTTTGGGAGCTAATCAAAGAACGGGTAAAACGATATATCAAGAATATCAATACTATAAAAGATCTCAAAGATGCTTTACAGTCTGAGTGGAGAAACATCACCCAAGACAACATCCAGCGACGGATCAAAGAGATGCCAAAGAGACTACAACACGGCTATTAGTGTCCAGAATCGCGCGTCAAAACCAAATTTTGGTAGCTCAACTCTAAATAATGAGCCTTGAAAAAGCTCTAGAACTAGCTATCAAGTGTTGCGATAGTGATGCACTCAGTCAAAATGTCGTGTTGTATGGGGTTACCACCAGAAACGGCATGGTGGGGCAATGTCGGCGTTCCCGGAGTGGTTACCTTTTTCTGTCATGGGGGTGCCCCTATCATTTACCTGTTGGTAGTTGCTGTTTTATCCGAGGGAGATTGTACATTCAATTCGCTGCTGGAGCGCTTATATCCCTCAGTATTCTGTAGCTTTCTTTTTACTAATAGACTATAGTAAAGTTCTATTTTAAGATAAAAAAAGTTTCTCTCTTAAGATCTGATTTCTTATAACTATTCATGAAAAATTACATCTAGTTAACTACTTGTAGTGTAAAATTTTAGCCCCCAACATGTGTATATTTAGCCTGATCCGCCACCACACCAGATTGCGGATACCTAAAGCTTGGCTGCATTATTTAATCTCGGGCTCGTTGGCCCTTACCCCCTCTTCCATCTTGTGCTTTTCTCGCCTCGCCAATTACCTCGGAACTGACCGTCGACCACATATTCATAACTTACACTCCCTTCATAAGGAAGACTAGGACGTCTTTGCATTATGAGCCGTCAGGCTGCGGCTGATTTTGAGGTGTTCGAAATACCGTTTGTCACATTTCTATCCCAAGTTAAGCGCTACTGCTCACAGCTTTAGGCCGGAAAACTTATACGTCGAACTATTGGATAGTGGTAATGCGTCTAACGCAAAAGGCGCTTCACAGCGAACATGGCCACATTTTCGCCACTGCCTACGTGTACTTCGACTGCAATTTATCAATCTTGTATTCGAACGCCTCGTTAGCTGGAAATCTAGTACTGAGCACCGGAAAGTCGCAATGTACCGCAAAAGACGCGTGGCAGCCTCACACGTTCTACTCCAACTTTTCCCCCTGGGCGGAGCAATAGTACTCTTGATTCTTCAATGGACAAAGTATTGGATAGGAATCCAGACTAACGTATCTACGTTCCTACAATTTACAGCCAAGTTTCATGAATTGACAATGCAGGCTTCGCTTGTCGAAATTTTGCTTTGTGTCATTCGCACTAACATAGTCAACGGATACATCCCATTAGGCGCGCTTTCTAGTACCACACAGGCGACCCAGTTGTCGTACCTCTGGTCTCTCGACTTCATCTCAACATTTAAATCTCCTGCTTTTAAGGGATGGCAGAGAACAGTGTTTCTTCTTGTTATCTTGACTATTGTACCTCTGACATCGCTCGTTGGACCTTCGAGTGCCATTCTCATGATACCCCGTCCGGATACCCCACATATCGTCCAAGAATACAATTGGTACTTGCCTAATTCGACTGATGATGTATATCCTTCGTCCTTGAGTCAACATAATGGCTTGATAATGTGAGTACTGAGTCCTTTTCGCACAACCGAGACTGAAAGGTTATCTAGAGACCTTCTGAACCTGGAAACGACCATCGCAAGCAGAAGAACGCAAGTTTTTTTAAATGAGGAGCAAGGCTCCTTAATCGACATGATCGCAAGCGAAGAATGCGATTCTTATCTGCAAAGATCCTTACGTCAATCCTTTTTCTACAACCAAGATTATGTGGAATCAAACACGACGCTGCCGACTTGCTTAAATTCTGAATTGTTTATCATGTCAGGTGCTGACTGGCGACGATTGTATAGAGGCGTAGGAAATCGAACCACAATCCTCCTTCAGACACTGCATCCAGTGGTATCAACACGTTGTACGACCAAATCAATGAGAAAATCGGATGATATATTTTATGTGCGCGAAAACAGAACCTTAGGTGTTCTCTTTAATACTCAAACACTTGTGGATCGAGTCTCGAACTTTACTGGCTCCAGCAATGCAACACTTCGAGTGCCCGGACTGAGTCTTCCTGAAGACTCGGAGAAAGTCTTTTACCCTCCGATCTGGATGTCATCTCCAGAAAGTAGTTCAAGCTCACTGATTGGCGTTTTTGCCTCTTGGGAGGGGTTTGCTCAGCAAGACGAATTGCCACACTCACTCCCGTGGATATTGACACAACCCGAATCTTATAGGTCTAGCCTATACGTTACCACCTGTACAATATCGGCTTATTGGAACAACGGAGAGTCACAGCTGATTGAAAGATCGGGCGAGATGGTTGTACAGACTAGGGAATCACCCAGGTCAGAGCCGTATAAAGCAAGGCCCATTACCTTGGATCTAACTGGTATCCACACCGTTCAGACTCCTGAGTTCCTTCGCGACATGGCCTCCTCCATCGGCGGAATTGGGTATGATTTTGGCATACCTTTCGCCCTCGCGATCGCTCAAATACCTATCGATCATGTCGATCCATCGTCAGAAATGCCACCCAATTTCAATGAACACAATATGACTGTTTTCAAGGGCAATACCTTTGTATACGGTTACGGATACGGTAGCAGGTCGACCTCCGTTCAACTTGCAATACTGGTCATGATTACATACTGCGTAATCGCCACCGCCTACAGTGGATACATTCTGGTCACCGGATCCACATCGACAGCATGGAACTCCACAATCGAACTAGTTGCCCTTGCACTGCAATCAAAAAAACCAGACTACCTCGGACATATATCTGTAGGGATTGATTCGATTGAGACAATGAAAGAAGGTGTTCGAATCTGTGCTAATCAGGACAACGAGCTTGAAATGATCTTCGCGCATGACCGCGACATTGACAAGCGGGATCTAAGGAAAATTCAGAGCAACAAGGAGTACTAAGGCGCAACTACTATCTGTTCGCTTTTAGTATGGCTGTAAGCAGTTGTGGGTGTAGAAAGTATTGTCCATCCTGTTGAGTACAATGATAGGAGCAAGTTTAAATACAGCGTCATTAGTCAGTGAGCAAGCACGTGACTATACATGGTACTTCTAGGCTTACAATAGCAGTTATTAGCAACTCCACGTTTGGCTAGATCGAAGTGCTACAAGTGTCTCAGGTGCAGAAGCGAAGAGTAAATTCTGAGAGCCTATCTGTTTTCACTGAGAATGACAGTAATATTAATTATTCCTGGCAGGCTATCTGTGATAACGTCGATCGTGCATGTGTCAAGTACCAGTTTGACCACTGCCTCATGTTAATTCTCCGCGGCCCACAAGAGCGGCGTCCAGCCGTAATCATCGCCTTTCGACTCCTGGCCGTTGCCCTTTTCCAACAATAGCTATACAACTGCATACTGCCCAAAACATAACGCCAATGCAATGGCTGTTAAGAAGGAAATCGGAGGAGATATATCCTTTTGATGAATCTGGAACCATACTGAATAGGCCTCAGAATCTGGATCACAGATATGCGAAGCAATTAGTACAATGGCATTGTCCTGATGGCTGGGGCAGGTCTCACGCACATGTCAAGCCCAAAGTACGGCCGAATAGCCCAGAAACGTGTGGCCATTGATGTACTTGTCCCCCAGGGTAGCATCTGTCAGAAGACTGGCCCTCGATTTGAAGAAGTTAAAGTAATTCATGCAGGCTGTTGTAAGAACACTGTGCGCATAATCGATAGTAATCGAGTGATGCCATAGTGACCAGATGTGAATGTTTAGACACGATGGCAGATTGCTTAGAAGAAGCTCACGAGCAGTCTAGTGAAGGAAGTAGATCTTGCCATCATCGATCGAGACGAATGATCCACACAAAGACCTAAGACGCAACTGAAAATTCGTGTCATCTTCTTGGTTAAGATTATTAACGTACCCCACGGGTTGGTGGGCCACGCTAGCTGTTGCCCTCACCAAAACTCCCCCCCTCCCTAATGTCGTAACAACAACAGCACCTAGAGCCTTCTTCTAAACATTAGATATAGCTTACTCTTTAGACTCTTAAACAAGACGCGAATCTCTTAGAGCGACGCGCTATAGCTATCTATAACATCTCTCATAATATACTAAGCCGTTAACGCGCTAGTCGTGCTTTAAAAGCAGATTGCTGTAACAACAGAGTTCTTACAGCCATATATAACCAGACCAAGTATCAAGCAGAACCGGAGCCAAACCAGATCAAGCCCAAACCCAGGGGGGACGAACACCTGGGGGGGGGGGGGAAGGAACTATCCTGGATCGGCACCGGAACCGTACCAGGTCACTGTCGGAACGGTTCCCTGTCTAGGGAAAGTGACAGCAGGCATTGGCAGTATAAGAAGCATCGTGAAGACTAGAGGTGTAGGGCAGATTTCTGATATCCTTTCGTACAAGGCCTATAGGTGTTCTGTCTTGAATCAAGGTTCTTCTGTTGTACCACGCACTCCCATATGCCTCTGAGTGACACCTCCAACCGACACTGATCCGAACAGATCTTGCCTGTGCCGTTACAATTGCTAGCTTAAATTAAAAAATCTAACTAAGTTTAAAGAGAAGATAGTTATTAAGTATAACTATACTTAAGCTTATTATATATAGATTTCCCTCTAAACTTATAGACGTAGCTAATATAACTAATTCTTTACGCGCTAAGCGCAATCTAGGCTAGATTGTAACGGCACAGGCAAGATCTGTTCGGATCAGTGTCGGTTGGAGGTGTCACTCAGAGGCATATGGGAGTGCGTGGTACAACAGAAGAACCTTGATTCAAGACAGAACACCTATAGGCCTTGTACGAAAGGATATCAAAAGTCTACAGAACTAACTACAGGCAGAGTCTTAATATATACTGGTCCTAGTCGGGTCCGAATCGGATCCGACTCCAAGAATGCTAGACTGCTGAAGGAGGGCGGCGGATCCTTGTACCGATCCAACTCCGGTAAGGGTCCGGTGCTGGGCAGGACTGTAACATCGTTACACCTATGCTAACTCGATATTTTAGAACCCGACTTAACTGTAAGGTTATTGCGCTGATATTATATTGATATTCGTGGAGTTAATTGTAAGAGTAAGTGTCTGGCTCGAACGAGTAGTTAGGGGGTGATAAATTCACGATATAATTGGTTAACAGCTGCACTATGCCTAGTAACTATGGGGTTGCGCGTGCAGTATGAGATATTACGTGCTTTGCTAAAAACGGACGCTTAAAAGAATACATAGCGCACGCTGCGATAATAAGGTGAAGTCACGAGCTACGTCCGTACAACCTGCCATAGCTAGTCAGTGTTAATGATTAAACGCTGCGATGCTGCTTTAAGGCGGCAAGTGCCGCCAATACACTAAGGCTCCCAACATGCAAGGGGGATGAAACACGAACTACTTTAAGGCTAATATATCTGGAAACAGAAAGTAGACTCTCAGATTATGGTGACTGAAACAGGGAAATTAACGGTAATTGGTAACCTAGAACGGAAAATTTAACGGACATGTTGACAAACAGCACAGTTACATAGTGGTCAGTATTTCCGCTTGTCAAGCAATTGACAAATCGCGGGAGACCGGGGTTCAATTCCCCGCTGGAGAGTTCTTTTTTTTGCGTTTTTTTAGTGGGAGAGTCAGTCACAATCAACGTATTTCTTCTGCGCGGGCCCACCCTTGCCTTAAGCGAGAGGCTAGCTAGTGACTTTTTGGCCTTCACGCCTGAAACGGATGCACGACGAACGGCGGATCGGACAAGTATCCCTGCTTTCTTTTGGTCTGCCGTCGTTCTGTCTCTCAGTTTTACCGTTCACAGCAGCGCGTCCTTGGTAAGCTTTTGCTGTCTTTTTTTCTTGCAGTCTCTCGGCCTTACGTCATCCAGAGAAGGTCCACCCCGGGATCTCGCAAATCTCGAAGCTGTGCAGCCGTGCACTAGAGCTCACTGAACAGTAGCCTTTGAACAAGACAAGAGTCGCCAATGATCCGCGACGTAAATATGCAATGACGCGGCTTCTATTTAGGCAAATAGTATTGCTTCAATCAATTCCAGCAGTATCTCGGCGAATGAGAAAAGTGGCTCTTGTTTGTGGATCTCAGATATCTAGCCAGAGAAAGATGGAGGGCGAATCAGTCTGCGCTATATTTTGTCATTAACAACATTATCCAATGGATCTAGAGTTTGCAAAAACGCATAAATTCTCTATTCGATACTTCCTAATATTCCCAAATTCAAGGCGCTGCTGTCTTACGGCCATCTTCTTGCAAGATCATGTTCAAACCATCACGCTTAATGCAGTTCTCAAATGCAAAACTCTTTGTCAACTCCTCGAACTCATCCTCGTTCTTATCCTTGAATGAATCAGCGAATTCCTAGCCAAGATACTCGCTCATAAGACCTTCTCGGACGGCTCTCTCTACCTGCCTATCGAACGTTTAGATGTTGGGTACATCTTCTTTAGACCTTCAATGGATGGCTCGTATACGTCTTTGACGACATCCTTGTCAACGATGCTCTAAAAGTCGAGAGCAAGATTTTGTTTTGTGGCAACAAAGGGCGCGATAAGCTTCATGTAAGGCATGTCTGGGCTGACATACATCATACCTTGGTAACCGATATCTTTGTAGAGCCAGATACTCCAACTTACTTGACCACGCGCGTAGATTTCTAGCTGATCTTGCAGCATGTGGTAACGTGCATTGTTGGTTTTCACTGCCTCTGGGTCGGTATGCTCATCGGCATATACTGGACCGAATTCACCATTCCAGATGGGAATATTCTTTTCCCGCATGAAGAAAACCTTCCGGTCGGACTGTCGTATGCGTTTACTTTTTTGCTCTTTGCTACCGGTATAGAGTGGCTGTCCTGGGATTGGGAAACCGAACATTGCATAATCGTAGTATGCGTAAACGGAGTTAGGAAGCACATTCTGGAAGTAGGTAAAGTCCATTGTGTATGTGTCACCGTCGATGAAAAGCATTGTCTCTGGGTCTACAGCTCGGATCTCTTTCTCTACACGCTCATACCATGAGATCAAGCGAACATGCTGGGGATCCGCTGGCTCGTTTAGGAGATTATAACCACAGACCACAGGGTTTCCATTATAGTGTGCAGCAATTGCAGCAATGGCTTTCCATAGCTCGATAGCTTGATCTTGGAAAACGCGAAAGTCCCAGAATAAGGCCTTGTTCAGACCACTGTCGCAGTGCCAGTCTTGGTTCTGACCTCCTGGAACAGCGTGAAGGTCGAGGACAACATACAAATTGTATTTTGCACAAATATTGACGGCGCGGCCAAGCAGCTCGAATCCCTTCTTCTTGAAATGGGTTGGGTTTTGGTCGTCAATGAAGTGGCGGTAGTTGAATGGGATGCGAATGCAGTTCATACCAAGCGGTGCGAAGAATTCTGCATCGGCTTCTGTGAAGAAATGTTGTAGTAGGCGGTCGAAGAAGAATTGTGCCTTTTCTTTGCCCGGCACTGAAGCAAGTGCTGTCTTGTGCTCATGTTCATGACCAGAATAGCCGGTGATGAAATTCTCCATGTTCAAATATCTACCGAGAGCTGTGCCTTTGAGCACAACGCGCTGCCCAGCAGCATTGACAATTGCATCGCCCGGTGTGCGCAAAGGATGATAAGGTCGATTGGAGGTGTGAATTGCCATTATGAAAGGATAATGTTCGAATTGATAGGTTGGTTGCAGTATGAGCTCAAGTGGAAAAAGAGCGTTACATACAGAATGTTGGCCAGATGTTGAAGTCTCTTAAAAGAATGCAAAGCACTCGGCTGACGTCGCTGCTGCCATGCGAGAAGAAGAAGAAGCTAGCTGCCACACATGAAAAATATAGGCGAAACCACTAAAGATCTGACTAACGAGGTAGCCGGTTTGGGGAGCAGAATCGCACTCGACTGACGAGTAACGAGGATTGAATTCATAGGCTAATTGATTTGAAAAGTAAACTTAAAGTATCACCAAGGCAGCCATGACTAAACACTAGCGTTAATATGCTGCTAGAAAGTATGACATCTTTCCTTTTTTTGCCTCAGAAGGTTTATGATGATACTTCAACAACTTAGTTGTCAAAATTGCACCTATTATGCGCTGAACCAAAAGTCAATTCGCATGAGCCATGGCCGCATAGTAGTAGCGAAAGTGTTTTTGTTTACGGATTGTATAAATTCGCTAAAAGCATCAAGTGTGTTTACATTTTGCTTTGGGAATACGACTTCGTAAGAATATACGTAAAGATCATTGTGAACAAGCTCATAGCAAGTCCACCGATCCAGGAGGCCTCAGCATCATCTCTCATCTTGTCACCACTAACAAAAAGGACAACCCAAGCCCTGTCACCCAGCCCCAAGACGGTTCCAGTGCACCAGCAGCTTTCGTAGAAACCGATGAGCTCAAATATAGAACTCAAGATAATCCATGTAGCATTGATAACGGCAACGGATTTACCAAAGAGCCGCATAAGCACGGCGAGTCTACCAATCCACTTGATCTGTGGACTACGAGGAACTTCTCGCACTGCACCTGTTGCTCCGTCCCATCGCTCTGTCTGATATATGAGCATTACGTGATGCGACAGGAAAACAGATATCAGTAAGAGAACATGGGCGCAAGTAGCGAAGATGCCGTACAGTAGATAACTCCCAGAGCGACATCCGAGACCGCGCACCTCCGTCAGGTACGATATGACAATGGCAGACCCAGTGACGCCCCACTGAAGAAATACGGCGATAGCATTAGAGATTATGAAGTTCCATTTCCAATCGGAGCTCTCTTTGACATCCTTCCAAGTCATGTATGGCTCATCAACATTGTGAGATGAGCCGGCTTCGAGCTGGATCGTGTTATTTCGCTGAACCTGTTGTACAGGCTCAGAAGGGTCTGCTTGAGCTACCCGTAACTCCGGCAAATTGCGCCTTCTTTCGAACTCGCCGACAATTCTGTCTCGCAGCTTTGGGTACGTCAATATACGCGCATAGTTGTAAGCGGGACCCTGACATGCTTCGTCCCCTTGCACTTTACTCCACAAGGCCTGAGGTAATTGCCTCGGCAGCGGGTTTATGAAGCCAGACTCAGCCTCTAGTGCTTTTATTGGGGCAGATGCTCCACTTAATATCTCGCCTTGAATTGCTTCTCGCACTGTGTCCTTTCGTGATTGTGTCCCTGCAGCCATCCAACCCAAGACTACCGGAACTAACCATGTCCAAAGGGTGCCGGAGGAGAGCAGAAGGGCTTCGGAATGCTGACCAAGCGATGTCACGTACGATCCAACGATGGTCAAAACCCAGGCAATGACTGCAAAAAAGGTCTGCGCAACGAGGGAGAATGTGTACTGCCGGCGAGTCTTGCGGATACGCTGTTCGAGAGGTAGCCATCGGTCACGCAACCGCTCTGTATCCTCGTCAAACAGTTGCCGGAACTGATCCTCCTTGATTCTGATGGGAGACTGCTGAGAGTTGCAAAGGAAGTACTCAGCCGACTCTACTGCCTCTCTTAAATGTGATGTAGCTTTACCATTACCGAATTTGGCTGCGAATGTTATCGATGTGGAATGCGCATTGAGAGCTGTCGACATGAGAGAGAAGGTAGACAACATCGGACTTCCGACTGCGAGGCAGAAACTTTCAAAGTTTCCAGATATGGAACCCGTTTCGTACGGTAGTTGCGCCGTCAGACCGAGCCAAGGTAAGAGGTAGTTTGTCACACCGGATGTGAAGATTGGGAAATCAAAGACCTGCTAGAATTTAGCGTTGAAAATATACAGCACGGATCTAAAAACTCAGATTATTGGTGGCAACTCCATAAACCGGTAACTCTGTTGAACTGTGCTGATAAGGGGATGACAATACCATAGGAAAGTTCTGCCTGGCGCAGTAGGCATGACAGGTCTTCATATCAATACCCCAGGCATTCCATACTTCCTTGACGTATTCCACGGGCTTGTGACCATTCTGTGCGACAAGACCCTCAGCTATTTCCGTGAGGTTTTCAGCCTCAAGAAGGCGGCGTACACACTTTGCTGCCCACGAGGAGCCATCGCCGATCGGCTTTAGGAAATCTGTCAGCGCTGAATCGTTCATGTTATGAAAATGTAGACATGATTTTTGAATCATAAATATATGCTAGGGGAGAGAGTGACTTATCAATCTCGCCTCGAGGACCAGGCTATCAGGCAGCAGTCGCAGCTGCATTGGGTATCACAAGCCTACAGCACCTATCGATGAATGCGGCTAAAATGAGGCGAATATTTGACGCTCCAATCAATGATGGTCGGTTGAGAATCTCGCATATGGTGGGGGCTGTGCTCAGCGTAGCCACACAGCACATCCTACAGTAACAAGGTGAGGTTGCAAGCCACATCACGTTGAGAACTGAGTCGAGGATAATGCGAGGCCATTCAGTGTTGATTATTAAGCGCCACGATACCGCTTCGAAACACCAATCGCTACCAATACGCTAATGGTGGCCTTCAAGGACCATTTGGAGATAGAAATGGCTTAAAGCTGAAATCAATGCAGCGCTTACAAATTATATGGTTGCGATCTTCATGGTTATCAATAGAAGGCAATATATCCCAGAACGGAAATGTAACTCCCGGCTGCACTTACCTAGAACAGAAAAATAGCTGTTGTCATGGCAGGCAGCTCAGTAATGAAGTAGTTACTGTTTCTACTTGTCAAACAATTGATAGATCGCGGGAACCCAGGGCTTAACCCCTCCGCTATAGAGCTTTCATATCTCATCAATTGTGTTTATTCAGGAATTAGTGGTGTGAAGTGCTACTTAGTCTAACGAATAGCTGTGACCGGTTGTATATGCATCTCCACAGAGTACCTGAATATTCGATTAGATCTATATCGATAACGCTGGAACTTAAGAAACTTCAGCATTATCACTCAAACTCAAATATCGTTTCGAGAAATACAACATGGTAAAATTCAGCAACAGAGCCAAGCGAGCGTGAATCTGCACGATTGAAACTTAAAGCGTAGTACAATGCTTTTCTAGATCCTTCTGCTATCATCTGATGTCCGCTTCTTGTCTAAAAGGCATAATTGCACCAACTCCATGCACAAAGAGCGCAAGTATGCCACGAAGCTTATTTCTGGTATGCAAGAGGATTCAGTTATCCAGCCAAAGAATACCATGATTTCTTTATTACAATGGCGGTGAGATAATTGGCTTTAATGGGCAATGTCTGTAGTGGATTTGAGCTGACAAATGCACGCTGCTAAGATTGAGATTTCTTGGCTTGTCTATCACGCTTTTTGTGAACGCTTGCTTCTTATGGCATTATAGCAGTACCACATACTTGTGATAGAGTGAGGTAAATAATTCTACATCTATACTAAGTTTACAATATTTTTGATGCGCAGTGACATTGTCAAGACATGGCAATTTGGTGGGTTCTCTCCCATCTGGAAATGCCCATTGCTTAAGCTTTTACTCTATGCACACCTCTATCAGATAAGCTTTCGCCTTGTTTTACTTGCTCTGGATCGTAAGGTTTATCATCAATGAACCAATGATGCTGAAATAGAATTACACAGCCTAAGAAAACAATGGTTGTTCTTCATCCAACGTATGATATCGGATTGATTATAACCTAGCCAAGGTCCTTCCACCGTAGGGTATCCCATGTTGTGGTTGAATTACAAGCCCTTTAGAGAATTTGGAGTGCCCAAAACCATATATACAGTAACCTATGACTTCCCATTGCAGTCCAGAGATCAAAGAATTGTGCTTTTGCCCTGATGGAGTATGGCAAGCTATAGAAATAGCCGCACTATAGCTTGCCATAACAGGTGCAGCAGTCTGGAAGCGTATCATGGCAATAGTAAAGAGAACAAGTATTATTGAAAATGCTACCGACATTGAAAGTGTCACGCCGAGTGGGGAGCATCCAAACCAGAACTGTCCGGTGGTATCCGTTCTGATCCAGACGCTTGTCTGATTATCGAAAGCATAACCTTCAAAACTGACGAGAAGGATGGACTAGGGGAAGAGCTAATGGAAGAGCCCGGAAAGTATCATCAGAGGCAGAGCAATGCGATATGGTAGCTGCAGGAAGTAGGTGCATCGCTGCTTGCCATGCGGGGTTCTAGACACTCGTTAGTCTTTTACGCTGACGAACATAAGGCTCCCACTCTATAACTGTGGTCACTGATGTGATACCTTAAGTGAGCCTGTTCTTAGGTATCTGCTGTATTTAACTGACGCGCACATTGCTTGTTCATAATGTTGGTAGAGATAATGTCAATGAGATTAAATGTAAAGGGAAAGGTTTAGAGGTTGCACACGTTTGTACATAGCAAATGCCAAGGTTAGAAAAAAAGCGGGGGTGTGAGGATAGTAGAAGGAAATCAGCCAAGAAGAAAATATGGTTAGGAGAATAGCGCAGCTGAAAGAAAAGTGGGGCTGAGAGAGTAGCACTGTTGCAAGCAAACATGATAGCTCTATACCAACTAGAGGCAGCTGCTGTATGCTCTGCTCGGCTGTAACCAAGTTATGTACGTTGTGATTCATGTGTCGTATGATTTTGGTGGAGGAAACCATGGTATACCTAAGGTGATGCTGCATAGCTAGCGTTGACGTGAGCTGCATTCATTGTTACCCAAAAGTCACGAAGGGTGCCTTGGCTGTTATGATACGGAGTTAGGTAAGGTAGAGAGGTACATGTGAGTATTGCAGGTGCGAACAATCATAGAGAAGGAATTCAAGAAGATATGTACTAACCTGCATATTTAATAGTGTAAAGAGCCTTCACGTCTATCATGTGAGACAAATCGTCTTCACGGTTAAATCCTACAACTCTTTTCAACCAAAAATGCCACGCAACCTCACAGATCACTGCATTCAGCTATCTCACCTTAGCCAGACCGAGACCAAAGAAGCAAAGATCTATACCCAACCTCATGTGGTACATAATCCGAACCCCAGGTGTGCGGCCTAAATGGCTAGATTCGCGATACGAACGGCTAAATTCGCGGACCGACCCCCGCAGATGTGCGGCGGCCTGAGACTTGGCGATCTTGGCTATGATTCAGGGTCGAATCCTAAGAACCGATATAGTTAGTGTTTGCTGCACGGAGCGCAGATCCTTACATAGAACAAAGCGTGAGCTACAATCAAGCCTCTTTTGTACTGGATAGGTCACTTAGATGTTGTGGTATTGTGTTTGGTAGTCAAGTAACAGTCAAAGCTGTGCGTGGTCTTAGCTTTGTGAGCTACTGGCCATGCTGAACCACTCGCTATGATTTGACTTCGACCCCACAACGGTCCTTAGGCGACCATCTGCAAGGCCAGCTATCTGGAAGGCAGGTAGCTATTTGTGGGGTATGTTACCTATGGCGCTAAAACCTAATAGGCGATTTGTACGGGCACCTATCATCAGGAAGATCTTGGATATACAGTCAGTGCTGAAATCCTACACCAGGAATATGAGATCCGCATGTTGGAGCAAGAGAACCAGTATTTGATTCGTCGCTCGGGATTCAACGCAGCAACCTAATTTACTTCTTCCTCAGGCGTACCAAATCTTAAATATACTGATGTTTGAATTAGCCCTTTCGAGAAACATATCCCGAGAACTCCCTAAAGAAAGGTAGGAAGTAACATAGCCTCGAAGCGTACATTAAGAAGACTCGTCATGTGACTGAAAGAGAAGGGAACCTTGATTTGATGTATAAAAGGCAGACGATTCTCCTCGAATTTGAAAAGCATCCAGACAGCAATCATCAGCCTACGGTCAACAGTCATTCGCACATACCAACGAAACTTTGAAAGACATTTTTCAACCAATCTCAAGCAAGTCTTTCAAGCCTATCTCTATACACCCATCTTCATATTCTAATACCCCCTTAGTCAACAATGAAGTTCACCACTTTCGTTCCCTTCCTCCTTGCTCTGGGAGCCACAGCACGGCAAACCGCCCCCGTTGTGGGTGAGGCTGTGCTCGATCTCTCCGCAGATCGCCCAAGCCATGCCGACGTTGAACGTTCTGACGTTCAGCTCGTGGGTACCAACTCTCGCAACCCACGTAGTCTCCGAAGCGGAAACCTCCTCAAGCGTGAATGCCAGGGAGCAAACAGCTATGGCTGCTCTGCTAAGGGTTGGTGCTGGAAGGAATGTGGCAGTGGTAACTGGTGCTGGACTGCTCACAATGGCGGCAGTGGCCAGTGGATTTCATGCGGCGGAGCCGGTGACTGCAACCGTAACCAGGCTTGCAGCATTGGAGGCTGCAAGGAGTGCGGATGCAGCGGATGCACCAAATAAGTTGAGGTAGCATGTGGGGTTGCGTTTAGAAGGTGTGCATATCGCTTATAGCAAAGAGTACAGCTGCTTGAAGGATCCAGAGATGGGGGCGAAGTTCAACTGCCGGTATAAGGATATCCTCTACCCTTTACGTACTACCAATCATATACTATACCTTCAAACGAAAAACAAAACTTGTGTTGTGGCTGATAATTTAGTGACATAGTGGTTAGTATTATTATTTGTCAAGTAATTGACAGGTCTCGGTAGATCAGGTCCAACCCCCTACTGAATAGTATCTTATCTCGTTTTTTGTACCTTTTCACTGACTTCTACATAATAATAAGTATTTACGTAGCCGTGCGACAATGCCCTGGCGCGACTTCCTTCCTGTGATAGACTAACGTCCTCGTAGCCAGTAAGTTAGTTCAGGCTCCGCCTTACTAGTATAGTAGTAGGTGATAATAATGACAATTGTACAAGTACAAGTATCAACTAAAAAAGACGACACGAAGCTTATTCGTCTTGCGTACTACCATTTCGGGGCATAGATCGTGATGCCCTTCGTTCAGTGAGCCCGCCGATTACAGCAAGAAACTACAAGGCTGGTTAATGCTATTGCTTCAGACTATCCCAGGCCCACTCTATCTTTCATAAACCTTTCTGAGATTGTTTTGGGCTATAGAAAGATATACGAAGACTGCGTCCCGAGAAGCTTGATTTCTTTTAGAAGTTGGCTTCGCTGCAGTATTCATCTGCTGCTTGATCAAGTCACGTAGCCCGCATCCCAACGGCAAGTCTACTAGTATTTATACAGCTAAAAATGGTCTGAACAATATTCGACATCTACAAAGCGCGTCCTCGCTCACTAACAGTATTCAAAAGTTACATCCTTTGGCAAGTATAATGGCTCCACCCGTCTTTCATTCGGCCGAATCCTGTCCCACTGAATCAAGGTGGGTATTGCAGTTTCAACGGACTAATCCACTATTTAAACACCACCGGAGAAAGCACCACAATCTTCCCGCTCCCAATTCAAGCTATGGTAACACACTCTATGCCGCTTCAATCGAAGGCCACGAGCCGGGAGTGAAGCTTCTACTCGATATGGGCGCTGACGTCAACGCTCAGAGTGAACAGTACAACAGCGCACTCCAAGCTGCTTCATTTAGAGGTTATGATCAGGTAGTAAGGCTGATACTCGATGCGGACGCTGATGTTAATGCATGGAGCGAGCAATACAGCAGCGCATTTTACGCCAGTTATCAAGAGGCAGAGATGAGGCATAGGCTAGCACTGGAAGTGCAAAAGAAGGTGCTAGGTCACGAGTATCCCTATATTTTGATGGATATGTACAAATTGGCCTCAGTTCTTGAATGCCGATGCAAGTATGAAGAGGCAGAAGAGATGTACCGACGAGTGGTCAAAAGACAAGAGAAGATGCTTGGACGCACGAAGCAAGCCACGCTTTCTAGCGTTAGCAGTCTTGGATTCATGCTCAGAAAACAAAGCAAGTATGAACAGGCAGAAGAAATGCACCGAAGAGCAGTGAAGGCCTCGAGAAGGTGCTTGTGTTAGAGAGTACAGACACGCTCGACAACATGAGTGATCTTGGATTTGTGCTGTTAGGCCAGGGCAAGTAGGAGGAGGCAGAAGTAATATACCAACGAGCAGTCGGAGGATTAGAGAAGATGCTTAAGCCAGAGCATGCATTAACACTTAAAGCAGTTAACAACTTAGGCGGGGTCTAAGACAAGCTAGGCAAAACTGAGGAAGCTGAGCAGATGTATCAACGTGTGCTAGATGGACATAAGGAGGCATAAGAGCTGAATTGTATAAATACTCTTACTATTGTCAACAACCTAGACAGCCTCTACAAGGATCTAGGCAAGCTTAACGAAGCTGAGTAGATACATCAGCATGCGTTAGTTAAACGCGGAAACGTCATTCATCCTAAAAGCCTTCCTTCTCAGTTCCTAATGCTAAATGATATTTGGGCTGTCGTCTCTACACAAAAAAGGGTCCTGGGAAAGACGCTTGACACTAATATTCAAAAGCTCTATGAAGCTATTACAGAACTCGTTGAACAGTATGCAGCGAACATATGTACAACGGAGTAGCAAGCTGCCCAAGCTAGATAAAGGCGACCAACCGAATCGACAAAGTTTTGGAGATTACCTGAACGTAACACAACTGACGAAAGCTTATTCAGCTCAACACTGTTCTTTAATTCCCACCCCTATTTATGCATGCATGTATCAAGAACTTCGTTTAATAGCAGATATCACGAGAAATGGAAATCAGTTATGCTAGCAACTAAATGTTGAGAAGAGCCTGCGACGGAATTTACTCAATATGACAGATTCCAAAGTTCATAAGAGTGAGAAAATATAGTATCAATCATTTTCTGTAGTGGAGGAGGGGCAGGAGTAAACAGACAATCTACCATGAGGTGAAGAGATTAAGGGAAATGGGGTAGCCACTATAACATTCGTTCAGTTCATCACGTCCAACAAGCATCATTAGTAAAGGTTTTGTATCACAGAAAACTGTTTTCATTGGCTGTACGTATCACTTTACGCATGGTTGTCGCCCTCGGCTGCATAGACCTTTTTTCTTCGAAGCCTTGCGGGGCTATTCATGAGTTACATAATAGAAAGCCTTGACAAAGTAAACCCTATTGAGATGTACTAGTTATGTAATAACTTATGCAAATTTGTTCCCCGCTGTATCTTCGTGACGAACGGGTCCCGCTAATTTCATATGAACATCTTCGTAGCTGCTATGTCCTTGTACCTCGAATATGTCCTCTTAACTGTAGATATGAGGCCTTTCTACTTACAATTGTTGATATACTCATGACCTGACTCACATCGTTTTTTCCTTTCGTCTCTCTCCATCATATGTGTCGAGAGAAAGGATGCACGAAGCAGAGACATTCCAAAGCAGTACGTGGGATGTTGCAGAATAGACAAAAGAGAGTTTGGAATGGATCAAACAGCCCCTGGCATACACATAAGTACATACATGAGAAAATAAAGCCAGAGGCATACACAGTGCCGGTGTAAGACAGAGGCTTACAAGCCTAATTTCCGAATAGCCGCATAGTTTACACTAGTAGTCTTACGCTCCACATATACTCGTGTCAGCACAGTAACATTGATGGAACGACAGTTTGATTTCGGTTGGTCGCCCATCAGTACAGTCAGATCCTTGCAGCGGCTTTTGGCCGTAGAGTATTGAGCGCAATCTTACTAAACAAATCACAGCGTATCAGACCACCAATTTTGAAAAATTTCATACACTCTGACCATTCACACAAAGCAGACACCAGACACCGCAATCTCGGCGCCTTGGCGAGAGTAAGATCTTCTCTATGAGTAGCCGTATGCTTTTCTGTTTAGCTCTGTGGAAGATATATCTAGGGCCAAGCCCGTCAAGTTTCTCCTGGTTTACATCTGGACTCGCTACAGCAGAACGATCCTCAGGCTCTACCACTCGTTCCTTACCCTTTCGCAGGCGTTCTAGAGCCAACCAGCCCAAGTTTATCTCTAATAACTAATCTTACCATCAACAAACCACTCGCTGTCTATACTTCAGCCATGAAGCTCGCAAGCGTGATAGTCTTCTCTTCTTCCCTTCTGGGAATGGCTTCAGCAGGCTACTTGATCAAGAAGGTGCCCGCAAAAGTGATACCGAGAGTAAAACCAAGGAGCCCGATCAATGGAAAACCTGGGGTAAGTGGAGATCCATCGCATTACCTGATGCTTCTCGAATACAAACGCTAACGATTTCCAGTGCGACAACCGCCAGTGTCCTCCACCTCCCGACCTAGGGTGTTCGACCTCGACCAGACACTCCATTGAGTGTGGCAATGGCAACGACGAATGCTGGATTGTTGTGAGAAATCTACTTTTGCGCTTATGATGCATAGATGCTGATGAAAGATTAGCCGCGCGACTGTGCCTCATTGTGCCGATGCGAGTTTAATAACCCTTACAATGACTTGCTGGACTCTTGCGCTCGTGTAAGTGGCATTCCCATCCCCAATTTTCTTCGTCCTTCATCGATACTAACTGCTCCTGACAGGGTGTCCCGGGTACAGATAGTTATGAATGTATCTGTGTTTTTGACTGCGCGCCTCTTGGCCCTAAATCTGGAAACGGTCAATGTACGGCTGATCAAGATGCTTGCAAGAAGCCGTAGACTGAATTATTGTGCCGCAATCATGGCTAGCATATAGGTGTATAGCAGATAATTAATACTAATAGCTAATGCATCAACTGTTTCTAGCCAATACACTTCCTCAATATTTGACGGTGATAGGCTGCGCCCTCCATCTTACTCAAGGCCACATGGCCAAATACCATGCGCATGGCCGGACCTTGTGAAATCGAGAAGGATGGATATGCTACATGTAACTCCACAAGTGCAGACATCAGCATGCCATAATATGTCTTCTCAATCATTAAATGCTCCATCGTTCACACCCTTGCCCTTTTTGTAAATGAATTTATTCTCTAGAACAGTGCCCATCTAATATATACCCGCAATCAAGGGTTCGGGACCAGTACCGAAAAAAAACAAAGACAAATAAATCATCATCATCATCATCATCATCATCATCATCATCATGAGCTCTGGACCTCCCGAATGTGTCCGGATCATCATGGGTATTGTACAGTCCACTTCACATATCAACCCAACTCATATCAACGGAGAAGCGACGTGCCTGCTCAAAGACAACGCAACGTACCACCATTGTACTTCCAGAGCTGCTCCAGACATACAGAAGCAGCCACGTACTTCCAGCTTTGGAGACTGCGATAGTTCTCCCAGCCCTTTACCTCCAACGCCACCATGAAACACGCAATAGATCGCGGCAACGCCTCGGTAGCATCTTCCTCGCTATCCCAGTCCTTGTCCCCATGGACAATGGTTTTGATCATGCTGCTGACATCGCGGTTGAAGCGCTCCTGGACCTCAAGATTGGCTTCGCGGATGTAGCGGGAGGACGCGCGCTCCTTCTTGCCAAGGATATTGCCGCTGAAGACCTCCAGTTCAGTAAGAGGCGCGCCGCGCGTGGGACGCAGCGTATCCATAATCTCGAGCATGTTGTCCTCGTACGTCTCGCGCAGCTGCTCTGCAAAGTCCCAGTGGTGCTCCCACTGTAAGCCTTGTGTCTCGCGAATGATGTAGCGCTTGAGTTTATTGACCAGCGACTCTTTGCCCCAGCGCTGCCGGAAGATTTCGTAATCGCTCTTCATTTTGTCGAAGAACTTCTTTTCGTCAATGGCGCGGTACAGGATTCCTAGGATCTTGTCACTGCGGTAGTAACGAATCCTCCCTTTGTCGGCGTCAAGCACACTAATGCTGTCAGGGTCATCAATGTCGTCTTCTTCAATTCCTGCTAGTTCTGCTGCCCCCAACTCGTTGATGACCAAGTTGGATCCCGGCGCCATGAAATCAGGCCGGAAGTGATCGATCCCCTTGGGTATTAGCGACATATCTGCCGGTACACCCGTCTTACTAAAGTCAACAGCATCAGAAGCAAGCTTGGCGAGGATCAGGCAATCCGGGTGTCGCGTTCCGTTAGGCTTTACATCGGCTCGAATCTTATGCTTGTTAGAAATCTGACCCAAGCGATCCATTTTCATGTACTCGATGAAGAAATCGACAATGTCGTTGGCTTCTACTGGACGACCCAAATCATTTGCAGGGACTTTATCATATTCTGCTGGCTCCACAGTGTAGGCAGGGATGAGTCTCTGGTCGTATATGATGTGAAACAGGTCGCCATCAAGATCGCCTCCGCTCAATTGTGATGGTAGATCGCGCGGACCCTGTTGTGAGAACACAACACAATTGTGAAGAGCACGGAGGGGCGAGTCGTCTGGGACATCTACTGCATTCACTAGTTGGACGTCACCAGGGTGCAGTGCTGGAGCTCTGGTGACGACAATCTGGTTACCAACAAGGATACTCCTCTTCAGCTTGCCGGTCTTGTCATGGTCCTCTGTTGCAATATAGACCTCGCCATACTTGAGAGTATTTGTCTCGTCCATGACACCGTACAAGAGGTAGCCTTTCTCGATCGGAATTCGAGCGCGGTACTTCAGACTTCTTAGTGACGACATAGCTGCTACCTCTACAATGTCGGTCAAGAATCGATCCGCATGGAAAGACAAGCCTATACGGTGCATCATTTCAAACAGCTGTGGTACCTTGGCAAAGACACAGGAGTGTGAGTATGCTGTAAAGTGTCAACGTCAATTCTGATCAGGTAAAACCTAACAAAAAACCTTGTTAGGCTGTAAACAATAGTCCTTACCTAGAAAGCTAGCAGCATTCAGTGGATGCTCAGTAATAAGTTTCAATATTTTGACAGCCTCATCCTGTACATCCAGAAATTTCTCCGCTGGGACACCCAGATCTTCCAGTATTTTGATGAACTGATGGTTAAGAAATACTGATAGTGGTTTGTAGGCAGCTCCACAAAGCTCCAGGTCTCTCCAGGTTTCTTTGGCGATGTACTTTGTCATGCTTTTGCGAACATGTAGCTGTTGGCCAGACAAGGATGCATCGAGTGATAGGACCCCTTTGGCGCCTCGGTATCTAATCTGCAGAACGGTCGGCCTCTGCTGTCTTCGCTCTGGTGGGAGAGCGCGCCATACTGTACGGAGAAGCTCCAGTGATATTGTTCCGCAGCCATCACTAAATGTGCGACCGTTTCTCTCAACGTCGTCCTTAACCTCAGTAACGTAGGCAGTTTCTGGAACCGGGACTGAGAATATCGTGTCAGAAAAGGCTTGACCGATTCTGGCGGCACACTTGGCGCTGCAATGAATGTGCGAAAAGTCCCCAAGGTCTTGTATAACGTTTCGGGCGCGGACCAGGGATCCGTCCATCTCGAAAGGTGCCATAAACCAGGCTTGATGATTGCGCAGTGAAGCATGGGAAAATCCGAGGAATTGAAAGGTCCGTCCTGCAACTGAAATACCATTCTGAAGGACATTGCGGAAACGCTCATAGACTTGATTCTGGGACGCACGTGAGTCATGGAACACGGATAGTCCATCTTCATCGGCGAAGAAGACCCTCATAAAGTACTCGGTTCGTGTAGTGTATCTTCGAAGGACACGATTGGATACATCCCAGTCTGGGCCGCGGAGTAGTATACCTAAATATGGCACTAGTGAGATGAAACTCTGTACATGTCCAAACGCTCACATACCTGTTGGTGTTACGGTGGCTTTGTAGGTCAAAGCAAGATGATGATGCTTCTTTTGCTTGCCATTCAAATCTCTGTACGCTAGTCCCCAATGTTTGCAATCCTCAACATTCTCTTGTACGAGTTCAACGAACTTCCTCACCTTGAACATCTCTGCGGAAATGACCGGGGCTGGTGTAGGCACTTGTTGTCCTAGCCGCCTCACTGCAATTGCAGTCGTCTCAGCACCATGCTGCTTTGCGATTTGGTGGATATGCGGTATGAGATTGATCATCGCCGTTGGAGTAATAGTACCCTCTAACACGAGCGCTGCAAGCTGATAGCGGACCGCAAAATTGAAGGCGGGCGGGATGGAGGGATTGTAAGCGGAAAGCTTGCTCTCAACGACGACAAGTTCATCTTCAATCCTGTGACTGCCTTTGTTGGGAATCATATTTTGCCAACAATACTCTTCAGGTACTGAGTGGTCCTTAACGAAGTTCCAAGCATGCTGAGCACTCCACGTATCAGAAAAGGCGATCTGATATACCATACACAAAGCGGAATTCTTAGTGTTTTTGGTATTGAGTGCGCAGAGTCTCTCTAGTCTATTTGTCTTTTGCTTTGATGTCAAGTTGAGCGCTGCCAAACCTGCGAGCAAAATTTGCACTTGAGGTGCCTCTTTACCAGCATAAAGATGCAGATCGTCAGTAGACTCAATGCTATAGAACTTTGGAGGAGACTTTAGGGTAAACGTGATGGCCCCGTTCCTTCCTTGATTTTCGAAGCCAAAGGATGGCACGACGTGTTCGATGATTGCATAGGGTATATCAATCCGACAATGCCAATTGTAAGACTCGAGGGTACTCTCCTGTAGGTACACCTATTTCATGGTGTTAGCGGACTACAATTAGAACTTAAGAGAACGACACTTATAAGGCGACTAGTACCGAGCCGGCACCTGCAGCTCACTTCTTCCGTCGTCTTGAACGTATGAATTGAGAAACTTACTACTAAAGAGGACTTCCCAAACGTGATATAACCCTGCCTCTTGTCTTTATACTTTTCCTGAAATGAAAGCGTCCCTAAGGTGGTGTAATCCCACACGCCCGTCATGAGAGCCGAGAATGAAAGTGTTGATTGATCAGCTTGCGAAGCCTGGGCTGTCGGCGCCTGACTGCCCATTTTTGACCGCATGGCTGCATCCTTCTCCTGCAGCGTTCTAATCTTGAGTGGATCAGGTTGCCCGGGCTTGTTGTTCTTGCAGAACGTGAGTGCCTGACCCTGGAAGACCAAGGAATGCAGAGGAGCCTGTCTGCCACGACTGCCGTAATACTGGAGGAATCTGTTGCCATTGCTTGTACTTGGGACTGTGAGTATCGCAAATGGTCGTCCTTTGTGGGTATTGTGTTTTCTGATATCGAACGCAAGTATATCGAGTTTGAGCAGTTTGTCTTTTAGGAAACGCTGCAACTCGACGTGGTTTGCATCTTTGGGCACCTAGCAGCGCGCGATCAGTTTGTGTTTCGGAACACATATGCTTGTCTCCATAACCTGCTGCTGCAAGTCACTACAGCTGATTGCCTTAGGAGAGGGGACTTACGCTCGGAATGTAGATATCCATGACGGACAAAATGGTGCAGCTTCAGCCTTGGTCCGCGCAGCGACAGAGCAAGATTCGTTTTCCATGCGCGTGTGGAGCTACATATAAATAGGAAAGGAGGTAAAGTCGAGCTTAACAGATATGCCTTGTTGTGGGTGAGTGTGATTACAAAGTGGGGACTAGCGTTAAATGCGCGGTCTCACGTGCGGGGTTTGGCTATCACTGTGTTGGTGAAGTGAGAATACCCTACAACAGCAAGTCTATAACGGCTGGAATTAGCTTTCACTACCAGAACGAAACGCTATTGTTATTGTTTTTCCGAGACAACCGCTGTGTTGCCTAGTTTCGGTCGTCAGCCACGGCGGTAGTAGTATGCAGGAGGCACAGTGAAGCATGTAAAGAGCCACGGCCAACAACTAACCAATCACTACTAACCGCTTCAACGCATGGCCAAGGCAAGGGCGTGGCACGGTCAAGACCGATTTAGATATGCGGGTTGTTGAACAGACAGAACGCAAGTCAAAGCCCGCGCGGTCTGTTGATTTAGAGAGACCAATGCTTATTGAGTCCGGGCGCGCATAGAGAGTGAAATAATACAGTCTATTGTTAAAACATGCTAGGAAGGTCCTCACAAGAACTCGGCGCAACATAATAAGCGCGAGTTTCTGTTTTTGTTCAGCGGCAAGGATGACCCGGTTCTTGTTCGCACGGGATTTCACAGCTTACGTCTTGTCTTACACTACGGACGGTGTTATTTCTTGTCCCCTTCTTTTCCCGGGGCCTCCCTTCTCTCCAGTATTTTATCCACCAGGCCAAAGTCAACCGCCTCTTGCGCATCCATGAAGTAGTCGCGCTCCATGTACTTCTCGATCTCTTCGAGCGTCCTCTTTTTGGTGATATGGTTCTGGTAGATCCTGTTCAGCTTGTCTCGTATCCTTAAAATCTCCTTTGCATGGTCTGCGATATCGCTGGCCTTGCCACGGTAACCACCACTCGGCTGGTGTATCATGACGCGAGCATGTGGTAGTATGTACCGTTGTCCTTCAGCACCACCAGCAAGAAGTAGTGAACCCATGGATGCTGCGATGCCCATGCATATCGTGGTCACTGGACACCGGATATAGTTCATTGTATCGTAAATGGCCAGACCAGCGCTGACACTACCACCGGGACTGTTGATGTACATAGAGATAGGCTTCTCAGGGTTATCGGCTTCGAGGAAGAGAAGCTGTGCTACAGCATTCGCGGACATGTAGTCGTCTACTTCGCCATTCAAACAGATGATACGTTCTTGGAGAAGACGCGAGAAGATGTCAGAGGTTTTCCAGCCTCCACCCTAGGAAGTCAGACATGGTTTTGTAGACAAGACGAATCGGAGCTCACAGTGGTCTCTGTCACGTAGGGTATCGGGAGTGATATCGCGCGTGGTGTTTGTTGCTCAGACTGTTGCGTGTTCCATTGAGGCTGAAAGCCAAACTGGCTCGACATGGATCGAATCCCATTCCTGTAAACGCCTCGCAGCGCAGATGGCCTTGTAATCCGTTGTAATACTGCAGCCATGATTTGTGTTGTGGAGATCGTTGGTGCTTTCCCCGCAAGAAAGCTATGGGGTATGCCAAGCCGGAGGTCCGATGCCATCATGTCGCACCTCAACCAAAGCCCTATCAACCTCACCTTGTTTCTTCTTCTTGCCCGATGCTAGGCAGATGGATCCTTCGCCCAGGGTCATGCTTGAGCCTAGCCAGACGGCATCCCAAGGCCCGATGCCGCGCAAGCTCCGCCCACATTCCTGGTCACATTTTGAGAGGTGACGACCTCGGCCCCACGCGCAAAGATGATTACCAGACTGTCCGCGTCCGCAAGGACAAGCAGGCAAAGGACCTTCCATTACCTCCGTTGCTAGACCCTCTGGTCTTGAAACAAAGGTCGCGTTTCGAGCAGAGAAAGGAAAGACCAAATGTAGCCAACTTCACGCCATTCCAGAAGAGACTATGGGAGAATCCATTTGGTACAAGACACCATGACATATCTCTCAAGGATTGCTTACTGACTACTGCACAGCCCATGCCTTAGCATCGCCTGTGCGTCAATGTCGCTCAACGCTGATCTCGCTTCCTGTCGCTTTTCTGACGTCTCTCCACCCACGCCCTCACCCAACCACCCAAGATCCATGGCTTCTTCCCGTCTCACTAACAACCGACACTAAACATCTTGGCCCGCCATATCGCTTCTTGGGAAGACATGTAGTTGCAGCACATCTAAGCAAAAATAAAGCATGGGAGAAGGGGCTAAACGCACGCATGAGGGAAAAGTTCAGTGCGCATAATTTGAAGAACATGGTCTGGAGAGAAGATATGGCTGACTTCATATTGGAAATGATGCGCAAGAGACTTGCTGACGGCTTAACCTGGTACTTTGGATTTAAGGGTCGCTTGGTCCCTGTTCCAAGTCCCCGGAGTGAAGACATAGAGGACGTCGAGGATGTGTCCTGTGTGCTCATTTTTCGTTCGCTGCGCACGCGCGCCAATGATATACAAGTTCGTTCAGACGAGAACAAAACAGAGTTAGAGAAGTGGTCAAGCTACTTCGCCAAGAACTTTGCGTCGAAACTTGATCCTCATGCTGCTCCAGGAGTCACGCACACATCGCCACACTGGTACTCAGGGCCTATAGTGCCTCGCATGCAACCTCGCCTACACTTTCCTGAGCTCGAGTTTCATGCTACCGCATGGAGAGGAAAAAAGGTGGCAGTCTACAGCTTATTAGATTTGCTGGGAGAAGAACAGGCACAGGTATTGGTGGAAGGAAGCAAGTACGCAAACGAAAAATGTGTCGTTCTGAAAAGGGGAAGACACAGCATACCAATTCAGATACTTCTCATGCAGGTACAGGCGTACGTTGCTCGGCCAGGAGAATAAGTACGATTCAATTACAAGTTTTAGAACAAAGTCCACCACCACCCTAATCTTCACTATGGTGGATTACTTGCCGGACACCTCGCCCATTGTCTTTTCCCAATCGGGTTTTGTCAAGCCAAAAAGATGCCTATCTAGTACCTTGCCATTTTTCTGGTAATGACCCTTCATTACGCCTTCAGGCGCGTAACCAGATTTTTCAAAGCATCGCATGCTTCCAAAATTGCCCGCAAAGACACCACCCCATATCCTCGTCAAACGCTGTCCATTCCTGTCCCAGTTTTCAAACACCCATCTTGTGAATCCCTGCAACACCTCTGTCATGTAGCCTTTTCCCCAGTGCGCTTGGGCAATCCAGTAACCGACTTCGCCAGTGTGAGCGCTAATATCACTGCCAGCCTTGATGCCGACTCCTCCGATTACAACGTCCGGTGCCGAACGCTCGCATACAACAAAAGCCTCTTGGTATGGAAGTACAGTATTCATGTTGATCCATGTCTCGGCGCTGGATATTGTGTAGGGGCTTGGAAAGGCGAGAGTCATGTACTGTGAGACGTGTATGTCGTTGGCGTGTAAAGACATCGATGGGGCGTCTGGAAGATACATCGGACGGATTATCAGACGTTCTGTTGTTACTATTGGGGTAGGATATGCTGTGCCCTCAGATGCGATTGAGTTTTGTAATGAAGTTTGCATCCTGGTGGGATGCGCCGTGGTTGGTTGATCGGCCATGTTGACCAAAGTCATATCGCTGAACAAACAGGAAACTAAGGAGCCTAGCTGCAATAGATAGGCATGTATGGTGAGAGGTTTGCGAGAATGTTATCTGAGTCAGTGTTTTGACTCAACACATTATATAGAGCGTTCCTTTCGAGTATGACGAAGCAGCTCAAGGCTGATGCACCTTCCCAATACAGGACATCGTATGACTCGAAGTGTCAGGCAACCAAAGAAACCACAGCCATTCACAGCCTGAACATGGTATGCAAAAGTCTATATGTCAAAAATATCCAACCTAGCTCTATATTTCTTGACACGAGATAACAGCGTGCCATTCAACGAATGACGGACTAGCCCGACATGTGAAGGAGGGGGAGGGGGAGTGACGTCGGGTGGGCATGGTACTTGCGCGTCGCGCTAAAACGCGTCTACTATCGCGTTGGTGGTTCACCACGCAGACAGAATCCCATTGCTGCTCTACAACGCAGAAATGTCGTCTTTCGCAGTGAAGTACGTATTTGGATTTGAGCATAGCATTTGCAAGCTAATAAATACCCAGGAAAGTAGTCAGGACATACTCGCGCCAAAACAAACGCTCACTCTACGACGAACCGCCCACCAAGCGAAGACGCGTCGAGAGTATTGAAACCGAGGTGCTGATCTCTCCTCCTGCTGTTCCTACCCTACAACAGTCCTCGCCCGCATGCAAAGAATCTTCGTCTCCGCCATCAAGTCCAAAAGAGTCACCCGCCATCTTCTCAGACGCATTAGCTCGGTCTAGTCCGCCATCGTCACCAGCACCGCGCAGCTCTCCCCCGCCGCTCCAGAAACGTCGACCTGTATTTTCCATATTCAAGAAGCAATCCAAAGCTACCATAACTAGCAAAGAGCCGCTTATAGAACGAAACCAAAATGCACAAAGCCCGTCGAAGCTACCACCAAAAAAGAAGCCCATGGTGCAGATGCAACTAGACTTGGCCTCAGAGACACGAAAAACATGCAAGACATGTGGAATGCAATACATACCGTCCAATCTGGAGGATGCAGCGTTACACAAGAAGTTCCATGCAACAAACCTCGGCGGTATGGACTTTACAAAGGCGCTCGTTCAGCGTTTAAGAAAAAATGAAATATGGAGTGGGAGTGACGGGAGCTTCATCGCAGTGGTCGGGCGTAAAGATGCGCTTTTGCTGCGGAGCCGGGCGAGCGATGTGCTGAAGATAGTGAATACCGAACTTGCAGCTGTTCCCATATCCGATGAAGAGCTCTGGAGCCAGAAGTGTCAGTCGGCCGCCACCGACCCCCTGATTGGAGAAACAGTATCCACCGAGGCCGAGAAGCCAGCGACAGACAAGCTCAAGCCTGCCCTTGTCGATCGATTCAAAGTCTATCTTTACATCCGGGGTAGCAAGTGTGTGGGGGCTTGCTTAGCAGAGCGCATCTGGGAAGCCTTTCAAGCTCTTGACTCAGACACTGCGTCTGAGCAATCTTGCAAGCTCCCTGACACAGCTCAAAGTTCATCTATTTCTATCAGCAATGAATCCGATCCGGCTATCCTAGGCATATCGCGCATATGGACGTCAAATCAGCATCGAAAAAAGGGCATTGCGACAAGATTGCTTGACTGCGCAAGAGCAAATTTCTTGTATGGGATGAGGATTGAAAAGGCCAAGGTTGCGTTCAGTCAGCCGACAGAGAGTGGAGGAAACCTTGCGCGCAAATGGTATGGCAGCCAGGCAGGATGGCATGTGTATATTGATTAGGCAGTATGTCATACGTAGCAAGCGCAGGGTGTACCAGACATTCTATATACATACTGGATGTATGACGTTGTATAGCCGGCGCTACAGTCGTGGCTGCTAGTACATATATGACATTGACAGCACACGATGAAGCTGATACCACACGTTGGCAAATAACTGTTCTCTGGTGCAAACTTTGCACATGTACATACATGTGCAAGGCCCACCCGCGACATCCGAACCGCCTGTTTGCTGGCTGGTAGGCGCAAATGGCGTACATGACAGGGTGAGATGCGATGGTGGGGGTTGTTCGCTGTCCCGCCAGATCGACGCGTGCATGTCGGCGATGATCGACTTGCTGGCCCGACCACCAGCAGGGGCATCTCTTCCAGGCTGCCTTACACTTACCGCCTCCTGCGAGTCTTTTCCATGTACATAGCATAATGAATTGATTTTAGTCCCAGCATGTCGTCCGGGAACCCTTTTCGCGCCTCGCAAGCGTTTCCTCGGCCCGCGCCCGTACCGCAGACTTCCTTTATCAACACAGATAGCAGCGTGCTCGAGGCTCGCCGGGGAGACAGCGACCATGGTATTCCCTTGCCTTGCCGTTCTGCTTCTGCTGGCATTGAAGGAGTAATTTTCTTACAGTGCTCGAAGATGCCGCCGCGCCTACAAAGACGAAGAAGTCTGTACGCATAGTCTCTCCCACTACCACCATCCCGCCGCCGCCCAACTTCGACGATGACAACAATGTCACGCTCAACGAACTCATGGCCCGGCGAGCAAGCCATGGAGGTCGCCCTGCGAGCCCGCCGCCTCCGGTGAACCCCGCCGGCTTTACCAACCACTCGATCACCGCTGGCGAAGCCAATGCGCAGGTGATTGGGAAAGACGCCCTGGTAACAGCAGGCGCATTGCCCAGTACTAGAACATACTTGAGCGGATCACAAGGAGCGCCTATACCAGGCAATGCACCCGTGAACCCGTTCTCAAAAACACTGGCATCGTTGGAACCGCGGCAGGGCGAGAGCGGCACGGAAGAACGGACGAATGCGCAAAGGCCAACGCCAGGCAACAACAGAGCTTCGCTGGATGTGGAGAGCTTCAAGAATCTGCTCATGACTGGAATGCCTACTCCGCGTGCTTCCGGCCAGTCTGCGCGACCTGGAAGCGCCTCGCATTCAACTAGCAGTACGCAATTTGAAAGCAGCAGCACAGACAGCTCTTCAGTATCGCGACAGTCGATATCAGAGCACGCACAAGAGATACACGCTGCGTCATCGCGAACCTCAGATGATATAGCAGACGAAGATGAGGACGAGGGCGTGGGGATGATGCCAGAAGTGAAAAAGGGCAAGAAACAACCCCCACCTGCGCCCAAGCATCGTCATGGCAAGCTCGTCACACCGAGACAGCCACAGACAGTTCCGTTTGACCAATTTGAAGCAACTGAGCCTGTAGCGCCAGCAAGTATTAGCTGGACAAACAGCTCAGATGCGAGTAAGCCGTTTCCGTCGTCTCCGATGGCCCAGCAGCAGTCGCCGCTGCAATCACAGCCGACACCACCAAAACCAAGCGACGCTCCCAAATCTGCGGAAGATCCGGCGAAGCTAAAAAAGACCCCTCCACCTGTACCAATAGCTCGGAGACACAGTCAGTTGAAGACGATCACTACGGGAAACCGGTCGCGCAGCAGTTCAAACCTCACAATATCCTCACAACACTCTATCGAAGCCCCGCAAACCCCAACATCGACCTACCATGACCCAATGTCGAGCGCAAAGTCACCACCACCTCCTCCCCCACCCTCTCGGTACGGCGCGCGACTTGCGAACCTAGGCGCTTCAAGCACAAACTCTTCCAGCACGGAGCTAGCACAGTCCTCCAGCTCAGCCCGAATACCGCGCTCCATCCCCGATCCCCCCTCTCCTCGCCGAAACGCTCTAGATTCCGAGGCCCCGTCACCAGCCCCGAGCATGCACCGCACCTCATCCGTCTCCTCAACCCGCAACGCCCAACGGAACGTCTCAGGCGGAAGCACAGGCAGCATCATGCCTCCTCCCCCTCCCCCACGGCGCCGCCAATCCAACCGCTCAAGCCTCGACCAACAACGCCCATACCCGTATTCTTCCACCTCTCCCACCGAAAGCCGCCGCACAAGCACCGAGTTCCGCCGCACGAGCACTGAAAACCGGCGCACCAGCGTGGCGAGTGAGAGCTCGCTACGCCGCGCGTACCCGCCTGTGGATGAAAAGGGAGAGAATGAATATGCGTTGTATTCGCCTGTTGACGAGAAAGAGCGTGTGCTGGGGGCTAATGAGAGCGCCAATGCGGCTGCTGAGAAGGGGGAGGAATCGAGGAGTAATTCGAGTAATATCCTTGATGATATGGAGAAGTTTCAACGTGAGATTGATGAGTTGAGGACGAGGTATAAATAGTTGAGGACATACATATCTCGGAGTTTTATTGGTAGAGATTGAGAGGTTGAAGGAGGGGGAGTGCGTTCAACACTCGCTCGTACGCTCCCTTATTACCTGGCTCTGTTCTGAAGGGAATGGAGATCCGGGGTCTGAGCATTGGAATGAGGAGCAAGAGTATATTACGCTATTGCAAGACTGGGGGACGAGGTGGAAATGTATAATTATATCATACCATTGCTCTGGCTGTTTTGTTTTTTTTTGGTGAGAGATATGGGCGTAAAGTATCTTGTAACTGTTGTTCATTCTTTTGCATTTGCTTGAGCTTTTGTCTAGTATAGTTGTTCGCCCAACGGGATGATAGAAGAGAATAGCAAAGAGAAATTCTAGACTGACTTGCATACTTGGATGTTTCAAACGAGAAGAAGAAGAAGCTACTGAAATTGCGATCACGTATAGTGAAGTAAGCAGATTAAGGTAGATGGCAAAGAACAAGAAGACAGATAATGACATGATCAAGTTTTTGTATTAGTTTCGTCGGAAGCTACATATATCCCATAGTAGAATTAGCTACCAGACGAATGATTAATTACCCCATTTCTCCCCTAGAAACCACCCATTACATTAAGTATGAAGTCGTGAATGTGGGGCATTGGTAGTCGTAAAAAGCGCGGTTCACGACGGATAGCTAGCCCGCCGAAGAAAACCCCCGCATCATTATCATAGGCCACCCCGACCTCCAATGTGAACATGAAGGCATAAAAGTCGTTTGTTTATTTTATTTTTCTCTCCCAATCCGAAATCGAACTTGGTTTCGAGTATGCACATAGTTTTATTAGACGACGGCAACTAGGACTGCAGCGCCAATAGCGAAGAGCGAGCCCAGGCCAGTCAAGGGCGCAGCAATAGCAGCTGCATTCGTAGTAACCTCTGGGAGGGCAGGACTCGAGGCTGGTGGCGCTTCGACGGTTGAAGAGGCAGACGGCACAACGGCGGACGGCGCGACGATGACAGGTACAGTAGTAGCACCAGAGGCGGCGGGAGAACTCTCAAGTGGCGCTGATGGAGCAATACTTGGAGCCGGGCCAGAGGGTGCAGCAGTCTCTGAAGTAGGAATAGGCTCATGGGGCGTTACAGCGCTAGTGATACTGACAACGCTGCTCACGCTAGGCGCTACAACCGATTCAGCAGGAGGAGGATGAGGCGCATATGAGCCCGAAGGCGTTGGTGGCGGTCCAGGCCGGGTAATAGAGTGCGTGACGGTGATGGTGACGGTTGTGGGTGCTGGACAAGTAGCTTTGGGGGGGATTATGTCAGTTTGTGGTGTGGTTATTGATAGTAGGTGGCTGGGGAAGTGTTTTTTTGTGAACAAATAGAAAGGTACGTACTCTCGTGAGCGACGACACCCAGCGCAAGCGCAGCAACCGCGAGTATCTTGGAGCCAAACATGATGACGGCGATAGAGCTGATCAGGGTATCGAAATTGAGGGTCGATTAACTCTAAAGTTTGAAGATGTTATCGCGTTGAAATTGATGCAGCGGCAGCGATAATTTCGGTGGTTGTCGTGAAGGAAGCAAAGCAATCAAGGTGAGCGGGGACAGAAGTATTGTTTATGGCGAGGCTGTTGGCCGTTTGCAGACACGGCAATACGCTTGGCATTGGCGGCAGACGGCAGGCGCAGGCAGTAACCCGATTCCGTGAGTGCAAACCAAGGAAAGTGAGCGTGAGGGCGTGATGGTCGAGTGGGGTGGTGCGCCGTGTTGGTGTCATGTGGTACATTATTTTTAGGCACCCTAACCTCTTATATTGCTGTACGTCCATGGAACAATATTGGAATAAAGTATTGGTATCCATATCGCCCAATCTGGATACCCATTGTGGCGAAAATACCGTTTTTTCCTGCATAACTCGATGATGTGTTTTCTGGATCTCATTTCTCAATTAAGTATTTTTTCTGTTCTTTGAGCGTGACATGTTCACCATTGCGCATTAATTTCAATATGTGCAACATCAAGAATGAAACTCGTCACATTCTGTGCTACTGTCTGGGATGATCTTGCAACCCAACTAAAATGTGAGAGAAAATGAAAGCGACATGTACAACAGAGCAGTGTTAGTTCCTTACACAAACCCTGGTGCAACACTTTGGTGCTTGAGGCCAGACTCCACATGGGTCGATGTTACCGTTCTTCTGGTTCTTCTTGCCACTGTCAATTCTACAAGAACTAACGAGCTGTTAAAAGAGGAAATTTTCGAATCCGGAGTATAGATCCCTGGACCGCGTCATCTCAATGAGCGTACAATGCTGTTGACTTGACAGTGAGGCAGCAATACATGGGAATCATAGTGCAGAGTAGTCCAATGTCGACGGAGTAGCGTCATGCTTGGTGAAACGTGTAGGAACGGGACATTACATCAGGCCAGGTGAAGACAAAATGATCCTGTTGGATAGTCAATCGATTTACGAACACGCCAGTGCCGTACTGTAAATCATTAGCATCTGCTTATCATTCTTTAATAACACAAGCATCCGTAGTCTTTCCTTCTATATCAAATCCTGCTATATCTTCCAGCATGATTTGGATAGATTTTGTATCGGATTATCACAGCATCGTAATGGTAGCTGTGCAGGTATGGCATCTGGGACCGACCATCTTAATGACAGTGAACTCTATAACATTATCTCTAATTTACATCATGCTCATACACATACCCACATACCTTCTACAGTATCAAATTCTACAAAACACTTTACTCGTTGTAGAAGACAAGTGCGCACTCGTCAGCCAAGCATCTTAAATCAACCTCCGAGGCCGCCAAAAAAAGAAAGAAATACAACAGTGTCTAACGCATACATTCACTATCCTAGTAATACCTCACTAGTACAAATTTCTCCACAAAATCAAAAGTTTTCCCTGTCAGACACGAAACGAGGGAGTGTCTTGGACTGCGGACGCATAGCTAGTTGATATTGCATCTTGTACAAAGAGAACAGATAAGTTGTGGGGGGTTTTGTTTTTCGTTTTACACTTGAAAAGGTTTGGCGACGGAGAGTGCTGCTGTAGGGGTCGGCTGTTTTCCACGCTGCTGATGTATGTATGAAGTGCGGGGAATTGAGGGCAGGGGAATGGCGATGGCATTCCAGTGGAGAATAGGGGGTTTAGGGGACAGTAAGGAAAATGAGGGAGGCGATGGGTGTAATGATAGTAAGGGAGACTGGAATATTAGGCTGAGCACTTTGGTACTAGAAGGGATATGTATCGGGTACAAAATCATCATAAATAATGGGGCTAGAGAGTTAATTATAGAATAGAGCAATGCTTTGAAAGTTGAGCGGTAAAATCTTTTCAAGTCGGACTATTTATTGGGGTCGTATACAAGGAGATGTTGGTGAATTAAGTATGAACTTGAGGGAGAGAAGTATCTTGTACACAGAAGCCTTCAAGAGACTAGTTTGCTGCGTAGCAGCTATCGAGGCGATTGATGGTCGATCCGTTATTTGATATGTATCTTGGGCGACTGCCATTCTGACTCTACATGGGACTTCACGCTGCATGCGTCCCGTGATCTTCGAGAGAGCCATTGCAAATATTACATCACTCCACCAGCACGAAACAAAACATCCTTTGCCTTGTATTGATCTCGATTACTTAAATATCTCAAGGTGTCTTCATCTAACCCAATTAATATAACCAAACCAACTCAAATCACGCGAACCAACACCTTCATCGTCCCCGAGACCGACTATACCCACAGACCATCGCATACAATCAGTCACAATCAAACAAATCTAGACCTCGATACCGCTTTAGCGGAATCCTCGTCAGAGCCCAGATTACCACAATTATCTCTAATCAACCACAAATCAACAGCCCGTCAGCCACACCTCATTATCACACAGCCTGCCAAGGGCATCTCAGACCCCCAACTTGGGAAACCAGTCTCATCTACACGTTTCCCTCCACGTCAACACAAACACAAGATTGCCAGAATCATGAACTACCCAAATAGAGAATTGGGGCACTGGATCGTCGGTGCATATGTATACGACGCCATCTATGGCAACACTACACGTACCACTCTACGCTTTACCAACTTCCCCGAGAAGTGGTGTGCAGATGGCAAAGCCCACGAGATTTGAACCTCATAGTGCGAACATTGATTGAGAAAAAAATAAAGACCGGCAAGTGTGAACAGGACATACACTAGGGCCAGCACAATTAGGGGGCAACAATACAATAACCATCAACCCAATCAAGATTCCCAAAAATCAATTTGCATAGATGTCGGCTGATACAATCAAAAGAACCCAATCAAGCATATGCCAGATTAATAGCTTACCCTTGGTCTGCAGACCAAAAGTGTATCGTCTTCGTATGTTGCACCAACGCAACCTCCCTTTATGCATCTATGATACTACAGGCTTTCGTGTAGATCTGGTGCAGGACAACAGATCTCAAGGGTTGGAGCGGGTTGCGGTGTGTCGAGAAAGCGAGGGATGAAACTACGATTTAAGACTGAATAGTGAATGTTCTTTTTTGTGAAAGGGAAGAGGGCTCTTTCGTGTCGGGCTTGCCCCGCCCGCGAAATCTTCGATTAGTCTTTGTGTAAGATCTCAGAGGGAAGAATATAGTTGTAGATGTTTGTCCTTTTCTGAATTCACGAGGTGGAAAGTAACGCAAGGCGAGTGATAGATTCTAGATGGGAGGCGAATGTGAGGCTACGGAGTGGATTAATGAAGCTAAGGCGTTCCATCAAAGTGATAGCCAGATGGTATGGAATTTATGTGCAGGAGAGTACTAACACACAATGACACCAGTAAAGAAGCATGAAAACCCCGGTTTTCCCCACTTCTCGTGTGATATCCAGGGACTTTCAGAGGCCACTACCCCTGAGTACACGCAAGCCCATGAAATTAGGACGATGCAACTCAAGAAAGGTAGTGCCACCAAAACCTCTCCCTGCCCCATTCATTGATCGCAGAAAAGAAGGGCTGTCTAGGGTGGGATGCAGATTTTGGGGCCTAACCGACATAGTGCGGAAGGAGAGAGGACCAGGGACAGTCGGAAGGCGTTCCGGACTGTCGTCCAATAAAACCACAGGGAGTTCAATGGACAGCAGACAGCCCTCGCTTCACTAAGTATGCAACCAAGGGGTGTCAATCGGATCCCCAAAGGTTTCATCAATCCCCTGTCTCTAGATCTAGAACTCTACTTATTAGTAATTGCCATCTCCTCCCCGCTAATGTACTTCCGCTTCCAGATCGTCGTCAGGTCTTTCTGCTTACACCTAGTTCTACTGTGTAAGAAACATGCCATTATTTGCGTACAACGGCCAGCCGGCGGTTATCGGAGCCCACTTATTCGCACAAATTGGTCTACGTACAGGGGAATGGTAAGGTGTTTGGGTGTCGGACCCTTCGGTTATATGCCCCCGAGGTGGCGCGTTCGGCGCCACGGGAGATTATCGCTCCGACGTACAGGGTCTTTGTGAACAGTCTCTGAAAACAAGAGTGCGCTAACCAGAGTAGTGTAAGTACGGGGCTGTGACAAGGCCAATGTGCAAGATGACTCGGCTTGGCAGATGAGCAGTCGCGGCTTCGCAATAATCAATATCGATATAGAATGCGAGAGAAAAAACACGCGATTCTTGATCAAAAGATGATCGGGACATTTCTCCAAGTGGAGTCGAGTGGGAATAGAATAGAGACCAAAAGTGGGGCAGTACGGGACGTTCAAGGCGAACATGACAGAACACCCACCCTCCTTGGGCTGAACTGGGATGATGACATTCTAGTCGTAGCCAACGGTTAAAGGCATTTGTAGGAAAACCGTTGAGTACCCCCATATGCGATTTTTTTTGGTGCGCCATGCATTGTCAAGCGTAGCACACTTGCCTGTGATTTGACACTGATCTTCAGGAAGCGCTCCCCGGGCCACTGTGAACCGGTGGGTGTGCAGGGTTACAAGAGGCTAATGAACGTGGCATGTGTATCATCCGTCCACTGATATGAGCCTGTGCTGGATCCTGGGGGGATGAATGGATTCAATGCGAAAGAAGGGACGATAAGCTCCCAAAGAGGGGTAGTAGAGAAGGGTTGTGATTGGACAGCCAGGCTATACCACCGACAGAACGGAAGTCCGTGCGGAGCCCTGCCACAATACCCCGCGGAGTGTTTCTGTGAAAGCACCGAAGAGAGAACCTAGCATGTAAGAATTGTCCCATAATCACAATGCATGTAAGTAATTCGAACACCAAGGGTGGTGGATCCCTGTCAGCTTCGGATAGAAAGATCGGCCCTGACTTGGCGCGTACATGCGTAGGAGGCTGGGGCGGCGTGTCTATCCGTAACAGATTACCCTGAGCATGAACAACCGTGCCATAGCGCGCTGGGACTGCTGGCGCGGCGGTGAAGTAAGGCGTATGTAATTGATGTGTCTGGTATCTGGTAGGAAATGATGCAAGTGTCGGTCGGCTGCATACAGCCATAGCAAGATGTGTTCGCACGGAAATAATCGCATCCCAAGAATGCAAGGGATGGAATTAAGGGAAGCTGTGAGTAAGTAGTACCGCACTGATGTGAGCGCTCTACTTGCCGCATCAATCCCCATGTTTCTTGACACTGTTCATCTCGAACGCTGCGCCGAGTTATATTGCAGCCTTGGTGCTATCAATCGCAATAAGAACATTCTAGGAGAGGGCTTCAGGCGTTGTAGTTAGGTGCCGCCTTGTTGTTGAAAGCACGTTGACAATGTCTTCCGCGGAGCCTAGTGCAGCCAAGATAATATCTGATAGGAAGAAAATTGCTGTTACACTATTGCAGCTGGTTTGAATGCAAGATCATGCAGCTAAACATGTGCTGAACTCAATTCGTGCGGCGCGGCTTTGGGCAGCGTCCCCTGTGGATGGGTTCAACTTTGTATGATTACTCACAGCGTCACGCTTACAGGACATGAGGCTTGTTGAATGCGGAAGAGAGAGCGACGTCGATAGGCCAAGTTGAGAGAGGGAAGGATTTTGGTTGAGACGAGATTTCTTGAGAATAAGTGGGTGCAAAAGAAGCAACTTGACCATGGTCAAGATTAGTCGGCAGGCTTGCTTGAGGCGCAAAGACTCCCGTGCTGTTGGCTTTGGTGGCAGACCGAGTATTGTCTCGCGGGCTACAAGGCGATCGATGCGAGATTGGCGATAGCGTGGAACTGGAGTTGCTATTGGTTGCTCGGGCGATTTTCCAGACGATGGGATCTACGACGGAAATATTGCATCTGAGATCTGATCTGGGTGAGCCATGGTGCGGCCAAGGGGTGGCTAGGCTTTGGAAGGGCGGCGGATGTGAGATGATGTTTGACAGGCCGCAATTAGCAGCACCCCGGCGATCTGGCAATGGCGGTGCACGGCGGGGCGCACAGGCGGCGGAAAGCCCACGCTACGTGACGTCGGTGGCTCTGAGGGCTTCTGGATGCTGTTTCAAGTGACAAATAGCAGGCTTTTGCGCGACCCGAATCTAAACCCAGATTTCGCCAATCGTCACATACATCCATGGTGAGTGAACCCTCGGGGGCTGCCAGGGTGTATGGGCTGCCGGGACAAGAGCAGGCTTTTTTGTGTCGTGGCGCGTGCTAGGCCAGGGTTTTGTCTGGTACTCTACGGCAGGATAGTGGAATGCCATGGCAACAAAAGTGCGGAGGGCCAGAAGGAGTTGTAGGCATAGTAGAGCAGAGACGCTGTTTTCGACGGTTGACGTACTGGCGGATTGCACGTAAGTATTCGTAAGTACATATTCCAAGTAGTCGGCGACTGTTGCCGCTGCTACTGGCACTATGTACTGCTACCAACGACTAGACTGAATGCTATTGGAGGATCAGCCTGCACAAGCTGCCAGCAGAGTTTTGTCGTGGTCCCGAGCTTGGTCCTGGGCTTGCTGGGGGTTCGATGGGATCGGAGCTAGGCCCGATGTGACAACTCGCGTATCTGCCCCAGTCCCTTGAGCTGGCGGGCAGAGCGGTCCTTATTTGCTGGGCATGAGCGATCGCCAGTCATGTGGATAGATTGGAGATGCCGATTGAGGGTGCCGCGCCATCGCGATCTCGCGTAGGACTGCCGGCTGGCGATGGCGATAGCGATGGGAGTGGGAGTGGATGGGGTCGAGGGGTAGGGGCAGGATTGTGACAACGGGTGACGTAGATGTGTTTGGACGTTGGGGCGGCCCTTAATTCATCGCGCATTTTCCCCGCTAGGTACAAGCGCTGACTGTGAGTGGTGTGGCATTGAGGAGCTTGAGGGACACAGTCCATACAGTCGACAGCATTCGAGCAGCACCAGCAGCAGCACCTCGCAGCACAACCCACGCGCGCCGGATGTCACGGACAGCGGGTGTAGGCCCAGGATAGCCCCGGCGACGTGCTGTTGGCCCGCGTTGTGCGTTGCTGGCCTTTTTATCCGACCAGCCCTGTGCTTGGCTCTGGCTCAGCAGTTTGTGGAAGCTCCTGCGCTCCTTCACCTGCGATCGCGATGGCGATCTCGATCGCAGTGCCCTCGTTTTCAAACTTTCCTTCTCCCTCGCGACAATAGCCGGCCCACGTCTCGTCTCGGCGGCCTCGTGCACAACCAAACAAGCAGGTGGATAGTCAGGTACGGTGTAATTTGTTGGCCCTGGCTGACCGGTGCAGACAACGAGCGACAGCGACAGCGACAGTGAGCGAGAGTGAAGGGCTGCCCAAGAAAACTTTCCTCATCCACCGCCTTGGTCCGCGAGCCAGCCAGCCAGCCAGCCTGTCCCCCCGAACCCGCACCGACGTTTTGCTCCCACAGCAGCGGGAGATGGCGCATGGGTACTAGCATAGCATGCTTGGCCGCCAGCACGCAGGGAGGCCGACGGGCAGGCGGGCAGGCGAGCAGGCATGGTGGTGGTGATGGTGGCCGTGGTGGTGCTCTCTGTATTGCTTACGAGCGCCGAGGGCCTACGCAGCGCGCAGCCATTGAGCATGGCGCCGGGCTAGGCCCAAACCCAGTCCACCAGCCCACCCAGCCCAGTCTGCTGCTGTTCCACCCAACTCGCCGACCCGCGCGCCCTCTCTCAAGGTGCCGGCTATTGGGCCGCCCGCTGCAGTTGGGTGGCATGGGCGCTGGTTGCTGGTTGCTGGTTGCTGACTGCTGACTGCTGGCTGCTGGCTGCTGGCTGCGGGCACCTGGCACCTGGTTACTGCTGGCACAGTACACAGTCCCTTGGCCAAAACCCCTCGACGTGTGCTCAATTGGCAAAAGCACATGCCTTTGCTTCTTCCCTCGTCGTTATAACATACCCACGCAAGCCACCACCGCCCTCGTCTGCTCAGCCTGCTGTCTGCTTCCCCCCCCCCCTATTCCTGGCTTCCTCGCGCGCTGCCAATTTGTTGCGCTGCTGCTTGACACTACAGCTGTCGCCGTACCATTACACCACGCATCCCCCCTCATTGTCCACTAGCATCCGCAGCCTGATGATCCCGGCCTAAACTCCCCGGCCCGCTTCTCAGAACTCTCTCATCGAAGCCACTCACGACGTCCGATCGCTCCCACCCCAGCATCAGACCCTTTCATCTGCACTAACCTTCAGCCCTTTGTGCATCCGTGGCCCCTCTAGCCCCCCATCGCACTGCCTCACGTCACTCGTCGCGTATCTGCATCTAGCGTGCTGCTGTCCGAACCCTGTCGTCGCGATACGTGAGCGCCTCTAGCTCCGTTCTTTTTCGGCCCATCTCCTTGCTCCGCCCTCACATTGTGCGCCGCCCGCCCACCCTGCACAGTCGCCACTTTTTCCCCTCTCCCTTAGCATACATACTTTGGCTCGCCCACCTCTCTTCGTCTCCTGCTTTTCCAATTGCTCCTCACAGTCGAAGTCGTTGCTAGACGTACCCCTCGAACTGTCCCACAGCCCATCAACTCAACCTGGTTGTCGTTGCCCACGCTCGGATCCTGGTTGAAGCTTACCCCACCCACTGCCGCCATACCACCACCGTCTGCCTGCTGCACACTACAACTGCCATCATCACTGCCAGTCCTCACCACCTACTCTGGACCTCACCATGCCTGCTGAGCGTCGAACTTTCACCGCCGCCCGCCCGGTCAAGACGGAGCGGACCCACGAGGAGAACCAGGAGCGGTTAGTCGTCCCAAGTCTGCTTTGCACAAAATTCACGTGCTGATCCTATACAGCGCTTACATTGCCGCCTCGCGCCGCAGCGATCGCAGCCTGGAGGCTCGCATCGAGTCTGCGCGTAGAGCTTCTGAGATTCACAAGAAGCGCACAGGCCGTGCACTGCGTGTTACTGAGCAGGATGTCATCAATGAAGAAATGTATGAAGAAGAAGACGATGACTTACCCACCCAGTACCAGCGCCTCAACGCGCACCTGCACACCACGTCGGTCATGTTTAACAAGAAGCTCCATGACTACATTGCAACCCAGCACGGCGTGCGAAACATGTTCATGTCGCAGTACCAGAACCAGAGCCCCACTTTTCCTCAGTTTGGGGCTCAGTTCCCATCCACCGCCGGCGCTTTTCCACACGCAAACAATTGGCTGAGCCCCACCATGCTGCCACCCCAGCAATTCGCTCCTTCCTCCCCCCAAGGCTTTCAGCAGACTCAGTCCTTCAGCCCCACTACCACTCAGCCCCAACAGGGTTATCGGCAGTCCCCCTATCATGTCCCTCAACGGACCCAGTCGCACCAGCGTGCCCTTTCGATTCAGCTTCCCCAGGCCTCCTCGCAGTTTGATCACTCAGCTCAGCCACCGAGCGCAACCGCCACAACTCCACAGACTGATGTCAACCGAAGCATGTCTCTGCCTCCTCAAGCTTTCCAGAACCAGAATCAGTCTGCCGAGCAATCCTCCCAACCATCGCTGACGCACTCGCCTGCTACTCAGTCATCTTCTCCCGCTGATGGCTCCGTCGCCGACGCCCAGCAGCCGTCCAGCGACTCTACCAGTCCTTCTTCGTACCCCTTCAGCTCAGCAAGCTACCCTTTTAATTCCCAGGTCTTTGGCACCAATCCTTTAACTTTATCCATGCCGCCCGAGTCGCAGCAGTTCCTCGGATCATTCCTTGACCCCAACGATGCACGCACCGCTACGCTTATGGCTGGCAGTGAGAACCTGCCTCAGCCCTTTGCTCCCACCTACACCTACAATCCTAACAAGGTGACGCGAACATCTAATGCTGTCAACGTTTCCGAGAGCGTTCCCGGTTCCACTCAGACACTATCGTCTGGCCTGAACCTCAAGGTGGAATCTCTATCTGACGACTCATCGGCGCTACCCACTTCCATTTCCGATAGCTTCTATTCCACTGACGGTTTCCTCACTCCCGGAAACCCCGATTACGAATCATTCTTTGACTTCCAAGGTGCTGGATATGCTCAAGCCTTTGACGACCACTCGGCCAACGACCAAGACAACGGTAACAGTCTGGTGAATTGGGATGAGTAGTCGCAGCATTCACCTGCTTTTTACCTTCTTTAGCTTGCTGCCAGACCCAAGTCGTCTTCTCATGCCGGGCAACGCCCATTGTTTTCCTTTACATACTTGTTTCCTTTTCACTTTTGGAGTAGCGATTTTGGTTTTGCAAGCAAATGATACCTCTTACACAGTGTCGTTACGATGTCACGACTGAAGGCGTTGTACGGAGTCATTTTGGGCACCCCGAAAACGCTCGACCTTTTGTTGGATATGCATACATATCCATATAGCGACGCTTAGCAGCATCGCCTGGGAGACAACTCTCTTCATTCTTGGTCCCCATCTTCGAACTGAGGTATTCGTTGTATAGTATAATTGTTATTGCGGCCTCACAGCTGCCGGTCGCACAAAAGCCTTTTCTCTGTGGTATGATTTGTGACTTGTGTGTGTGTATTATGATCGAGTATTATCCATGCAACCTTGATGTGGTAAGTTTTCCTAACTACTACCCCAGTGGACCCTGCCTGCCTTGCCGTGCACGAGTCCCGAAGGGAGTGGCACACTAGACGGAGTCGTGCGTCAATTTTCGCAATCAACCAGGCTATACAGATGACATGTTATTAGCTTCTTCGGCCTTGGGCAACAAAAGTGACACCGATGCCGAGCATGTAACTGTGCGAGCCATCAAGAGGATGCGTAACATGTAACAAGCAGCATCGACTTGTCAATCAGATTGCGTCGCACTGCTCACACAGAAAGGTACCTTAGTAATGTTAAGTAGGAGCGCTCTTTCAATATGGTCGTATTTGGCGTCGTGACGCATGGTCCCTAGAGGCAACTTTGAACAGGTGTACTTGGAGAACCCGGAAGCAGCGGAACAGCGGTGTGCTCACCGAACACAGTCAACTCTCAGGTACGTAAAAAGATACCCTTATGCGCGCTTTCCCTGTCCACTAAACAAGCTTATTATTAGTGCTGACGGCTCTATTTCTACCTTGCTCAACGAGTTTGACTAGACAGCTTGCGCCCACCCTGCATCTCGAGTGTGGAAAGTAGCGGCGTTTGCAGTTCCCTTGGCTTGCCCACAATGTAAAGACAAAAGTGACACACGCGAGAGTCATACATGGCCTGGTTGTACAACAACTCATCCAAATTCAACAGTTGTCATCGGTCTATATGGCTCCGAAACCTGCTCGCGCCACTCTAAGCAGCCTCTTATCAAAGAGCAACATAGTGCATGGGAAATACATGACTGTAGTCGTTTACAGGTTTTGATAGCTTGCTTACGCCCTATTGACCCTATCGTGAATCGTGCAGGCGCCTTGCAGCATCGTATGCCCGAGTTTTGGTTCCTACATCTTTGTGTCACCACGGTTATTTTAGCCTCTTATCCAATGATACCAACCAGTTCGCTCTTTCCTTGTTCGCAAGGTCGTCCATCAAATAGTTTCAAAGGAGACCACACGTGATCCACAACATTACCATATTTTTCTTGGAATACAAACTTGGTCACAAACACTACACTGGGTGTACCGTCTGGCTTCGAGTCACTCGAATCCATTGACTCGCAATAACACCATGTCCGGAGTAACTAACAGTGTAAACGTCACCAACCTCGAAACTGATTGGCATCGTCACTTTTGTCATTCTTAACTTTGGTTTCTAACCGGCGGTTGTAGTATTTGCCTTATTCTGCACTACCAGCAGCGGCCGCGACACTGCCTGCTGTGTAACATCCGGAACCGTGCATCATGCATCTATTCCGCAATCACCTCTTTATACTAGGACCAAAATGCCCAACCCATGGTTACCTTCTCAATGCACTCGGTTTCTTCCATGGATTTGTCTGCAGGAAACTTAGGATATGCCTTTTCTAAACGTCAAATCAGAAAGTTGTATATTCTGCCAGACTTGAGCAATTAACATTCAGAGCCTCATGGTCCAGCTATGCCACAGAAGAGACCAAAAGTATAACAATTTTTCAAGAATCTAGACGCGGGTAAACGGCAACGGAAAGCAGATATGCCTTGCTGCATATCTGTACCTGCGTCGCAACCGAGTACCTTAACCTTGTGCCACCACAACGTCAGACCCACACCAGATTGCTGTCGTGGTGGAACGAAAGCAAAATACATAAAAGGCAACGAGGCTCGACAAGACCAAGAATCAAGCTCCTCAGCTGTAGCTGTTTGTTGGACTCACTCTACTCTCGCTTTTTACCCTTCTGCCACTCGTTTTTGTTGGTCTCTCACCATCTTGAAGGACTAATCAAGTCAGCCATGAAGCTCAACACCTACGTACCTCTTGCGGTGTTTGCGGCAGTTACTGCTGCTGAACGGTTCCCTGGTATGTCTCTCTTTGGCCTGTAGCACTTGTGGAAGTTGGCAATCTTCAGCTACTATACTGGCATTCAAATATACACAGTTGCTGACACGTTTGTTCAGTGAATTTGCCAAAGCATGTGCGACCTCGTCAATATTCTGCTCCACCGCCATACTCACCCGTGGGCCCGAGTTCGAGCAGCGGCAGCGGCAGCGGCAGCGCATCATCCAGCTTTCCTAGCGGATATTCGACCTCGCTGTCTACCGGCATCTCTCCCACTGTCGACGTGCCATCTGCCCAAACGTCCTCACTCCCGTCCAATGCCACAACGCCCGGTCCTTCGACAATCGTCATCACAAGCGTTGTTGTCATTACATCGGTCATTCCGCCTCTGCCGTAAGCTACAGTACGTAATGCATCATGGAAACCAACACTAATAGTCGCATACAGTAGTACTTCAACTTCTACGGATGCTACTGGAAGCAGCTGGGGAGTAAGCAAATCTTCCTCTCTCAGCGTCCCGCTTTCCACAGGCCCCCAATCATCCGGCACTGGCTACCACTCTTGGCCTCACCATTCTTCACATGGATCGTCAGCACCTTACGGCAATAGTACTTCAGCTTCTTCGTCTCCATGGGGCACTGGCACAGTGTCATCTTCCTCGAGTCTACCCCTGACTTCTGCTGCCAGTAGCAGTCCCTCAGCAGTCACCAGCTCCCCTCCGTATCCTTCAAACGATACGCTCACAGAGACCAGTACGGGATCTGTAGCTACTTCCAACGGAAACGCGACCACATCCGTGGTGCCCACTTCTTCCGCACATTACAAGCCTCCTAGAAACCTAACTAGCAGTCTCTCCATTGCAACCGACTCCGTCTTCCCGTCGTCAACAACTGACATTTCGACAATCAGCTGGATCTCATTCACATCAGGAAGTCCATCGGCTACACCCTCCAGTTCATCTACTTCAAAATACACAAGGTCTACTTCGTCGCGCCGACGCACCACGACTACCGGACGCCGTTCTACAATACGCACTTGGAGCAGAACACTGACCATGTCGTTTTCCTCGACTGGTTCCGCTTCGTTTACACCGACTCATTCGAGTGATCTGCCATGGACTAGTAGTACGGCGTCGGAGGAAGAATCTTCTAGCACAGCTTCATCATCTGGTAGTACGGCTACACCGTCTCCGTCAGAGAACTGGCCTTCATCTTCTGCTACGCCATCTGAATCAGACACCTGGCCCTCTTCTTCCCCCAGCATATCCGACCAACTCTCATCAACCACTACTCCCGCATGGCCTCCGGCTTCCTCCTTCTCATCCTCATCGCCATCTGACAGTACCACAACACCCTCCACAAGCACCGACGCAACCGCCTCCTCCTGGCCCATAACCCCCTCATCCTCCTCCTCCTCTTCCCGCCCTGTTACATTGCCCTCCTCGCACCCCACCCCCTCTTCTTCCCCCTACAACTCGTACTCCACACCGCCCTCCACCTACACCGATGCAACAGCATCATCGTGGCCCGTTCCTTCGTCTTCAGCCTCTACCTCCCCATCTTCCCCATCTCCCTCTCCCTCTCCCTCTCCCTCGCTGTATACCACCTATACCTTCACCTCATCCTCCCTTTCATCTTTGCCAGTCTCATCCGTCCCCGTTTCTTCTACAGCCTCTCGGTCCGTCTCCTCGGCCTCAGCCCCTTCTTCGGTTTCTTCCTCATCGGTTTCCCCTTCGGGTTCCGTGTCCTCGGTAAACCCCAGTACACTCACGCGCCCAAGCACCACCTTCGAAACCAGCATGAGCACGAGTAAATCTCAAGGATATGCTCCTGTGCCGCCGGTACAGACGTATGAAGTTCAGCACCAACAGCATCAGCAGCGGGGTACTGGGGAGAAGAGAGATATGGTGAGTACCCCCCCCCCCCCCAAAACCACACACACACACATACACATGTTTGATAAGGTTAACGGGAAGTGAGTAGGTGGGTTTGTGGTTTGTGTAATCAATCTTGGTACTAGATACAGTCCATCGGAGTGCGCCTTGGGTTCTGGCTACGTTGGGTATAATGGATAAGGGTTAGCCAGGCGTGTCTTTGAGACAACCCCAGGACAAAAGGAAGAAGAGGGAAAGAATGGAGTTCAGGTCTGTGTGTGTGTGTGTGTGCATGAGGATTGTTTTCACTTCTCTACTCTCCTTGACATAACTATATAATGGAATCTTTTTTTCTTCTTTGCTTGGTTCGAGGGTTGAATATAAAAGCAATGGAAGTACGGGAAAAATGATGCAAATAAAACAGTAGTTTAACTATGAATTCTAGAGCAAAAGGCTTGGTTTGATTTTTGATTTTTTATAGAACAGGGACAAGCACGGTGTGTGTGCGCGGAGACTCGCCTTGAACGAGGCTGCCAGCTTGCAGAGAAAAAGAAGAAGAAGAGTCCCAAGAACCCTCGTTCATCACACTACCACAATCCCTAGAACCGCAAGACGTAAAACATAACAGGCTCAATCAGCTTTCCATTGAAAACATTAGAATTCTTCATTTCGCCCTGGATACAGGCTACTTTTATAATCCCTCCTCATAAGATATGCAATCCGCTCATAGTTCATTACGCATCCACCACACCTCTCATCATCCATCTACATCTTCCCCTTCATCTCCCCCTTAACCTCCGCCGCTTTTCCCTTGGCCTGTCCTGTAACCTCACTCGCCTTTCCCTTGGCCTCACCCGCAACCTGGCTCGCCTGGCCTTTAGCCTCTTCCGTAGTGTTAGGTGTAGCTTCCTTGACGGCGTTGGCGACTTCCTCTGTTTGACACAACATAAACGTCAGCTATCCATACTCATGTTCATAATAATATAAAGGAGGGGGGGAGGCTAGGACCATAGGATGTCGTCATGTTCTCGGCTAACGCAGGAAGCGTTAGGAGCGTGAGAAGCATTGGGAGTGTAGATGTGGGAAGAGGGGGAAGAGGGGAAGGAAAGAAGAACGTACCGCCCTTCTCGATGCCCTTTACAGCAGCACCAGAGATGGTCTTGTCGATTGTCTTTGCGGCATCTTTGATGGCGTCTACGGGGCTCTTGCGAGCGATGGGGGTGGTGCTGAAGAGGCGGGCCTGGCGGGCAATCTGTTGACGGAACATGTTTGTTTATTTGCTTGATATGTTTGATATGTAATTTAGATTTCGAGCGTTAACGCGGATAGGTGTGAAAGGTGAGAAGATGTTGCAATTGAAGCTTGAAAGTAGAGTGTGGGCGACACGACAGCTCTTTTAAAGTATAGGTGGGAAGGTGGAGTTAGTGGTAGCTGCTGTGGTATGACGTCGATGTGATCAGCCAAGGAAAAGTGGGTAACTACGCACATGCGCATCTGCGGGCAAGCATGGTGGAACAAACATCGCGATTTGCAAATTTCGCATCTGAGAGAAACGCCCCGATTTCTTGCATGTGAAGGTGCCGTTTCTGTTATTAACAATACTTATTCGTCTAGTGATTACTATCCTTTGCTCTTTCCATTGTCTATTGTCTCGTGATTATTATTTCCTTTTTGCGTCTAGTATAGCGCCTTCTGCCACCATGCGCACCTGGCATTAGCATTACGGTCGCGAATCTCTTCAAAACCAGTGATGTCGAGCTCCAGAACGGTTGCGTCTGGCCCGTACATTCTGAATTCCTTGACGCCAACCGCGTCTGGGACGCCCGTCTCTGCAAAGCTGGTAATGAATTCTTGCAGAGCCCTGGCCACAGTAGCGTTGCGGACGCTATCCGAAAGGGCTCCTCCGTCGTAGTAAGTATACGGCACATCCTGTCCATGTAACGCTGGAGGAACGGCGAAAAGATAGACATATGTCTCGTTTCCATATGCCTCCGAGAGGTAGTAAGTGTTGCACGTAAAGGCGCTCTCAGCAACGATTAGTTTAGCACGCTCGTAGTCGTTTTTATAACCCAGGGAACCGTCGAAAACCGGTGGGTACAAGGTATCTACAATATAATCAATCGTTGACTGCGGTGCATTGGCATATGATTGTCCGAGTTGGGTTCGTAGCGCGGTTGAGGTGTTAACTGAGGTAGGCGTAAAGACGGCTCCTTCGTCGGCATTGTAACCAATCATGACGCGTACGTCCTTGTCGAATCGACCCTGTGCCAGGAGTAGGCCGGGTTGAAGCGGGACGAAGTCTCCATCTACGACGGGTCCATAAGTATAGGAGCCATATGGGGAATCATAAATGATTTGCTGGGCATTGGCGCGAATGACGGCGTCAGATGACAGGGCGCGGAGCTCAGCCAGGGACGTAGCGCCGGTTAGGTTGAGAAACTTGTCGTATGTAGTCTCCTGGGTAACAAGAGAGTTGACTGGCTGCCAACCAGGGCTCTGCGGAATCGCTTGCTGGAAGGGAGCTGGGCCCTTGGCGCCTCCGTATGCGGTAATCTGGTGCATAATGGAACCTCCACCTGCACTCTCTCCGATAACTGTAACCTATGGAGAATGTTAGTCATGTCTTGCACGAAAAAGAAATCCACAAATTTCGACTCACTCGGTTCTTGTCACCGCCGAAAAGATGAATGTTTTCTTGGATCCACTCGAGCGCCATACGCTGGTCGTACAAGCCCAGGTTAGATGTACCTCCCTCTGATTGGAAAGACGGACCTCCCATCCAGCCCAAAGCACCCAGGCGATAGTTCATGGCAACATAAATGACATCACCATTAGTCGAGTTTCCAGAAGCAGCAAGCAGACCGGCGGGGTTGGCATTCTTTGAGCCTCCGGTGTATCCACCACCGTAAATCCATACGAGAACTGGAGCTCCGAATCCTTTGCCGGCACTCTCAAAGACATCCTCGGGCACAAAAACGTCGAGGAAGAGGCAATCTTCTGATTCTCGAGGATCACGTGGTGGGACTACGCTGCTGGCATTGGCTCCTGATGGTACATAGGGGACTGGCGGTCGGCCTAGTGCCTGCGCAGCTAACGACGCTGCAACAGTTTGCCCCCATGCGCCATTAGCTTGTGGGCAAATCCTACGCTCGTAAGTAAGGGTTTCGTCACATAGTTTGATTGACTTCAATACCTTGATTCATGGCCGTTGTTGATTGCTGACCGGTTCGTTGCTGGAGCCTGAGGGGGTGCCCATCTCAACTCGCCGACAGGGGGCGCAGCATATCGAATATTCGAAAAGTTGTAGAAGTTGCCAGTTTCCTAAGAGGAAAAGTCAGAACCACCAGCCCCCTCAATTGCGATGACACAACGTACATTGAATCCCGAAGCGCGGTAAACTTGGTAGCCCAGGTCAACAGTAGGCAGCGACGACGAGTTTTGAGCGTACACCGCACCCAAAAGGGCCGCTGTTGCAGCGCCGAGACGAAACATATTAAGTAGCAAACCGGAGAAGTAAACGGAACGCAACGCAGGAAAGAAAAAACTACCAGGCAGCGGAGGACCTAAGTATTTGTTCTTGCCCGGGCACTCTGGGAAGCCTCGCGAATTACCAAATAATGATCTACCGCGGCATTGCAAGGTGCAAACGCCGCTTTCTAGCCAAATGTAGACACCAACCCCATACATGGCTTCTCATCTTACCGAAGCTAGCGGACTCTTTGGCCATTACGCTCAAGTAGCCGCAAACAGAAGTAAGCTCAATACGCCCCCAGGCAGCCACTCAGTACAGTAACCGTGAAGGGGAGGTCGAGACTACCTTGACAGGTACATATGGCCGGATATGTGGCTAGGTGGAGTATAGATGTATACGTCATGGGGCGGAAGCGTCGGCGGTACAGCGCATGAATTAATTCGTCCGTGGAGTATTCGCTCACAGTCAATTCAACATTGACACTGACCTGTCCTGACTGCGTTGATGTTTTGACTTTGAGACAAGGTATTGTTCATCCTGCAAGCACGTGGTGGTTATACATGGTAACTTTGACGGTCGAAACATATGTAAGTATGGGCGTAGAGTATCTTTGACCCGGCGACACGGCACCCCAAGTTATCTCGGTTGGATGATGCGAGCTCCGCATTGACAACCCGCACTAAGATCTTCCCCACCATGACGCCTTGCCTAAGGCAGGCTTTGGGCCGAGGTACCCGTGTGTTGTCGCTGACGACCTAGTCTCACCCTGGCGGAGTAGATGCGGAGTAGAGAGCTGACAATGTGGAGGATGGAGAAGAAGTTGTGTGTGTGTGTGTGTGTGAGAGAGAGAGAGAGAGAGAGAGAGAATAAAGCTACTCGGGAAAGAAGCTTAATGGTCTATAGACTTGGTGTCGCATGACGTTTGGGCTTAGTCTACTAGTCCCGGGGGCCTTTGTTTGCCGCTCAACACCGATCTCATCCACGTTGACCAAAAACCTTCCTTCAATCCTATATTAAGATCTTATTACATATGTATTGCATGTAAGCGCCTAGATAACGGGGATAAGAGGCTCATGTGGTCGTTTGGGATCTAGTTTAGATGATGATAAAATGCAACTACACACAGGGCATGACAAGAGGTAAGCGGCGTCATGACTTGGTTACTTGAACAATGCTTACACAGCTACTCAACTGGCAACTTTGACGAACTCCAAAGCCGAGTCGTGCGGAAACAATCAGTTACAAAAGGTCACGTGGAGCAGTCCATGTCAGTAACACTCAACTCCCGTCTGCCATTGTTTTTGTTTTGTTTTTTGTCCCCTTGAAAGAAGAGCAAGCCAAGGCATCACCAATCATCATTCTCTGACACCAAAAGTAAGTATTCATGCAGTGTTACCCATAAACCCCCCGTCAAATACACCCTCAACTGCCTATTGTGCTACAAAGGTAGAACAACGGCCGCATATACGACACAGTGGTGTAAAAGCCCTTGCAACTACAGACGCAGCGCAACCGTGACACAATGCCGCACGTACAAGCGTCGCAAACAAGCGGTGACTCTGGCTCGTTATGCTGACGAGTCGCGTCTCGAGAGTTTGAGGGGAGAGAAATAAGCAAATGCGGCGGCAAGACATTGTCATGACATGACGGCTAGGGCTAAGCTAGTGCTGCGCGCGCCCACGCGGCATTTGTTCTAGAATGGATAGATAGAAAGCAACTCGGGATGTTAATGTTTTGATGATTACGACGGGAAGAAGGACGGGGCGGACAACGCGTCAGCCCTAGATAGCGTTATCTACAGTATTATAGTAGGCCGCCCACGTTTCAGATTTGGGGCCCATGATGCCTCGTGGCAAAAAGGTAAAGCTACCAGTGCGACGAACCCCCCTCGCATGCCTGTCAGTGCCGTGCGTTGTCGCCGCCGCCCCAATCCAAGACAGCGGGAAAAAACGAAGCTAGTACCAGGCTGGACCTGCAACTCATCATGCGCATGTTGAATTAAGAGGGGGCGCTCGCGCACACACACACACACGCCTGGGTAGGGGGCTCGACCCTGACCGACTAACTCCACCTATAGAGTAGACTACAACTACACTAATCCGACACCTCTTCTTTCTTTCCCCGCCCGCCCAACACACCCACTCCTGTACGAGAACAGAAACAAAAGAAGATATGCAGCGGCTGTCATTGCCATGATGATTTCGGGTGATTTTGGTGGTGCTGAAGTTACGCAACAAGAACGCACGCTGAAGCGATTGCTTTTCTGCAAGGTTGAGCCTAGTTAAGAGAATTTGGGGGCGCGCTGTCGGTGAGAGAAAACGGAAACGGCCATGGATAAGTTTCAGCGCGGACATCACACTCATTCGACGCCAGCGTCCGAACGGACGAGGAGCCGGGCTCCGACTGCGACGGGTGACAAGACGATTGCGAAGAAGAGATCGAGTTTGGGACGGGCAGCAGGCGGGTTCCAAAGCAGACTGCTTGCGTCGTTGAGAAGTAGGAGGAAGAGCGACAACAATGGGCTAGCGCCGAGCAGCAGCCCCTCGAGGTACGTGCCGTATCAAATCATGTATCACCCGCCAGTCGCTCATTACAGCCAAGCAGCAGCCCGTTTCTGGATGCATTGTTCCGCCTACCAGATGAGCTTCACATCTACATGCTACGCGAGCTTTGTGTCGCTGACTTGCTTGCATTGCGACGGACCTCGCGCGTGCTCAACATGCTGGTTATGGAGAATGCGCCGGCCCTGGTGCGGTACTGGGTCAAACACCGCATGGGCAATCTGCACCTGCAACTGTACCCTGCGCCGAGGCCCAGTGCCATTGACTTTCCCTTTTTGCTGACAATGAGACGGCGGCACATCGCGTCCCTAAGGTTGACGCGGCAGCTTGCCGATCACCTTGTAGGCGAGCCGGTGGAGCCAGGAGTGTCCCCACGCCAGATGCAGCTGTGGTCCTCGGTCTATGAGCGGATGCTTCCTCTGGTCTTTGGCGTGGGTTACTTTCTCGACGAGCACAGACGGCTGCTGTTGGAGAGAGACCTCGGACATATACGACCGCGTTCACGGATTGGCTACCATGTCCGCTCGACTCCGGGAATTGCCGACCAAGAGAGGAAGATTGTCAAGAATCTGGATGCACCACTGCGGCTGCAGTACTTTTACATGTACTGCTTCATAGTGCAGGTGCTGCTGCGAAAGACACGGCCGGCGAGTAGTGCTGAAGCGGTGGCAACGTTCCTACGCGGATGGTCCCACCAGCCTGCGTGCTATGAAGACGTTGCCTTTTTTCTGATACTAGGCGGTATAGGCCGGGTGGCCAAATTGCTCGCGTGCCCAACGTACAGTGAGCGGAGACGGTACCTGCTTTCGTTCCGGACACACATGTCGCCGCACACGAGCAAGTGCTGGAGAAGGCACTGGAAGGATGCAGGCGTAGTATCACCGGCTTTACTCGACGACATTCCTTGCACGCAGATTGGCATTACGCAGCTAGACCAGATCTGGGCTCCACTGATTGCCCAGATGATGGGGTCTGGATCCAGGGACTGTAGTGAACAGGAAAAGAGACGCTACGAGGAACTAAAGCTGTCGGGCAAGTTCATCAACGAAGTGATGGGGTACGACATCCTGCAGGGCCGTGCAGCAGATGGGGGCGAGCTTGACGATGACCACGAGCCATGAAAAAAAAAAGTAGTATGTATGTATTATGGGTTAGCAGGGGAGTTGCTCTAGGTACATAGTGGAAGGAGAGAAGAAAAAACCCTTGTATCGGTACCATTGAAGTGCCGTGCATGTTTGTTGTTAGGTTCTGACACATGTATGGTGCCGGGCAATCTCCGCTGGTTTAGCGGTTAAAGAGGCTTTTGTGTTTTGGTGTGGCTTAGTTTGTGCTTAAAGATGCAAGCAGCCCACACGTATTACGTACAGGACCGGTGGACTAGCGTGGTACAGTGGCCTAGTTTGAATTGAGGACTGTGGACCCTGCAGAAGTCACGATGGAGGGTTTTTGTTGGTGAGTGACATTGGGCTTGGCGTGGTTTTTTTTGCATGTGCTTGACCTTAAGAGGAGGGCGTAAAGCAAGCTACCCACTGTGGTCTGAGCTTAGCATGTCAACGGCGGGTGCTGTGTGGTTCAATGGCACAGGGCGAGACAAGGGGAGAGTTGGAGAAACATCGTCGATAGGTGGAGACATGGAGGTAGGTGGTGGGGTAGAGTGGTGTAGGATATTGCGACATGCGTAGTAGTGGGATGTGTGTATTTTTGTTTTGCTGGATTGGGGCAAGGTGGCAGGTGGGTGGCGGATAAGATAGAGATTGAGATGTCGCCAGAGCCATAGAGAGAGAGAGCGAGAGGCCAGACCCTGGAGGGGTTGGCGTGAGGGCCGGAAAGGGCGGGTCTGTGCGTGTCTTCTAGAAAGCAGCGAGTGAGAGGAGTGGAGCTCGCCTGTGGCTCTGCAGCAAACTGGCCGATGTGCAGCGAGGGGCGCAGCCAATGGCGTCAAGGCGAATTTTGCCGCAGCGTCAGTGGGCCCGTGCATAGCAGAGTTGGAGTGGCTGCACGCACGCGACATGACGGCAATTCAGCCGCTACTGATTAACGGCGACGGGCGAGACGGGCAGTGTGCTGCAAGTAGAATAGAGGGAACGTCGAGTCAAGGAAAGGTGCAACGGGCAGCATGGACAACAGGGAGCATCCAAGACGGCTTGACAGTCTTGGGGCGTTTCAGGCAAAAGCAGAGGCACACAGTAGTGTAGTTGAGTGTAGTGTAGTCGGTAGAGAGGCAAAGGGCAAGGGCGGATGCAATTGTGATTGCAAATGGTTCCGTTCCGTGGCAGATTGGGATGACGTGCAGAGAGCCAGACAGGCAGGCACGCAGGCAGGCACACAGGCAGGCCCAGCTGCATCGGGAAGGGACGATGGATCGAGACGAGGCTGCGTCATTGGCTGCGAGTCGGCGAAGGGCGGGTGGATGGGTGGATGGGTGGATGGGTGGATGCGCGGATGGAGTGACAGCGCGACAGCCCGAGATGAGAAACAAGAGAACACTATGTGCGGAATTACTTACCTAGCAGATCAAAGACACTTGCATGCTGCTACACTACTACAGTACATACTCCATGCCAACACTCACACACCATCATTGGCATCATCATCATCATCATGACGTGCATCCAGTACAATGCACATGTATGTGTAGTGTACTTACATACTTACATACAGTAGTGTACATATGTACATGTCTACTACTCTCATGTACTCTTCCTCTCTCGCTCTCTCTCGCCGCCGGATGCGTCTGGGGCGTCTGCAAACTGCAATGGACGCACCACCAGCTCCAACGGCGGCGCAGCCAATGGCGGGCCGTTGATGCTGACCGCAACAACAGGCCGCATGCATCCCGGTCGCTGTAGCGTCGGCTCTTGGACAGTTGCTCCGCAGCCCCCGTAATTGCTCCTACCACTTGCACCCAGCCCAGATGAGCCAGCATGCGAACTAAAATCCCGCTGCTCTCTACTCATGCCCTACTGCGCCAGTCCCAGCCCTAGCGTCGTCCTACACGCCCAAGCCCCAAACCATATAATCCCAAGAGCCCGGCCCAGCGTTTGCGACCACCACCAAGCAGTCCCCATCCAAGTGCCACCCCTTCCACTTCCTCCACTCTCCCACTTCCCGACTCTCTCCACGACACACCACCACCACCGTCACCACTACCACCTTCCCATACACCGGCGCACCACCCTCACTCCACCATACCCCAACTCCCTCCACTCACAGCAGCCCTCCACCACCCCATCTCTCCGCCAGCTCAAGTTTCGCGCGGCAACTACGCCTCTCTGGGCTATCCATCAGTCAGCTGAGCCACCACTCCCGACCCCACCATTACACACTGCCAAACACCATGAGACGATAGACATTAGATAGCAGCAAATATGGACTTTACGGTAAGCACCCGCGCGCTTGTTCCCGCTACCCGTCATGTGTCCCCCCCCCCAACCTTGCCTCCCTCCCGAACAAGCATCACGGCTAACGCGACGCCTCTTAGATTTCGCTCGCACACTTTTGCGAAGTCCACGGTCCTACCTCCATCATCTGTACCCAAGCATCCACCTCGCCCTGCGGCTCCTGCAACCCATGCGTCACGCCCCCGTCCGACGAGCCCCATTTGGCCTGCTCTTATAATGGCCTGTACGACCAGCCCACCTCCCTTAAGCTGAACCCGCGCGCCCCCCAGCTCAACTCGCCCTTTGACTCGCCCCCCACTAGCCCAAACTCACCCTCACATAATCCATACTTTCCCAGCTGCTCCTCATCGTCCGCTGGCAGCAGCTTCGGCGGAAGGAGACCTAGCAGCACCCTCGAATCAGACTCGGACGTATGCGAAAACTGCCAGATGGTAGTTCCCCAAAAGTACAGCGACAAGATTCCCAACGGTGCCCCCGGCAGCCCCACCAAAGACGGACGAGGAAGGAACGGTAGTCCCGTGTTACGCAGCTCACAAAGCTATCCCGTACGACGCCCTATTTCGCGCGATGATGTCAGCAGTACCGATTCGTCAGACGTCTCAGACACCGAACAGTCGGCTTCTTTCCAGAGTGGCAACTCGAGCTTGTATCCAGACTCGATACCCGCCTCGCCCTCTCTTAGCTCAAGAAGCGTCCACACCCACACCCTCAACTACATCTCCACCAGCCAACCACAGTCGCCCAGCACCTACTCTCTGTTGCGACGCACCTGCATCCGAACCTTGTCGACCGAGGTCCTCCCCCTTAGCAAGCCGTCTGGACCCATAATGTTTGGCGACTCAGTCGCCGGCTACACTATTGCCTATGTCTTTCGTCTGCAGGATCCGCGATCGCGAGGCGCTAAGCGCACCTATGCGCTCATTGCCATGGCTGGTCGCGACTGTCGCAGAGCCACAAAGGCCATGGTCAAGATTACCGAGGCTTTCGAGGGCATCGCCAACAGAATCATTTCGCTGGCCGACAGGGTTCTTGAGCGAGAGAGCGCAGCTTCGCAGAGCATACCGCGCCCAGCTACGGCTGTACCCGGAAGCACTCCCCCTCTCGGCACTTCAGCCTCCTCGACATCCTCAACAACCTCACAGCTGTTATCGCCTCAGAAGGAACGAACCTCGTCGACCACCAGTGCGCCCAGTTTCCGCAACATCACTCCCGTCTCTTCTTTCTTGTCTGCCAAAAAGCTCGACCCCGATGGCTTCCCTCGTGTGTCTCGTGACGTGATGAAGGCCAAGAGCCTGATTGAGATTGTCGGCCAGGAAAACTTCTTCGTCGACCTTCACACCCTCTTCTGCCGACTGCTACACTCTTTGATCAAGCAGTACGGATAGATTTTTCCCACTTGTCGCTTCTTTTCAGCGTACACCCTTTGCTTTCTCTTCGTTGTATGTCTTACTCATTGTTGCATTTCCTACTAGTCGTTTCTCGTCATGCGTTATAGCGTTTTCTTTTTCCATTAGTTCCACAGTGTGTTGGAGCGCCGGCGTTGGGGTACAACCACTTTTCTTCCAACGACATCGTTATCTTGCTTCGCGACTCACAGACCAGACGAGCAAGGTCGAGTAGCTTTATACCCTGTTTGCGATACCCGAAGCTTCTTGTTTTTGTTGCCGGGACTGAGCAGTGCACATTAGATTCGTGCAACTTGACTCTTACAACGGCGTTCTGGAGAGGGTAATCGGGGATGCGAGTGTCGACGATGGAATACTTGCTACTATACTAAATCTCTAGTAGCAATGGCGTGATTAACGTCGTGGATGAGGTGATGTAAGAAGAATAGCAGTCACAATATGAAGTTGTTAAGACGACACTTGGTTTCCTTATGAGTACATTGTTTTGCGAAGTGTGCAAACTCTACTCGTCTACATGGCCATGTCTGCCTAAAGAGCCAAACCTCATGTGCTGCATTAGGTTAGCTTGAGTACATGAGAGGCCTAACATCCTAGACGCAAGCACAAGCACAACTCTAACAGTACTCAACCATCATTTTGAATACGCTGCTACTGAACTTTAGACCCTCACAATACCCTTCTGAAAAGGCACACGGTACATGTCTACTGTGGCTTACCCATTTCCTCGACCCGATTTCCGTCTCCGCTGCCGTAAGCCTATGGCCCACCCGCGCCGCTGCGCCGTTCTCCGATACCGGAAGACTCCAACTACTACATACTACTAGCATTTTATGATTGCTGATCTGCAGGTCTGGAAGTGTGTAGTCTCCTGACAATAGAGCGAGTGATAAGTGGTACGCGGCTTTTTTTTGCTCGTCATGGCTTGATACGATATCGGCCCGGATCGCTCGGCTGGCGGATGGGTGGCCTTGCATTGGATTTGACGTCATAGCCTTTTTCTCCACCACCATCGGATAGTGTCGACGCTTGACGGATACGGCAAAGAAAAGCTCCGATACATGTCATAGCTTTGATCTTTTACTCTTTCAGCTTTCTTTAATTCTCCGTCTGTGGGGAAACAGGTGGCTATGATTTAAGCATCATGGCTTAAGCCAAGTTTTTGTTGCCCTCTTTCGAGCATGACGAACGTTGCTGCTGGCTAGAAAGGAGTGATTGTCACGGAGGAATGTTCGCAAATGGGCACTGTGTTTGATGATTTACATATGTGGACTGAACAGCTGGGGTTCATACAGGGTAGACGCGTTGAACTGACGTAGTTGGAGGTTACAGTATGACGAATGTCAGAACATCACGTGTACCTCTTTCTGCTGCCTCCGAGGACTATACAAATGGAATGAAAAGTACACCTCATCATCCTACTTAAAACACGCCATCGTCGATTTCACGTCAGATTGTCTAGACATCTAACCAACCACAACAAAGTCCAAATCTGTCCGACACTTTTAACTCGTGAGAACACCCACCTATTCACCAAGCCACACATGCACGAACAAGAACGCTTACCAAAACAGGTAGTGTCATACCTCATCACCTCATCACCTTTACCTCGTGAGCCACACATCATATCTCAACATGGACTCTTTTACCGGAAATGGCTCAAACCAAGCCACATCAAACAACAGCCAGCAAAAAGAAGATTACCTCGACAAGGGCCTTGACGCTGTAGAGAAGAAGTACGGCGGTGCATCGACTGAGGACACACAAAGGCATCGGGGTGTGAATGAGAAGATTGTATGTTTCCGTCGTTCTCCTAGTTTCACCCAGAACCAAGGGAACTACATAAAAGAAAGGAAAGGAACAGCAGGCTAACACTTGAAAATAGACCGATGGTGCACGCAACATGTTTGAAAAAGCGACTGGCAAGGATGTCTCCGACAAGATCTCCAACTGAAGACCCACCACCGACCACCGCGTCCACGCCTAACAAGAACAGGTGCTGGAAGGATAGAATGCATAAGCTGGACGACAAGTGGTCCAAAGTCCGACCGTATGTTGAGAGGCTGAACGGAACAATCGTTCCGTTGCGCTCAGCAGACGACCAAGACCGAGAACGACAAATGGAACAGCATGCTGCCCTCCGTGAGGACCACCAGAGACATGGACACTTAGATGATAATACTTGTACGAATAGGAATGACTGAAATGAAAAAATCAAACTATCCTTTTCCTTAAACCTCATTGTCGTATCATGTTTTTTTGTCTTGGAATGAAAAGTGAAGCAAAGGAAAGAGAAAAAAAATCATTACTGCCGGTTGGAGGAAATTATCTCACACCGCTTCTTACCTTACATTCTTCCTCTCCATCGTTCAACACGACACACAAGAAAAAAAGGACCGAAGAGAAACCTCCTCAACCACTTTCGCGTCTTTGCTTCATTTTTTTCGTCTCTCTCTCTCTCTTACTCTTTTCTTGGTCTTGGGACTATGAACTAGGATAGTAAGCTTATATGTACGTACGTAAGTTTTGTAAGCGACTATATGCCCCGCGGCCCTATTTTTTTTTCTCTTCTTCTTGCTTGCTACGCGCTTAGACATGCAGCATGGTGCAGGTATGGCATGTACACATGCATGTACCCAAGTCTACAGGTATAAGTACATGCATGCACGATGCACATGCTAAACTGGTGCTTACAGGATGCATGAGCGGTGCAGGAAGCGCTAGGCTTGAAAAGATGGTGGTATCCACTAGAGGAAAGATTCGAACATGTGAAAGGAAGCAGACGAGTCGACCAAACCAAAATTCAAGCAAGACCATCTGTGTTATGGGTAGGTAGGCAGGCAAAGTGCACGTCCAGTGTTGCTACCCTTACCAGACTCGAAATATCGAATCAAACCCCCACACCTATGCTCCCCTGAGCCATTCCAAATGCTCACAGCAAAACGTGTGAACCCCATCTCGCGCGTGACACCCCTCACCCAAAAACGCGCTACCCGCCCCCTTATGCCTGTTACCTTTACCTACCCCGCCCCCACCATCCACCATCCACCACCCGTCGATCCCTCTGATCCTCTGATCTTCGCATCCGCAAAACGGCCCCCAGTCCAGTCCGCCTCACAAAACATCCAACTACAAGCAACAGCCCCGCCCTGAATAATACGACGAAGGACAGCCAAGAAACGCAAAGTCGCAGTCGCCTACACCTAAATAAAATAGAAACTCCTACCTTAAGACCAAAGTAGTAAAAGTAAAGGGGAAAAGCATGTCGAGCAATCCCAACCAAGGAGGTGGAAACGCCGCAGGATCCGACTACCTCGACAAAGCCTTCAACGCCGTAGCCGGTAAATTCGGGGGCGCACAGGGCAAAAAGATTGCGGCGAATAAGGGCATGAGTGAGAAGATTGTATGTTGTTTTTTTCCCCTTTCCCCCCCCCCCTTTCTACCTACCTTACCTACCCACCGATCCACATATCGATTGCATGCACACGCTTGGGCAACCGCAACCGCAACCGCAACGGGAAAGACTCAAGTGGAGACAGCGAGAGAGAGGAGGGGAAAGGGACAAAAGCTAACAAACACACTACCTTAGACCGATGGAATGCGCAAGGCGTACGAAAAAGCGACGGGAAAGAAGGTTGATCCCAAGATTTCCAATTGAGACTAGTATGGATTGGTAAGAGAGAGGGGGGAGGCGGGGGGAGGAGACATGACTCCTAGAATGATGGATGAATGGATGGATGGATGGATGGATGGGAGGGTATGCAAGGATATATGTAGGGGTCCATACTTACATTACAACAACCCACCAAGACTACCATTACTACCGCAGCTGTAGCTTGTGTAATCAAAGACCAGATTTACTTGAAACTGCATGGGGCTATGCGTGTATGAGACAAATGGACGACAAGAAATCTACTTGATGTACCTTTTTCCAAGACGTTACGAGATAAGAAAGACCCTGCATAATAACTCTCTTCATTCTTGCATGTAGATGCAGACACTTGAGGTGTGCAGCAGTCATGCAAACTACTACTAACTCATCTACCTTAACCAGCCAACTCAACCCTCCGCCTGAGCAAAGACCTCGCTTCCGTCTCACTTAATAGCTCCAAGCCCAACTCATCTAGCACATCTCTAGCCGCCTGGTTATCCGCAAACAGCCGCTTTTCCACTTCCCATAGCCCCAGCAGCTCTTCAGCCCCAGCAGCCCCAGCCTCATTTCCACCGCCCAATGACATCGTGTCACCGGCGTGCTTTGTTTTTCGCGCAACAACCGACGGGTCCTCATCACCGTCTTCAGCAGCGCCCCAAGCCTCAGTATCCCAATCTTCGGTGTCCTCGCCACCTTCATCATGCTTGACCTGATCCTGGCCTGATGTACTAGATGGACTGCCTTTGACTGGTAAGCCAACAAGTTTCACACCTTCGAGACACTTCCTCAGTCCCGTTCCTGCCACACCAGGGCCAACATGCTTGTCGACGACATGACACACAGCCAAGACATCAGCGTGCAACTGTGTGGCACCCTGCGTGGAGAAGCGAGACCGACTTAGCACATTCTCCCAAAACACCGTCGAAATGGTAGTCAGCATGGCCCGGGTGATGCGGCGCAATGGCGCAGACGCAAGGGCACGTGAAAGGAACGCTAGTGTTGTGCGCAGATAAACAAGCAACGGATCCAGCTCTGCGGTAGGCGAGGGTTCAGCAGCGGAACCTGAAGCCGAGGGCCCACCCAGCGTGGCCCACGGGTTGCTATCAGAAAAACAAATGTCAGTACACAGCTTTCGCATTAAGTGGTGAAGTGATGTGACGAAGAAACGTACATGTGCCGATATGCACGCAGCGCCTCGCGCACGTTGCTGTTTAGTGTGTCGATGATAATCTTCTCACTGCGGTCACGAAGGCGCGCGTACCACGATGCCGTTTCGTCAAACAGCGAGCCTGCTTCCATGTCGTCGCTCTCAACCTTCTTTGATGTGCGTCCGGCCACATCTGCAACAGTCATGGTACCAATATTACTAGTCGGGCTACGAGCGCGATCCTGTAGCTCCTCCCAGATATCCAGGAAAAACTATGGAACTCAAAATTAGCCGCGAATCACATAGCACAGGGGTAATGCAGATATGAGCCTACCACGTCATCGCTCCAGTCACGCATGGCCCGTTCGAGATAATCTGCACTGCCGAAGGTCTTGCAAAGGCGTTCCAGTCCTTCTACGCCAAGCAGCTTTTCCTGTTCCTCTTTGGTGATACCACCCATAGCACGACTCAGCGACGTAGTCATGGTCAGATACGCTTCGAGATTGCTCTGCAGCCTCTCATGCAACTTGTCAAAAATCGCAATCTGAATATCAATCAGGAAGGTGAGTTTCTGGCTAAACGAAGTTAGAGGCCTGTAACGATCTGCAATAAATGTAAGGTTAGCGGCAGATTTGGGATGTAGGGTAAGCGAGAAAAGTACCTGTTATGGTCTCGAGCAAGTCGTTTACGCGGATCGCTCCTTTTGTGGGCTTGGTGGCTTTGGGATCGACGCTCTCATAGTCAAGATCACCAAAGTCTGGAGCCTCGACAATGTTCTGATAGCGGGATAGGGCAACTGCTGCATGTTAGTCGTCCACAAAGAATTTCCACATTGGGCACCGTAAAAAAGCTTACAATCCTTTTCCACCTGCAGCCACCGTCCAAACCAATCACCCTGTACGAGGAATTCCCATGAAAGTCCCCTCCAGCCTTCAACGCCATGACCCGCATCGTAACCCCACGTGTCTCGGAGGTCCGTGTCAAAGTTCATCACCTCATGTATCAGGTGGCTCAAAAACTGTGGCTGGCCAGCGACCTTGGGCAGCAGCGAGCCAATCTTAGTGCGCAGCATGGGTAGTAAGGCAGTTATGAAGGCTGACATGGCATCAATGTAGACGGGGTTGAGCGCAAGATCAGTCCTGCGGAAGTGGCGTAGCAGAACGGGCTGGACATGGTCATTGACGAATCCGCTGTAGTCGTTCAGAAGCGTGGTGATGTGGGATAGAAAGTACTCGGGCCGATCAATGCGGTTCGTAGGCTTGTCGCCTTCAAAATGGTAGCGGAACCGCATCTCGAGTGGCTGCACCAGTACCTCCATGGGGAACAGCACTGGCGGCAACTTGACCTTGTTTCCAGGCCCATTGGCATAGCTCATGCCCTCAAGCTCGGGCAATTGCAGATCAAGAAGTTTGATAATGGCAGTCTCCCATTCTTCGCGCAGATGCGTGGGTATAGTTGCATTGGGCAACGGCCAGCGTATCTTCTTGAGCGTATGTTCGAGCTGGGCAGAGAAGGCGTCGAGAATCTCGGTGCGCAGGGCGTGAGTGATTTTACTGACGTAGTAGACCAGCTGGGGCGCAGCACCCTCTGCGTCTTCTTGCAGGTTGGTGAGGCGCGTGTGAATGGCGCACAGCTGCTTATACGGTGCGAGGGCCGCTTCGCTGGACGTCTGGAGCTTTGCCTGGGCTTGTTTACTGTAGCGGTACGTCAGCGGGCGACGGCTCTGGGGCATGAGAGGCGGCAGCTGCTGGCGCTGGCGTACCTGAGCTTGTCTACCTCTGCCAGCAGGTCTACGTAGTTGGTGGCGACATCCAGACGGTGCAGCGTGTCGAGCACCTCAGCGAAGCGGGGCACAGCTTCGTCGCTTGTCTCCGAGGCGGTTATGACCATGAGGCGACGGTCAATATCGGCCTGCTCATGCCTAAAGGCGTCTGCGCGCTGGGCGAGGGAGTCATGTTGGGCGTGGGAAGCGTCTTTGGCGTTGTGAAGGTCGCGCTGGGCGTCGTGGAGCTGCTTCTTGAGCAGGCCATGCTGGGTGGTTATGGTGGCCAATAGGTCGTGGAGCGAGTCGAGGTCGCCAAGCGTCTGCAGTCTATCGTCGAGGTAGTCTGCGACGCGAGTTAAATTGTCGTCCATGGATCGTACGATTCGTGGGCAGATGGCTGCGTTGGGCGAGGGTAGGCAGTCTGTCGCTGCAGCTGACGGTATTGCAGTTACCGTTCAGCCAGTGATAGTGGGGGTCCATCCCAGCCTGGCCACAGCCCAAAGCGGCTAGCGCATCGGACTCTAGCGCGCTAGCCTGCCTCGGTCGACCCTTCCATCTGCCCTGGTGGCGCCTTCCCGATCTTGGGGACCGCCTCGATCTCCACCGATCCGGGCTAGCCCCGAAATGGACAGCAACTTTTCCCTAGCGAGCGCCACCCTCTGCCGCATCAGTCCACTGCTGGAAAACATGCTTAATGTACTGCGACTGCCGTGTCCAACGCCTCCATTAAACCTCTATACTGCCTTTCCACGGCCCTCTTCAGCCCTGCCCTTCCTGCCGACCGGTTATAAGTCCCTGTTGTCCGGCCCTACGTTGGGTGCTGCTGCGCACTGCAGACTTCTCTCCCGGCCCGGCCGCTGAAACGGTCCAAACTTTCGTCGCGCGCCGCTGCCGTTATCGCCAGCAATGCCCAAGGAACACAAGAAGCGCGGTCGCCGCGAGGAGCAGAAAAAGCGCAAGAGGGACGCCGATGACGATGCTAGCTCCAAGCGTCCTAAGCATGAAGATTCTGACTTGCTCCATGTCCAAGATTCAGTCCAGGAATTCGCCAATGGCCAAATCATCCGCCCCAATGAGTCGCCTTTTTACGGAATGCTCGACGAGCAGGAGCAGGAGTATTTCAAGAAGGCCGACGAGATGCTTGAGTTGAACCAGTTCGAGAGCACCGAGGACCGTGACATCTTCCTGGCCAGTGTGTGGAAAGAGGCAGACAGGAAGGAATTGAAAATCGCCAACAGCCAGTCCTCGCGCCTGCTTGAGCGCTTGATCCTCCTATCCTCCCCAGACCAATTGAAAAGTCTGTTCCAGAAATTCAGCGGACAGTAAGTTCTTCCATGATGCCTTCTGCCATTGCTATGCTGATCGCCCCTCTAGTTTCCTTAACCTCGTCCAGAACCGTTTTGCCTCCCACTGCTGCGAAGCACTCTTCATAAAAGCTGCCCCTATCGTTACGGAAGAGACTGTTAAAGCGGAACCTCTGCAGACCCCACCCGCCTCCGACCCCGATGAAGTCATTGTCTCGATGGAAAATCTCTTTCTCTTTACACTGGGCGAGCTCGAGGGATATATGGGTTTTTTGATGACGGACAAGTACGCCTCTCATGTGCTCCGGGTGTTGCTTATAGTCCTTTCGGGTGCGCCACTGGAGAAGCAGACCAAGTCTGTTACGCAGAGCAAGAAGAAGGAAAAGATTACTGTTTCTGGTGCAGAAAAGGGTCAGGAGCGGGTCTTAGAGGAGAGGGTTGTTCCCCAGTCTTTCCTGGATGCCCTGGAAAAGGTCATTAGCGATAGTGTCTCCGGCATAGAGTCACATTACCTTCGTTCACTCACCACACATCCGCTCGGTGGCCCAACCCTGCAGCTACTTCTCAAGCTGGAACTGGCGCACTTTGGAAAGTCTCGAGCCAAGAACGAAAAGTCCATCATTCACCGACTGCTTCCTGACAACCCCATTGTCGAAGGAACTGAAAGCGCCATCCTCATCAATGGTCTGGTATACGATGCGGTAGGATCCCGGTTATTGGAAACAATTATCGAGAACGCGCCGGGTAAAGTGTTCAAGTCCATCTATGGAGAATTTTTTAAAGAGCGCATGGGCAACTTGTCACGCAATGAAATCGCGGGATATGTGGTAGGCAAGATTCTCGAGAGGCTTGGCAAAGACGACCTAGAAGAAGCCATGCGCCAAATCGTCGACCAGATTCCTAGCCTAGTTGAACGCAACCGAACCGCTGTCATCAAAGTGCTCATTGAGCGCTGTGTGGCACGTGAAGTCAATTGCGCACCCATCAAAGCACAACTTGAGGCTGCTTATGCTGGTTCCAACGGCTTTGAAGTCACCCGCATCCTTCGGCTAAACGAAGAAGAGGTAAAACCGCGCGCCAGGCATGTCCAGTCACCGGAGAAGGTTCATGGATCTTTGCTGGCACAAACTATGATGACCGTGGACGGACCCCTTGGTCAGCTTGTGTTTGACTCTCTCGCCAACTTGTCTCCTGAGCTTGCCACTCAGCTTGCTCGCGACCCGACAGCATCCAGGACACTTCAAGCAGCGTTGATGTCAGAGAATGCGTCCGTCATCTTCCGCCGCAAGATGATCCAACTATTTTACGGTAAAATTGGTGAGCTTGCACTCGACCCAGCAGCATCGCACGTCATCGACGCAATCTGGCAGGGCACAGCTGGCCTGGCTTTCATTCGCGAACGCATCGCCGAGGAGCTGGCGGAAAACGAGAGTTCTATGCGCGAATCTCATGTAGGCCGTGCCGTCTGGCGAAACTGGCGCATGGATCTCTACAAGCGCAGACGTAACGATTGGGTCACACAATCCCGCTACACAGCCGGCAATCAAGGCTTCCAGTCATTCCCAGAGGGTATTAGTGATGCGCCTCAAAATCTTAAGGCCGGCAAGCAGCTGACGGCTATTGAGCTGGCAAGGCAGAAGCATGCAGCTGCAAAGGCTGCACAAGGAAAAGACGGCAAAAAGTCCAAGAAGGGAAGTCAAGCTGCAAACAGTAGCGCGAGCAGCGGGAGTAGCAGCAAAGACAAGAGTGTTGCGGCACAATGACAATGGTGACACCACGTACATGGCGTGGGATATTTCCTATATCAGGCATGAAATTTATACACTGGCTGCTTCATCACTCTGGCGTTAGATAAGGTGGATCGGTTGTAGCGGTCGATCTGGATGTTCTGTTTCTGATTCGATAATCGTAAATACCTTTCTTAGTGGCACAATTTGCATGTGCGATTACGCATTTTTGGCGGACCAGGAATGGTCAGCTCGATTATAAGGATCCATGACTGCATGTTTGCCATTTGCTCAGGTAGCCGGCATTAATGCCGATTAGCTCGGGCAACTTTGCGCGCCATTTCTGTGCCGTGATTTTTGCTCCTATACATCACCACCACAGTTCTCTTCAACCTAATCTCTGTACTGGTATTTTCAAGCGTGAATTTCTCGAACTGTCCGACAACTCGTGTCATGTCTTCCGCACCTGAAAATACGCCTCTTAATCGGGCTGATGAAGTCAAAAATGTAAGTGCCTCGGAACCATTTTCCGAGCATTCCGATAGCAAATGTTGTGTTAACCGCTGCACATCGATGATGACTCCAATTCATCATTCGCCCCCACCAGATAGCATGATATTAACACTACTACTAGCTTCTTGATGCCATTCAGGAGTTGATTATCCCGTTCATTCGCTCTGCAGACGAAGATGCTGCTACTAAGCATACCGGTCATGGTCTGCGAATAGAAGGTAGTGGCGGCCCAAGAACTACAATCGTTGAGCATCATCCTCCCAAGAAGTTGGAGTCTATTCTCAGCGAAGATTTGGAAATAAATGACAAAAAAGTTGGAAAAGATGGACTGGTCAAGCTGGTGAGCACCGTGTTGAAGTATAGCGTCAACACTTGGGATCAAGGGTTCCTGGACAAGTTGTATGCGAGTACGAATGCGGTGGGTGTAGCCAGTGAACTGCTTCTGGCGGTGTTGAACACCAATGTAAGTTTCTTCATTTGACCAAACAATCAGGTACTAAATTTTTCTAGGCCCACGTCTACCACGTCTCGCCCGTACTAACCCTCGTCGAAAAACGAACAACGAAGTACCTAGCTTCTCTTTTTGGCCTGCCAGAGAAAACTTGTGGAGGAATCTCTCAACCAGGTGGCAGTGCCGCCAACGCCTCCGCCATCGTTATCGCTAGAAACACTCTATTCCCAGAGACCAAAACCGACGGCAATGGAACCCATAAATTCACCCTCTTCACCTCAGCCCATGGCCACTACTCTGTCGAAAAAGCCGCCAATATCTTCGGTCTCGGCTCCAAAAATGTCATCTCCGTCCCCGTCGACGACCATGGCCGCATGATCCCCTCCGAACTCGAGCGCCTCGTCACTGAATCCAAGACCCGCGGCGAAACCCCCTTCTTCGTCAACGCCACAGCAGGCACCACCGTCCACGGCTCCTTCGATCCCTTCACTGCCCTCTCCTCAATCTGCAAATCGTACAACCTCTGGCTCCACATCGACGGCTCCTGGGGCGGCAGCGTCATCTTCAGCTCTACGTACTCCCCCACGCGTCTTACTGGCGCCCAGCTCGCAGACAGCATAACCGTTAACCCACACAAAATGCTCGGCGTCCCCATGACCAGTAGCTTCTTGCTCGGCAGGGACATGAATACATTTTACCGCGCACTTACGCTCCCCGCGGGCTACCTTTTCCACCACGCCCCCAGCACAGATGCCCAGGATATATACGACCTGGCTGACTTGACACCCCAGTGCGGTCGCCGCGCAGACAGCTTAAAGTTTTTTCTCGCACTGCAATATTATGGTCCGCAGCATTTCAGCGACTTGGTAGATAGAGCGTACGACAACGCGGAGTATCTGCTGCAAAAACTCAAGGATAGTGGCAGTTTCAAGACGATTAGTCCGGAGCCGCTGCCTTGTCTGCAGGTGTGCTTTTACTATGCCAAGGGTGGGGTGGTGAGCGAGGATTCGGAGGTAAATAGTAGGGCTACGACGGAGATTGCGCAGAGACTGGTGAGTAGAGGGTTTATGATTGATTTTGCGCCTGGAGAGCAGGGGAAGTTCTTTAGGGTTGTGGTGAATGGCAATGTGGGGAGGGGGACGTTGGATGGTTTGGTGAAGGCGATTGAGGATGTGGCAGTGGAATTGGGGTTGTAAGAGTAGAGCGGTTGAGTGGGCGGACTTTTTGGGATCTTGTGCTGTCCGGCTGGTATTATTATCGGTTTAGAATACTTAAGTGATGGTAGATTAAAGACATAGAGTAAACAAGAGCATCTGATGGAAAAAGGGAATACACATTTAGACTGCTTATGCCAATAAGATATCCACACCTACTGCGAAAAAGATTTCTACGACAAGTGTCAGTTGGTTCTGGCAAGAGTACTTCTAGCAGGTTTTGACTCTTGTCAGTTTCCATGGCTTCTTGTTAGACACATTCAATGATGTTCAAGATATCCTGTCGCAGCCATGAATTGATTCATTGAAAAATCAGGGTATCTATACTACATGTGCTGCAAACCCATCGTACCTCATACTTCCATAATCTCATAATCGTACAAGGAATGAGCTTCCGTATACATGAATAGGGCACCAGGCCAAACAATGACCTGACCCACACGAAAAGAAAGCAATTATGAGATACAGGTGTATACAGCCAAATGATGAGGAGATGTAGACTCATCTCCACGATATCCCATACTGAAACACTTATGTCACCAAGACACCTATTGGATGACGCCCCAGAAACGCTCGGCGTTGAAGGTAGATGCCGTGTTGACCTTCCAGCTGGAATCAAAGGCGCTGAAGAGAAACATGTCGCCACTGAAAGATTCGCGGATTGACTGAAGAGCAACGCGCTGATTCTCTACTGAGGGGATAGCTTCACCATTGGGGCTACCCTGGCGAGGCCAACCCGACTCGGTGACGACAACACGCTTATTGTTGCAGGCAGACTGTACAAGTTCGACTTGGCTCTTGACAAAGGGACCCGCATCCACTGCGTGTGTGTGCTTGTCAAAGAAGGCGTGGATGTTGACCATGACCACGTCGGAGGCTTCGCAGATAGACGGGTTGTTAATGGTAGCTGGCGCCGTCTCGACAGCGCCCACAGGGCCGTTGTAGCCAAGCTGTCGTAACTGGGTACGCGCTCTACCAATTGCATCGACGACCTGCGCTGCAGTCATCCTACCCTCGTTTACACGTTCGTTCTCCACTGTGAAGAGCTGTATGACGTCCCAGTTGCCGCCGGCGTGCTGGTCGATAGCATCCTTGTAAGCTTGAATAACCTCGCTGACGTCTTCACCGCTACCACCCGCATCCATATATGCACCACCCATGAGCTTCTGGCCGTGCTTAAGCGCATTCTGGATACCAAGGGAGATCTGATTGCAGTCCATGCCGTATAAGCGAATCGCCTTGAAGTCTTTCATCCTACTAAATTCGCTCGCGATTTCAGCTTCCGACTTGCATTCCGATGAGCCAGTGTAGACATCCCAGGTTATACCCATAGGTAGGCTGCCCGCACTGACATTGTCGGTTGGGGCAGGTGCTGCAGCCGGGGGGGAAGTTGGGTCAGCTGGAGGAAGGAACTGTTCCGCTGGAGGAGAGGGCGCCGCAGCTGGGGGCAAATATGGTTCCGCCGGAGGAGGACGTGACTCGGCTGGAGGTAAGGACGGCGGCGCCGGAGGAGAAGGCGGCGCAACTGGTGGAGACGGAAGTGCTGCCGGGAGCGATGTTGGTGCAACTGGGGGAGCAGGGGGCTCAGCTGGAGGCAAATACGGTTCCACTAGGGGTGAAGAAGGTTCGACCAGAGATGAGGGAGATTCTGATACGGGCGAGGATTGGGCCGCAGGCTCCAATGCTTCAGTGGTGACGGGTGCCGCAGAAGAAGACTCGGGGGCGACAGCTGGTGTCAGTGAAGCCGAAGTAGATACGACAGAAGAAATTGAAGAGGGGGTCGTCTTTGGCAGAGCGGTCTGAGAAGTGCTTGAAGACAGGACCGAAGACATAGCCATGACAGGGACCTTAACGGAAGTTGAGGTTGAAAAGGCCGCACCCCCTTCATCCACATAGATAACAACTTCGGCGACCACCTCAGTCACATACAAAACTTTGGTGACGAGTTCGCGCTTGTGGTCTAGACGCATTCAGCCAATGGGGTCTCACCAATCGAGTGTATGACTTACAAAGAGGACGCCCGCTCGCGGAGCCCACAAGAAGGCCGGCAGCTGCCAGAGCGCTCGCCAAAACAGCAGTCTTCATGGTGACGATGAAGTAAACCGTATGAAATATTCGTGCTATACAGGCAATGCAAAATTTGCTGTGTGTCTGGTTGCGATAGAGTGTTTGACTCGAGCACAACTCAAGTCGTCGGACAAGAAATAAGAGAGTGACTGCCTGCAGTTGGCAAAAGGAGAGGAAGCCGGGCCACGCCGAGCGAAGAGATCGTGAAGCAAACCAAACAGTAAAGACTGTGTGCGAGGTGTTGTAGGTCAAGTGTAACAAGAGAGCTGGAGTGAGTGACCATATCCTCTTACATGTCCTACCTCGCGCTTGGCGATTTTGGGTCTAGCGCCAGCGCCGTTTGGTAATCGCGAACAGGTGATGAAAGGCGCTGGTATTCTAGACCATTGAGCAAACGAAATCTCGAGATTATGAACGCATTGGGTGAAGTGGTGAGGGGTGATGGGGGCAATTACAATATGGGGCAAGGAACAAAGACTGAAACACCAAAGTGCCTCAGGCGTTGGAGTTGAATCGTCAAAACGAATGAAGGAAGCCGAGGACAGGAAATAGTTTCAAATCGAGCCGGGGAAATTATGCTGACATTTTGACGTTTGAGGTGATGTTTTTTATGAAGAGAAAAGTGGTGGTCGGCTACCTACCATCTAGACCCGACAGGTGTAAAGATAGTGATACAACCACTATTAAGACGAGAACAGACAACGAGAGAGAACGATTTCTTTAGATAACTTATGATACACACTTATAGATTAACTAGCGAAGCTGCGCATTCAGTACAAGAGCGGACTGCGACCATTCCGGCGCATGCTAGTACGCATTGTAACTGGTGTCGGCGCAAAGTGATGGATATACACCTTGGCACCTCGAGACCAAGGCTTGGTACAAGATGCTAGACGAAGCCATTTCTTTGGCCTATATATCTCATCTCGATCCTAACTGAGTTTGAGGCGATGTAATAAAACTTGAAGGGATTGAAGAGAGCAATAAGAGATAGGAAGCAAGGACTCGAGGGCCAGACGGCTCCCAAGAGAAACGATGCAGCAACTGTGTAGAATTGTAACTGCAAATAGGAGAACTCGCGATACCTGAAGTACTAAATATATTTAGCAAGCATGAATCGTAACAGACTTCTCGAAGGAATAAGTGGAGGAAGCCAGGTGTATGTATGTATTTGAGTCTCAGGTACTCGAGCCACATGAAACCAGCTGGAGGCAAGGGTCCATTCTTGATACCATCAACTCTGCAAGTCTACCGAGAGAATCCTAGAGTAGACTGCAAAAAAACCCACGCAACGACGCAGAAAATAGCCACTGCCAACTCTGCACAAGATGAAAGGAGACGATGTATTTCAGCAGGCTCCAGAAAGGCAGCCTGCAAGCCACCAAAAGCGGGGGGCACGTGTCCCACAACCACCCTCACTTCACCTAGAAACTCAAGCCGCGGGGCCAAACTCACCCTCGATACCTTCCAACTCTCCCCTTACCTTTGCTCTTTTTAAAAAAAAAAAAAAGTAGTAGCCGATCCTATACAGTTCGCAAGGGTAAGGGAGTAAGGCGAACCAGCCAGCCAGCCAAAATCCCAGACACGACTCGAGCACACCCCTCGGTACAGGGACACAGACAGACGAGCGCACGGCCAGCGCATCCGCCCGACCCTTCCCTTCGTCACGTCACTATCCCTTTCGTATACAACGCACTGACCTTTTACTTCCCATAGCGTAGGGGCGCCCCAACCATTGCATTTTGGCAAGCCCGCTCACGCACTCAATAATATTTACGCAGTATATATATTTCTTATTTTCAAAGCATGATTGTGCAGTGCGAGGATTTGTACGAACTCATTTCTTGCCTTTTACCAGAAGTGACCGCGAGTCCCGCACAACACTGCACTTACTCAATCTTTGGAACAACTTTTCACCCAGCGTGGGTTCGAAACTCTGTTTTTGCCATTTTCTTTTTGTTGTCCTTTTTTTGTCACCTTTGCTTAACAGTCGATTTTTCAGCAACGTTGTCTAAGCAAAGCATACTGAGCGTGACAACAGTAACTTTTGCCTCATTTTTGTGATTTAGTAGTCTGTAGTTTTTTGTGCAACAACGTAGACCATGTTCTAAACAATAGGTACAGCATCGCAGTCTTCTCTGCCAAAAGTGCCTACCTCAACCTTGCCTATCTAACACTTCATCTTAATCCCTCTCCGCTTCTCATTTTCGCGCCACTCAAACATAAACTGCACACCCGTAAACAACGCACAGCAAGCTGTCGCAAAAAACATCCAACCAGACCACGTTCCAACAATACCACTAACGAGTCCCTTTAGCCCATCCATTCCGAGTGCGAAGCCAACGAGATTAGCTGTCATTAGCATTAGAATCTCGCCGACAGCACCGACTCCACACAACCAGCGGTAGGCATCAGGGCTATCGTTCCACTTCTTCGCAGGGAAGATATACGATGCTATAATCTCCGGAAGAACAAAGAGAGTAACAAGCCATCCCCACATGAGCAATCGGAGTTGTATGTCATGCCAGATAGCAATAAAGGTAAACACGGCGAGGTAGTTCCCGACAGCCCTTGCCTTGCCAAGGATACCCTCGCCCTTACTCCCACCAAGAGGGATGTACAGATACCTCAAGCTCCACTTATTGAAGCTGCGGTGCCATCCGCGCCAGAAGTGCATAACAGAATAGTTGTCGGACATGCAACGCACCATATTCTCCGGCGGATCAATGCCATCCATGAGTGACCAGAGGCGGAAGAAGCGCCATGGGATGAGCAGCTTTAGCCAAATGTGTTTGAGGTTGAAGAAGCCCAGCATACTGAGCTCACAAGGTGTGTACTGAGACCAATCGGGCTTCTCATGGAAGATGGCGACCATATACATGTAATGAATCATTATCTCCATGGTGAGGAGGACGACAATGAAACGGACCAGGTAGAGGCTCGTCCGCTTAGTGGTGATGCTGTGAGGGCGGTAGCGACATTGCGCTATGTAATCGTTGAATGTTATGATGGGCCCGGCCAGGTATAGTGGAGAATAGGTGGCATAGGCGAAATAGTTGCGGAATGAGTAGTCGGCAGGTTTAGCAGGGATGGATACCCGATCCCGCTCGGAGAGGTTAGATGGGTCGAGTTGTTTCTTCTTAGATGTTATTAGCTATATCGAACCGAGGGAAGATGGGAATAATACTTCTAGAGGACTATTGTCTCGGGAGTTGAGTGACCAGTAATAGTCGAGATTGAAACTTATGAGCCGGAGGATAGTGAAGTTGAAGAGCACTTCCCAACGTGGAATGAGGCCACCATAGCTGTCGAGCATATGGCCGAAATCAGATCTTGACTTGCCCTTTTCTGAGGTAGCAGATGGGAGAAATGTGCCGAGAATAGTTGCATACGAGTAACCCCGGCCAAATTCATTGGCGAATAAGGTGCCTACGTTGAAGATCCATGTTGCGGCTGGTACATACTGTCGAGGGAGCTTCTTTCCGATGTAGTAGTTTGCATAGAGAATCGCGAGGATTTTGAATGCCGAGAAGCCATGCAGAGCAATAAGAAATATGGCAGCGAAGCCTACGTCAAACGATATGCGCTGAAGCATGCGGGCATCCGCGGCAGCGGACGGTGTTAGGCCCATGGTTAGGCCATTGCTTGCCGATGACCGTACTTGGGTGTATGTACCGGCTCGCCAGAAAGAGTCATATGCTTTGCGCAAATTTGGATGCAGTATTACTACAATAAACAGATATGGAATGTTCTGACGGAAGCCGCCATACTGAGCATCAACATTATCCTGACAAGTCAGTGAATTGCATATGACAAGGGGTAACACAACATACCACTTTCCGCCCAGGTATCCAGCCATCGGAAAGGAGATGTTCGAATTTTGGATAGTTTGGGTGCGATTCTACAAGTTGGTCAGCATATGGCTCTTACTTGTGGTATCACCCAACAGACCTTTAGACACATCCAAGACGGATTTGAACATCATGAACACGCTGGCTGAAATGGCCACGTAGTAGAAATAAAACTCGAGCGTGTTCCATCGTGGCGGCTGAATGTCACCATCTGCACGTTTGGTGCCCTCTCTTCCTTCTTTTACGGGAATTGGGCCCACTGGGTCAAGTTTGGCCTCCTCGAGCGCCTCCTTGGGCGGTGTGGTGGCTGGTATTACGAAGCGAGTGTCGAGGGTATCGAGTGCATACAGCTGGCGGATGAATTTAAGCGCCATGATGACCTCTATCCTATCTCTTCATGTCTCAGATTCCGAGGGACCCTGCGAACAAATATCTGGGGGGATGCGGGGCGGAGGCGCGAGGGGTAAGTGCGGTGGTGGAGGAAAGGTCCACAACCTCAACTTTTGGAGTTCGCGTCTTGCGACAGCTTCTCTTGAACACCAGCACCGGCTCCACAACCACGCCCACCTCGACTGACTCGGAAACTCGACAATTACGCGTCAATAAGCCGTATCATATTCGACACATTTCCGTTTACCAGTCTCCGCGCCAGCGATAATCGCGCGCGATGAACATTCCCAACTCGTCAACCGCACCCGCTGCGGGAGAGTATGCTGGAGGTAACTACGATTCCCGAAGCTCTACAGCGCGCGTTCACTAACAACGGCCTGCAGATGAGGTCTCAGCAATCGTTCTTGACCCTGGCTACTCAACTGTGCGCGCAGGATTCGCTGGCGAAGATGTTCCCAAATCCGTATGCCCTTCCTTCTATGGCTTGACATCGTCAGGCGACCGTCTGTTCGGCGAGAACGCAATACACGCTCCGGCCGACGGACTTGAGATTAAGAATTACTGGGGCTCAGATGGCATAGTAGAGGACTGGGAGACTGCGACCAAGCTGTGGGAGTATGCGATTACAAGCCGGCTCACGGGCGCAAAACCAACGAACCCCAAGAAGAACGGGCTGAATGATGGCAATGATGAGAATGGAAACGGAGAGGCTATGGATGTGGACATGGAGGCGCTAGAGAACAACGAGAAGCCCTTGGAAGACAGTCCGCTGCTCGTCACAGAACCAGGCTGGAACAGCACAAAAGCACGGGAAAAGTATATTGAGATTGCAATGGAGGAATGGGGAACCCCAGCCTTTTTCCTACAAAAGACGGGCGTATTGGCTGCTTTTGCATCGGGCAAGGCCTCTGGAATCATCATCGATGTCGGCGCCTCGCACACGTCTGTTACGCCTGTGCTCGACGGCATGGTATTACGAAAGGGAGTCCAAAAGTCACCTCTGGCCGGGAACTTTGTCTCTGACCAGATCCGACTGTCGTTCAAGCAGGCGCAACCAGAGGTCCCGCTGATACCCCATTTCATGGTGAAGAGCAAGACACCCGTCGACGCTGGCGCACCCGCTCAAGCCACGTACAAGACCTTCTCCACACCGCCCACTGACTCCTTCCGGTTGAATGAAGAAGAACGCATCCTGACATCGTTCAAGGAATCAGTGGTAGAAGTATGGCCCGGCCCCGGCCGCTTCAGCACCAACGAGGAGCTAGCAAAGAGCATGCCCGGCCGACCCTTCGAGATGCCCGACGGCTGGAACCAAGTATTTGGCGTCGAGCGATTCCGCGCCGCCGAAGGCCTCTTCGATGCTTCAGCAGCCCTCACCTCCGACACAAGTCCCGCACCCAAGCCCGAGCAAACAATCTCCCGCCTCGTCCAGGCTGCTGTCCAGCAAGTCGATGCGGACCAGCGTCCCCTGTTGCTCTCCAACATCGTTGTCACGGGCGGTAGCACTCTGCTGTACAAGTTCAACGAGCGTCTCAACTACGAAGTCAACTCTATCTATCCGTCTACCCGCAACAAGCTTATTGCCCCCGGTAGCGTGGTGGAGCGCAAATACGCTGCTTGGATTGGTGGCAGTATATTGGCTAGCCTGGGTAGTTTCCACCAGCTGTGGATCTCCAAGAAGGAGTATGAGGAGCATGGTGCGAATATCGTGGAGAAGAGGTGTCGATAGGGGATGTGTATGCAAGAAAGGGGTTTATTTTCGGGCTCACGGATCATGTAGAGAGATGAATATATTGGTTGCTGTGTCCTCAGTCAGGGATGGTTATTTCACTGTAATGTTTCTTGCGATGGTTTGTCTGTCTAGTGGAGTTGAATTAGGGACAAAATGTCTGAAGTTCAAATCTTCAAATCTTCAATGTTCCCGTTTGGTTCGCGTAAACAAATGTGCAACAGCTGGTCGATATGAGGGCAAAAGTGGTTCATCATCATCATATTGTCCTCTAGCTATCCGATTCAAGGAGTCCATTCGATACCTGATATCGGTGTATAGTACATGTTCTTCATGTTCGTAACGCCATGTCGTATATCGCCCAAAACTCTCCATCTACGAGTCTACATCCATTGTCTCGGCTGTGGCGGCCACGTTGTCGTCTTTGAGCTCATGCACGGTAACGTACTTGCTGATCTCCTCCTTCTTGATAATCTTTTCGTTGAGCACCGCCGTGGTACCGCGTTGGAACCTGTAGTTCCTCTGCTTGGGCTGTCTGGTGTTTGGTGTCTTGTAGTTCCTCATCAGGGTGGTCTTCTCCTCTGTGATGACGGCCACATCCACGTTACTACCTGAGCCTAGATCGTTCCAGATACCGGCCTCAATGGCATTGGCACACAGAGTGACGGCTTCATCGCGCGTCAGGTGCGCCTTCCACTGTGTCTCGAAAACCGACATGGCGGCCAGCGAACCTGAGCCCATGGTGACATATGGCAGCTTGTCGGTGGAGCCGTGGGCGTGGACGGTGAAGAGGTGGGCGCCAGTGGGGTCGACACCAGCAACAACGAGGTAGGCACCAATGTGGCCCTGGTGGCGGAACAGGTGCTGCTTCAGCATCGTCATGCAGGTGACGACGCGGGGCTTACGGCCGGTGGAGAGAGCGTGCAGTTCGAGATTGGATGAGATGATGGCTGTGGTGAACTCGGTGTCTGCAGCGGTACCGGCACCAGCGCACCAGATCTGGGGGGCGATGAAGTGCAGCTTCTCGCAGTTCTGCGGACACAATTGTTAGGGGGTGCATCGTGGTGAGGGCGGTGTCCATTGTGGGGGAGGAGCGTACCTTGTCTGCGACGATGGGCCCGCTGGTTGCGCGAGTGTCTGCTGCAATTACCACGCCGCCATCGAATAGACAGCCGACAATGGTGGTTCCCGTGCTGGTGGCCTTGGGTAGGGGGATGCCCTGGGCATGGAGAGCCACATTGCGGTTGTGGTTGGAGAAGTCGAAGCCGCCCATGGTGTGTATATGTGGATGATATGTGGTAAGCCTGGGGAGGACTGGCGGGCCGATATTGCAGAAGCCGGGGGATGTTCTGACTGATGGATAGTATTCAAATTCCGTCACAGAACTACCGGCGGGGTTCTATGTGCAGTTGTGGTATATCGTGAGGCTGTTCCCAACACTGGTCGTCGCTCAAGGCAGGTCGGCGGCGGCGGCGATGGGGGGACTTGCGTAGCTGGTCGTGCCTGGTGGGTGGAGCTTGGACCGCCATGCTTGGCGCGGTGATCCGCCAGCTGCTAACCCCGACTTTTCTTAGACAGCAAAGCGCGTCTGGCAAAAGTGACGAGCTACTGGTTGCATGATTGCCGATGCATGCTGATGCCGCTGCACCAGGCTCTTTTTTGCGACATCACCGCCTTTCCCGTACCCGCCTTCTTGCTCTTCATCCTCACTCGGTCCCAGTCTTAGCCCTGCACTGGACCTTTCTTTGTTTCCCACCCCCAGAACTCACGGTGACCGTGCACGCGCTTTCGCGCTAGACATCCAATGCATTTATGAATAAGCTGCGAACTCCAACGCGCGACACCAAGCCGTCTCTACTACGCGCCAGAACCTGTTCGGCCTGCAAATCCTGCAGGATGTCAAAGAGCCATGCGCCGGCGGTAGAGGTTGGGGCTGAGGTGCCCGAGATCGAGACGGAGGTAGCTTCACCTGCCAGCACGCAAACCACCCCCCAAACTGACAGCGCATCTAGCATCTAGGCTTCAAAGTCCTTAGCAACGGAAAGCAAGGCCCCAAGAAGGTCAAACTTCTTCCCCGACCATGGCCTGCCGATAATCTGCCCTCGGCCTCGGCCAGCCTCCTCTCCGTCGCCTCCAAGCCTGGTCTCGTCGCAGCTGCTGGTCCCAATGTCCTCGTCATCGCATCTACCGACGCCGTGCGTAAAGCCTTCGAGGGCAAGACGACAGCCGACGACATTGACAAGCCCGACGATCCACGACTCGAAGAACGCGACATCGACGTCGTGTCAGACTTCACGCCTGATGTCACCATCTCCACCGAGAACCTGCGTCACGTTGCCTTCTCTGCCGACGGTGACTTCCTCGTCATCGCTCCCGAACAGGAAGCCTCCATTTCCATATTCAGCGTCGCCGAGGTCGTTAAAGGTAGGAAAGATGCAGAACAGACCGTGCAAACAGACGCGCCCGTCCGCGCCCTGCTCCCAAACCCGGCCCCCGAGTTCGAGCATTTCTTCGCTATTGTCCTGGATTCTGGCAAGCTCCAGATATGCAATGTGACGGATGGTGCCAAAAAGACGATTCGCGATACTGATGTCAACTGCGCTGCTTGGAGTACGCGCGGAAAGGCTGTAGTCTCTGGTTCAACGGACGGTACCTGCGCCATTAACATGACCAATGGAGAGCTCAAGGGAGTCATTCCTCGCGCACCAGATGTCGATGAGAGCTACGAAGTGACGGGAGTGACATGGCTGAACACGGAAGAGTTTCTCGCGGTCTATTCAGTCAAGGACCAAGATCCAGAGAACCCAGAACCCAAGAAATTCAGTGTCATCAAGTCCGCGAAAGGTTGGGGATCTTTCACATACCATGCTTTCGCCTGGGATCCTCTTCCCGAGGCGTTTGAACCCCCGCGACGACCCCTTCCTGCCCGCTTCTCATCCACGCGACTACGAAATTGGAAGCCCGATCTCGAAGATATGCTGATCATCACCTCCTCGCATGCTGATTCAATCGCTATACTTGCTTCTACAAGCAACAAGATCTCTCCCGACCAACAAAACCTTAAGGAGCTTATGCTGGTCAATGTTGACGACACTAAGAAGGCCTCTGTGCCGCGTACAGCATATGGAGAAGATGAATTGGACAGTGTCTTTATTGGTGAAGCGTTGGATCTTTCAAGCAAGGAAAAGATTTTGCGTCCAATCCCTAGTCTAGAGGAAATCAATGAAGCTCCTTGGCCATTGCCGGCTTACATGGCTCTGACCCATGAAGGTCTTCTCACAGCTTGGTGGGTGGTGTGGAACCGCTCGATTGAAGCTGGCGAACGCTATCCGGGTCTCATCTTCAAGAGCGAGTCTACACAACGAGAGCCAACTACCACACCCCGGGCTCATACCCCTGCATCCAAACTTCCTGTCGCTACTTCAACACCATTTGGGCAGCCTTCCACACCTTCACACATTCCTTTTGGCAAGTCCGCAAACACTCCTGGAACTCCTGGAATTCCCCACTTTGGCAATGCTGGACACAACTCCCCATCCCCTGCTATGATGAGGCCTACGCCGCCAGGCTTCGGCACACCTGGCTTTGGAGCTTCAACATCAAGCATACCTACGCCTACGTTGAGCAAACCTCCACAGCCTGCGTTCGGTGCACCGACTGCAGTGGGTGGTGCTGGGAAAGCAGCCTTTGGTGCACCATCTGCAATTGGTGCAGCTGGCAGCTCTGGATTTGGTGCAGCGGGCAGTATGGGCAACAAGTCATCTCTATGGGGGACGCCTACCCAAAGTTCCGAGGCCAAGGCTAACCCTTTCTCTGGGGGTGGAGGAAACTCATTTGGATTCGCCAAATTTGGACAGAATGGGGGAACGTCGAGCTTTTCCAGCTTCGGCAGCGCCGGCTCTGCCCAAGCAAGTTCAGGATTTGCATCACTCGGACAAGGCCAGCAAAAATCCGGTTTTGCTAATCTTAAAAGTGAGCCGAGCTTCGGTTCAACAGTCACTGTAAGTTCCGGAACCGGATCGTCGCTGCCTTCTTGGGGCAACACACCTGCGCAACAGAGCAGCTCTATCTTCGGACAGCCGAGCAAGTCTTCTTTCAACACAGCTTCGTTTGAGTCAAAGGCATCTGACATGAGTGACGCAAACGACACGCAAGGCCGGAAGAGAGACGAGGCTACACCGACACCCCAGGCCCCAGCATCGCAAGGCTTGTTCGGGCTTGCTGGTGGCTTCAAGCTCGGCACAACATTCAAGAGCGACGGCACTGCTACCGACGACCCGGCAAAGCCAGCTGCGCCTGCGAATGGCTCGTTCTTCGGAAGCGACTTTGCTAACACGCTTGGGAAAACGGGACTTAAACCCCCGGCTACACCCGCGAGCGAGCCCCCACAATATGTCTCCACCACACCAGCGTCACCACCAAAGCAGAAGTTGTTTCCGAGTGACACTCCTACCAAAGACAGCGCAACTCCCAAAGCAGCACCTCCTGTACAGGAGCCGGCTACCCCTTTCGATGACGCCCCTCTTCCACCAGACTTCACCAATTCAAAGCCATCCAAGGTCGATGACGCACCACTCCCTCCCGATTTCATAAACACCAAGCCCTCGCAGTCAAATGGTGATGATTTGCCCCCGCTTGCAGGTAGTCCAGGTGTCGAAGTGGAAGCTCCAAGTTCTTCGGTCGAGGCGTCTCCAATTGGCAATGGAGAAAACCACAGTGATTACTCCGAGGATGACCAGGACGATGACGATGACGAGGAGCCTGATGACACCTATCCGCCAAACAACGCCTCAAAATCATACCAACCAAAGATTGGTACTCAATCAAGCTACTTTCCCCCTGCTCCAACTCCTCCTGTCATGAAGTCTGGAGGTACCTCGCAATCCGGACGAAGCACATCACCGGCTCAGAACTCTTTGTTTGGACAGCCCTCTAAGCCTAATGGAAGCCAGCCATCGTTTGGAGGTAATTCATTGTTTGGACAACAATCTGTCAAAGCTCCTTTTGGCAGCAGGCCTAATTCGTCGTCTGCATCTGCAAAGCCTCCTTACCCACCTTCCGCCACAAACCGCTCTCAAAACCTTCGCTCACCCAGTCCAATGCGCCCCAGCTCATCTTCTCGCTTCCGACGTGAGCCTCTGGTCGCACCTGGGGCTTCCCTTAGCTCTTCTCTCCAAGGATCCAAACCACCGACACCCCAGCCGCAGGTTTCCGATCTGGAAGACGAGGAGGACGAGAGAATGCGTGCCCAGCTTGCGCGGCCTATCGAGCCAAGCCGTAATCTTGAGGAATTCGTAGCATACCAGAACTACACAGGGGGCAAGTCGCCTAATAAGTCTGGTCATGCCGCTCAGATTGAAATGATATACAAGGACATCAATGGTATGGTAGACGCTTTGGGCTGGAACATGAGGTCGATCAAGTCCTTTACTCTATACCATCAGCAACCTCAGCCTAACCACCAAATCGATCGAGGCATGCTGGAAGATATCTTGTCCCAAGGACATGATGGATCGTGGTTCGAGAAGTTCACATTGTGCGAGATACAAGTATTGAAGTCTCTCGAGGAAGATCTGGAGCATGAGCTTGACGCCGGCCGAGTGCAGGACGTACTCGACAAACTAGCACAGCTTGCTCGCCTCCTCCACGAGAAGGCTAAGCTGATGACTCGTCTCAACGATATTCGTCGCCAGATCATCAACCGCAAGGATCCTGAAAGGATCGAGGCGCTTCGCAAAGCACCCTTGCCGAAGGAGCTTGCGGATGGACAAAAGAATCTGCGCAATGACTACGCTCAGCTGCTCACATCGCTGCGCAAGGCTGAAGATGCCGTTGCTGTCCTTCGTTCTCGCCTTGCTACTCACAATGCCCAGGCTGGCAGTACCAAGGCTGTGCCTTCTATGGAAGCTGTCAAGAAGACAATCTTGAGACTAGCCAGCCTTGCGGAGCAGAAGAACAATGACATTCTCGTTCTCGAGGCGCAAATGCGTAAGCTGGGTCTTGCCGAACCGAGCCGTCCATCGTCTTCCTCTTCACGCACTGGTACACCACGACAATCTCGCCGGACCAGTCTGCGTCGCAGTGTCGCCGACACACCATATGCTACACCTCCCACGGGCCACAAAAAGCTCACTCTGACTGAATTAAACCGTCGCGCTCTTACGCCCGAGGTTGACAATACGCCAACTCCCGGGAAAGGCTACGGCTTGTTTTACACACCCGAAGGTAGCCCCGCAGCCGGCGGAAAAGACATTGCTCGTTTGTCAGACCTCGTCGACGAGAACATGGATACTTTGAAGGAGACGGCAAGAAGCAGGAAACAAGTTGCCAAAAACCTGAAAGGTGTTCTTCTAGAACGAGGAATCAAGTTCACAAGAGTCAATTGAGGGAGAGTGTTAGATGATGGGGTTGAATGGTCAAGATTGGTAATTTTGGAATTATGATTGTGTGTATGATTAAGCGTTTTGGTGATACATTGCCGCGGGGTGTTTTATTTGGATAGCGATTGCATCGAACTAGGCGAGGGATTTGCGTTGGAGAAGAAAAAAACGTTCATTCACAATGGCGATTGCGCGATTGGATTCTTTGGTTGAAGATGCGATTTCTCAATTCATGATGCGTCTATTAGATTTCTTGATAGGTGTGTATTTATTTCACATATACGAAATGCAGAGACTTGCATAAGATGATCGCCCATGCTCGTTAACGGGAGAGGAAGAGCATGTGGTTGGTGATCCTTGTCGCATTATAGCCCCCCATGTTCTCAGGTTCGGCTAGTGAGTGGATCTATCAGGTACCTCACCGACCTGGTCATATGTATCAAAGAATGAAGATAGGTTCCGTGAACGGAAGAACTGTTTATCAGGCGCCTTTGTTAACATTTCATTCAATTTTGTACTTGTCTCCGTGGAGCCCAGCACCTACGCAGATGGTATATTGAAATAGCTCTCCGCCCATAAAAAAACATATACACAAAAAAGATACAAGAACCAACCAACGCGTACAAGATGCAGTGAACGATAAAAAGCACAACCCACCCTTCTTCTTCCCAGAAACCCTCTACTCCTCATCATGCTCCCCCACATACCCCATATCCACCATATGCCTAACAGTATCATACGTCGCAATCCCAAAATTACTCGTACGACTCAGAATCGTCTTCGGATTAACATACTTGTAATACCGATTCAGCGCAAAAGCATGCAACATATACGTCGAGGAAAAATCCATCTCCCACTCCGCTCTCCTGCGGCGATTCTTAATTGCCACCTCGTAAATCTCCATCGCATCGGTAGAATTCGTCTTCTCGGGTACAGGTGACGCAGGCTTACCTTCATTCGGCTTGAACAGCGGATCCGTACTATCCTGGAACCAGTGGGTTGGCGCAAACGCGGTGCGGTCGAGGATCAAGACTTCGTAGGGGATGGGGACGAGGCGCTCGGCGACGTTGGTCATGCTTTGGAGGTTTGCGGCCCATTTGCCGTTGAAGCCGGCGTGTTGCTCGCGGACGACGATGCGGGCCATGGTGCTGTTGGGCTTGGTCATGAAGACGCCGTTGTTGATGGTGCCGTTTATGCCACTCTGTTCACCTGCGCCGCCGTAGTGGCGGCCGCCGATGAAGGCGAAGCCTGTTGTCAGGAGCGGAGTTAGAGGGCGTAAAGGGAAGACGTCCCAGTCCATGTAGATGCCTCCTGTTTTCTCCAAGGCTTCCCAGCGCAGAAAATCGGATTTGTGCTGGATGGCGTCGATGTGCTGGTTTTCATTTGTGCCGGCGAAGGTGGGGGCGTGTACGGGATTCCAGATTACGAGGTCGGCGAAGGTATTGATGACGGATTTGGTCCATCTGTCGCCTTTTTCGCTGGCTTCACTGATCTCAGAGGGGCTGAAGTCGGTGTGGATGTAGATGCGTTCGGGCTTGATGTAGAGGACTGCGGCACAGATGTTTAGGAAGCTGGAGAAGGGGAATTTGAGGACGGATTTTTCGTCCTTTTTGATTTGCACGTAGTGGACTATGCTGGGTATGCTGCCGTGACCGGATGTGTCGGTTGACTGGAATATGCCGTATTGCCTTGCTTTCTCTACGGGATGAACAAAGAGCGCGGAGACTGAGAGTGCAGCAATGATGCAGGCGCCCGTTATGAGTGCAATGCGAGTGCGTGAGCGGGTGGTGGGAGCCTTATTGAAGGGCATATACTGATATACGCCGCTTTGGGGCTTAAGAAAGCTATAGTACGAGCGCAATTGATCCAACATGGCGGTTGAAGTGAGGAAGTGAGTGGGCCTGCCGTAAAGAAAAAGACTCGATGGACTACATGGAGGAATCAGAAAAAGAAAAGGAGTTGAAAAACCGTTGAGAGAAGAGAGGACACGTCTGATGCCCAGAGTTTAGGGTTTGAAGTTAGGATGATGCTGGTGATAGCCCACGTCATCTTGTGAATAGGACCGAACGCAGTCTGACATGAACGAAGCTAATAAGGTAAGGAGAAACACTAGAGGCACACAAGATCGGAGTTGAGATGGCTGATCCCAATATTTATGTGAGGGAATTGGTAGTGAGGTTTCTGGCGATCCGTACACATATGTAACTATATACTAGCATGACTAAGAGTAGGCCCTTTTTCGAGCAGAAGCGCGGGGGTCCTGGCAGATTAACAGAATAGCCTGAATTTGATATTGTAGTTCCATATTGGTATCTCAATGTAAGTTATCTGCGAGTGGGAGTACTAACCCTGCTGTATATCTGCTCATCGGATAGGCCTGCGAAAACGGGACATACGATCTTGAAGACGAGCTAATTTCACTATGACAGTTTTTACTAAGTAATGCAAGATGATGTTGTAGAATGGGGTCGGCTTTTCTCAAAAGTATATGTTCTTTTTACCTGCCAAAATGAGATTGTGGTGATGCTAATATCTCATTGGAGGTATAGCAGTTACAACTGCCGGATATTGTAATGTGGCTGACTTGCTCGATCCTCGGAAACAAGTAAGCTGAGCCAATGGTCATGTGACACGCGCTACGTATTTAATGCGATTTGGCGACATGCGACAGATAGTGCCTCTCCGAGCAGCCCGCCTCACATCATTATTAAATACATCTGCCATCATTTCGATCGCTTTTAGCAGAAAACCACCACGATGTTAGATGTTACGACTGAAGTTGTCTACCTGCCGTTGAAAACAGGACTCGATCTGTCGGCGGGCAAAGCGAAAGAGCAATGGGAAGATATCCTTAGTACTATTAAGAGACAGCCTGGCGCGATAAGGATACTTTGGGGAAAGCAGATTGAACATCCGGATACAGTTCAGTTAGTGATTGGTATGCTATTTTCTTTTGATAACAACTGGGAACGCTGCTTTCCGTCCTCCCTCCGCCACACGTTTGCTCTTCCACCGCGCTAACTGCATTGAGACTGGGCATCACTGGACTTCCACAAAGCATTCATGGACAGCCCAATCTACCTGCCTTTCCTGAAAAAAATGGATGAACACCTTCTAGCCGGGACACCGGTCCTATATCATGCCAAATTCCCCTTCGCGCAAAGCTCATACGGTGATCCGTTTACTTCTCCTGTAACCGAATGTGTGGCCGGCTTCTTTCCCGCAGACTATCCCGATTCGCAATATGAAACCCGATTTGCTGCTTTCCGGGAGCAGGCCATAAAGGTCAAGGATCTTGCTGCGGATAGCGTGATCGGTGGATGGAGTATTGAAAGGCAGCTGCATGAGGCATTGGGGGAGGGAGTAGAAGGAAAGTTGTTTATGATTTTCATCGGATGGCCAAATGTAGAAGCGCACATGGCGTTTCGGGAGTCAGCCGATTTTGCAAGAATAATTCCGCATTTGAGAGATGGACCGGTGGGAAGGAATATGTGGCATGTGCCGTTGAAGGAGTATAAGTGAAGACATGTTTTCTGGGCTGGAAAAGGGCCAAATGGGTTTCATGTGTCAATTCTTGAGATCTAGTTCTTCTTTTGACGGATGGTTCCTTGCAAGTCCGAACCAGAAGGAATATTCACAGCATGGCCGATACGCTGCTCAATGTTTTGCATTGCTTCGATATTGCACCCATTTCAAGCTTGTGCTCCAAATAGATTTACAGCCCCCCCTTTCGACAACTTTCAGGCTTGGAACATCCTTTGAGATGTGTTGACGGCCGTAGTCTGTCATTTGAAAACTTGCTTGGAAATATATTAATGACAATTGGAGGTGTTGGCAACTTCGTAAAGAGTGTCGGTCAAAAATTTACCCGAAGATAAGATTCGAAAAACCTGGTCTCGTTTGGGGTGTAATCATCAGGATCCCAAGCGGTATGGTGATGAGTTAAGAAAATAACTGGAGTTGGGGTATCCGGGAAGTAAGCTCTGGTTTTTGCGAATTTGATGTGGGATAGTCGGACAAGACCAGAAATGACCTTCCAAGAGTCGATGATAGACCGTAATCCGTAGTTTGATCGCCAAGAGAATATAGTCGCTCACGACATACCCTTTGGCGGAAAACTGGACTCGCGCTTGAAGCCTTCCTTTGAAATCCTGCAGAACTTGAGCATGGCCAGCTGAGCCCACATGCCGTTCCACTCCTTCAGCTTGCGCAGATTGGCTGCATCCTCGAGATCCGGTACCCAGAAGCCAGAGGCGTACTCGTCCCGCTCAGTCTTTTGATTAATCTCAAGCAGATTTTGGCGCGTGCTTGGCGGCCTCCCTGGACGGCGTTCTGCTTTAAGTTTTGCCAGCTCCTCATCATCTCTGCCTACATAATCTTCAATCATGGCCTGGATTTCAGCCACGTTAAGTGGCGATTCATGCTCTGTGGTGTATGATTGGAAAGATTTTATCCGAGACACTGCTGTATGTTAGTCATCTGTATACTCACATCCCAACATCAACTACACATACAATATGTGCGATTCTGGTTTTCTCGGATTTTGCTCAGGCGGTTCAGCTTATCATCTCTTTGCGCTGCGCTTTGTAGTCGCTTGGTGTCCCGGCTGCCCTCGTGGAGATTTGGATTCTTGCCCTTCTTCTTGGCGATCTGCTTGTGTACCTTGTCGAGGCGATTGCTGACCATTTTGACCTTTTGCCGTTATTGCAGCACTTGTTGGTGTATGGGGCAAGAAATTTTGGATAATGCGTCGGGGCTCGGCGCTGGTAATCACGCTAGTCGCCGGCCTTGGTTAGCGTGTTCTTAGCGGGGCGCGTTCCTGCCGTGGGCGTGTACCCGCGATGAGTGCTCCACTGCTGCATTTAGACTGTGACAGCTCTTTCTTTCCATACTTCTCTTGTACACTTGTTCTGGACGGCCTCTCTTCTGTTGACACGCCTGTGTTTCACACCAGCATGTTGTCATAGTGTTCGTACTGCAGCCATTGTATAGGCTCGACGCGTGAGCGGCAAAGGGTCCACAATGGGCATCTCAGGTCAGCGCACCCAATCGTAGGCTGTACATCGCTAATAGAGGAACAGGACTTCTCCCACTGCTAAAGTCAGTCCAGAAGCCAGGCAGTCTTAAGAAATATGCAGGCCAGACTATTGGCGTGGACACTTATGGCTGGCTGCACCGTGCAACTGCTGCCTGCGCCATTGATCTGGCCCTAGACAAGCCCACCACAAAGTATGCAGCTCCTGGCCAGTGAGCGAAAGGTTTGCTGACAGTCTGCTAGATATGTCGATTTTGTCATGCACCGTGTTCGCATGCTCATCCACTTCGGTGTTACCCCTTACCTCGTTTTCGATGGCGACAATCTCCCAAGCAAGGCAGGTACTGAGAAGGGTCGAAGGGAGAGAAGGAAAGAAAGCAAGAGGCTGGGACTAGAACTCTTGAAAGTTGGCAAGGTAGCCCAGGCGCAACAGGAACTTCAGAAGAGCGTAGATGTGACGCCAGAAATGGCGCGAATGGTTATTGAAGAGCTGAAAAAGAACAACATCCAATATGTTGTTGCACCATACGAGGCCGATTCACAGCTTGCATATCTCGAACGCAAGGGAATCATTAACGGTGTTCTTTCAGAAGACTCAGATTTGCTCGTTTTCGGAGTCAAGTGTCTGATTACGAAGCTAGACAAGTATGGAGAGTGCATCGAGGTCAACCGTAATCATTTCACAGCCTGCAGGGAAGTCAGCTTCGTAGGCTGGTCCGATGCGGACTTTCGAAGAATGGCCATCTTGAGCGGTTGTGACTACCTACCCGGTATAGGTGGGCTCGGTTTGAAGACTGCTCATCGAATGCTACGCAAACATAAGACTGTAGATCGTCTTGTCAAAGCCGCCCAGTTTGATGGAAAGCTTAAAGTACCTGCTGGGTTCATGGAATCGTTCGACCAGGCAGAGAAGACATTCCTTTACCAATGGGTCTACTGCACAGTCGAAGAGAAGCTTGTCAACCTAACGCCGCTTGGTGATGGGGTAAATATTGCCGACATGCCGTACATCGGAGAGGAGGTCCCACCCCACCTTGCCAAAGGTGTTGCTCTAGGCGACCTGTATCCGCGTTCGAAGCTCCCAATGGAAGTTACTGGCAAGTCTAAATCCAGCAGCCAGCCGCTGGCCCCTTCCCGACGGTCTTCAGCGATTATGCAAACGCCCGATGCAAAGAACACGAAGCCAATTGACTCCTTCTTCAAGCCCAAGCGCACACCCTTGGCTGAGTTGAGCCCGAACCTCTTTACTCCTTCGCCAAGCCAGCAAGTCTTGCTTGAGCAGCAACGTATCAGTAGTGGTTGGGCTGCAGTACCAGCTCCCATCTCACGACTACAACAACAGTATCCTCCACCTCCCAGTACGGCACCCCAGCCCCGGCGTACAATAACAGATCCGATTGGAGGCCGGCGGTCGGTCCCTCCATCCAAGAGACCCCGGCTTTGTTCGGATTCTATATTTGACACTCCTACCGCTGGCGGTGAGGATGTCGTGCGAAGTCAGTTCTTTGCATCGTCCACGCCAGAACCAAGTCCAACGTTGCATCGTAGGAAGAAGAGCAGGAGAAAGACCGACCAGGATATTCAACTCTATTCGGACGACTCAATCCAAGAAGGAGAAGTGGAAGCTGCTGATTTGGAGCAGACTGCATCTCAGCGGAAGAACAAGTTGCGAGTCTTTAGTGATGTGCAGTCAAGTATAAGTAGCGAATCACAGTCGACGATATTTTCGAGAGGTAGCACGGCTCAATCTCAAGAGACGCCCCGTACATCCACGCCGGCATCATCTCCCGACAGCCCCGAACCAGAGTCGTCCTTTAGCGCAGCGATATCTTCTCAGCTCAGCGATTTGCGGTCAAAATTCACCTACAAGGCTCCAGGCATCCCTTCACCGACAAAAACAATGCCCCGGGTTCCTAAAGCTCGTCTAGAGAGGCGAACTACTGAGGCTTCGCAGCCTGCGCCACTGTCACTAGAGTCTGGTTCAGCCTCTCTTCCCGAGACACCTGCAGAATCAATTCTCCCTGGTACGCCGCCTCCCGTAGATGAAGAAGTGGATCTGGCGGACTCTACTTGGGCAGTTATGGAGTCGGAGGTTGTCGTTGCTGCAAGTTCACCGCCTCCTGTAACGCCTGCGAAGAGGAGGAGGCGATCGTCGTTGAAAGGAAGCGAAGATCTGCTTGTACTAGATAGTGATGTGGAAAGCGTGTGTTCGCCACGGAAGCCCATGTTTAATCTTGCTCGTTTTGCATTTGCCGGATAGTCTTTTGCATGCTTGCAAAAAATTTGTGTATTACTACGATGAGCATATGAGTTGCGGTTTGGCGTTCTGGTTTGCGCGTGACTTGGGTAAGACTATGGTTATTTGAAAATCAGTGTAGCAGGACCAGAGACTTGAAGTATTATGACATTGATCTTTAACTGTACATATCATACTCTTAATACCTATCTGTTCCTGAATCCCCAATGCTTCCTTCCACAGTACTATCGGCAACCTAGATATGCCCCAGATCTCGTCGGTGAATGATAAGGAAAGATGAGTTATGCTCTCGATTCCAAAATCTCTCATCTGCAACACGGTTTTCGAGTGTTGCCTATGCGGATTAAGCAGCTTTACTCCACATGTGTTTCTTTGCGGTGGAATATCGCCCACCCTACGATGTGCAATTGATCTCGTCCTTGGTTTCAAGCGGACTGTAGCAGCAGCGTGCTCAGTGAGACGATATGTGCAAGTGTACAAAGCGACCCTACTCATACACTTTACAGTTATCAAGTATAGTTATATCAAGTCGCTTTCGAAGTAACAATCAACTTATTCGGAATCATATTGGCCTTCAAATAGGAGTGATATATACCATTTTCCAGGTCTTAGGCCATTAGATGTACAACTACACAGTGCCTCTTTCCACCACGACGTGCATACCGAACCACTTTGCAACCACGACAACCGTGACATGTGCTCAATCTCACCCCTATAGCGAGTGGCGCAGCTGCGAAATAGCTCGCATTCTGAAACGAGCATATACATGGTAGGCTAGTTGCAAGGGGGCGGGGGCCCTGAAGCTGAGCCTAATTTGGGATAGGACAACCATTGAATAGGCGTATTCTACTAAATCCAAGCCAAGCATCTAGCACTAACTGTTACTGCAGGAACATCGATGTGGAAAAAGTGGGGTTCCGGTTTCAGCCCCTTTGTTCACGTATTGGGATTATATCAGGGAGTGTAAATTAGCAAATCATTTGGTTTGATTTTTGATTTTTGGATATTATAGGACTATGTTATCCATTGGATGTATGATTGGGCTATTTTTCTACACTTTTGAATTACATATTATACACAAGCAGATGCAGTGTCGATTAAGTTATCCCATCGTGAATATCGCTTTTTGGTAGGCTAGTTCGTCTAGCAAGCGAGGTCGAAGTACGGTGTTTTGTTCTGGAGAGGCGTGATGGCGAAGGACAACTCAGTCTGGCCAGCATTGGCATCCTTGAGGGTGTACCAGAAGGTCGTGCGGACACCGAAGAGGGAGCAACCGACTTCCTTCCAGTAGCGCTTCATGTTGTCGAGAGAAGCAACGGCATCGCGAGAGACGGGTCCAACTGTGGAGGGGGTTAGCAAACTGGGATGGATGTGGAATTTATTTTGACAGGTATATAACTTACTTCGTGGCCAACCAGTCTCGGTGATCATGACTTCCTTGCCGTCTGCTACGCTCGCAGTCTGGGCGACAGAGGTGAAGAAGTTCTCGCGTGCATTGTCAATGGAGTTTGCCCTTTCGCTTTCAAAGTACGGGAATGAGTTGTGACCAAGCCAGTCCACGGCGCGGGCGACGCCACGGTTCTCCGGTAGGGTCCAGGCAGTCCATGTGTCGACGTGACCAACGGGGCATTTGGCAAGTCCGGTTCCACGAACCCAGTCACGGAGCCAACCGATGTATCCCTCGATCTCAGCACCGGTAGCACCAACGCCAGCATTGTTCTTGATGCCCTGCTCGCTGCTGCGGTACAAGTCCTCGGATCCTACGCTGATTCCTATAATCCTGTCTGTGAAAGGAGTGCCCAGATCTCTAGCAGCTTGAAGTAGGGCGTTGAGTTCTCGCTCATAAGCGGCACGTCCGGCACTGGCCCAGAGACCTACAAGGATCTTCGTATCGGTGTCGATGGCTGCGCGGAAGGCTGAGATGGGCTCTGTTTGGCTGCCGCATTGAATCGATGTGTACAGACGCGCTGTGTTGAAGCCAGATGTTCCAGGAAGGCTCTTAGCCTCGTTAAAGAAGCGGACGAAGTCGTCGTACCCGCGGCATGAGCCGTCTGCGTTGGTGGCACCGTAGTTGAAGCCCTTGGATTGAGCGACGGCAGTGGCCGCTAGAGCGAGAAGCGATGCCGCTTTTGCCCACATTTCTAGAAATTAAAAGGTAGTATGATATGCTGAACAAATGTTGAAATGTGGGTGTGAGAGAGCGTCGTTGGTGTGTGAAGGAGCAAGAATCAAAGAACAGTCGGAACTTTATACTGACATGCAGCCGGAAGTTAAAATAGAATCTTGTCCCTGCGCCATTGTGGTTAGTTGCATGCCAACCCCAAGGATGACGCGGACGAGGCTCGTTCCTTTTATGTGCCAAGGGCTGTTGAATGGCGATCTGCCAAGTACCGTGCTGGGCGGAAAGGTCTACGGAGTCTGGGCCTGAGGCACAAAGCAGTACATGTTGTGCAACAATCGTGATTTGGGCTACGTGCTGGAATTCCTGTGCATAGCGGATGGAGATGAGGTGTATACGGTGAGCGTGAGACGAGCCTGTGAATGGCGTGAGGCGGGTTACGAGGACCCGTAAGCAGGACCGAAGGCGCCGCGTTGAGCCGATCCCTTTTGCACAAGCGTGTATCGCGGATGCACCCGTGTGAGGTAGCCACGACAGCGTAGGATGAAGTGCTGGCACATGCAGGTTCCAGAAGCGCAGGTCCTTTCGCGAAACAAAACATGGATACGCTTGGTTGTAGTGTCAACATGGCACATGAAACCCCCGACGTTGACTATCAACCATAGACCCTGGACGGGTATTTCTCCAATCGATGACATCATCCATCAACATGTTTGCTTTGTACGGATAAGGCTGCGCTTTCGCCCTGCGTACATGTATTGCCAAGATACCAAAGGAGAAAATCGCCACAAGAACAATGAAAGCGTAAAGTTTTCCACAACGGCAACACGAATGCCGTCTACTCACCTAATGCAGTAATCAATTCTTGTTCGGCCATAAGCTTTCCCTAGGATCCTTTACCGCGGTTTAAATATACGAAATAAAGTTTCTACCAACTGCTAGGCTTCCAGAACGTTAATTTGCGGTGTTATGCCGTTCATGACGAAAATGAATCGGCAAATGATATCCAGTAGGAGTGGTGAAGTTGTAAAAATAGAAAGGGAGGTTGACTTGGCGTGTTCGAGAAATCCGGTTCACCTGTTGCAATATCTTAGCCTACGGCTGTCATACACATAATAGTCCAACTCCATCATGGCCAAGCGCCCAAGGGCATCGAACGCATAACCCTCCTCCGCCTAGCATTGCCACGTATGTTCGCTGTTGTAGCCTGGTGCGACTGCGACGTCTCTTGGTAAATTGGTATCCTCTTCCCTCTTCCCTCTTGGCTCCACGTGCTCGATCGTGACTGGCGTCATACAACTGGATCTCCGTATACGGCGTTCGCTACCGACTCCGCCATTGTTACCTGATTAATTTCCGTCCGTTGCATCGTATCGTGTTCCTACTGGGCGGTGCTCTTCTTGCCATCAATCCGGAAACGTAAACTACCTACATTTATTGTATTGGCTTGGCGATCAAGGGAGCCTTGCCATTCGACAGCGAGGAATTTGGAGTTGGAATTGGTTATACCGAAGAAGGGAAAGGTACTGGATAACACTTCTGGCTTTCAGCCTGACTGTCGAAGATGCACACGTTTGCGCAGTCACGGCCGGGCGAAGGACTGAATCATTCTCACCAAGACAATAAAAGCCGAAGCATAATTTGATCTAGGATGCGAGTAAGACTGGAAATATCTGCCCACGTGGAAGGGTGTTTGTGTTCATCGCTGTTGAGACGATGGCTTAAACACTATCCTAACCCTCTTTCGTGGTACAGCCATTTACCGGGTAACCAAACTCCTCGCTCTACCAGGTATATACGACAGAGTTCTACGAGGAGTACTGTGCGGGCCATAATACCCCGTTTCCTCCTAGGAACCACTTGTTTCTTACATGTGTCAATCATGTTCGTGTTCAAAGCGCAGCACCAGCATCGGAAGCCTGTTCCTTAGACGGTGAATTGATTAATGGTGATAACAGACACAGTAGCTAGAACATTTCGGACAAGGTGCAACTTATTGGGTATTTCCAGTAGTATTGTTTGGTGCAGTTACCAGAGTATACTGGCTCTTGTTTGGGCACCAGCGATTAGTATAATTGGTAGTACATCGATGGTTTACGAGGTCATGAAATAACAACTGGCCCGCATAGACATATAGCTGATCTTTGAATTACTCTTCAGATGTTTTCTACTCATGAAGTATGCGTAGAGGTAATTCAAGCACATGTCCTATGTTCCGAGGGGGCGCTCGCATACTTGACCAACCATGACGTCAAGACATCACATCCATCAAAAGTGGCAGTATCTTTACAGCGCATACACTCCACATCAATCCAATATTGAAATCAATAAAATGACTCTTCCAGTAACAGGCAAGTCCGGCAAGGACACCCTCGGAGCACGTCTTGAGAACGACTTTGAGAAACGACCCGACCCCGTCTCACTAACCCAGAATCCCGATCCCTCGCAGAACACCTCTTCAGGCGTGGACTACGAACCGCATCCTGAGAACTCGATCAAACTAGAGCCGGAAAGGGAGAAAATCGTACAATCCATATGCAACTTGTACTCTGGAAGTGCAAGCAAAGATGACATGATGGTGTACGCTAAAGAAGCTGTATACGACGACCCGTGGAGTTACTGCGACACGCGATATAAGATCGCGGGACAATGGTACGGTACGTAGCTTGACAACCTCTAAGATATAAGGTAGTGAGGATTGGACACTTTGCTGATACACACCAGGCATACCAATACTCATGAAAAGCAGTCGGACTATCAAAACAGAAATCGTCTCATCAAAGCCCGATGAGATTATCTTCAAGTTGCAGCAGGAGTATACGCCGAAGCCTGTGCCTATTGCGAAGAAAGTTAATAGTTTGGTTACGTTGACGCTTGATCAGGAGGGGAAAGTGAGGTATCACAAGGTATGTTTGGATTATTGGTATTTGTAGAGCTTGCGTAGCCTATATGACGGTTATCAAAGGAGGGATTGCTGACTTTGAGTAGGATATGTGGAATGAAAAGGACTATAGTCATGAAGGTTTGGGCAAGATTTTAAAGGAGTTGAATGGGGATCATTTGACGAAGATCACGAGACCCCCGGAAGATCTTTGAGGAAGTCAGGGTAATAGATGGATGGGGGGGTTTTGTTTGATCATGTTTCCTGTTGTCGTGGAATCTGTTATTAGCGCGCGCTTCCAAATGTTGATGTGTACTGATGGCTTTTGACCCGAGCATGAGTGAGTAGAAACGAAATTACAATCAATTGCCAGTGTTTTTAATGATCTCCGAGACTATTGGTGAATCAGCGCCGATTGACATTGATTCGCGTCTTTGTACTCGAATGTTCCCCGCTGTCGTATGTTTTTTTGGACATTTGAATAACTAACACATATCCCTTTGTACCGGAACAACTGGTGTGGCGGAACCTTACGATCTTACCGCATGAAAGAGGTCGCACTCATAGAAATGACGTTGGCACCTCCCAGCTTTGGAAATCGCTCAAGCCTCTAACCTTCTGATGTCGCTTTACGACTTGCCTCTAAGCTTCCAATGGCAGATCCCTGCTACTATTCTGCCCAGTACCAAGCTACCAGGGCTCAAGAGTTCATTTCGTTATCCTAGTCAGTGTAGTCTGTTAGCTGGCGTCCAGTATACAGATGGTTGGTACTAATCCATTTTTGGAAATGGCGTGAAGGTATGCTTGTTCCCAAGGTATACCAGGGAGCCTTCATATATGTTCAGTTCCAACTCAGTGTACGATTGCGAACCTGCACGGCTCCATGCCATGTTGTCCATTATTCTTCAAACGAAGACAAGGCCTATCTTTAGCCGTTGGAAAAGAACGAGCAGTTCCAGCCAAGATGCCAGGTACTTTCTGTCACGGTCTTCATAGCAACGATAATGGTGCTTCTTCAACGTCTTCTGGACCCCTTTTTCAATCATCTCGTCGATATGCTCAAGAAACAATTCGATATCGTGTGTCTTTAGAATACCTCCAGAGCATGTGAGGCGGTACTCGGCTACCTCATACAATATTCACAGGCGTGGCTTAAAAGGCGGGTAAAAGTATATGAAGCCAGTGTTGCGGATGATGCCTGACATAGTCGCAAGCCATGATCGAAGTACGTTTTTTCTGGCGTTGATCGTGGATGCTGAGGCAGATATGTCCAGTCCACCCAGATGTATGACCATGTGTGCGCCTTCAGTTCAGCCTGGTAAAAGCGTAAGGTCTGCCCATCTGGATCGGGATACTCCCTCTTACGTCAGAAATGGCTGATGAAAAAGCAATCTCTCCGCTGAACATAGCCTAGTGCCGCGGGTAGCAGAACATAGTCGTCCAGGACCTCGCGGGACCACTTCCTAAAGCGGTTTTGCGACATGAAAGCATTTCGTATTTGGAAGAACCAAAGGGTGACGGACTTGGGACTCTCAGCAAGGAACTCGTCCAAGGAGCGATATTCGCGTAACAACTCATTATGGAAGTCTTTGGAGAAGAGCAGCTCATCGGGTAGGAAGTCATTCCAAGTGGCGATACTCCGATTCACAAGGGAAGTCCATGTGGGATCTTGAGTTGGCATCACACGCGGGAGAGTCACTGATTTCGGCATTGCGTGCAGAGTTTAAGTAATTCTTGAAGTCAAGGTAGTGTTGGGGACACTCGGTGTGTTACTCCAGAGATTTGGGCAGTTTGTAAGCTACCAGATCATACCGGTCAAGCCCTCACACATGTGTTGGGCTTATTGGGCGAGGATTTAGGCGCAGGAGCCTACAAGGCTGGGGTCACCGTAACACAAGATCACGTGACGAAGTACTCAAATGAGCGAGGACGGTTGACCCCCTGCTGTGAGAAAAGGCAGGCCTGGGAGATTTTAATGAATCTCTTGATGCATATAGAAGTGATATATATATTGCGACGGACGAAAACGATGGTGATGGCCTTAAAAGTTGTAAGATTTATTATTGGGATAAAGCATGTGTCTTCGCGTACCTGGGCAAAAACATTTATTACTCTGAAGGCAAGGTACCTATAATTTTGTCCATCATGGTGGCTATTCTGTTACAGAGGGATGTACGTTAATTGAGACAGACGATTCTGGATTAATTGCAAATAAATGGCTATAGGAACTTGAAATGGAACTGTTTGTACAAGTGTTTTAGTAGAATGCCCTTGAATATTAAATGGCCAATACTGTTAGTCTCTTCACTTGGACTCTAAGATATCATCTCAATACCCAAGAAATTTGTTTGATTACTTCACTATATTCACTCAGGCTCGGGCTCAAGACTCGAGTGTCTATCCCCGAAATGGCACTGCTGAAACTGTGCTTGAAAAAAAAGGACTTTTGCATAGCGTTTGATAGAGTGCGTATTAAATTCCATATACAACAACTAAGCGCTCTGAATGCATTGAGACAATCCACCCCAGTTATCCTTACACCATGGCGCCAACACTATTGCCCTCTGGACATCTCCAACATCTCCGGTACTATTCATTGCACCAGCCAAGCTAGCAGCACCAAGCGAACCTTTAGGAGGTGCATTGCGCATCGCTGTTTCCCTTGCAAGTGTACTGGCGAATTCATTACCGCCGGTAGCATCTGCGAGCTCTGCCCAACCAGTATGCTTGAAAGGCGCTAGCATGACGCTTCGACGTGCTTCGTCGAGTTCTTGTTCCTCACCACCAAGACTGATAGATATAGCTTCCATGACCTTTTCCACCCGCGCCAGTTGGTGGTCACTAAGATCCTTGTTTGTACGCATGCGGTTGAGGTCGTCCTTGATGGCTTCCATGGTTTCAAGGTCGTCGTCAAGCACCGTCATGGCGCCAATGAGTGTCAGTAAACCCACATGGCCGTCGTGTTTTTCAATGGCAGCGAAGAGCTGATCACGAGCTACTTGCTTCTCGTTCTTACCGCCTTTGGCCCAGAGAACCTCGGCCAAGATGCAAATAATGTCAGGATTTGCGCCAGTTGTCTCCAAGGCTCTGCGGAAGTATGCTATCGCTGCGTCAAAGGAGCCGTAGAAGTAATGTGCAAGACCAGCTGTGAGACGGGCGGATAGTTTAGTCTTTGCAATCTGGTCTTTGGACAGAGCAGTCTGTTTGGAATCGCTTTGGATCTCTGAAAGAAGATCGAGAGCAGTCTCAGCATCCTCTACTGCCATTCCGTCGGATCCAATGGCGAGAAGATTGCGGGCCAAATCCGTCTTGGCTTGGGCCACCCGAACTAGTGACTTCATCGACTCGGTCTTCTCGTATTCCTGCTCGACGGTCTCATTGACCATGTCCAAAGCAGTCACAGACGCATCGTAATTGCCTACACGCTCCAAGAACAACGCCGCAAGATGTCTGTGCGGGATGTCATATGGCGCTTGTATACTTAGTTGTTGGAGCGCAAAGAGCGGCTGTATGAGGCTTGTGATATCGCTCGAAGACGACGGGGAAGAGACTAGGAAATCAAACGCTGATACTGCATACTGTCGCTTAGTGAGGAGTAGCGACGACTCTGAGAGTTCGAATGCGTGAGTAAAGTGGGATAGTGCTTCGTTGGAATCGCCAGTAAGTAGTGCAATGATGCCCTCGCCTACCCATGCTAAGGAGTAATCGGGGTCTTGCGACTGCGCCCTTGAGAAGGCTGCGTGGGCGAGCTCGGTATCATTCTGGAGCAGATAAAGCGCTCCGAGGTTTGTCCAAGTGTGCACACTTCGCTCGTTTAGGTGCAATGACCTGACGAAAGCATGTTGAGCGACCTTTGGGCTTAATGTTGTCGTAATTACACCAAGCGAATTCCAGAACTCAGAGTTGCCAGCCTCGAGCTCAATCGCACGCTTGAAACACTTCATGGCCGCTCGAAGATATGTCGTTAGTTTAGAGTCCTCTCCAGATTCCTGCTCCAGGCACACGTGGGCTCTGTACTCGGTCCAACCAAGGTTGTACCAAGCTACCGCCTGTGCGTGTATGTCGTGTGCACAGCTTACGATTGCTCTCTTTTGAGCCAGAATCGCAGCCTTGAGAACTTTTGTCAGGATCGAATCCCTATTCGTGGAAAGTGAAGCCAGTTCTGCCTGACCAAGTCCATCAATGTCTTTGTGCGCGTCAAAGTCGAGGTCCATGTCTGACTTGCTTTGCAGAACCTTCACAACCAGCTCGAATGGACATTGATCAAGCTTGTCCTGAACCCAGCTGAATATACTGCAAGCATCTCCGACAGCCTTCCACAGATTGAAGGCGTCAGGCTTGTATTCTGTGATAGTGTCGGCAACTTCGATACCTCGAGTCACACTGTCGGCAGCCTCCCCAAAGAATCCAGTTTCGACACAATGCCATGCCTTTTCAACAAGTGTCTGCAGTAATGCGATGGATACGCCAAACTCCTTCGGTCGTACTGCGAGTACTGCTTCGTAACCAGCGAGGGCTTCGTCAAATTCGCTTAGTTCGCGATTGACGTTGGCCAACATGTACTTTGTGAACCATCCCTCCTCATCTGATCTCTTCATTACTACACCATCTGTGGGGTTCTCGGCATAGTTGAAAGCACGAGAGGCCGAGTTGTACCGTCCAGAATTATGATAGCTCTCACCAAGACCAACGTAGGAGTAGTAGTCGTCTGGACTGATGCGCAGTGCTGAGAGAAATGATACAATACTCTTTTGGTACTCTTGCTTGTTCATCTGGACCACACCAAGAGCTGAGTATGGCCAACTGATGCCCTTTCGCTTCGAACCAGGTGTTTGCCGGGCCTTACCAGAGTCTACCACTCGCTGAGCGATAACTTCTACAATGTCCCATTCTCCTTGGTTAGCGAAAAGACGGGCTAATCGCTCAGCTGCCACAATCTCGGAAGGTGATAGCTCAAAAGCCTTTTGGAAACACTGCCTGGCGCGCTTGCGGTCTTTGTTGTAGTCCTCGTAGAATATACCGAGGAGTGTGTATGCAGGGGCATAATTTGGATTTGCTTTTATGGCTGCAAGTAGCTTGGCGTATGTCCTTTGCCGATCTTTTCGCGCAGCTTTTGAGTGATCGAGTTCCCATAGACAAACACCTATCCTATAGAGGGTCTGTGCCCGAAGCTCACGGCCACGTTGCTTGGTTGCATCGAGTTGAGGGTAATCAAGATACTGTTGGAGCTTTTCCAATCCAGTCTTGTAGTCCCCAGCCAAAGCCTGACACCAGGCTGATTCCGCACCGATGCGGCCATTTGAGGGATCTTGTTGCAACGCCTGTTCTAGAAATTGGAAAGCTTTCTCGTATTCTTCCTCTTCTTCTAGGACCAGTCCGATGCCAATGAGTGCAGAGGTGAACTGAGGTTTGCGTTTCAAAATGGATTCGAAGATACCTTTGGCTTCCAAGTGGTTTCTTGGTGCTTGGTAGTAGACCAAAGCAGTGGCGAGGGTGCTGCTCAGAGCATCACGTGTCTTTTGGAACGACAAATCAGTCTTTTTGGCCTCCGCAGCCGCGTACTTGAGACCTTTCCTGGTCGTCTCGACTGCACTTTCATACTCCTCAAGGAACAGGTAATAATCTCCGAGAAGGCAGTGAGCTAGGGGAGACTTTGGAGCTTCGCTAAGACCTTCGGTCATCAACACCAGGCAATCTTCCTGTGAGACTGGAACATCTTGGGTAAGGGCTACCCCGCCTTCACTCAAGTCCGGCCCGTCTTTTGAATCATCCTCTGCAGTAAGCGGGTATTTTGCTATGCCACTGCTGAGCCAGCCTATTATGACTTTTGATAGACCCTCGTTCGGGAATAGCTCGATGAATTGCCGTAATGTTGAGATGTCCAGATCCAGCAAGTCATGTGCGCTGTCTGCGTGTGACGCCATGACGGCGGCTTGATGGTATGGCGGCTCGGCCAATGCAATAAAGACCGCGCAAATAAGATTTCGAGGGGAGAATAGCAGGTGAGATGATTTTCCAGCTGCCAACGCAGAATGATGGTCTTTGTCGGATTGATCGAAGTCGGGATCAACGCGCCAAAGTGCCGTGCGTCATTGGATCTCGTGCGCCCCACCTAGACATGCAACTCAACTCAACCCTCCATGGCACATTCATAGCAAGCATCCCGCCGTACAGACGGCCGGCTCGTCACCACATGAACTCGTACTGACGCCATGTCTACGAAGACAGCGCTCAAAGCCGCCAAAGCTGCAATTGGCGCAAAGGACTGGGAGGAAGCAAAGAACCAGGCCAAAGCAGTAATCGACAAAGACCCAGACAACTACTTTGCGTATCTGTTCCTGGGCCGCGCAAACGATGGACTTAGCAAATTTGATGAGGCCGCAAAAGCCTACTACAAAGCGACCAAGATCAAGCCAGAAGATCCTCAGGCATGGTTGGGCTTAAGGGCCATGTACGAGGGGCTCAAGGGCGCAAAAGTGGATGAGAACATTGACGTTGGTCTCGCGCTGGCCCAAATATACATGGACCTGTACGTTTGGATTACTCCCGAAGGAAAAGAGAATGTACTAAAAAAACCACAGCGACGACCCGCACAAATCCCAATCCGCAATCGACAAGCTCGTCGACCACGCCCGCGCCCACGGCACAAAAATGCAATACGCCCGCGCCCTCAGCACCCAACTGCCCTCCTCCCCCGTATACACCTACCTCGAAGGCCGCCTCCCCGACCCCGCAAAAGTATACACTCGCATCACCGAAATCCACGAGACACACGATGCGGCAACTATCAAGCGCCTCGTCGAAGAGCGCCGCCTCCGCGTCGGCGCTACCCTCGAAGGCACTACCGCTGCTGTGAAGAATGAAGTCTACGCCGCGAGCCCGCTGGAAGATACATACGAACAGGCAATCATCTGGACGCGCGATGACGAGCTGCGCAGAGAGTACGAAGAGAAGCTCCTAGCGCGAGCGTACGACACACTCATGGTATTACCTGCGGGTCAGAAGGCAGAGAAGAGAGAAAAGGTCATGAGACTGGCGCACGATATGGTCGTAATCAAGCATCCAAACCTACTAGCCTGGACCATCGAATTAGAATGGCGATCGGGTATGGAAATTGAGGCGCATTGAGTACGTTAAGGGAGAAAGCATATCCCAGCGTTTTTTTGGGGGAGGGGATGGTCAATCAAAGATCCATTTGCTACCCTTAACCCTCTTCCCCTTCTCCAAACTTCAAAAATAAAAAAATAAAACATATCCAAAACTCCTTCCATTACTACCACCCACCCCTACCTCTCTGTCCTCTGTAGAGAAAGAGAAGTTAGACTTTAGCAGCAGCCCCGACAACCTTCCTCTTCTCCTCCCCACTAAACAGCGTCTCCCCTTGCTTCAACGCATGGATAAGCATCGGCACGCTACTCGCTTTGAAATCCGGTGCTTCGCGTACTTTGTCGAGGTCGTCTGCGAATTCTGTGGCTAGCTTGCGGAGGTAGAGGGTGCTGAAGTCGTCCTGGGTTGTCTTGCTGGGTTGGCTGGGTTGACTGGGTTGGTTGGGGGCTGGAGGAGAAGGCGGTGCGTCTTCCATGGTTACATCGGTATCCGGCGCGGAAGAGGCTGGTTTGGACTTCTTCTTTAATTTTCTGGCTGGGATGGGGGAGGGTGATTTTTCCTTATTCTTTTGCTTGGATGTCAACAATGGGGATTTTCTTTTATCTTGAATTAAGAAGATAGCTTACGCTTGTATCGAGGGCTACCGCTGTAACACTTTTTTCGCTGGAGACATCGCTGTCGCTTTCGCTCGAGGACGAGACTGTTGCGTAAAGTGTTAGCGGTCACGCGTTTGCAACTTGCGTCGTAGATATGGATATACCTTCTGTCCTTGTTCTTCGCTTCTTCGAGCGCTTCTTCTTCTCGACACCGTTTGCTCCTCTTTGCGCCGCCATCTTCTTTTTTTGTAGAGTATAGTTGTAGATCGGAAAAAAGTTCGAGACGTGAATGTCGCGTTATCGATAGGGCACGTGTTGGCGCTAAATCAAGGGTCTTGCATGGACTTGTCCCATTCGCCATCAGTCTACTATGAACATCACGTCATTGGTTGCTAAATACTCATGTCTGATAGCTTCTTAGATCATTATATAGCCGCCAATGAATATGTAATCATTGAAGCTAATCTACAGGCTGTTCTCTATCGCAGCCAATTCTCCCATCGTATTCTTCACACTCGTCTTCAGCGCCTCCCCAACCGGCATATACGGCCGTCTGGGATTCAACCTCTCCTCTGCACCTTCAATCCCCGCCGCCTTCGCACTATACTGACTAACGGCATGCTTCGTCGGTGCAATTCCAGCCTTAATCGGGCTCTCGGCAAGCGCAGCCTTACGATGCAGCTCCAGCGCCTCCTTTGTCTTTCCGCTCGTATACAACTCGTAAATCTTCGAGCAGACCTTGGGAAAAACGTTACTAAACGCCGACACGCATCCCGCACTTCCAACAGCCAAGCCAGCAATCATCCAGTCGGCCTGTCCTGCAAACGTCGAAAACATGTCGCTCGGCAGTTCAGCGCAGAGTCTCGTGATCTTAGCTACACTCCCGCACGTCAACTTCACGCCCACAATCTTGCCTGGGTTCTGCTGCGCAAGCGCGGCAATGGTCACGGAATCGAGATCCACGCCACTGCAAATACCCGGAAAATTGTAAATGACAACAGGCAGCGAGCTTTTTTGCGCGACTTCATTGTAAAATGCCATGACGACTTCCTTGGATGTTGCAGGCCCGTAGTATGCAGCCGGCAGCAGTAATCCGTAGTTTGCGCCAGCCTCGATTGCGTCGCTAATGTTCTCTAGGACCTGGGGTACAGAGAAGCCAGAAATGCCGACCATGAGGGGGTAATCTGGTCCGACGGCTTCGCGGGCACATTTCATGAGTGCCCTTTTTTCGTCTCGTGTGAGCAAAAAGGCTTCTGCATTGGATCCGAGGATGACGAGTCCTGTAAGCCCGGATTTGGAGAGGTAGGTAAAGTATTGCTTTTGTGCGACGAGGTCTAGGGTCGCTGTCTCGCTGTCTGGTGTGAAGAAGGTGACTGCGGGGCACCAAACGCCTGGTGCTGGTGGAGGCGCCATTGTGACGTTGCTTGTGGAGGTTGATGTGTATTGATGACGAGAAATTGAATGGTGCTGCTAATACAGCAGTATGGAAGTATTGAAGGAGAATTGATGACTGGAGTTCAATTGCTTTCTACAAGAAAACATATGGCGTGTTGTCCTAAAGCTGATCTACATAAAGTGGGATGCTCATGCAGTGTCGGGGATCGTTCCGAGATCCTTCTTTAGCCGGATTGAGTATTCCGATTGTTCCGAAGCCAATTGCCGCGGTATCTGTTGAACATCGTTATCGCTTTGTATCTTTATGATCTTTGCTTGGAAAATGCAATGTATACGATTCGTTCTCTTCATTATGATCATTCCCTTCCAGATCTACTACAATGAGCATGTCACACGGCCAAGACAGAGTATCCCATTGGCGTAATTTTTTTAGGTAGGAGAGAAAAGCGTAGAGGCAAGCAGCATGAGGACTTGTTGGCATTTTTTCTCGACGCAAAATTGCTTCAGACATGACTCTACACAAAAACTGCATCTTACAAATGACTCCCCTAGATCAAACAATAAGGTATCGCATTTCATAAAATTGCGCTGCTGAGCCCAATGAGCCCAATGTCCATGCTATGCATACCCGTACCCCCATACCCGCTGTCCATTCATCCCATGGTATCAATTCCCCTGCCTTTCCGATATTTTTCCCAGTCCCAAAGACCATTAGCATTATCGCTCTATCTTACTGCCCCCCAAACATATCGGCAACGCCTGCAAGACCTGGGCTTGTTCCGCGAACAATAGCTGGCTGCTGATCAACAGTCATATATTGTTCCATCATCGCCGTCCTAGTCTTTGTCTTTGGTCGCTGGATTTTGCCTTGCTCATGGATACTTACGCCCTTGATGCTACTGAGCAGATCCAAGACGATGCTCCTCTGCATTCTCTCATCCTGACGGTTGGCACTTTGAAGTTTTGCGAGCCGGCGGTCGACACGAGCTTCGTCACCCATGCCAGGTAATGAAAGGATGATGGATCGCGGAATCTCATCGTCAAGATGGATGATACCTGCAATCAGAGATGCAAGCTCCTTCTGGCAATCGACAAAATATGGTTCATGTAGCGATGTGATGGCAGATTTGAGAATGTCATTGCAGAAATAATCGCGGATCGGAGACTTTTCCTTGAAGCGTGGAAGAAGCGTCCTCATGACACGCACAATGGTAATGACAGATCGGGTATCTCTTACACGGATGGTAGAGTTGCAGAAGAGGAGAATCGGCTCCAAGACTGAGGGTGTAGTGAGAATGAAATCGCACATTGGTGGCGCATTGGCTTCCTTGCGACTTTGATCATCTTGCCGAGCAAACTCTGTGTGTATCTGTTAGCACCAAGTTCTCTAATTTCGAGAAGCGGAAAAAAGTAACCACGGTAGTGAAAATCCCTATACCATTGGTACTTCGACCGCCCGTCCCACGCCTGCTCAGAAATGAAATCAAACTTACCCTGCCGTGAATCAAGCAGGACAGCGACAAGTGAGACCGAAGAGTATGTAAGCTGACGAAGAATACTTTCGGTCTTCATCTCATCTGTCAAGTTGTCATTATCTCCTGATTGCGCCACTTGGCGAGCAATCTCGCTCCATTCCCCAGAGATCTTCCTGTCTAGTTCCCTGAATAGCCCTTGAATCATAGGCGGTAAAAACTGTGACCGTAACTGTGACGGACACCCTTCGATAAGATGCGTAGATACGGTAAGCAGAACGGACAAGTGATGTGCGGTCAAGGCACCAGCGTGCCCAAAGAGAGCTTGGCTAAGCGGTCCCGGTAAGTCTTGTATACCGTAGAAGAAGTCTCGAAATCTTGTCAATGAGTAGAGTATATAGTAAGAACTCTCTCTTATTTGTCGGACAGTGCCTCGAACTGTTGACGCGAAACCTTCGTAGGTCGACTTGGAGCCGCTAACCTTGGCGAAGAAGTCATCTCTGCTTTCCGTCGAGATGCCCGCTTGCCAGAACCGATCAGTCAGGACACGTCGAATGACCTGCTGCAGTTCAATCGGCAGATGTGACCAATTGCTGTCAATGTCGTTAAATGCTTGCGCATGGCTCACGAGCTGGAGAAGATTGGGAAGTAGCACGGGTATCGTCTCTGCCCACAATGCTGCAGCAGTCTCATATGCAGTAGTACCGTCTCGCAACTTCTCAGTCGATGCTGCAAGTAGCGTCTTGGTCAGTCGCAGCGGCAGTTGTTGAGATCGCTCAAGGATTGAAGCCTGCAGCGCTTGACCATCACTAGGTAATTGTTGTTCAGACCAGTCCTGCACGCCGCGAAAATTGTTGGCAGACAAAAATTCAGGTAATTGACCCATACCCAGGATGTCGCAGAAAGACTGGAATGAAGAGATAGCTTTAGTAAACTCATCGTTCTGCCATGCCTCCTTGACGCGGTTCAGCATCTGTCTCATGCGCTCTGTTTGAATGGTGTGGTCTAACGTTGTACACCTGTGTATGATGATGAAAAGGAAAGCAGAGTATGCCATTCGCTGGCGTTCGTCAGTCGTGGGGTCATTGATCATCTCATTGATCTTTGCTTCTAATTGCTCGTAGACGTTCATAAAATCATCGGCGAACTTCATGGCTAGTTTCTGCATCTCCAAGCTGCATATGCGCTCTAGGTCCTTTACTGCTTCCGAGTACTGCGCATAGTTGGTGTCATCCGCTAGACGTATGGTAAGCATGTACTCAAGGAAAGTTAGCGCAAAGCCAGACCGGTCGCCAAGTGACTTGGTGGCAAGTGTGGCCATGAGCGATATGATCTTTCTTGCAACTTCAGGATCATCGAATTGCGCTTGTAGGATCTGGCGACCCCATTGCTCTAGTGAGTCCTCTATAACACTTCGCGTTCGCTCATCGGCCTGGGCATCCTCGCCTTGACTTTGCTGCCACTTCATGTAGCCTTTGAGTGCAGCCTCAATGACAGTGACTTGGGCGTCGACCTGAAGAACTTGGGGCGAGCTTTTGCTAAATGTCTGTGGTTGAAACGAGGGGCGGTCGCGGTACAAGTTTTGCAGCATGTTGGTTGCCTGCGCGAGGATATGCTCCATGGCCTCAACCGGCGTCTTGCGCACGAGTACCTCGATTACATCTGCGCAGAATCTCCTATAGTTTCCTAGGAAGGCATGTCGTTCGGGAACAGTGTCAATGTCTTCATTCAAAAATTGCAACGTCACATCTTCGGCATCTTCAGGAAGGGCCTCGTAGCGGATCAGTCGCCCACAGCATGTCTCGAGCAGACCTCCAACCATGGAGTTTACGACGTCAGACTCGCGGACAATGCTCGATCGCAGCAGCTTAGTCCAACAGTGAAGGACGGGTATAGAAACGACGAGACTTGGGTTGCGCATAATGTCGTACAGAAAGCCAAATACACCGGCGAGATCGCTGTTTTCTGGAATAGACTGGGGCTTTTGTTCAATGAACAGACCAAGGTTGTTTGCCAACTGCGGTCGTTAGTCATGGACACGCGAGTTGAATAAGATGGGGATTCTCACCTCGGACAGCCTCTTGCAAAGCATATATTTCTGATCATCGATGTCATTGACGTCCATGTCCACGAGTGTCCAATTGTATACTTCCCGAAGGAGCGAGACGCTGCCTGGTGTAAACATAGGGCATACTAGCTCCACGAATTCGTCATCATGTAAGTGCGTTCGGTTATATATAGCTTGTAGGGTTTCAACTGCAGCCTAGGTCATGTTAGCGACGGGTTTCTAGTGTTGGCTTGAGTCGCCATACAATCTGTATCTCAACTGCTGGTGTGGCCAGGGCCTTGCAGACTGCCTCGATAACCTGAGTAGCCGCAATGGCTTTGGGCATGACCCATGGCATGGCGGCTCTGAGCGCATGCATGGATTTGACAGCACTGGCTTTGACGTTTTCCTGGTTCTGGTAGTCCTGTCCCAAGCACCAATCCAGGTTTTCGCATAGCCTCGTCAACCAACCTTGGTCTCCGCACCGCAAGTCAGGACCTTTTTCCCTAGTAGGAAGCTGCTCTTGTATAACAATCTGAGGCGTGAAGATCTCGACACAGGCCCGCCCCAGGTCGGTGCCTCGTAGGCCAGCGGTAGCATCTTCGCGATTGAAGACCTCTTCGGAGAGGGTTTCGAGGACATAAAGTACTATGGCCTGGTGGTGTAATGAGTTTGTCCAGAGGGCTACTAATTGCTCATCCATGTCTAACCACTCTGCACCCCAGCTGCGTTTGGCAATCTCTGTCCATAATTGGGCAATCTTGTTCCGAATGTAGACAGGGTCGGTCTCTGTTACGTTCTGCGCGAGCTCGATGGCATATCCTCTGAGCGCGGTACCTTGGTCGACGGTGTAGTCCTCCCAGCCATACTTGATGGAGTGTTCGAGCATGGTGAGGCCATAGTAACGCAGTTGCGCAGGCTGTGAGCGGTCGAGGGCGAGGGTGTGGCCGTGTGACGGGGCTTCGGGGTGACGCTTTGCTTGCTCGAGGTATTCGGTGGCCTGTCGGCGGGTCTCGTTGCTCGAGGTTGAGGCGTAGATGGCCTGCAGTGCCTCTAGGACCTGGGAGAGGTCTGAATGGGCATTGTCGTGGTGATGCGCTCCGCTGCCGCCATTTGCTAGACTTGTTTGCGGGGCTTGGTCGTCGACCCCAGCATTCATCGTGGACAGGCAGCTTCTCTGACCGCAGCGTGTGGGCGTGTGGCGTCAGGTGTGCGGAGTGAATGGCGGAGCGGCGTGTGCGCGATGGAGGTGAGAATTGTCGACTTGGGGGATTCTTTTGGACCTCACTGGTGTTTCGGGCGGAGGTTTCTGAAAGCGGAAGATGCACAGCACAGGACAAGGATGGGGCTTTGACAAGCTTTGGCGCGCACCGTCTGCAACAAACCACTCAAGATGGCGGTGTAGCGTGCAATAAATAGGTCCAGGGCTATGGATCCAGCCGCTCGAGACGTGTGCTTGTTCGTCTACGCCGTATGCAAAAACAACTTCCAGCCCCATCTTCACGGTCTGGGTGTTCCACAAACGCGCTCTGCTGCCTGCCTGTCCCAAGCCCACGGCACGCGTCGACGCGGTGTCAGCTGCTTCAATGAAAAAAGCCATCATGTCGACGCTTAGCTCTGCAACCAAACGAAAATATGCACCGATTAAACTGTTTCCACATGCGC